ATATAGGGTGTTGAACTGGACAGTATATGATTCTATATAGTAAATGAGTGTGTGTAGTGAAGTACTCTTTTTGGGAGTTGTTAAGAGAGTGAGGGCTTTTTTATCTGGAATTTTTAGAATTTAAATGATAATTGTAATCTTGTATTGCAAGTTTCGAGGTTTGGATTTGGATATTTTTTTATTTTGGGTCTGTGGTTTGTGTTGTGTTGTGTGGTTTTTCTTCTAACTATAATATCGCTTGGATGTTTCCTATGGTCATTCTGAGGGCTCCTCTGGCCGCCTGGATTTCTGCTTGGAGTTCATTATGCTGAGATTGCTTTGTTACATTAGTGAGAAGATTGCCTAATATTAGCTTTGGGAGCCTGCTAAGCGTTCTCAATAGGTAATAAGTTAGGAGACTAACTACAATTTTAGTAATAACGTAAGTTATTGGCTTCTTTCCACCTAATAGCTTTGCTAGTATGTTTAGTATTATACTTACTATTATTATCCTCTTCTAGTACAAAGTTATAGCCTACTTCTAACTATAACCAAATTATAGATTTAAGAATTTAATTTATATATACTAAATTTAATATTTTGCTATTATTATTGTTAGTAGTATAAAAAATTAGTTTAAATTTAAAATTATAATTAATAACCCCTTAAATATACAGTTTAACTATAGTTGGCCTTTCATTTTTAACGTGTATACAATCTAAAAAGTATTTTTTTTTATTTACTGCTATATTTAGATTCTTTTTTTAGTATTAACGCCAAAATATATTTTATTACTAAATCTGATTTTATATTAGTCTTCTAGCTTAAGGTATCTTTTTAATATAAGTATAACTTAGTTCATACGTTGCTGTTTGGTTTGGTTATTTAAAAAATAGATTTGGATAGTTATATATATAATTATTCCAGCTTTAACTATAGTTTTAATAATAATATACTTATAGCACTTAATACTTAGCTTAGTTATTATGCTCCTATATATCATAGTCTTAATACTCCAGTTTTTATTATTAATTAATTCTATTTGCAATTATATAGTTTCGTTAAATATAATACGTAAGCAGCTTTTGGTTTTAATTGTTAATATAATTCTATCGATAACTTATTGAAGGACGTTAGTAACAACTTTGTTATTAATATTAAAATAATAAACTAATTTTATGTTTAAATAAGATATAAAATTGCGTTTATTTTTTGCCTTCATAATCTAGATAGTAGCTTTTCTAGGCATATTTAACCTATAATATGGGCCGCAACAGCATTAATATAATATTAATAATATTATTATTATTATTATATTTTTGAATGTGTAAGTAAGTACCTAATACCCATTTTGTTATATTTTTTTATATATTGAATCCGAAGTTTATTTTGTCACCCACGTAATACCTAAGTAAGTACTTACCTCTTACCCACTTAATATACCTCAGCACTTGAGTATAACTAGATTGTTTCTTTCTCGGTTATCCGAAAGCAACAAAGAAGCACTCTGACTTTGCATACAACACGGGAAGACGCACTATAGTATTAGTGATTTGGTCTATAGCATTTAGTTTACAATTTATAATCCTAACATCCCAATCAACTTTCTGGATGACATACACTAACCGCTCTTTTCTTGTTCTTTCCGCACATCTCAGGGCCTTAATGAGGACCCCGAGTCGTGTTTTTACGCATATACAACGTCCCGGGATCGGTTTATCTGCAATACAGCGAACTGTCGTTCGAAACTTCGGGCTTGATACCAATTGCGACCAACCCCCCATAGCGAAATCCGGGAATATAGTTGGCGAACAAAATATTATCCGCAAAGTCGAGAAAGTCTTTCGATCTCCATCATCAGCCGCTTTCTTGATCCGACAATTCCGAAAAGCGGGAATAGAATGCACCGATTTGGGAATTCAAGTAATCGAAAATACATGCGCACGCCTTCGCGATCGCTGCAAGCCCTCGGTTGTAGCGTGGGGCCGGAGTCCTTTGGGTAAATTCTACACCGCCTTCGAATGGGAAATGTTCTCTGGGCCGGTGAATCTCTCACATCGGTCACTCTATGGTGCTGAGGTTGGTTTGCTATGGAGATCGGAATACATCTACTATCGTTACCGACGGTATAAAACTTTTGTTATTTGGGAAGCGTTATATCATCGATCACGATTTTTTCGGAAAATAATGGATGCGGAGGAATTCGAAAATGCGGATGAGATTAATGGGGATTGTATAGCGACTTCCAAACGTGGTATATCCTTGATCTGATGTATGATTGGGGGGTTTTCGTGCGGGAGGATGTGGATGGATTACCAGATCCAATTTGGTACTCTAGACCGGGCAACAATGTCTTTACCTAGAGGAGGGGTCTACGGTGTCGGAAGGTGATAAGGACGCCCCTGGTTAGTCGTAGGGATAGCAGCATAATGGTAGGATACTTCTGTTCCATTTTTGTTTGTCCCTCACAAAATATAGATATAGCACAAGAGTCTTTATCACAATGATGCAATGAAAGGAAATTATGACCAGAACGGGTGAAAATCATTTTATATTATCCGGTTTTTCAATTCATCGAAGACGAGAGATTTTATTTCCAACACCGTGTGGAGTCTTGGTCTAGCCCCAACCTGATGAGAAGAAAGAGCTTCATGCACCGGCCCGCCTGCTGCCTGGTGGTGAATGGTCACGTTAACTTTTCGCGTTCTTGCATCACAGGTGGACCTTCCTCTCTTCTTCCACCACTCCTTCTTATCAGGCCTACGGGTAAGATTTTAAAGATCTGGGTCGATCGCCAGAAGATGTCTTTCGTCAGCTGAATTCGCGGTATTTTTCGTTTTACAACAATAACAACATGTTAACACAGTGCGTACAAACAGTTCTATAGACAGGTCGGTAGCATTCCCAGAGTGGCCGCGACCGTCGGGTTTACGCGGTCCTTCGGACCCTCCTTGTAGAGGATAATAAGAATCCAAGTTTCACATGATAAGTATAGTAGGTACGGCAAGAATATTTTCTATGGAAGCTTCGATAACACGAAGAAAACCATGGAAAAATAATAAGTTCGCATCTTCCAGAGACAGTGCAATACTGGAGACACGGTGAAGAAACCATTAGCAAGCTAAGCGGATTTCGTCGAGATTCAAAAATAGTATTAATATATGATGTCGTCACGTGGACGACATTTCAGATATTAAACTGAAAAGAACAGATACTACACTTGATCTAAGCCAATTGGCGAAGAGAGCTGATGAAGAAAGAGGGTGCTGGGGAGCCGGTCCTTTTATAGGCGAGGGGTCTCGGCGAGGGAAACTTTCAAGCAGGAGCTTGCATTACCCAAATGGGGTTAGGAGGTGACTATCATTATCGCAACACATCACCGGTGCTGGGGGATTGGCCATAGGGGTGACTCTGAAATCCCCCTCGCAACTCTATTCTGAGAGCAACTCTATTCTTAGAGACAGCACTTTGAGAGCAACAAGGATCGGCTGGTCAATCCTACTGATTATGACAGATCTTCACAGCTTAAACCTCTTATTAAGTGAACTAATCGATCCTGATATACGCCAATCTAAGTATTCGAAAATGCAGAAGTCGTCGACGCGTCCGGTTTAAATCTATTCTCTGCTACTTTTGAACTGACAGGAAGTCTGACTGGCTATGGCCATGGCCAAGCTGTCGCGAAGTCTCATCAAGCTTTCACATCCCTGTGCCCGCATGATATGATTGATCTATACCACGAGACTGATATACCCTCTATGCATACCAGTGCTAAAGAAATTCGCCTGGGTAGATGAAATCCAACGTCAGAAATGTGTTGCCTGACACAGCGAGTCTTTCCCTAAAAAATTGGCAACACGGGAGTTCGTGCTAAACCTAACCTGGTTAGTGTAGCGTCAACGAGACTCGTGCACATGTAGTGTAAAATATTTAAAATCTCGAAGGCTTATCGAGCAATCATGGACCGGGTATCGGCTTCTTGCGACTACAGACATCTATGTTCTGATTTTATGGTGTGTACTAGTTAGGACATAGACATTTGTTTTGTGTAAGAGTCTACTTCGTAAGACATGCAAGCGGCTTCACTAGTGGAGCGGCTCATGACAAGGTCGTGGATATGTTAATTACGTTAATTCTTGAGAAAATTAAGAGGCTTTACAATATTGATTTTAAATCCGTTTGAATAACAGGGTCACTAAATACTTACACTGATATAATACCATACGCAAAGTTAAGACCCGGGTGGATGTGAATGTTGGAGTCAATATTCATGACCCGACCCACCACACCGCGGTACCAGATTCCAAGCTTCGTTCGCCAGAAGTGACCACAGACCGCATATGGTGCTGCAGTCTCAACTATGTATCGTACAGTATTCCGCCCTATCGAGGAGCCTTTCACAATGGAATTTCGCAGCCAATCTTAGGCTCAGACCGTAATATCGACATGGCCCACCCCGAAAACCCCACATATGGAGAATCCTCTAGCGAAAACTCTATCTCGATTAAGTATGGCGGACCCACTTTGTCTCAAACACGGACGGATCTCGAGCCTCCAGACTGCAACACCCACTTTTGCCATGCATAGAGGTGGCCAATCACGGAAGAAGCTCAAAGAGAATGTACATGTAAATGCATCCGATTGTTCTGCTTTCATAAACTTTATTCAACTTGAAGCCGGCGCCTGTGCCGTGGGATACGAACTCGTCTCGAATAGCTGATTCCAGAAGTCGCACTAGCCGTGCATCAACCTACGTACTGGTTAGCGGGATTTCTAGCGAATGATCTGCAGAAACATCCCCGGAAATTAACAAACGGCGCTGCTTTGGGAATCTGATAATACTCGACAAGCACATTGCAAAGCTCCCGCAGTATCGGATTCATGGACTATAAAGATGGGGCCATGGAACGTTCATATCTCTCTCATCAATGTTCTGGGACTTGTTATTTCAAGCCTTACTCCCCTCAATATCAGATAACTAGGCCCGGGGAATAGTCATAGCTTGCCTCATCATAGCCAAAATGAAGGTTTCTTCAATCGTTGCGTTCTCAGGGCTCTTCCTTCTTCCGCCGGCAGCGGCCCTCGTACCTTTAAAGTTCATTAACGACTGTGTAAACTTCGCCACCGGCTTTGCCAACGAGAACACAGAAGTCCTTAGCTCAACATACGTTCTTAAGGGAACAGTAATTCCATTGCCAGACTCATGCACTTTGGCAGTCACGGCTAGAGCAAACTTCTGCAGGGTCAAGCTCAAAGTAACAACGAGCAGTAGCTCCCAGGTTATTACGGAAGCATGGCTGCCCACGGATTGGAAAAACAAAGGCAAGCGCATGGTAATGAATGGAAATAGCGGATGGGGCGGCTGTGAGTAGTCATTTACTATTTAAAATGATAGTGTCGAGTAATATAACGGCCTCTAACGGAGTTACAGGCATCCTGTTCGAAGACCTAGCCTGGGCGAGCGGCCTTGGATTCGCTGCTATCGGCCATGATACCGGGCATGTTGGCCCTGTCGCCACTGGCTTCAGTAACCCTGAAGTTTGGAAGGACTGGGTGTATAGATCGTAAGCAATCTGAATCTTGAATCACGAACTCCGCAAAGGCGCCTACTATTCGGTACTAACGTTTTCACTTAGCGTCCTCGTCGCAACCAAAGCCGGCAAAGCGGCAACCAACCACTTTTACAACACCCCTCTCAATAAATCCTACTTCATAGGCTGCTCGACCGGCGGCCGTCAAGCTCTCAAGCTGGCTCAAGACAGCCCCGACGAATACGATGGTATTCTGGCTGCTGCACCTGCGGCCTACTGGCCAAACATCGAAGTCTCCGAAGCCATATACGCCCAAGCAGTTGGTACCGAGGGATCTCCGACATACCTCAACCAGGCTCAATGGGAAGCTGTTGATGCTGCCACGATGGCTCAATGCGACGGAATCGATGGCGTCCTCGATGGAATCCTAGAAAATCCGGCTCAGTGCGACTTTCACCCTGAACTTATGCTTTGTGGACCTGGACAGACCTGGCTTCTTAATGGATGTTTGACGCTTGCTCAAGTTCAAACCGTGAAAAAGCTATACGCCCCAATTTATGGCAATCATGGACGATATATCTATCCTGGTATTGTTCCAGGAGCCATCCCCAGTCAAGGAATGTTTTTGAAATATGGCCCCTTTGTCGGCGGCGGTCCCAAAGACTTTCTACGCTACGTAGTTTTTAATGATCCTTCGTACGACCTGGTCAGCCAGTTCAACCTTGACACCGCTGATTTGATGCTCGATAACGACTGGTCTGGGGCACACTCCAATAAATCAGATCTCAGTGGTCTACAGGCATCAGGCAATAAGCTCCTGATGTATCATGGTCTGGCAGATGTAGCCATTCCACCTGAGGCATCATATCGATATTACAACAGCGTCTCACTTAATATGACATTGCCACCTTCCGGACTAGATTCATTCTTTCGTTTCTTTCCAATCTCTAGTCTAGGCCATTGTGCAGGAGGAAAGGGTGCAGGTTATGTGGGAGGACCTTCCCAGGTGCAGTTGTACCCTGGAGCTGCGGATAGTGTACCTGCAGGGAATAGCGCACTGATGTCCTTGGTTAAATGGGTTGAGCAAAATGAAGCACCGGAGACTTTGAGAGGGTATAAAGTTGGTCTTTTGGGAGAGACTCTTGGGCAAAAGGACCATTGCAAGTATCCTCTGAAGATGACCTACAAAGGTTCTGGAAATCCCAATAATAGGGGAAGCTGGAAGTGCGTTAAAATAGACTGATTAACTCCTTTGGTGTGATTTCTTTCTAATTTACACTCAGAGATGTCCCTCTACTATTTTACATAATATTAATGAGACTCCATGAGCTAAAGTTTCATTGCTGAAATAATTTAACCCTCGTTCAATTAGTTGTGATATATGATGCATGATGTTAACGTCAAAGATATATCCGGTGTATAACTTCAGTTACCCCGCCGTAGACTGATAACTTTTCTTAGACTATGATATTCAACTAGAACCTTTAGTTTCCGGTCGTATCAAACCCCAATACCTTTGTTGTATACCTATAAATTTAGGGAAATATAATGATTGGACCAAATGATCATGGAGCCCTAGTATAGTATACCACAATCCTGAGTAGGGACCGACTGATCTTCTTGATACCATCATCATTGAATAGCCCCGGGCTGTTCCCCCTAATATTAATGGTGATTATATTATGTTTCCTAGATATAGAGGTTTGTAGATGTGAATATTGTAGCTTTAACAAGCATGGCTGCCGGTTTGTAAGAATAGATGATTTTGTAGACGACTCGAGGATAGCGTTTGTGGCGTCTATGGATTCGTCGCACTGTCAGTTAAAAAAAAAAAAAAAAAATTATTCTTCCATCACTTCAGCAAGACACGTCCTGTCATCCACAACAACATCATCACCTTCCAAGCACCCCATGCGAGTCTATCCTTAGCCTTCACTACATTTCCATTATTAGCCTCCAATACCTTTCATTGCTCCCTGGAACGACCGAACTCCCCCGAAACGAATCCGTAGTATCCATCATGCTCTCATACCGTGCAACCAATGGCTACCAAACTGCCCGGTACAATGGCGGACTGTGCTGGTCTTACTACTCATTCTACCCGCATCCACTCGATCACTCAAATGCGTATACCATCCACTCGTATCGCGACAAAAACCTGCGTGACTTTTCTTCATACGTTCGAAGGAAAAATAATTGGGTGGCCAAGAGTCGTGATCGAAGAAAGTTCGTCAAGTGGCTCGAAAAGACCCGATCAAATGATTACCGTCAGCATTGCAGGTACCATTTAGCCTGGACCCCTCGTGATATCGAGTTCGCGTGGAGGGAACTCGGAAATTATCGACAATATGTTGAGACATTAAGGGAGTGGGGTTTTGCAATAGAACCAGACATAGATGGTGTTTGGAGAGGAGACGACATTATTAGTCCGAAAATCAAGGAAGAGCTGATTGCAGGTAAGTAAGCCATATAGATTATCCAAAAATAACGGTTCACCACCCCTATAAGATATACATACCACAGCTTTATCTCCGTCCCCCGGTAATTTTCATATCTTACTGACTTTCACCATGGATAAATCTAGCTGTTGCTACGCTTGAAGGCGTTCCAGGCCGTGGCGAAGCCTCAATATCAGAGGGAACTGGGCAGGTTACTGATCTTGTCGACCCATGCCAGTGGCCAGCAGTGTACGGTCAGGCTATCGACCAGAGAACTGGAGAGCTACTCCAAATACCTCATAGTATTTGGTTCTACGGCACCGAATATGAAAACATGCATGCGGAAGATAGCTCTCGAATAATTTATGATGGGTATTTCTCTAAAGGTTGCTTGTTAGCCTCGGAGTTCATAATCTCGGAAGCTGGAGATGCAACAAAAATCTTCTCGTACATCATCGGTCTAGATTCTCCGGATCAACAGAGGCGTTTCTATCCCATCCTAGAAAATATCTTTACCAAGTCTATCGTTCTATTCGAGCATGTACTTGGAGATTTGGCTTGCTCTAGGCCAGGCTCAACACGAGATCAGGGATGCATTCACGACACTCGCCGAGATCCTGACTCCGAAGTCAAACCACAAAAGGCGACAATGGGCATCCTTGTCAAAGATTACCTCCGAAAGAATCGCGAAATATTGGCACAATTTCAAAATGGTGGCTTGATCACAGCTGACTACTTGGACGATGCCCAACCACTATGCTGGCGCCACCGCGGCTGCCAGAACCGCGGAATAGACTGCGGAGGGATCAGCCATAAGAGCCATGTTATCCAGATACATGAAAGTGAGATCCCACTGGATCTCAAGCATATGTGGTTCCCTCCAAACTTTAGTGGGGGGCATAACCTCAGGGGCCGCAACTTAAGAGTCTTTGTACACTTTAGGAACGTGGAAGTAACACCGGAGGACCCAGTCTTCAAGGGTACAGCCGAGTGGTTCATTTTCGGCAAGCTGGTAACTATCGTGTCCTTACTGCGAAGAAATAGACCAGTGATATGGTTCAAGCAAGCTTGATGTCATCACGCTAACTGTTTGGTGACTAGAACGAGAGCGTCGTTGCCGTTGTAACATATTGTTATGCACAAGAAAACATCACGGAGGTAAGATTAAACTTTGTGACTGTCCATAAGCGAGAATTCAATGCACTTTGTCGCTGCGGTCGTAGCGATTTCGCTGTCGATCAATCCGAAAGTACTATCATCAAGGTATTATTTGCCAGCTCCGAAGCACACTCCATCGGGGTTTCAGATGCTGAAACTCCTCTAAACCTATAGGAAAACCGAGTAGTTGCTTTCCCAAACCTACTTCCACATAAATTAGAGCCATTCGAAATCATTGACAAAACGAGGGGTGGGCACCTTAAAATGCTGACGTTTTACCTTTGTGACCCTTCTCTGGCCCACGAAGTATGTGAAGAATGCTACACAGCAGCAAGTGGTTGGTAACGTAACTAATTGAGGTTAAAATAGATGCCTACTACTCGTATCGTCGCTCCTCAAACACTTGAGACGCTATCGACTCCTTCGGTACCACGTCAAAACGGTCCTCACTAAAAAATGCTACACAATCGATTCAACATTTCAGCGAACAATGAGTGTTCTTCCACAAATATCGTTTTCGACGTTTCACCCAACACTTCCCTCCTTTTAATCCCACCCACAAGGAATTACCGCCTACTTGTTCTTTAAAATGTTCCCGACCTTAAGGGCATACGTTCTTCTCTCTATCATACTGCATTCAAATTGAACTGGAAGAACAGATAGGTTCATATCGCCAGGGCCTCATGATAGGACGCTAACTAGATCCGAAGCGCTTGAGCCGCTAACCAAACAACTCCTCTCTCAATTAAATAACCAGAATATCTTCTTGCCCCTCCCTGCTTCTGAGAGTAATTTATTGATCTTAGCCGGTGAATATTATGGATCTGGTGACGATACTAATATGTGATCCATCTACCAAACAACGCGCAAAATACAACAGGATGTCGTCGCTCTTTTCGTACGACGATCCACCCGCTCCCCAATGGCCATGTCAACAAGGCCACCCCACACCTATCGCGACCGACCGGCAACTTCTTTGTAGTATTAATATCTCAGATCTCAATCAATAAAAGTTTTTCGACCCGCTGGCCGCTGGCCGCTGAACATCTACACCGGTATGAACCTCGAAACCTCAATAGCGGGGGCATTCCAGAAGGTGTTGGATTTGTTGTGTTCCCAAAGTACTTTGACTCACGAACCTGAGGTTTCCCACGGCCTTATTCTGCATATTAAATACCGTCATGGTATTGGATCCTTAAGGCAGATCCTTTGTTAATTCGATTCAGTGTTGAAATTTCTATTGGCCGGACCTTGGTGAAGACTCAAAGCGGGGAGCTAAGGGTGTATTTAACGGTACACCATCCCCGGTGATTTTTCTGACAACTGCATTCGGCTATGACTCGTCCGCCGCAGAAGAATGGGTACTTGCGCAAATTCGCTGCAGCTACGTGGTTATGCATATATAACCTTATCATCATCTTGTTTTCTCAAAACAATTTCGATCGCAAAGCTTACAATCCAGTTAAACCATATTTTTTTTTGATAAAGAATGTATCCTCACCCGCTTGATAGTGATTGGAACCCAGATTTGATCACATACCCAAAGTACCACCACCGCGCATTTATCGTTTCCGCGCTCAATAAACCTGATTGGACGACACAAGCGGCAGACAAATCCATCGTTGCGAGGTGGTTCCGGGAAGCGCAGGAGCGTGATAATAAATTCTCTGTGTTCAGAGTATTACACCACCGGACATGGAATGAGAGCGACGTAAAATACGCCTGGCAGGAACTATCGAATTGCCGAAAATATGTGGAATCTTTGAGAACTGAAGGATGTAAAGTGGAACCGGATATCCGCGGCATTTGGAAGGCGGATGGGATGGTTAGTGAGGAATTAAGAGAGAAACTTGTTAAAGGTTTGTCGACACTTGGGTGTTCTGAGATACGGAATTGACGCTGAATAGCAAATCACAGCTACGTCTTCGCTAGAAAGAATTATGGGAAATCGTATCACGAGGTCGAATAAAATCGGAGGTTTTGATACTCCATATCAAGATTACGAACACAGAAATTTTGTTCAATTCATCAATCCATCACTATGGCCAGTTATATACGGCAAAACAAGAAACATAGCCGACGCAATGCCCATTGAGCTGCCAGAAGAACTACTAAGGCCCCGAGGCATAAATTGTTTCTGGCGCGGATACTCAAACAAGCTCTGTTGTCTTCCTACCGAGTTTGAAGTCTCCGCAGATGGGAAGCAAACCAAGGTACTGTCATACATCAATAACCTCCCTCAATCGGATGAGCAGGAATTAGGACTGCGTAGGATCTTGGGGGAGATATTTACTTGCTTCGTTCCGTTGTTCAACCACGTTTTAGCGGATCTCTCACGACCCCAACCCAAAGGTGCGCCAGCTATAGAGCTTTTAGAATTTATCCCAACAGCAGAATACCTCCAAGAATGGAAGGAAGCAGTAGACCGCTTTGAACACGAGGAGGACTCAGATCCTGGTATCTTTGATTATATGGAAGAACACTGTATGGATCATGTTCAATGCCGAGAAAAGAAAAAAAAGTGTAAGAAGGTGTGCCATATAGAAAGACTGGATAGATGGGATATCTGGACCCCACCGCCAATGCCCGATGCGTTAAGATTGGAAGGGCGAAAATTGAAGGTCTTTGTTGAGTTATCCAGCATACACCTATCACCAGAAACCGGCTTCGAGTATAGACAAGGAGATTGGCGGACAAACGCTAGGCTGGTAAGTCTCCCGAGCTCTCATTGCTCCGTTTGAAGATTTGAATATTATAGAGGAGGTCAAGAAATTTCCCTCGTATTAAGTACTTCTCGGGCTAATAGCTAACATTAAATGGAATGTAGAATGAGCGGATTGTTGCGACCGGGGTATACTGCATTGAGCGGGAAAATATCACAGAAGTGCAAGTCGAATTTAAAATGTCATTCTTGCATAATTTAAGCGGAATCCCAATCAAGGTAATTCTGAGGCCTGCTATATTTCAAAAGAAAACAAATCAAGAGCTAAATTACTTCACCGGCAACAGGAGCACCGAGCTATAGCTTTTCCAAACATTTTAGAATACCGGACACAACCGTTTAAACTTGTTGACAGACAGAGGCCCGGTCACTTGAAGATGCTGAAGTTTTACCTATGTGATCCAACTGATCCATACGAAGTAAGTTATATGAATTCACCGCATGGGTATCCGTTTAGATAGGATATGCTTGCTTCAGTATGAATCTAACCTTTTTAACTACATCAAAGATACCAACTACGACAACCGTTGCGCCACAGCAGAAGGGAGAGATAAAAATTTGGCTTGTGGATCAATTGCGACAAGGGAAGATGGGCAGGCTACCGGAGGAAATCTTCGAGCAGATAGTTGATCATATAGTTCAAGCTATGGAGCCCGGGATTACAGTACAGGCGGCTGAAAAGTATTCGAGTCGGGCTCAGTTTTCTAAGGCCATGTGCGGCATTTAGTATTGCAGCATCATAGTATATATTTGAGATTCTTAACGCTTATCTAGGTATTACCTAGAGTTCCCAAGTTCTTTATTGACATCGCTAATCATATTACCTTATTTTGGTCCCTTGTCACGACTTATTCGGAAGTATTTACGCCTTCATCTTTGTATTTACTCATGGCGGAGTCAACTTTCAGTTTATCATCAATTTCGAGAAGTCATTTAGGATCCATATTGTACAGACCCTCCTTTTTTTGCGGCCCTTTCATGATCATATGAGAGATGCTTTTCAATGAATGTTGATTCCAAGCTATACTGACAAAATCGTAGCTGCTAGTTCGGGTTCCATCCCTGGTAAACTAATACCGGCTTATCCGCTCACAATCACATAGCCGTGGGATCCGAAAACATTAGAATAATAATCGGGCAGATGGGATATCGTCGAACAATTATACTTATACATACCCGCTCAGTATCAAAGAATAACTTGATATCTCTACTCACATACCCTGAGAACCCCCATGGTATATTTTCGTGCCGTCTGCCCGGACTGCTGCAGCTGATAATAGTCTGACCCCCGAGTGCCGCATAACTTCATAAACATGAGGCAGAATGCCGCACAGATACACAAGCTACCACACTTGGCAGATAGCATGCAAGCTAGCCATCCGAAATCCGGGGTAGCCTTGGTCGGACTGGGGGAAATTCGCCTTCCTCTTGCCGAGGCTGTTATCCGTTGTACTTCCCTATTTATAATATCTATCGCCCTATTCGTATTTCATTTTTCTGCTATGCTTCTTCTTCCTCTTTCCCCCTCTTCGCGAGACGACAGATTAATTTTGTTCGCGAGTAAACCACCACAATGACAACAACACACCCCCAAGATGCCCTCCACGCTGAGTCGCTGTCCTCTCCAGCGTCCTTCTGGGCCCCCTATGCCGCCTCCCTAACATGGGAAACTCCTCCTTCGACTACTCTTATAACCAAGCCAGACGGCAGTTGGCAATGGTTCCCAAATGGCCGCCTCAGCTGCTGTTACAATGCCATTGACCGTCACGTATCTGCCGGTCATGGCGCCAACACAGCTATCATCTACGACTCTCCCGTAACTTCTACCCTTCAAAAGATAAGCTACTCCCAACTCCTCACGGACGTCCAGCTCTTCGCCGGAGCTCTTACATCATTGGGGTTGCAAAAGGGTGATCTGGCATTAATTTACATGCCCATGATTCCCGCCTCCCTAGTCGCAATCTTGGCGTGTAACCGTATTGGGGTTATTCACAACGTTGTATTCGGAGGCTTCAGCGCACCAGAATGCGCCAAAAGAATTGATGCTTCGAAGCCGAAGGTCATTCTTACTGCCAGCTGTGGAGTTGAGGGTACCAAAGGTGTGGTGGAGTACAAACCCCTCATCGAAGCAGCTGTTCAAACCGCGGTAAACAAACCCGAGAAGGTTGTATATTTCAACCGAAAGCAGTGTAACATTACCACCGACCAGAGCAAAGGCGAGTATGATTGGAACACCTTGGTCGAAACGCAAAGGAAAAAAAGAGTTTTCACAAAATGCGTTCCGATGGATAGTTCGGATCCTCATTATACGATCTATACCTCTGGAACTACCGGTAGTCCGAAGGGTATTGTTCGTGAAACCGGTGGACATGCTGTCGGGCTCGCGTTCTACATTAATAAAATGTTCGGGATTAAAGGCCCCGGGGACGTTATCTTCACCGCATCGGATATCGGATGGGTTGTCGGACATTCATATATTGTGTACGCGCCCCTGATTGCCGGTGCAACTACCGTACTGTTTGAGGGGAAACCGATCGGTACTCCCGACGCTGGGACATTCTGGAGGGTGGTGGCGCAACATAAGGTCAATGTTATGTTCACAGCTCCGACCGCGTTAAGGGCAATAAAACGCGTCGATCCAGATCTTGAAGAGATGGATAAATATAATTTAAAATCTCTTCGGATGTTGTTTTTGGCAGGAGAAAGAAGTGAGCCGCAGATTGTTAGTCTATTCCAAGAACATCTAGCAAAACGAGGTGCGCCAGACTGCAATGTTATTGACCACTGGTGGTCAACGGAGTCTGGATCTCCGATATCAGGGCTTTTAACCAATGTACCCGATGAAAATGGGACGATCGCAAAAATACTTCCGGTTAAGCCGGGTAGCGCGGGGAAGCCACTTCCAGGATGGGACGTCAGAATCGTAGACGATGACGGAAAAGAGGTTAGTGCCGGGGTTATGGGGAATATTGTTATCAAGACTCCCTTAGGGCCAACAGGTTTCAGAAACCTATGGGGCGACGAAGGTGGAAAGAGATTTGATTCTTCTTACATGAAGAGGTTCGATCGGAAGTTCTTAGACACCGGGGATGCCGGAATGATCAATCCAGATGTAAGTTCCCCAGTATACTAAAATTCCAGGGACAATAACTAATGTAGTAATAGGGCTATATTCACGTCATGTCCCGTACCGACGATATCCTCAATGTCGCCGGTCACCGTCTTTCCACCAGTAGTATCGAACAAGCCGCTATCTCCCACGACGACGTAGCAGAATGCGCAGTCGTCGGAATCCCCGACGACCTAAAGGGGCACCTTCCATTCGCATTTATTACACTTTCAACCCATCACCACCACCACGCTATCAAAGTGGACGATGATACTCTTTTCAAAGAGATCAATGCGTTGGTCAGGCAGAATATCGGTGGTATTGCCACATTAGGCGGCATGATCTGCGGTAGCGGCATCATTCCAAAGACTCGAAGTGGTAAAACTCTTCGAAGAGTGCTCAGAGAATTGGTGGAGAATGGAAGTAAAGGTATCGATAAAGCTGTCGCTGTGCCAGCCACTGTGGAAGATGCCAAGGTTGTAGACGAGGCGAGAAAAGTTGTAAGGGCTTACTTTGAAGAAAGGAAACGAAGTGGGAAGAAAGGCGTGGTTATTCGTGCGAAGTTGTGATTTTTTTTTAAAAATACTTTCTTCTACCATTGTTAAGTTGTGACGCTATTATCTTTCTGCGTTCTTATCTTGGAAGGTTTAAACGTTAGCGCTGGGAATTTACAGGTAGTTTTGTATTATTGAAGAACAATACGATTTATTGTTTGACATAAACCCGATCAGGCTATATACACGTTATACAGTACGCACAATAATACACAAAAAAAGACATAGATCCTATGTACAAAGTCTTCCTTCTACTGATCCACTCTCATCTACGCGAGACACTGGGAGTAGTAAGGATTCAAAGCTTTACAGGTAGTCCCGGAAACACACTCGGTAGGACCGGTCCATCCAATACCACCACATTGTCCCCATGTTGGTTGAGCCGCTCCAGCAGTCGTGGTTCTCGATGCTGTTGTGCTGGGTGTAGTAGTTCTCGTAGTTGTGATAGGTGTAGTCGTCCTGGTAGTCGTAACCGGTGTAGTTGTTCTCGTAGTAGTAATCAACGTCGTAGTCCTGCTAGTAGTAGTCGTAACAGGATTCGTATTCTCAATCAAATAAATCTCTCCAGTGGAATCGGAGCTAACGAACAATCTTCCCGCAGCATCGAATGCCAATCCGGTTGGTCTAAAACAACTGCTTGGACATCTCGAATTATCCGGGTTTGTCATGATATCACGATACCCCGTCATCGAATCAAAGCTTGCGACCGGTTGGTTGTTACTTCCGAAGGGAATAACGGAGACTCGATAACCATCCGGGGGGCTCCTGTTCCATGAACCGTGGAAGGAAACCCACGCATTACCTTGTGCGTCGAATTTTACGTCGAGAGGGGCGGTATGGGATGGGAATGTTATACGTGGGTTTTGACGGGAAGAAGCACAGACTGCGTCTGTTACTGAGCTCGTCATGTTACTGAATTGGCGGCCAGTGGTGAGACCCCCGTTATTGGGGAGGTCGGAGACTTGCCAGACTGCGAGACATTCTGGGTAGCCGTAGTTCCCGCGTTGGGAATTATCGGTGGCTAGACCGTGGTAGTTTAGTTCTTCGCCTGGGTTGTTGTTATGGACGTCTTGGCCGTTGCGGACGATGTTGTCGGCAGAGTTTTCGACGGACCAGATACCACCTACCGTTGTCCGTATTAGCGACTTTTTATCTCAACTATATTGTATTAAAATAGAGGGGCACTTACCAGCAGGATCCTCTCCAATACCAACACTATTCCTCAAACCCCAACCGAAGATAGTACCGCCTTGATTAAACGCAACAGGATTGTTTGAAACTTGGCTGATGCTATACCCTCTAATCTGACTTCTTCCACTGTTGATATTTGAGGCACCCCAGTCAAAGTTTCCGTCTGAGCCCCAGGAGATCAAGAGAAGATCGGGGTTCTTGATAGAGGCGTAGAGAGTACGAGTTGTATGACCACTTGGGCCGGCACCCATACCTGTTACCAAGGTACGTTTGTTCGAGGTTGCACCGGAGGAGGGATCGTACGCTAGAATAATAAGTCAGATTTATTTCTGAAAGAAGGATAATAATGGTAACTTACACCAGGAGAAAGCAGTAGTCGACGAACTGGCAAATAATGTCCTTCCATCCGCAGAAAGTGTAAGACCGTGATTCAACTACCACCATTTTTAAAAATTAGCACTCTTCACAATATAAAACCCAAAAGCAAATTCAAACTAGGCAACCGTACCGTAGTATCACTAAGAATCAACTGCCTATTCAACAATGTCCCACAACTTCCAACCTGAAACCTCGAAATACCAGCTCCACGCTCCGCAACCAACAGATATCCAGAACTATCAAACACAATCGCACGCGGAGTTCTCAACCCCGTCGCTACGAGCTGAGAACGGTATCCTGCCGCCATAACCGGAGCAGCGTAAGTGTATGACAGAACATTACAGGTTTGTGCGGAGGCCAAGGAGAGGACCGTGCCCCATGTTAAGAGAGTCGAGACTTTCATTTTGGATTAATATTATGTGTATGTATGTGAGTTTGTGTTGTTTATGTGGTATTCCCGAAGAGGAAATTCGCCCAAAGCAGAAGGCCGAGGTTTAAATTCCTCCTTGTCACGAAAGGTCAAGACGGAACGACGACGATGAAGGTAGCTGGTCAAATGCCGTAGATAACTCAGACCTGTTGATGAGGAAAGAGACGACTCTATTTATAAAGATCAAGATTAAAAGTAATAGAAACAGATTACCAAAAAAAACTACGACCTGGACGGCTCTATTTAATACTTCTTCCAGCTCCCAGGAACATCTAGGCATTCCTTTCCGAGGCAATCACTCACAAGTGATACAGGCATCCCCCTCTCCTAGCTTTGTACTTCCGATCATCATTGCAGCCTTAAAACAAACATGTCAAATCAATATCAAATCAAAATCGACAACTTGAGAGGGTGGTAGCGTAGCAGGTTAACAAAGCTAACAAGGTACAAGGAAAGTATATTGGAACTGAAAACCTGATTTTCCGGGAAATCCATGGTAATAGTATCTTTGTAAGGAAAGTATTCGTGTAAATTACAGGTGGACCTATGGCGAAACCGGCAAAGCCTGCCGATAAACTCCTGAGGGCTGTCGAACTGGTAGATATGAAGAAGACAAGCGTATCCCTGCTTTTGGATTCGCAACGATGTGTTGCTACCAAACGATGGCTGGACCCAGCTAGGGGTAGCTGTTCGGGTAATATTTTTCTATACGTCGTCTATTTTCGATGATTCAATCGAGGGGCGGTGAAGGGGAAAAAAAAAAATGAAGAAAAAGGCGGAGTCCGACGGGACGGTTTAATATCAGGCTAAAATCTAGGATATCACGTTTTCGAAATTTTTCTCCGGAATATAAGATCGTAAAAAAAACCCTTCACGACGTTTCTGTGATTGAAATCATAGGAAGAAACGGTTTGGCAGGCGGGAGAAGGTTTGTCGTTAGGATTAAGTGTGGACCACAAAGGCTAAGAAGCGATAAAATCCTGGCCGTTTTCCGGGACCGTCGGGAATGTTGACGGGCGTGCCCAGAAACTTGCTGAAACGTTAGCTAAAAGCCGTTTAAGCCTGTTTAGGGTCGATCTGACATGCAAATAGACTTTGGATCTAAAGTCTCGATCCGACCGTTTCGTGGAGAGACCGTAGAAGGGTCCGGACATGGAATTCGATTTGGCTTTAAGCAGTCTTGAGATAATACATTCGAAGCAAACCTAGCTTAGAAGCGGACCGTGGAAGCGATAGCGGGAGTATATACATGAAGCCAAAGCATCCACGAACCACATGCTAAGGGAAATATATACGTTCTTCTGAGCTTATAGAGCCAGATAGTACAGACCAGTCGTGATCCAGACCGTTTTACCCCCATGACATCAATCTCGCCTCCCATAATTCAATCCCTTCACCGTCTCGGCAAATAACCTCGGTCCTCCTCTCGCCCCGAAAGCGAAATCGCGTCACACACACACAAATCCTGCCATGGATAAAAGGAATATCCATACTATTTTCTCCGTGACACCAAAGTCACGACAGTTTAGCCAAACGATGTCATGCATCATCCCTGATGAGCACCTCTATACGCTGCAAGGCACCATGCAACATCCAAACTTGGCGCCAAGCGCCAAACTTCAATCGACCTCCTCCAATATATCGCCACATCTCACTAGGACTAAGAGGTATAGAGTATCTAGTATAAAGTAGTATAGTATAGTATATATATCGGCAGCATCTGTATAAACATTGACCACAATTGAATCCCCGAAAAGAGTTCAACTCCACTATAAATACGCCATATACCATGGTCTTTCAAAAACGACAGAAGTGGGATCATAAACACTGAAGGGCAAAAGCAGGGGACCAAATCCAAAGGTATTGTAAAATTTGATAAACAATTCGCTAGGGGGGGGTGTTCAAAAGCAGAGATGCGCTATGAGAAAGAACTAAAAAGAACTAGAAACAAAATCAAAGAAACAATCCTTGTAAGAAACACAAACCATTGTTGGGAGCACCTCTTCGTGGGGGGAGAGGGGGAGTGTAAAAAAACGTGGAACTGACCGGCTGATTGGATAAAGACCAAGCCCATGTCCGATTCCTAGTCTCAGTTCGTCCATTTGACCCTTCATCCCCGCCCGGTACTTCGTTAAATGCAATAAAAGTTCCTCCATTCGTCGTCATATCCCCGTATCATATCTTATCATATCAGATCCTTCAAATTTTGAGCCTCAAAACAAACAACACAACTCTACGATTCCCAGCTCTTCTCCACAGTCTCACGAACTCGCTTGACGTATTCGCGGGAATTATCCTTGTAGAGATTGCTGGCTTCGACATTGGCAGGCGATGAAGTGTTTGGGTCATTAAGCAAACTATAAATACAATAACCATTAGTCAGCAAAGAAACCGTCACGTGACCGATAGGATAGCTGGATGTTATCGGTCTGCCAGCCCGTCCAACGGAAACGGGGCACCGGAAGGAAGGGAGGGAGAGAGTATTACCTCTGAATGCTGGTCAATATAGCAGCCACATCGTATGTAGGACTCCATCTATTCTGAAGGATATCGAGACACAGCTCTCCTGTAGCGTAGACGTTCGGGTGGAACATTTGGCTGATGAATTTAACGGTGGGAGGCTTGTTTGGATACTGTTCCTCGAAGTGAAGTACAAGACGGAAGGTACCGTCTTCGAAGGGGGTATCGGCCGGCCCGATGATTACGGCATTCCTAGAAGGGGTATCAGTGGTTGAAGGCAAACGGTATTTAGGAGGAAGAGAAAGAAGACCGACCATGTCATAACATTATCTGCAATAGGAGATGCAGATACACCGGCTGGAGGGTCGGTTTGCATACGCTTGAAGTCGCTGTGGCAGGCATAGGTCAGTATTCTGAAGCTCTCGTGGGCGGTGGCGTGATCGGAGGTTTTTGGCGAGGATGTCAAGGATCTAGCTTACCGCATCAAACGTCTACGAGCGGTAGTCGACATTTTGAAAGTGAGAGATAACTTTTGAAAAGAGAAAAGGATGTTGGCTTTGGCGTAGTCGATGGGATTTGGTGGAATGAAGCCCTGGGTGATAGCAGCAAGATGGTTTGTTGGAGAATGTGAGGATGAGTTCGATTTGAGAGATGGTCTCGCGAGTTGTGATTCAGAGAATGCCAAGACCACTCCAAGTTGCATAAGCAAAGCTTCACAAGACAGCAATTCAGACAAAGAAGTGAGGGGTTGATTTCATACGAAATCTATTGGTCAATGTCGAGTCTTACAAAAACTTGCACTTCGGTGAGCGCTTTTTCAGGGTTTTTGGCATTGAATGTAGAGTCATTGTCACATGGCCTATGCCCCCCAAGGACTTTACACGACGGCATCCAATCAGCCGGCAGTTCTCCAAGTCACATGATGTGGCTGATTTATCTGCGTGGTGGCGGGAGAATCTTTTATGATTTTGAGACTGTATCTTGAGTATATAAAGGTCAGTTAGCATGATAGATATCTGCGTTCATAGCTGGTGGACCACAGGGTATCCCGTCCGCTCTGCCTTACTCAAGCCCCCAAGCGGGCGCTCAGTAGTATAGTGGGTGACCATATGCGAATCGCGTCTAACGCAGGTTACTTTTTTTGCAATTTTTTCTTTTGGAACATCATCAGATACTTCTCCTCTTGCATTCTATCACTTTTTTACGAATTTTGGAGCTCAATTGGTGGAGATATCATGGATTCGAGGTTAGAGATATCATTGGCATTGAACCATGATGCAGCGGTCACTTTTATGGAGGTTGAGGAAAATGCAACAAACTCAACACATCCCAAGACACTGTCTCTCATGCGATTTTATCGATGATCCCTGGGAGTGCTAATGTCTACCTTGCGAAAAATTAGCACCTAGATTTGGTATACATCATCTTGTATCCAGCGTACCAGCCTAGGCTCGAGCATGATGGTTAATATGTACCAGGATGATAGTCCCGTATGCATATTTGACTAGTTGCCACCTTGGGGGCCCGGATCATCTATGCATCGGGAGAACAAACCAACCGGCACCCAGAGCTCGAACACGCCCAAAAGTAGGGTATGACACACATCCAATTCGAATGCATGATTTCGCAACAATTATTTTTATTTTTAGCAAATCACAATCTCGGAGGAAAACAAACATGAAATATTCAGTTCTGATATTGCTTTACCGTACAAAGGTTTGGGAAAGAAAGATACAGAACACCTGCTAACATTTCGAGGCCCACCAACACATATTTTTTTTTTTTTGAGCGCCACTATCCGTCTAAGACAGATTTAGGCCATCTTGGACCAGGGATAAGATTTCGGAGACCGTGTCGCTGTCAGGCTCGCCCTTGCGAAAAGAGGAATCAGTCCAGTCACGCGATCCGAAACGTACCTCATCATCCACGCCGGGGGTTGCTGTACGCCCTCCAAATCCAGCGGGTGGGCGTTTGACCTTAAGTGCCCATGGTTTGATAACGCCAAACTTCAAAACGTCTGTAATCTTCTCACTCTTCTCACACATCTCTGGGTCCATCATCTTCTCTTTATCTGTAAGCTCCATGATTTTGGGATATTGAAGTCGTCCCACTTCATCCCGGGGTCGTCGTACTGTACGCCGCTCCCGTAGTGCTCGAAACTGAACATAATCGCCTACATAACGGTATTCGAAGTTTGAACGTTTATGTTGCATCCATGGCCCGGGGTACTCCTCACCTTGACGTCCCAACAACGCCCAAAATTCTCTAGTACCTCCGTCGCAACTGTCTGAGTCGTCTGAGTCGGTTGGTCCCTCTTCCAGATCAGTTTCTTCTCCATCGGTATTCTCGTCACCCTTATTAGAGTCTCTATCGGAATCCTTGTCAGGACCTCCTCCTCCTCCACTGCTTTCTTTTCCTTTGTTTTTCTTTCCTCCTTCTTCTTTATCAGCATTATTTTCACTTTGAACTTCCCCAGTACTGTCTTCCCCTCCCTCCTCTTCCCCCTCCTCACTATCTTGACTCTCTTCCTCGCTCTCCTCATCATAAACCACCGCATCAACTTTAAAGCCAGCAAACACATTCCATTTATCAACTGCCCCAGCGCCTGATTGCTCCCCACTCTGCTCGACAAGATTCTCATCAAATGCAAACTCATAAGCAAACGAGAGTAAATCCACCATAATCCTGAACGGAAGATACTCTTTATACAACGGATGTCTCGCCATCCTCAAAAATATATTTTCATACTCCGCCGTATCAAGATCAACCTCACGCCAATGTTTGCTCTTGATCAAATCCCACCCCCTAACACGAACATTCTCATTGATCATTCGAAACTCTGTGATGATAGGTTCGTATTTCGCGTATAATTCTCGGATTTTGTACGGAAGTACAATCCGACCGGTTTTAATATCCATTCGAATTTTGTTTCGAGAGGCACCCTTCTCGATACGCATAAGGTGTGGTGCCAGTTCTTTCCAAAAGCCGGAGAAGAAGTGCAGACCGGCTGGAGTGAAGATTCTTTCTGAGCGTAGAAACACGTCTGATGGGTTGTAACCGTAGATATGATTATCGTCTATGTAGAAGCGGACCTTTTTGGACGTGGTGATAGCATCGTTGAAAGCTGTGGAGACTCTACGGAGATAGATTAAGAATAGAGGGTCTATGTAGGAGAGGATTTGTCCTAGTAACTCTGGGAGACGGAAGACGACTTGGGTAGCCATTGTGAACCCGGTAGTATACTGGACTGTTTGGTAAATGAAGGGACGCGGAGAGTTTTATTGCAGGGAGAGAAGGAGAGGTTGCATTAATCTCCTTTTGTGGTGTTTAGTTGAATGATATTGTAGAAGGTCATGGGTGGGTGCTGAGCTGATGAGAGTAGAAGAGCTTTGGGGGAGTCTAGTTCTTTGTTCTAAATGGCTATAATACCGCCTCAGTCATTAGCTCAAGGGTAGACCTACTAGTCTTACACTGTAATAGAGCCCACAGCGAAAGTATAAGACATTTTGGTCGAAATACTTAATATCAATAAAATAATAGCATTGTTGCTGTTCTATCAAATCAACGGATAATCTTGTAGGTACTTAGTATTAACTAAATCACCCGTCATCATCATTATGTTTCATTACTAATTGTCAGACAGGATATTCCTCACAAAAATCTTCCAAAATAGTAAGCTTGCATGCCGCAAATATAAACAAGGTTTCCAGTGTCGACGAATAATCACGTGCCAAAATCTACTAAGCTAGGCTTGCCCTACAAAATAAAAATTTCCTAGATCTCATTCCACAAGATTCTAGCCCGCGCTGCAAGAACGCTTCGTATTTCCATACTCGGCCCTGTAGCGTATATACGTACGTATATCTGCATATCTAATCGACAATTTCACTTTCCTAGCTTGATACATGCACTAACAGCTTGATTAGCCGGTCATCAAAACAACCACGAGTAAAGCCATAGATTATATTATTTTATGAATTTCATACATATACAGCTAACCTATAGGTAGAAAACTGCAACCGAATAAGATACCAAAAACAGTGTTTGATCGTCAATCCTTTGGACTTTGTGTTGCCATGTTCATCAGTTCTGCAGATCTGTTACACGAGATCAAAGTCTTAATTGAATAAGAGAATTTCGATATGATTCGTACTAAGTACTCTCTTACTATAAGAGCTTTGGGAGCCAAGGCTACTCCGGGGCCAGGCACCTAGCCATCAGAAAGGGTTCAAACTCGGTTAGGTGACATGGCCGGAATTCACCCCGTTCCTTCTAACTTTCTTACCACAAGCGCAAGGATTGTAAATTTACCCCTGTTCCGGCTCCTTCGCCTTTTACTCTTTGCTTTTTGGGTTGTGCGAGCAACTTGTAGCAGGGGTGAAAGGGCAAGGGAAGGGGGAGGCCTAGGGTTCAGATGTAAGGGTGCTAGAAAAGTGGGAACCTGGATTTACAGAAACCAGTGATTATTATCTCTCAGGTGTAACAGAATATGATTCCTTTGTATATACTTAAGTTTACCAACCTAATTGCATTTTCGCATGGACTCCAGTTACATTCCTCATTAATTACTCCAAAAAGACGACATCGGCTAGGTACATCGCATTTCCCTTATCTTTTGTTTTGTTGAAAATGCTTTTCCTCACTCCAGAACCAGCTCCAAGAGAGCCTCTCGTCTGCTGTACTCAACACCAGAATCCCAAACCCTTGAACTATCAATTTCACCAAAACTACCCTCAACCATACCCTTTGCGGTCAAGAAAAATTCGTCCCTGCCCTTCAAAAACTGTTCCATTGAGAAGGAAACATCGTTATGGCGGTCGATAACGGATGTAGTAATTGAACTAAGGGACATATAGCTCGCATTCGATCGGATGGTTATGTTGCTTCCGCTGGTAAAGTGAAGAGTTATAATGTTAGCCCAATTTGTAAGGCAAACTCTAAAGGAACAGGATAGTAGTAATAGTATTTACCATATAGATCTATCACTCCCTCCAGACGACCTGCTAATTTTGGAAGAAGTAGAAGAGTATCTACCTCCCTTCTTACGTTTGTTGGTACCGTACTTATTAAGGTAGTGCAGAAGAACGTAGGTAATAACGATGAATAGCATCCAGTCGGTCAACATCGAATCGAGCAGGGCGAGAAACTCGAAAAAGGATTTCTTTCTAGCCTATTTATTTAATTCAACTATCAGTATCTTTCGGAATATAATTTCTTGCTTCATATTAAAGAGAATTGTTGTGTATATACGCACCTTTTGTGCCCAGGTTGGAACGGTGACTGCTAGCTTCAGCGCACAGGCGAGAAACACAGCGAGCCTGGCGTTTTTGCTAACGTTGCTGAGAAGAATTGTTTTCTCCATTGTTATCTTTTTGCAATGTAGAAAAAGGTAAATGAATAGTGGAAATTTGTAGTAGAAGAAATGATTCTTTTAGATTCGGAAAAAATGGTTAGTTGGCGGAATTTGAAAGGCAGAAAAAGAAGAGGTTTAAGGAAGCTTTATATGCTGAAGAAGTTTCGGAGCGGTGAAACGAGACATACCCTCCAAGGAGATGACGAAAGCTCAAATGCGCTTTGCATGCATGGGGCTGGTCTGTCTCGAGGCTAACAACGCACGTTGGAGCGGGTCTTTGGTCCCATGAGACAACACGGAGACTGAATCATGAACTTGTCTCCCAGCTGAATGCCGGGCCTCCGGGGCGACATTCTGGCCAACACTATGGCCCAATAAGAAAAGGGCACGTACCGCGGGCTGAACAGTTTGCTTTCACAGAGCGCTTGGGCTGTGGGCCGTCCTGTATATCGGCACCGCCATCGGGCGTCCGGCCGTGATGATCATTCCAGAAAAGGTGCATCAGTTTACACAGCCCCAATCCAGATCTCTCAGGTAACTAAGCAATTGGTTTTCACCCTGATGACCTAAGCCAGCTACAGGGAGCTTTGTGGTTTGCCAAGGCCTAGGGTTATCCATGAATCCCCGCGCCCCAGGACTACAGAAGAACAGAGCGCTAGAGCTCTTGAAGATCCTTCTCAGAATTCAAGGGTCGTCGATTGAGAAAAACCCATCATTTTTTGACCAACCAAACATCAAATAATTTGTCAAACCCGAACCAGATAACCACACGACGTACCGCGGTACCGGTTAATCGTACGACGGACCGGCCAATACGTTGATTACGATGCACAGAGTATAAGCAAGGCTGCAAGGGGGTGTACCGAGCGATGGGTTAGCACCGATGAATGTGTGCCTTTTAGATTACCTAAAGCTCCCACATCCTGCGCACACCTGTCTGATGGGTAACGTCGTGGATGGGGGGTAAACGCATTGGGAGCAGGTTCCCTCCAATCCACATGGATCGGGATGCATGTAGTACAACCAGAATTGAAGGATCTCTGCGTGCACAAGATCCGGACCTCCAAACTTGGTAATCTTAGAGAAAGATATGAAGAAGAATATGATTTTGATCAGTGGTTTAGGATGAGTCTGATGGAACGTCTCCTTTTGAAAACTTCCCCGTTGAGTTGAAGAATTTCGAAGGCGGGGGGTCGATCGTAGTACAAGCATACTTGTCATAAGAACCGTTTTGCTAATCTCACCACTAGCGAGCGAGGTTCAAGGTAGGAGAAGTACCCGAGCCATTTATTTCGAGCTCGGGCTCAAGCTCGGGCGTTGGCCGGTACACATGCTGGCCAAGGCATATCCGTCCCCGGATAGAATCTGCGAATCCACAAAACACATTTTTATCGTCACCCCCCAAAATGCAAGATAACCTTCACAAGAAAATCTGAATGGAAGTAAGTATGGTGTTACATCTTACGCCTTGGATTTGAATCGAATCCAGGCGAACGGGCTTATGATCCCCCAACTTTCTTCTTTCGTTCCCCTTCTAACTTACCGCTTTTTATTAATAGACACCGATACCGTGTTAATAGACACCGATATCATATTTCATGTCCCATGGCCATCACATTCTTGTTGCTGTGTTCCACTGCCGTCACATTTTTTGTTCACTCAACGCCTGTTTTCCCGTTGTGCTTTCCTGTGTTGCGTCACCTATCCTTTTTTGGTGGCTGAATGACAATGCCAAGATATTCTTACAAGGCTTCGCGAGTTCGGTTACACAGGCACATCCACGAGTTAGACTATGGCTCGTGGTGGCATGATATCTTGTGGAATGTAAATGTAAATCTCAAGAACAGACGGAATCGTATACGGTCTGTATATATATTGCATAAGATAGTATATATATAAGGCTAGAAAACTATTGTAGCTTTTTTTAAGGTAAAAAAATAATAAGAGATATAAAAGGATAAGAAATATAGTATATATGTAAGAAAAATCCGGTAACCTTCGCCATTTATTGTTCCCTAAAAAATGATATGTCGTTTGAATCCCACCTTTTACTCCATCACGGATTGTATCCATGATACATGACTCTTTAGCCGTTAACAATTATGCTTCCTCTCCTGACAAACCTACTCAAGGCATATACATACTTAAAAAAAGATGTATACAATATTTTGTCTCAATGGCGCAAAACCTTACGCCCACTGTCCCGCTTCATGAGGAACACCCCTTTGTAGATAGAATCTCGTTGCAGAATCCAAGAATGGTGTTCCTCGCAATCTACCCATATCAGCTTCGAATTGGAAGTCCTCAACCATCATGAAACGTTCCATCATAGGATTTGGAATGTTTGTGCGGTGGCGGACAATAGTGGTGGAGGTTCGTTGGCTGATACGGGAACGAATGGATCGATTCGATTGCTGGCTACCGGCGGAGTTGATGTATCTATAGGATCCCCTCGAGCCCCTGGATCGAATGCTACCGACGCTTCTGTTGAAACATTTTAGCGAAAATATTATAAAATAAAAAAAGACAGTGCCACTGACCTCAAGGAACTTCTGGAAGAGATTGAAGATGTAGAGGAAACATATTCCCATCTGTGCGCCTGAGGGTTTGCGCATAACCCGTATCCGATGTAGTGAAGAAGGACATAGGCGGCAATGATCGTCCACATCCAATCCGTAAGAGTAGAACTGGCGAATTCCAAAGTTTGGAGTAACGTCATTTGGTTCGTCTGATACTTTAAACGTTGTTAATATCAAAGAATATCTTTTAGAGTTTTTTTTTTTTGGGCGGAGAGGGATCCAAACCTTTTGCTTGAAGATGGCGATGGTGATGCCGAGCTTTATGGCACAAACGGCAAACACTGCGAGTTCGAGACTCTTGTCGAAAGCGAGAACTTTGGCAGCCATTTTATGGTATGCTGGGTTAAAATAAGAAAAGTTTATTAGCTTTGGTAATATATTGCTTAGTCTGTTCTTATAATGTAAAGATTTGCGATGGTGATTAGACGGTAATGAAAGTTGAGGGCGGCGGTGGAGGGACATTTAAATAAGTATATTTCTCATGTATAGGTATGGCACTTGTCCACTTTGTTCACTTGCCCTCGTTGTTGCTCCCTAGTCTCGGGTTGAATTGTCCCCGACAATTACAACAGGGATGCTAGCCTCCCCTGCACAACGATCCTTTCTTATGCATCAAAAATGCGGTCGGTCAAATGCAGCCTTTACTTCACGTGGCTCGTTTCTACCTCTCCATGTTCTCCATGAACGTGTGCATTTCCATCTGCTATACAACACAACATGGGGCTGGCAAATTTGCCATGGTAGGTAAGCCATAAGCCGGTTCAGCTTAGCTTCAGACCACCAGACATCTGTCTACACAGCTGCCCAAAATAGCCAATCGAACAGCGATCTTCCCAAGCCAGGGGCTGGGGAGGAATGGGTTGTTCAATATTGTATAAAATATAAAATAGTTAAAATGTAATATAAAAATAAAACTCACAGAGCAATTGTTTTTATATAGGTCTAGGCGAAAGATGATTTCCAGATTGATGTTTGATCCACGTGATAAAACTTATTTTGTGGTTTAGAAAGCCCTGGCGGTTGGTGATCGAACTCGCAAGCGAAGGCCTGTGGGCGTGTGTGTTTCGCGACCTGGCAGAGCTGGCGATGTTGAACGATAATCTTTGCAGAAAATAGAAGAGAAAGTAGTCCCAGTAGGCGTCTTGGAGCTATAGATTGAAGAAAAAAGAGGAATGAATGAATTGATCCTCGGGTTGGCTATAAGCGATATATATATATATAAAAGCACAGGGAAAACGTTCGTAGTTGTATCTAACGAAGCTAGTTGTCGGTTTCGGGATCGGTTTAATTATGTCCAATGAACTCTGGAAACAGGGAGTGATGAACTGGTTGAAGTATCGCGATGTAATTGGTTGAAATATCGGGAGGAAGATGATTGGTCGAGATTGGACGAGATTGGCGAATGAGTCTTTTTCACCCGCACGATCACCAAGATCTAGAAAAAAAATTCGCTAGCTAAGTTCTGGGTGCTTGAGTTCAAATTAAGCTTCTGTTCTTGAATCAGCAGTGAGTAGAATTATAGAACATTGAGAAAACTGAGGATTAATGTTCAATGCGAAGATGAAAGAGAAAAAATTGGGGTGAAATGGGACGATTTATAGATCTCTTGAATATTGAATGTTAATATATATTGCGCCAGTAGCTGGGTACGAGACAAGCGAGCCTACACTGCGCACTACTCTGCACATCTCATACTGTTGTGCGTTGGTGAAGGACTACACAGTTTGGTTACGAGACTGGAAGGATTAGTCCTTCAGACATGCGACGAGAATGTGTTGCTTTTTCTCGCGTTTTCTCCGCGAACGGGCCTGATTTGAAGGAAGCGAATGCCCGGACTAATAGCTGGTCTGTGTTTCGTTGGTGGGGGCCTGAAAGAAAAGAACAGCAGTCTGGTCACGATACTGGGACGCATGCCGTGTAGACACTACATATATATAGTAGTCTTGTATTAAAACGCTTCGGCAAGACATATATACATAGGTAACTAAGTACTTATATATATATGTGTGATTGCTCAACGGTTCTTGGGACTCGCACAAAACGGCGGCGGGCCGCTAGCGTGCTCAGGACCGCATGCCAGCTCGATAGCTCCTTAGGCAATTGTACCTTATGAGGTATTCCGTCCTGTTCCAGATGGAAGGTGAATTATACGCTTAGAGAAATACGATCCCAGGTCCCTGTGTACTTAAGTCGCTGACATAAACGTAGCTTCTATTGGTCCAGGCCTCTCGTAAATTCTCTCGCCGCGCTTCACTCACTTTTCGAATGATTTCCGTGTCTTTGGAGGGCGGAGGATGCTTGTGTAACAATGCATGAGATGTGGCTAGTGGTCTTGCACCGCCACACCAAGTTCTCAAACATCCCGTTTTTTTTTTCTTTTTTGAAACCGTTGTTGATGAATGGAAAGGGATCGCATATGAAGATATGAAAAGATAATATACGTACGAATAAAGATAGAGTATAATTGATATTTTCTGAGGATCTCCGAGTAACTGGGACCGTTGATTCGCAGCGGTGGTGGTAGGATGGTAAGTAGGCCGGGTCGGTGTAGAAGTTCCCTGAAAGTCGCCTACTCTTTTGCAACAGCAGGATGGCGAGGATTTAGGGGTAAGCAAAGAATTTGGGTTATGTGGGAAAAAAGATAGCAGATCCTAGCAGGGGAAAAAAGAAGTCAATTTGTTTGAGATACGGAAAATAGAATAGATGTAAGAAGACTCAATAGCTAAAGGAACGAGAACGACTTTATATACTTAGCTGGCAGCTGAAGCGTGCTGGTAAGGTTACGCAAAGCCTGCAGCCAAGATCTATGCCAAGATGCGGGATAAGGGGCAACACACCACCGGAAAGACGGATAAGACCGTGTATAACAAGATATGGTGTCTTGCGCCACACATTTCCCCGCCCACGATACCTGAAATTCTGAAATAGGCAATAATGAAATGCCTATTTGGGAAGCTTGGCAAAAATCTCTAGGGCAGCAGCGGCCAGCGGCCAGCCAAAACCCACCACCAAAATCCCAGCCTTGGGCATCTACATGCGTTCTCTCTCAGTCCCTTCTGCTAAAGCAGTCGGGCACAAACTAAAACTTGAGGCTTCCTTCGGTCGCACTTAAACCCGACTGAAATGGTATGTGTCTATGGCCCCCGCTTGGGGGGGGAGCCCAAAAAAACAAAGGGCTTGACTGAGAAGCGTGGCCCCAAACACCAAACAGTCATATAACTAGTATTTAGTCTTGTTTTGCTTTAAAGCATGCATTCAATACCATATAGCCAGTCTCGCTATATCGCCAAGCTATACCAAGTAAAAACAACACATTCTTTTGTGTGAAAAATTGGGAGGCCCACCCACCAAATTCTGCTGGGAGGGCGGCGGGGCATGGACACGGGGAAGACCATTAAAGACCCTTCCTTTCAGTCGGACAAAGATGTCCACACAGCAGACCGCACAAAAAATCTTCATCCAGATGTCTGGTGCACCGGGTTCCGGGAAGAGTACAATGGCAAGGGTACTCGGAGAATCAATCGGTGCAGTAGTCATCGACCACGACATCATCCGATCCTCTCTTCTCGAAGCCAATGTTCCATTCGACCAAGCCGCAAAGCAGGCCTATCAACTCCAGTGGGCACTAGCTCAAGATATCATGAAGCAAGGTCATAGCATCATCGTCGACAGCACCTGTAACTTCGAAGAAGTTCTCGAACGAGGTTCTGGACTTGCACAGCAGTACGGGTTCGTCTACTGGTATGTCGAATGCAAGGTTCAAGACATCGATCTGCTAGACCAACGGCTGCGTAACCGAGATGCATTGACGAGTCAGCGAACCGGGGTTGACCGCCCTCCCGCTGCTGCACATGGTGCTCGTGCAGGCGAAGACTCCCACGCTCTCTTCCGGAAGTGGATTGAGAATCCGTGCCGTCCACTAGATAATACTATCATTGTGGACTCTACGGGCGACATGGAGATGCTCAGAGATTTTATACTGAAACGAATTATCGGTTAGCTATCGAATAGGAATTAGGGGAATTATCAACTAAGACTTACGGATTAAGATTTCCAATGGCCTCCACCCATGTATACGGAAAAAAGATAGACAGGGGAATTAAGTGATGTTAAGTATATGTGACGGGCTGGTGGCTGTGGGGTATGAATGTATGAATGTATGTAGTTGCATTTTCAATGACATGATTGAAGATATAGATAGTGATTAGATAAGCTAAGCAGGTTGATATACCAATACCAGCAGAGCCTTGGAGTTGCCCAGCAGAGTACACGACACAACACAAAAGTCCGACTGGATGACCCTTTGTGTTGTGTTGTGTTGCTAAACTCCGATTTTGCGCAGCCTCGTGATCCCACAACACATGGGGTCCGATGCCGCTCCATTCCATCTGCTTCCTGTGACCTGGGAGCTTTTTGTGGTAACTAACAGACCCAAAGAACGACACCGATGACGAAACATCACCAAAAAAACATCGAAAGCACCGGAAAAAAAGGAGAAAAAAAGAGGATAAAATCTCACCTCAAGAGACAGAATTAATAACAGCCTTCTAGATTTCTTAGAGGACAGAATGAAAAGCGGGGAAAGTTTGAAAAGGAGGACTTGGCGGGAAGACTTCAATTTAAAGCAAAGGTGTGTTGTTTAGCGAGCTATTTGTTTGTTTTGTCCATAAAAGTTTCCTATTTTGGAACAATGATGAGGCTCAGTGCAAAACTGCTAGCTCGATTTCTGTTGCGGCAGAAGTTAAGAGGACCTGTTGCTCTGGGTGCAAGATGCTTCAATTTGAAGACTGAAACTGTGAATGAGTTTAAGATAGACAAAATTTAGTTTTGAATAGTACTCTGAGGAAAGAAAATTGAAAGCATTGATGGGAAGAAAGCAACGGTTTTATAGAGATTTGGGGACCCGTCATAATTAACACCAGGTCAGGTCAGAGGAATTAATTCTGGTATGAGATCTTAGCGTCGTGGCTTAAAAGTTGTCAACCTATGCGCTAGCTGTTTGACTCGAAAGAGGGCCCAAAAGGGAAAAAGTTTCCGCCTGATGTACATACAATTAATCCCACCGACAAAACGCATGTCGGAAGCTTAAGCACCAGGCCAGTGCCAAGCATAGTTCGGTGCAGCTACCTGCTCATGACTGCAGATTGCTAAAATACACCAGCCTCGGAACAAGTCAATGGCCTACGATGAATACAAACGGTAAGAGACAAGTACCTCCGAATAAAAGAAGACGCAGGATTTGAATTGAAAAATAAAGAAAGAGAAATTTGTATGCTTACCATGGGCTTTCTATGTATTTATAAAGACCAAGAAGCCAACAAAAAAAAACTCTTTTCTGTTGCTTCTCACAGTGAAGTTAATATTAACTTGACATTAAATAAATCGAGATGATTGGATACTCATACGTATACGCGCTTTTCACAGAATTAATCTTATAGTCCGAGACTACTCTTGTGCATATATATATTATACCTTGGAATTCAAAATGGAAGCGCCTGAGGACCGGTCTTGATTCAAAGGCGTAGATTTGGGATGCCGACGAACTTGTATAAAGAACCAGAAAAGGGAAGAAGGAAGCTGAAGACAGATGGGAAATCATAAAAAACCTGAGTACCTCAGTCTCCGGCATAGGGGAAATCCTGTCGTTCATATAAGATCTACCTGGCATTCAACAGTTCGATCGCCTTTCTGTGTTGTGGCCAGAAGCGTCTGTGCTCAAAATATTGAGAACTGGTAAATTATAGACCCCTGTGCAGCAAAAACCGAGGATGATACATACAAGGCTGCTCTACTCTGTAGTTCAACCCACATCTGCACGCTTTGAGGGTTGCTTTAATTTCTGGTTTTTCTTTTCTTTTTTTTTAAGCGATATCTAATATAAAGGTCATATCGGGATTTCGGAACCAGCAAGCCTCTTTAATACGCCATCCGACTTATATGTAAAAGAAAAGAAGAAGAAAAGAAAAAAGTACGGGTGGACTTGCCTGAAACCTACGCTTTCACAAGACCACCGTCTCATCTGAGATTAAGGCTTGCATCTATGAGTCGTAAAGTGATTGGATGATGGCTTCCTCATGCGATGGTAACTGATATGATGTATGGTACAGTAGTACTAGCGCTGACTAAGGTAGGTTTGGCTTCCCATGCGCATGCACGCCAAAGTGAGGCGATCCTCTGTCCGCCGATAGGTACCTAGGTGCCCGTGTTCTCGGTATTAATATTGCAGGGATTAATCGTCGATGAAGTAGACACTTAATTATCATTGCTTATATCACCTGAGAACGAATTGAATGACTTTTAAAGATCAACTTGAAGGAAGAAGCATCTGCTCTGCGCTACAACCGGCCGTTTATATTTAGCACACAACGTCGAGACTGAGAAAGATATCCACATTTACAATTTTACAAGCTAGCATTCGCTCTGGCTTAGAAAACTAGCTTGAGGGAAAACCGCTGCCAACGCAATGGAATAATTTCTAGCCAGAGTCCAGGACGTCTCGAGCCTGTTTTCAGACGGGGTTTTAGTTGGTATATCACCTGCAGGATGCATATGTACATGTACATGGATAGATAGAATTCATGTAGCCTTGGGCATCGAAGAAGAGAACCCGGGGCTTGTAGAGGGGATATATGCGGTTCCAACCAATGGTACGCATATGTATATCGTCAGCCCTGAATATCCAATGAACTTGCCCCTAGACCCCGACTTAGAGAAGAGCCAACGACCGAACAAAAGCTTTTACATCTGTCTCCAACGGCACCGAGGAGCTTTTTGAAAATATTAAAATAAAAAAAAACGTCTAAGGCAAGTATTAAGTTTAATTCCGATTCTATCAAAGCTACAATATCGTGATTTCGTTCAAGGATCGCGTATCATATTCTGATTCTGTAACATCGTTTATAAGGACTTTTTGTCAGTTTGTAAAGTAGCTTGTCATCCAATTAGGCTGAAGATATAGCTGAACCCCTGGTTATCATAATTTCAATTCAGTCCCCCGCAAGCAGGAGTGGCCGCAGCAGCAATTAATTCTGGTTTACGAGGTAAGGAGTGGCAGGTTATTAGACTACCGGTTGATTTGAACTTTAACTACTTTATTATAACATGCTCATCATCCTATTACACCGGCCTAAACGTACCATATGAAAACGCGATTCGTAAAGCATCTAGTTCGAAACAAAAATGCCTTTTGTCGGCGAGGTATATGTTTCTGGCTGGCGGGCAATCAGAAGCATTCCCTCAAGCTGATCTAAACCGTGGCTGGCGAGCTGGGTTTCAAACGATCAAGCGAGCTCAACTCTCCAAAACCTCAAGCTTGACGAAGATATCGTGTGTTTTACGGGACCGGCGATTTCCGTGCAAGCGCAGAGGCTGGGTCTTTTTTCGTGGGGCTGGTGGTCATTCGGGTTACTATAGGTTCGCGGGGTTAAATAAGTCGAAGCGGAATGAGTGGTAAATGTTGTATTTTGACTTGGCATTTGTTGTGGTGCGGAGGTGAGTTAATACAAACGGGATCATCTTGCGACTTTTGTCGGTCATGTTAACGCTAGCGCGCTACTATTTAGTTAAATGAATAGCCTGTTAGTACAGAGCTTTAATACCAGTCTGTCGCTCAAAGACTTCACAAGTAAGTATTCCTGCCTGGCCCGATGGTGATGTGAAACCGGGTTCTTGGGACTGCTTTGCCTGAGATGCATAGTAGGTGTTGGGTTGGACTGTATATTTTGCTGAAGTACTAGTCCCGATACATGCTGTATAATTTCGTTCGTGCTATATTATTCGCTAGCCTCGAGGGTGGGCGCAGGTGTGAAGAGTCGTCCTGCATATTTGCATATGGATGTATCCATAGTTGGTTGAAATGTTTTCCGGATTAGAGGCAGGCACATGTATGCATAGTACTCTCGTTGCCATCTCACCGAGTATCGGCTGAAGTTAAGCTTGAAAGTGTTATAATTTGAATGCTGCGCCTCGGGGCAAAATAAAAGAAGTTTATGGTACGTTTGAAATATGCTTCTAGCCTTGACTCAAAACGAAAAATAAATGGTGCGTGTGAACGAATGATGAAAAGTTAATGAGTGAGAAGGGGGTTTCGCCATCCTAATTAATGCTTGAAAGCGGGGTAAATCGAGGCTGGATGGGACGCCTCGTTTTTTCGTCCTGAGAAGGGCAATCGGGACGTCCCGCTTCAACACGCGGCTCCCGATTTTAATTTTCAGCTACTACCTTTTGTTGGATAGTTGGTCAATGTGCATATAGATGAAAGAAAGTAAGCTCGTATTCCTTTGTGGTTAGATTGGGTTTGCCTAATGCGAGAAAGAGAATTCTGATATGGTACGCGGAGATGCAAGTGTATCTAAGACGAGGAAGTTGCTCAGGCATAGTACAAATGTACTGGTTAGCATTATTTAAATTTACAATTTGATAATTAGCTACAAATATCGATGTATGTACATGACACTTTTGTCTAATTCGATCCCTGAGTATTATAATTAATAGCATTATGTCATAAAGTTCTGAATTAACTCGAGGAAACCGCGGCGCCATCGTATTGTCCACGAGAGTACGTTTCCGCTTTCCTCAGATATACACCATTATACTTAGACCTGCGAGCTATACTTTTCCCATCTCTTAAAAAATACCAAAGCCATCGGAATCATCCAAGTTTCTTTGCCCAAAGGGGAACACAGATAGGGGATCCAAATCCGCATCACTCTCCGGGCCCTCCAAATAATAAGGCTCTTTAGTTCCTGGAGCCAACTGTCTACGAGGTGGCTCAATGCTCCCGACTACATTGCGTCCGGACCCCGAGTATGAATCAAATTGACCCGGTCGGACATCGGAAAGTCCACCGCGTCTCTTTGGCGCGGGGAGATCCTCACCGATGTATCCGATTTGATCTCCTAGGAGATACATAGTCTTTCTCTTACCTCCAATCGTAACCTCAACCGGAGTTAGTGTAGGGGAGGATGGTACGTCCAAGTTAACTTCGCATTTGCAATCTAAATATAAACCCCCCATTCACCAAAAAAGTTAACAAATTAATACTTGAATCCACAAAAAGACCCGCGCATGCATGCGTGCAGTGGGATATCATATTCATTCCGATGGTGGGGTTTTCGCATAGTAGCGGGATAATTCCATACCTAAGAAAAATATACAAAAGTCCCTGGTAGAATCCGGACATACGGAATCCCCCTCAGTCTCGAGTACCAGCCCGGCTCCAGGGCGATACATGCATTTGCAACCTCGACACAAAATCGTGAATTGTGCGATCACGTCTAGGGCAGTACCGCGATCCGCTCCTAATATGAATGTGATTGGACCATTCCAGGGCACAAGCCTGTCGGCGTGGGCTACACTGCGAGCTTGGGCTTGGTCAAAGGCAACGCCTGGCTCATCGCAACGGATGGAAAAACTTCGGGAATAGTATGATGTCCAGACGGGTCTTGGTACTAGGTGCTTTGGGGTGGCTTGAATGGGCTCGGTTTTGGATGGGCCCTCGAGGTTGTGAACGACGTCGGCTTTGATGGTATCCTCTACGGGTACACCTATTATGCCGGGTATATTGAGAGATAAGATGAAGAGAATGAGGGAAGGGAAGAAAGCGTGTAATAAATTCATTTTGTGGAGAGAAATAAGGATTGGTCCATGAATTTTGAGTCTGTATTCTTAAGGTGTGATGCTACGGGTTAAACTGGTTATCCGTTTTTTCTTTCGAGCTTGAGCGCTTGGGTCGACCCGGGTCGTAGCTTTATTATATTAGCAAACTATTGTGTGGGAGGCTTTTACTACGGTGAGAATATCTACCATAAGTCTAGTGGGTGCTGTATATACGACAACTCCGGATCATGATCTCATGGACTATCCCCAACGGCTTGGGGGTTTCATAGGCTTAGAGTCTAAGGAATATTAAAATCTAATAGTTACAACACTGTGGAGCAAAAATCCAGCCATGAAATACTCCTATCCAGTTCCAATTATCTCGTATATGCGTACCGGCGTCGTCATCAACGTATGAACTATCGAGGACAGCATCTGGCATCCTAGTTTATGTTGTATGCATGCAGACGAAGCCTCAAAACCTTTTCACACTCGTTGGAGGAGAATATCTGAAACTTGGTCGCTTTGTTGAGACCCCAGATACTGGGCTTAAAAATCCTGGCATGCTTGAGTGACTTTATCATTCCGGGATTATTCAGCCTGAGGCAGGTGATAATACACCTGAAGATCTGAAATTTACAACATTTACACCGTGTTGTACCCGAGCTTTGGTGTAGTCACGATTGTGCGCATACGAGTTCTTCTTCTTCTATTTATCCTTATTTAACAGATTCTTTTCAAATTTCGGGGCTCTCTAACTTTCTGCGGAAGTGTAGGAGATCGAAATATAATGTCGTGATATAACTCAAGTTTTTGGTCTCCTTTTTTGAAAAGTCAACCACTCCTTGAAATTGTGACGAATGTAGCAGCTAGGGTACCCCGCAGATGGTAACATGCCGGTTCTGGATCACATTTTTTAATTCGATATAACTATGTTGGCTTATTTACCCTCTATTAGCTCACACGTATGGGTTCAACAATTCAGGAGGTGGCACGTTCTGATGTCGAGAAGATATGGCTGTCCATAAGAGCTAACTTCATTATTTATATGCCTGTCGACTATATATAGCGCTAAGGTTTACTTGAGTTCTTTTTTGAAACACCCAACGAAGAGTGATTTGCTTGGATAGTATTCGAGAATCTAAGACACACAGAAGTTTATCAAGGAGGTACCGCAGAGGAGACCCCTCAGTGACGGGAAAGCGTGGCGGAGTATACTATTCGAGGTTGGAGTTGGTGATTGGACATGAAGAAAGGTTGGTTGGAGCGACATGTGCATGCCGGCGGCATATGGGCGAATGTTTGTGGAACCCTGAGAGAAGGAAAGAGCGGTTCGATATTACCGCGACGGACCTTTACCGCTACACACTAGTTTTTGAATAGTATAACATTTTGTGCCTGTTGGTCGTTGCATGGTTGGCACTTTCATTCGGTATTGCATAGGAAACGCAGGGTAGGCAACGTAGCTGTGCACTGTGATGTCTTGGTATGTACCGTATGGCCGGATAGTTCGACTGGGGTATCTCATTTGGCTAGGATTATCTTACGTACGACGTTAGACATCGCGGCTATGCTCCGACCGCCAATTGATAAGCCGCTTGCTCATATCTGATGATCAGATCGCCCTACTAGTCTACTTGGCGACCAAAGAACCGAGTCTGGGTGAGATCTGGGCGCTTTAATTCCCAAAGCCGTGGTTCTTGAATATCTAAGCCAAGGGAGTTAATGTGAAACTATACGCGATATCGATAAGAGGTGGGGCGAGGGCGAGGATTCATTCAGACTAGTTGGCCCTGGTACGATACTGCCTACAAATTAAGTAAGTTTCAGATGCAGCACCGTCTCCAAGATTCCGCATAAGTTATATCGATACCCATGGCCACTATGCTCTTCAGCTTGGGATTTTCTTTGCATATCCGATAGTTACATTCACATTACATTGCATCAATTTGATACGTCACCATACCACCGACCACCCTGCACTCTTGGCAACGATACCGTTGAAACTAAATCTCAGACATTTTTTTCCTCCAATGGTTTCTCTGGATCTCACGATAACCGCGCCAATCGGCACGATTTCATTTGTTCGATTCCATGCATCTACCCTCCAATCGTAACGTTGAATTCAACGCTAGGAAATCAAAATCCAACATCCTTTTTTTTTCGGTGTTTAGATTTGAGGCAGTGTTGAGACGGTGACAAAATTTCCATCCTGGGAGTTGTGTGATACCGTTGATTTTTGTGTGCGGCGGAGTCTTGGGTAGATGCAAGACAACCGAGATTTTGTGGTAGACTACGAATATTGAGCGTGGCATTACCTGTACAAGGCTGAAATTGTATCTTTAGCCAGCCGCGGGAATCGAAAGTCCTAATTTCGAGCACCCGAAATTCAAAATGACAACAGAATGGTATAGCCTCCGCTTTAGGTATTCCGCACGACTTCTAGCTTCTGATTCAAACAGCTGAACATGAAAACTGTTGAACAGTTGTAATGCGTGACGGGTTGTATCTCTAAGTAGTCAGTTCATTACGGGCGGCTATGTCGGAACTTAATATGCCATGGCCCGATCTAGGCATCTCTCTCTTGAAAACATCAATATGGTGTGGGTGGCAATTATGTATTGCCAGCGCATAGCTAGTAGCATGCAGGATCCTATCGCATAGCTAGGCTAACGTAGCTGCCAGCGGTATAACATCACAGCGGTCACTGCCAGCGTGTGTTATGAGTAAACAGGATCGACTGCAAGGGTCGGGTTGTATGTCCTTTTACAAGTCGTTGAGCCCTGCATTCTCTCGTAGCTAATTGATATGTGAACGGAGAGTACGCTTTTCTAACGTCGATGCTATGTTCTATATACCTATAACTCTCACCATGGCCTTGAGTATGAATATATGTCAAAGGTCGGACTTGAACTTTGGTTTTTTTTCTCCGGTGTAGGCCTTGGATACTTATTAACAAAGTCAAGACAAATATTCGCACTGGAGGCTAATACAGAAATACAAGTACATGTATGTGTGTACGCGTATACGTACGTATGAACATAACATTAAAGAACTCTAGCACCTGCGTATCTCGACAATAAACTCTAGTGCTGTAACCAATCTCTCGCCTCGATTCTGTGCTACAGAACTATTAAGGTATGCTATAGCGAAAAAGTACCCGAACGCATCTTATTCCGCTTCTGTTTCTGCCTTCAACAATATTGTTGGACGGCACGGCTCATGCGGGTCCGTTCTCGATTTTTGATTCGTACGTCCAAATTTGCAAAATGCCAACACATGGTGCATTCGGATGCAGGATCTGACATATTCATACCTGCCACGACGTTAGGAGCCTAGGATTCGAACCGCCTCATCTCCCAAAATCTGTATGTAGAGATGATGGCGGGGCGTAGGGTATTCGGGTTTTTGGCGAGGACCCATTCCTGCGGTGCGGGATCTGAAGATGTTGAGGAAGTATCTTCTCAGGAGCCGCCTGGCTGTATCGTCACTGTCAACCTCGTCGGTACCGTAAATACATTTCCACATGTACCGTATCGCAGAATAGATATTTTAAGCCCCAGGTGCTAGAGTCGTTTCACGCAGTATATAATTAAGGCCGTATTCTCCCTAAGCTTACCCCCAGGCCTTCTGCTCCAAGATATCTATCGACCGCCCCCCCTTTGATTCTTCTAAAAATTTGAAAGATCATATCGATTGGTGAGAGCCAACCGTAGGAAGCGAATGCCTCTGGCCTGCGTCGCTTAGATCCAGGCCTTGCAGTTTTCATAGTTGAACAGTATATGTTTACTGCAAACGTCATTCCTTCAGCCCTTCAGCCCTTCAGCCAACCGTGCCAATCAGGATCCGTCGTACTGTACTTCAGCCCTAGGCCTAGTCAGCATGTCTAAACTCCTGGAATTGTTTATTTCGGAAGTTACTTTTCCTTCTTCTTTTAAGATGTTTTTTGCTTTGAGAGTATCGCAACTCTGCAGAATCTGTTTGACTTTCGCTCTGGTAAAGGATAAGGTAGGATATACCCCCCCATTTATTTGCTGTTATATTTTAATAAATATGCTAACTGCCGAATCAATCATCTGATGCTAACCCTATCATGAAGAAACAATTCTTTCTTCTCATCTTCTTCGAAAATGTGATTTCGACAGTTACGGAGCTTGTGTTGGCGTGCAATAAGCACGCTAATGGTAAACCTCACGAATGCGAATGCCCTAGCACGCCCGCAAAACCTGACAGGGAATGTATGGACCCGCCGACTTCAAGGTATGCCCTACGACTCTTATTTAAATCTTGAAATCACATCTCATGGCAAAAAGTCTGGAAAATAGAAATTTCAGCGTACACCCTCCAGTCCGCAGGAGTTCCGCCCAAAACTCCACCGCCCGAAGTGTTTCCACCAAATCCAGGAAATCACGCTCACGTTTGTCATCCAAAAGGTCCTTTCCACCATTTCTCGGCTCACGGACGGACTCTCGAATTTCGGCCGCAGGTCCACTAGAACGATTCCTTAGCCTTCAGGATTTCCAGCGACAAGCGGATATTGGAAGGCTAATTGGCGAAGAATTACTTCGCGACGATTGGGAAAAGGAACTGTTAATGGAGCCGGGGCATAACAGAATAGGCATGAAAATTCGGAAGCCGAATTCGAGGCAGGCTAAGTGTGGATCCGAGACGAGTTCGAGGCGCACTTATGTGTCTTCGTATACTATTTGATACTCACGGCTTGTACATGTGGCCTTTATTAGGGGGGGGTTAAGCAGCGCAGAGAACTGGATGCGAACTACACAGTATGACACAATAACTGGGGTCGATAGAGGCGTTATGGTAGGAACGAAAATGACTTTTGTAAAGTAGTGTATGATATAATTAGGCTAAATGTTTCTCGAGGGTTTTTTTTTTGGTGTACCAAGCAAGATTAAACAAGGCGCAAGAGAGGGGTACGAAAATGAAAATGGCAGCCCTTTTGGCGAAAAACCGTCAGCTTTTGAGAAAGATAAAATTCTAAAAAAAATCTTGATCTATCTATTTCCAAGTATTAAATGATAAGCCCAATATAAAAGACGAGACCCATGATAACCGCTTTCTATCTACCGCTGAAATAAATCTAACTAGCGAGATTAAGTCCGTAAGCCGCCATAACATGGTCCAGTACCCCAAACCTTTCCAGATGCTGCGCCACCCCGGTTGAAGATCTGCCTGCCCAATGGACAATTAGGCGTTCGGCAAGTACCCGTGGAGTTTTTAGAATACCGCAAAATACAATCTTTGCTCGCATTTCGGTATTCATAACTGTTACAACCATTTGATGCAAAACAACGGTTACAACAATCCTTGAAATCTTTAACTTTAACAGGCGCGGCGTTTACGAGGTTGGCTGTGGCTGGTTGGGTGTTAATAGTAAGAGGGGCGGTACAAGAGGCGGCGAAAGTTAGTCGCACGGTTCGAGTGGATGCTATGGTGGTCGTGGAGGTTCGCCAGACAGTGATCGAGGTAGTTCTGACAGTTGTTCGAAGTGAAAGAGTTTGGACTGTCCTGGTTGTCGTAACACGGGTACTTGTAGTCGTTAACGTCCTTCTGGATGTGACTACGGAAGTGATTGTTGCATTAGGGGAGAGGATGGACGTCAATAGAATCGTGTATACACCAGTCTGCCGCGTGGTGGTAAGAAAGCATGCTATTCAGATAGTTAATATTAAACTTATAATTAGTTTCGGATAGTCGATGACGGGGGATACTGACAGCAAGACTCCGGAAAGCCACCGGCCGCTTGACGAACGTCAAGAGCCCTTCGAGCCACGCATGTCTGAGAAGGCAATCTAGTAGTAGTTGAGACAGTAGCGGTGCTATTGAATCGCATTATCAGTTGGGTTTGGTCATTTTACCGTGTACTATATGCGCGCAGACTTAGGTTGACTTACACCGTCCTTGTTGTCCTTCTCCAACTGGTGGATGAAATAATACGCGTGGAAATTCTAGTGACTACACTGGTTCTCGTAATGATACCAACAGTCGGTTTCGTGACCCAGATAGTCCTCGTCGTAGGGATTATTGTGGTTGTAACTTTGGTATTAGTATATCTGGTCGTCGTGGTCTGAACAATTGTGCTGGTGGGTGAAGTGCAAGGAGTGCGAGAAATTCCGCTTTTTGCTACATGTATGATCGTCGAGGTTAGTTCGCGCTAGAGAGTATGGTACCGGTTTTGATACCGGCGGGGCGATGTATCATCCGATGCATCTTCAGCGCGCAGTGGGCTTACTAATTAACGAGAGACAGGACGAGGTTGCCCCAGGGGAAAGCCATAGGCAAAACGGTTGGTTCAAAACACAGTGCTCTTTCCCACCGAGAACGACTGTTGAAAGAGCGAGTAACGCAAAAGTGTAAATAGTCGAGAACAACATCATTATTATTATTATTTTATAAACGAGAGTCTGAATGTATAAATGAAGAGGACTATAGACTGACGAGGGGATCGTCCACCACTTGCCTTTTAGGAATAAAAGCCGGGGAGAAATCGAAGAATAACACTCCGGGACATTACGTGGGTCTTATAAGAACCCCTTATCTTGGGATTTTGCGGCTGATCGAATTCAGCTGAGGCCCCTGCATTGCCAGCAGGCCGACGCAATTCCGGATTAGATTTGGTGGCGTTCTAGAAGGGAAAAAACCGTGCAAAGCCCGCCAATTAGCCAAGTTCCGAACTGCGCTATCCAATCGGGAGACCCTGTTCAGGGACAAAATACACCTTGGCATGGAATTGGCAAAAACGCAAACGAAATTGCAGTTGCTCCCTGCATTGTAACCCTTCGAATTCTCACTATCGAGGGCTGCTGGTTCGCTGGTTTGATTCCCAACCGTTCGAAAACGGAACAGTTCCACAACGCAAATTATGTGTGGAAATTGTTGGCCTGAGAATCGCCTGACCCTGTGTAACGTACTTTTGTGATACGATCTGCACCCCTTCGCTGAATTGCTATCGCTATCATACCTCCCTTGACCCTTTTCAATCACGATTGCATTGCATGCTACCATGGCCATGCTCATATCTGTTAAAACTCCCAATAGCTTTTTAGGGGGATTTAATTTCTTTCTTTGAATAATAGTACTAATAATATAAATGTAATTTTTTTTGACTGGGTTCAACTGTACGACCATAAACTGGAGTGCGGCCCGCAGAGACTGGATCATACATATGCATATATGCTTACAGACATAATTATTGCAAGGCTGAGAGAGTAGGTATCAAAAAATCTTTAGTCTGCTTGGTACATTCAGGACCTTGATCAGCCTGAGTGGTTGGGGATTTTGGCTTACAAATTCAGATTTGGACACTATAGTTGGACCTGAACTGACTATCTGAAGTCGAAAAACTTGTCTACATCGCCAGTATAGCCGCCAGGCTGGTAACCCAAGAACGGTGAAATATCTTGAACCGGGGGCTGGTGATTGTTATTAATCTGTGGTATACCCCCTGGTGGCTGAACCCCAGCTTGTACTGGATACTCCCGCTCAGGATTCCCCTCCTCCTCAAATACCGTCATCGGGCTTTCCTGAACTGATCTTAGCCTTCCACTAAGTTCTGAATCTCCTCTGTTCATGTCAATTTCTTGTATTTGACCAAAACTATCACCTACTTCCTCTTCGAGTTCACGAGCATCTCTATCCCGACCTAATTCTGCATCCTCCTTTTCAGGATCAATAAAAAACCCTTGAGAAAGAAGAACTCCACGGGGTCTAACTTGATCAACTCTAGCCAATGGGATGTAAGTACCCGCCCTCTGTATTGCCCGATTTCGAGCCTGGGCTCTTAATACCTGTTCTACCGCAGTAAAGTGTCCTGGTTCGTATAGCGGCACATAGTTTCCTGCGGGCCGTTGTCGAACGAGGACACCTTCCGGGCGGCGTTCAATGTTAGGGTTCGGCCTAACGGGAGAGTTTTGGGAGTTCAGGTTTGGCCTGGCGGGGGGGTTTTGAGAGTTCGGGTTGAGTCTCTGGGGAGAACTTTGAGGGTTGAGGTTGAGCCTTTGGGGAGAACCTTGAGGATTCGGATTCAGGTTCTGACCTGGGTTCGGGTTCGGCGGAGGCTCTTCTTCCATTGGCCATCGTTGCGGGGTAAATTCAATGACCATATCATATAGGTTCCTCTTATCTTCACCGCCTCGGCGCCCCGCCCAGGCGGCATCACCCGAGCAGTTTTCTATGCTCTCGGTCTCGAATTCAAAGTCGTTCGCGTCCGAAGTTTGGTATCCACTATCCTCCCAATCGCTACTTTCGTCGTCGTCGTCCTCGTCATCGGAGCTATGCGGTGACGGGGGATACAAATCATTTGCTCCCCAATACCCCCGTCTCCTATTCGCAATGTCCTCCCAGTCATATTCATAATCTTGCACACTTACGGCACTGTGGATGTCCAACCACTCGTAAGGCGGCATTGATGACCGCATAAGCTTCTGCCCTGGTTGCGTCATATACTCTGTATAAAGGTTCCATTCTGGGCTAATCGTACTTAAAGCTTTCCAATGCGTGATGAAGCCACCAGGAGGAGGTACGACCACTTGTTGCGTGTTTGCCTCAGGGAAGAACGATACTATCGATTTAAGATTCGCCTCAGTACAGGCTGTGGTGAAAGGATCGCTACTTCGATAGAGGGCAATGACACGAGGATGAACATTGGTTTTGCGAATTAGAAAGTATGATACCACACCGTGCTCGGTCGGCGGAACGTCGTTACAGGCGTATGGATTTTCTGCGGTTTCATAGTTAATGGGGGGTCTCAGAAAATGCTCGAGGACCGCTACTTCGAAAAGAGCTGAAACCTGAAAGGGAGAGAAGGTAAGAAAGATCAGTAAAAATGGGATTAGAACCATCCCGAAAATTTCTCAACTACCAAATACACTTAGTAGTATGTTTTAATAGCGAAATCAACATCTGATTTCTTGAGTTCCAGGATTCCATGCGGCTACTGATCGACTTTCACAGCTGGTGCCACTAACAACACAAAAATGTACGCATGGGCTGACGATACTGTCTCATACTAGAGCGTGATGTTCACATGTTTTTGTCGGGCCGTCTTGAGAGTAAGAGTGGTTGCGATAAAATACCGTAAATATGCTCATCATTTGTTATGGGAATAGAAAATCTTGATAGAAAGTAGTATACTAATTACAAAAAATTTAGGATATACATGTAAAATGTAGATTTTAAGGTAGAGAAAGACAGAAAGGGTGTAATTGGTAGGATATTAAGAGTGATACTAGTACAAGTCTAAAGGCATAAAGTTTGTAGAGGCCGTGGACAAATGCAGTCTATGTAACTTAGTAGAAGGGTTGAATGTCTTGGGGAAGCAATCTGGTTTCGATACAAATGAAAGTCTATAGGGCTCCATAGAGCGGGGTGTAGACAATAGGGATAACCGGTGTCTGAGAAAGGAACTTCCGATATGCAATTATGTGCAGGTCCAATGTTGCATATTCGCGGTTCGATTTGAATGTGAAGTGCTTTAAGGTCGGATGTCTGACAAGCCGAACACTGTGGCCGATAGGCTGGGCGCTTGTCACAGGTTGTATGGCGAAATTTAAAGGCCGAGGGATTGTAGTTGCGAAACAGTCTCTGCAGTGAAGTCGTTTGCTGCCTCTTTGACCTGAAGGGATAGGAGTAAGTACTACTGTTTTTTTTATAGAGTTCTAAAGGATGTGTAAACTTACTACCAGCCAGTCTGCCGCGGTAGAATTTAGAGTATCTCTAAATAAAATGTCGGAAAAGAACCTCGGGATGGCATTTTGATCGATATCTCCCGTTGTGGACACAAACTGACTTCGCATGTTCGAAAATGCCGACGAGATTCGGGCGAATCCTTCTATTGCAACACTTAGCTGGGCTAAAGCATTGTTGATGTACCTGAGGATGTGGCTAGATTGAGCACTGATTGCCTTTAGATCGTCAATCATGTCCCAGCAGTTAGCCCAGGCGGATGCCCTTGCCATTGAATCGATGACGGCGTTATAGTGATCCCAATAGGTAGTCTCAGATTTATCACCCCGATCCATCCTCCTTTGTAAATCATTTACTTTCTTCTCAGCTGCGTCAAGATTAGACTTCATTCGATTGAAAGTGGCGTCAATGTCAGCTTGTGCAGCGAAAAGGCAGTTTGAAGCGGCGGTGACCAATTCATTGTCGTCGATCGTCCCGGCTTGAAACTATGTACGTTGCGAATCTAATGTTAGCGAAGTTTCTCGTGGAGTATGGATCAATTAACAAAGGAAAGAAAGCCCTCCTTTTACATTCGTAAATCTGAATGTTTAAGGAGTTGGCCAGGTTTGTTAAATCCGGGTTGACATACCGAAAGAAGGCCACTATGCATTCCCGTAGAATTCTGAGACATGGCTAATGTGGCGCTGATTATTCCGTCGAGGAGTTGCTTTAGCATTTGAAGCTTTTCACGGCGTTCCGGGGAACCCCTCGGCAAACCATGCATCTCGTCTAGGGTTTTCGCGAGCATAGAGTATATGATTCTGGCGACTTCTGCATATTGTGTTACTCGAGTTCCATATTCCACGAATTTTTGAACGGTATTCCGGTGGTAGAATTTAGTGTTTCTGCGCATCGAGACATGTGCGTCGCATGACATCTAACGATTATTTTAAAATACATTAGCTACTAAGAACCATACGTACGTACAGAAGTCTAGAAGATTTTTCTAATGACATACAGCGTAGAAGTCTCCATGCCTGAGGATAACATCTCTCATCGAATTGTAGAATTTTTCCTTGTCATATTTGGTATAGAAGTCATTTTCAGTTGCTGGTAGACTTTTGCCCATGGCGACATAACTGTTGAGAGATCCAAAATTTGTCTCATCGAGAATAAATCTATTTAAAATGCAAAGGCAGAATGACGTCAGCGTAAGTTTTCCTGTAATAATCCAATCATACATACTTTGCATTATTGACAAGGAATGAATTCGGCGATTGACTAATTTCGTCAAGCAAGGAACCACTAAACTGTCGGGCTCCGGTCCTGCCAGCGGGCATGGCAAACACGGAGCTTATAAGCCCTCCCATAGAGAGAACCCTGACCCCGACGTCAAGCCTCATTTCGGAATCCTGTGATTGATCCATTAATACGACCGGTTGAAACTCAAACTATACAGAGGTATTTGACAAAATCAAGGTACTGATAATAATGATGATTGGGGAGGTCGCAATGTAGAAATCAAGTAGCGCGATGATCCCTATTTCCTTGGTAACCTTACATTGAGGCTTATTATGAACTAAACTTTATCATGAAATGCGCCGATGTCGATGGATATATATTTTTCGGGTTAGGGTAACCATTAGGCCGACTTGGCTTAATCCAGTAAAAATATCTCACATACCATTTCTAGACGGACCCGAAAACAGATTGATCACACTGAGGGATATGATTACGGATGCCCTGTTTAGAAGCTCCTATAGTCTAAAATTCTTTACACATTTTTTTTCAGGAATACTCAACTGCACGCGGTTGTGGCTGTCATGAGCATTGGCTTCCATGTGTCACATAGGTGGCGCCGCGTCCGATCGTTTTGTGCGCCTTGCTCTCTACGGACATTTAAAACGTCCATCACGCAGCGGCCAATAGGACATCCGCATTCCAGGAGTGTTTCTCCCTTAACAATGCCTTAATTTTTCCGATATGGCAGCTCTAGACGGCGTAGTCCCTTCAATAATCAGCAGCAGGGTATAATAAAACAGCTTACTATAGCATTGAGAATCGCCATCAGCCCTACTGCCAAGCTTCGTGCGGTCTGGGAGCTACCGGTTCAAGGGTCCTGCGGTTGTAACCGTTGAAGGCGGCCTAGACTCGTCAAATTGTCGCAGCTTGCTAAATTTAAACGGCACCAATAGGCAATAAGCCCTTCTTGTGTCCATTTGATTCCTGCGCAGCTGCAGATTCGTTTTTTTGATTCCTCAAGGGGTCTACGTTCCTTTCGTAGACGATTCGGTGCACAATGAAAAGCTCCTGACCCAATGTTCATATTCACGAATTCGGCTTCGAGTGGAAGCACTAGTAGCTGCATTGGGCTGGAACTTACGCCTGCAGCTAAAGCATGAAATGGTCTGGTAGATTACCTGGTTTTTTGGAGCAGGGCCTGATGTCAACAGCACTTCAGATACAGGTGGAAAGATCTTTTACCCTTTTTCTTTCGTCGACAGAATAAAGATCTACATGCAGGACCGGAGAGTAAGGTCCGCATTGCATGACAGCATGCACAAGCCGGCGCCACGCCAGTATCGCTTGGCATTAAGTTACAACAGGGACACCTGTGTTGGAACGGTCTCGCATTGACGGTCTCATGAGATTGACTGGATCGGGGCACTCGCAAAACAGCACTAAAATTGGTCACCGCCACCAATCAGAATCTTCCCATTTACATGCGATTTCTGTCGATTTCGCAGACGCCTTATGGAATTTGCCGATTTTTTATTTTTTATTCGATGGTTGTGTTGGATCCATGGAGGGAGGCCTGATTCATCCTAGGAAGGCAACCGCATGCGTCGCTGCTGCCAAGGATCGTGTGTACCACCTTCTCCATGAGATCAAGGCTAATTACTATGCCTAGTGATAATTTTTAAAGTTGAATCCTATCGTAATCACGCCAACTGACAGGTTAGCCGATCCGCCTGACGCAGCTACTTGGAGCTCGGGTTCCAGCTTCATAATCAGACAAACAGCGGCTCGGATCTTAAGCTTATTATACTTAAACATTGTTCCTGATCCGACTCAGATTTTTAAAGTTAGGCGAGATTGAATGCTATTATCCAATTTTTGTGTGTATCGATATTACGACATTGGAAGACTCTAAGACTTGTCTGTGAGCTCATTTAAAGTCGATCAGGTCTGGACTTAATATCTTACCACATGTATAAGCAGGGTTGCAGTCAGAACTCCCAGATTTTGTTGAAAAGTTATCTTAATTTCCGTATTTTATGCAAAAAAAAAAAAAAGGGGGTCGATTTTATATAGTCTTGGGGTGGGGTATGGTTCAGCACCTTGCGTGATATGACTTCCGGATCTATAGATTTGATAGCGGATCCTGGCCCTTAGCTAGCGATAGTGGTCTTAAGTGTCGAGCTCGCGACCTGTTGGCGAGAACTTGCCTGATTAGTGAGACATGGCGTCGAAAAGAAAGCCCAGGCCTACATATCTGGAAGCTAGTTTATCCCGCGACCGAACATGATTTCCCAACGAGTTCATAGTCACTATTTAGTGAACTAGAGCCCTTCTTTGACAAAGCACATGCAATTTTTGCTTCTGGCTTCGAATCTAATAACTCATTATGATATCACAGCCTCGGTCCTCGGTTTTTGAGCTATATTGTGGAAATAATTCCATGTATGTTTTGATCTAGCTTTGATAGCACAACTAATATACAATGACAAGGAAGCTTGCAGCGAACGTAAAATATAACCTTAAACAGTAAGTTAAACCAAATAGTGTACATGATGTAGCCTAAGTCCGCATGTTAAACTCCAGGGTAGTATTAGGTGGCTACTTATATATATATCTATGATCGGTTGGGAAAGTAAAGAAATCTTGGACTAGGAATTTTCGCTCTAGAGGCCTATAAAATTATTGAAATTTAATCAAAGAAGAGAAAGGTGCCAAGTGCCCATAATGGCACGCCTAAGAAGCTTTGATCCACCAGTAAGGGTGTCCAGAACAGCCTGTGCGTTTTCTTCATGCAAGCGAATGGCTTCTTTCTCAGAAACGATTTTGATGGCAGCAGTACCCTTGAAAGCAGCAGCTTCCGTGTATATATCATCCCAATGCTCAGCAGTAGCGTTGAGAGACATCCTAAAGCTGGAGTCAGAAAACCATTTAGCGTCGATAGTCTCTGGATTGGTTGAATCCGCCTCAGACTCGAGTTCGACCATAATAGCGGTAATGGAGGCAGACATGCGGGAAAAGGCATCGGAAGCGTTTCCAAGAAGACCGACAGCAGAATCAATATAGTCCAAAACACTGTCTGTCTGCAGCTGAAGAAGTTGGAGGTCATCGGTCACATGGATGAAAGTCTGCAGCATTGCTTGGGAGTTACTGAGGTCGATGATAGCCTGGTTCTTGCGATTGGTGGCGGCTTCCATTTCCTTCCTCCACTTCTTGCTGAGACCTAGATAGACGGCGGTACCGATCGGCCACACCCAAGAGTAACCGGCTCTGCCGACCCTGATGTTTTTGGCTGCAGCCTCATAATCTTCGTTTGCTGCGTTAATCTCACCCTTAAGTCTCGTGATTTCCGCATTCATATTTTGAACTCTCTGATAAACATTTTGGTTGGTGGTATTCAAGAGCCTATCGACTTGGTTCAGGTTGCCCATATCGGTAATGGTCTCAGCTCGGAAAGCGTTTATATTTCCCAATAGAACCAGGGATTGGTTTTGAGCAATGCCCATTTGGTCGTGAAGTCGTTCGACATAGTTGTAGACGTCAATCAAAGAATCAAGCCAAACGGGATTGCTAGAACGTTGATTACGTGGGATACCAGCCATTACGTCGAGTAGATGGGAAATTTCTCTGTATATCTTTCCGGCATTACGACCAAAGAGACTGATATTTTCCGCAAAGAAGGTCATCTGGCCAATCGTATTTGTCCAGAAGTTATTGCAATGCTTGTTGATACCCACAAAAGTTGTTTGAGTGAGGCTATAGACCCCGCTATTGCTAACAGCTTGTTCGAATTGGGCTTTATTGTAGGTGTTCTCGAATATTTCATTGGAAGAAGCTAGCTGCATCCCGTTGTAGACATATTGCTGTAAGGAATAGTATGCCGGGTTGCTGAACAAGAAAGAAGCTTCTGGATTGGCGAGATCTGGTTTTGCTGCGCCAAAGACGAGAGGAGTTTCAAGAATCCCGGCAGCAAGGGTGTTATTTTCCTGTCGGGGCCAGACAGTAAACCTGCTGTCTGGAACCGCTGCTGTATATGCGGTGGAGGCAATGGCTAGGACAGCCACAAACTTGCTGAAGATCGCCATAGTGAACAAGAAAATTTCTTTAATCTCGATTTGCTAGATCTGAGCCAGTGGGTAGCGAGTGTAATAGAAAACGACCAAAAAAGAGTGAAAAAGTTAGGTTAGGGAATGGCTAGTAAAAAGAAAGGAATGTAGAACTAAGCTCAAACTCTCAAACTCACTATCGATTAACATCGATACCGTGAATGCAATGATGGAGAAAAATAATCCAGTATTCTGGGGCGAACGAATGAAGTTTATATCCCATACGGCATGAAGCCGGCAATGAACTTCAAGATATCGCTATCCTATACTCCATATCGCCAAACGATATGGCGTTGACGGCGCAGCCTCTTGGGATAAAGTCTTGGCATGATCTTTGTTTTCTAGCTAGCCAGGTTTGTCAATTACCGGGAGAAATTACGATTCTCGTGAGATTCGGACCTGCCAAGCATTATCAATCGGGGTCTATTTGAGCAAAAGGTTTCTACAATGCCAATTTCTGAGCATTCGGTAACGTAGTTCACGATTATGGCCTAGAAAGGAATTCGCTACTCAAGGGGTAGGAGCTTATCTAGATCTGAAACGATAAGCCCCTCGTCAGAAATACAACAAACTAGGCTACATTTCAACTTCGACTCATAGATAAATACAAAATATTGCCTTCGTAAATTCGTGATCGAGGTAGATCTACACGGGTTTCTATGCTATTGTTAGTGATATAGAGAGCTAACGGGGCTCAGGATTCTTCGAGTTCCAAGGATTCCCCATGATGGTTAGCATTACTGTCGCAGCCGAGACTCATTTTATTCCTTTATGTAACGTTGTATATCTCCCCTACCCCGATAACCTACACGAAATGGAGAATGGTCGAGATCTTCGTTGCGCATGTATAGCCATTACCATGTGGTCTGTGCAACATGCCTTAAGTGGCGCGATGGGGACCCACTCAAAGCTTTGGTTAAGATGAGACAGTGAAGAATCTATCGAGAAAGCGGCATGTACCCTTGCACATCAACTGCTAACGCCATTTTTAGCTCTTTGACATCCCGAGAGCATGAAACGTGAAATTTCGAAATTGGCGCCATGGATGGAGAGTTGATCAAGGGCAAGAAAGCTAAGCATACTTGCATGAATATTGGCGTTCTAGCCATCAGAAAATTACTCTAATAGCTACCTTCCTTGTCAAATTCGTATACGTCTCGTGATATAGATGCCTAATGCGTCTTTTGTTGTGGAATGGTAGTATTCTTGTCATCCCATTGAAGACGTTGTTGGGATGTTGGGATGTCGGAAATTATACGTAGATGGTAGACAATGCTTAATCGAAATCATAACCCTGCTGAGTTTGATTTTCGGTTTCTTGAGAATTGGTAACCAAACTTCTTAGGGAAAGTATAATTGTAAGTCATGTAGTCCGTGAGCCGATACTATTGCAATTGTATCATATCGCATAATGGGCAGTAGAATATATTCGAGTGGCCTCGAAACGATAAACATAGCTTAAGTTTTGTGTTGTCATTGGTTACACCAAAAGTCTTACTGCTATATCGATATGATATATGACATATGACAGTGAGGTCGGGATTGAGACACTTGATCTTCACAAGTTGCTTGGAAAATCAAAAGGAGAAAAATAAAATAAAAAATGAAAGCGGCGATAGGTCCCCATTTTTCTTGACAGACTTGGACTTTATGCCCGAACCATTTTATCTGTTGCATCTGTCGTTCTGATCCCCGTTTTGAACTGTCGCCTGGCATGCCAAGATTATGCGATACTTGTTCTCGCCTGGATGCCCGAATCTCGAAATGATCATCCTCATCCAAACTGCAACAAAGGTTGAGGCAGCGAACTTCGAAATGATCCTTGTGAGGCATGAGAAAAGGGACGGGTTCAACTGGGTCGGTTCCACCAAACTCAATTTGGTACCTGCATCTGCCATTATTCGTAAGCATTTTTTAACTTCACATTTTGGCCAATTAGAATATGTGCGATAGGTGTAGCATTGGCAGTACCTGGAGTCGTTCGTTCAATTTTGAGATATTTAATTTACTGAAACTCTACTCAACGTCTAGCGCGATGCTCGCCGTTTTGCTTGGAATATGTCAGGGATACTATTAAAATGCGGGTCATCGAAAACGCCAGGTGCCTAGAATCCCTTGGCTCCTTGCCCCGTACGTTTTATTGTGGCGAATTCGAGTTTCCTATCGTGATAGACTTTAGCATGATTCGTCTACCAATATTTTATAGAGATGAATTTGCAAAGTCCGGCTGATCCCAAGCAAATTCAAGATTGGGGATCTTAGAAGAGAGATATTTCCCGACGCTGGGTCCGATTTATGCATTAGAAAGCCACCAAAAAGAGTGCTGGTTGTACTAATATTGACATGAAGGCTAGATTTCTGTTATTCATCTGATCACAATCTTCATTTTTCACCAATCGGTAGCATCCGAAGTATCTTCCTTCTTCCCCACAGCCCCCAGCGAACGCAACCTGGAAGCCACCTAGCAGGTTATTTCGGGCGAAGGTGCTAAGAAAGGACTCGCTAATAACAAAAGAAAAAAAAAGGAATCTACAGTCCTCTAGGAACTTTGCTACGCCTTCAATAAATTTATCTCTTGCGCTCTCTGGAAAGAGTTGCACCCTCCTGCGATACATTACCTTATCATCTGATATAAATTCGACAGGGTCTCCACACTCGATAGTTCCATCGCAATAAGTCGAGGATTGAAGCTATTGATTGTGAAAGATACTTTCTCGTTTCCTTCGTTTCCCAATTGTTTTACTTTACACCGCGCTCTTTTCCTCCAGTTGTCTTTACCAGTCATTCTTTTTACAAGTCTACAAATAAACTTACACTAATCTTAATACGGCTTTGCAAAATCTTGGTACATCCAGCTATGGTAAAGTTTTCAAAGCTTGGATATCTTGTCGCAGCCGCGGCAACAGTCTTCCCATCAGTCTTCGCTGCCCCTCTTACATCTCCCAAGGAGTTAGCCACTCTTCACAGGCGTGAGAACGACCCCGCTCTAGTCGAGAGGTATGACACCATCCTGAGCAATGTCGAACTCAATGAATACGCCAAAACCCTCTACGAGAACTTTCGTAGCAAAGATTCTAAGAGAATCTTCTTACGCAAGCCATATCTCGACCTCGCAGATGCTATCGAATTAGTCAGCCTTAGACTTGGCACAAACTCTGCGGAGATATATCTCTATGCCGATCTTTTACAATTCGAGGGGAATAAAGCTATTGAGATGCCGCAGCGTACGACGCTTTATCTCTTTGCCCGTGAGGTTTCTGCTATTGCATCGAAGCCTGGGCCTTTGGTCATTAAGTATACGCAATCGGTTGTAGTATTCTTTGCGACTCCAGGTTTGGATGAGAATTTCTCAGTAAAGTTTGTTGATGCAAAAGGAGGGACACATGAGATGAAGATCTCTATTCCGAAGAATTCGTATGGTGTTGTTGTTGAAGTTGTGGCGGGGGCTGCAGCTCCTGTTGCAGAACCTGTTAGTGCTCCTGGATTCGCTTTGAATTCCATGGATTATATGGGAGATCTGTCTCTCACGGCTGAGACCTTTATCGAAGAGTGAGTTTTCCATTTTATATATTATTTTATGATAGAAAATTTTTCTGACAGGTATAAATTTGTAGTGACCTCCCTCGTCTACTCCAGTTCCAACAGGTTCTCGCCACGGCGTGGAGAGCAACAAACCCTGCTCTTGCTATCAAGATTTATGACTTCATAGTTAAGACTGCACAGGGCTCCACCGCCGCTCTCCCAATTTACAAACAGGCCGTTACAAGTCTTTCTAAACTGAAGATGATCAGTGACCCACTTCAACAATATGTTCCAAATCTTGATATCAGCCAAATTAAAGAAGTTCTCGATGATCATCTCGCTGTTGCCCAAACATTCGAAGACAGCTTTAACAAATTTGCTAAGCAGCAAATGAGTGCAGAGAATGCTATTAGCACAGCCATGGATGCATTTACGAACTCCAAGATTGCGGTTGAGAAATATAAGTTTTTGGAGGCGCAGGCAAAGACAAGATTGGAGTTTGCAGTTCAGGCCATGAATGATGCTATCTATAACTATAAGGTAAGAAGCCCCCTAGCTCACTAAATTATCGGTAGCTAAACCTTTTCTCTATAGATGACATACAACCAGCTACCGCTTCGGCTTAAGACGTATCAATCTGGAATCGCGGAATATGCAACTGCTCAGGTAAGGATCCATTATCTTCCATGATCTTCTTGTATAATACTTAAACCTTTTGTTTTGAGACATAGACTGGAAAACTCATCCTTAATATCATGATGGCTGTTGGAACCATTGTTCTTACAATTGGTGCCGGCGCAATCGGCGGTAAGTCTAAAATTTCAAAGTTTACAGGCAAAAACATGCCTAATTGAATGATTATTATAGCTGCTGCTCTCCCTGCAAGTGCAGTTGGTGGATCCTTACCCTTTAAAGATATTTCTACCGCATTGAAAGTTGTAAGTTTAGCCATGTGCACAATCGACAAATTTGTTATACGAAAATTCTTTGCTAAGAAGATCCTCAGATAAAAAGTGCGGAAACGACAACAGACACTGTCAGGGGTGCTGTTGAATCTATAAGATACATGGTTGACAATATCGGAAGAACTTTGACTACCATGGCATACACCATGACGACTTTGAATACGTTATTAGGAACTACCGTTCCCTCTTTGAAGCCAGATGGCTTCGAGGTCAAGACCTATGACATCCCTGATCCCCGTAAGTTCCTAGTTCTTGTGCGAAAATTAAAATATGGCTATAATCTAACATTGCTCTCAAATCTCTTTAGTTGATCGAGTGGACATGATAAATTTGAGTGCTTCTGTGAGTCGAATTATCCCTTTACTTCTAACTGTTAAGTGTATCAGGCTAACACCGTTTAGTGGGATAACTGGCGTGTGCTCAACGAACTTGCTTGGTCCAAAATGCCAGAAGCTCAAAAACGAATCGACGGAGCCTCAGACTACTATGCCGCTCTTTACTCTCTCTCTAACAATGGAAAAGCCGTTGTAGCGGCGCAAGCAGCATATATCCAAGTCTTTGACGATTATATGGAAGCTTCCGTCAATCTACAAACCGCACAGTCCCAAAACAAAGTTCTTCAGGGAGCCGTTAGCCGTCTGGAAGATCCCCTTGTTTACCATACCTTCAAGCGGGCCATGTTTGACCGTCTGATCGCCGTCAGAAGCTGGGTTGCTGTCGAGTTTCACGATTACGTCTCCGCATACCAATATTATACATTATCTTCCAGCCCACCAGCCGTTGTTCCAGTCATGTCACCAGCATCCTACTACAGCTCCGCTGTCGCAGACCTTCAATCTGACGCCACAAACGCCCAATCTAGCTTCCGGAGCCAGTTCCAAACCTTCTCACTCAGTTCAAATGATATCAACAGCGTCTTTGGAAACAACTGGAGAAACGACCTGAAATCCCTCTCCGGTCTAACATTTTCCATCCCTACGAACAGTACCTACTTCTCCTCCGCAAGCCGCGTTCGAGTCCAACGTCTTCGATGCTATCTAATCGGTGCTAAAGCCGAAGAAGTGCGAACTACTATCACTATTAGTGGCTCATTCGAAGACAAAGGACTCTCATACCCATATAACCCATTGAAATTCGTATCGGATTCTACTCCTCTCAGGTTTTATTATGTCCCGTCGAGGAAAGATCCCAATGACTCCAACCCAAATCTGGTCAGGCAGGATGGGTCTTATGCAAGACAGGATGTGTTCATGACCCCCACCCCGTTTGCCGTTTGGAATATCAAACTAGATAACGCGGAGAAGGTTTTAGAAAAGGTTACTAAAATGGTTTTGCTGATTACTGCGGAAGTTTCACATCATTAGTAGCTAGAATACGGAGCGTGGGACTTCACGGGTTTCTACTGAAACCTATATCTCACAGATACCAAATCTAGGCCTCTAGGCCTGGTATTGAGAGCTCACTGTTTTACATGTTCTTTGTATACTAGTTTACTTGTTTCGTTCATTGAATTGTGATAGCCTTTTAAATAGACCTTCCCTGAGAAAGAAAATTGATTTTGATTATTCCGTATGTACAGTTACTTACCATTGATTTTGTCACAAAAACTTTGTGAATAACGTCACCAAAACGCTTTGAATTTCTCTGAAAAAAATTGGGTTTCTTCTTCTTAAGGGTCCATTTTATAAAATATAATTTTATTTTGTTTTTATAATAGATTTGTTTTAATATACATTAAATAATTCAAGCCTGCTACTCATGCGATAATTTTTTAGGTCAGAATTCTAACCTAGGAAGTCAAACGTATGTGAATTAAAAGCTAAAATAGTCACTAATTTTGCTAATAAATTTTATAATTTATTCTATTTATTAATTATTCTAATTTCGTTTTATAAAATTATTCTTTTTTCATGATTCTGGTATGAAAATTGAGGCAGTAGTGAAAAGGTAAAGTTGTGACAAAGTCAATGGTAGGTAACTGTACATGTTAAAGAGTCAATAGGTAGTAATTATGTGTTTTCAAGGGTAACGTAAAAATTATTCGCTTGATCAGCGGGGATTCTATAGAATGGGTGAGGTTTTAGTTTCATTTTCAACCGGAAACACGAAGATCATGAGATGCAATTCGGTGGGAACACGAAATCAATCTTCCTTGGTTAGATCGACAAAAACAAATCGTTTCTTTCTCGCCTTTTTTCGCGGAGTTTGGTTTTGAGTACTGGGTTGTCCGGTATCCTCGTCCTCATCTTTAATCTTTCGTTTACTGTCTTTCAATTGTTCCTGATTATCAAATACTATAGTTAGTGTATTGTAAATTCTATGCAGTGAGGACTTTGGACGATCATAATTACTCTTAGAAAGATGATTTCTTGGTCTTTCTGAGACTCATCCATGTGGTGGGCCTGATTTCCGTGGGATGCTAGGCGGGCCGGCCTTGGGGCTATCCCCTGTGCTTCGAGAAGGCCTTTAACTTTTGTTAGCTATAAATCCACGCCTGAGAAACTAAAATTGCAGCCGCTGATGGATAAATTCTCAGTATCCTACCTTGAGACATGTAATTGAAGATGAAGGTAGCGTAAGGTCGATCGACCGGATCAATCAAGTTTGCGAACCGGTATATTGCCTTGTTATCATGGTGAACCCTATTCTGGGGGTTGAATTGAGTACAATGAGACAAAGGTCTGCCTTTGATTTTTTTCTCATTGATGGGTGGGATATCTTTGGCTTCAAAGGTGCCATAAAACTCTTGCGAAGTATAAGGAGCGTGACAACGCCAGATTGTGACCTTGATAGACCCAATGTTATTGATTTGGTCATTTGTAGGCTGAATTGAATGAGCATCGATGTCGACTAAAAGGGTGAGTGTGACCTTGTCGTTAAAATTTTCTCACTTTCCTAATATCCCTTAGGTATGTACGAGTCGACTGAAGTAAGCACTTACCAACATTGATCTTTCCGAATTCAAAATAGGTCGTTGAATAACTACCATTGTCTTGTATTTTGTCTATTACATGGTCGATTGTACGCTTCAAGTCTTTTTCATCGCTTCCCCGGACTACATCCCGCCAAAACTGCCGTCCGTCGAACCAAATCTTGATTTCGTGCCACTGTGATCCAGTTTTAGAGCCTTCCAACTCTATATTGTATCTCTGACCTTCACTAGCGGCTAAAGATACCGTGCAGGTTGTATCTTGAGTTGAAGGGAGGTATTCAGGCAATGGAGAGCCCTCGACTGAAATGCTGCATTTGATTCCATTGTGGGTGGGCATTGTACAAATCCGATCCAGATTGAGGTTTTGAAAGTTAAAAGGTTGAAACAAGCCAAATCCGTTGGCTGTTCTTGTATAAATCTCTCCAAAATTAAAGTGTTGTTAAAGCCGTCCGAGAATGAAATTGAGTCCGATGAGAAGTGATGGGGGTGAGAGTCAGTTGGATGGAAGTAAGAATTTCTTAACATTAAGATTGAGAAAGGTACGGGCCTGATTAGGAGTGAGGAGAATCAATCGGTGAGGAAGGATCAGATGGGGACGGTGGTTTCTATAGTGTTGACGGCCGAAATGTTCTAGATCTCGTGAACGGGGGCACTTCCGAACGTTAAAGTTTATGCGGAAACTGAGGGATATAAGACTAGCTAGAGATATTACTTTTCGGAGGTTTGTAGGTAACCCTTTTCCCTTTACTATCGCGTATTAGCCTCATCATGTCGATCTAGCGACTTTGAGAATGGAACCTATTTTTGCAATTTGACAATTTCTCGACGGTACCGATCGGTAATGGAGCCACAATGGCCCATAAGGCTCTCGCGAAGCTGACTTGATGCACACGCCCCTCATACGAGGGTATATGTGTCTTTCATCTCTCTGAGGTGTAAGTGAATGCTAATATTTTTGGTGCGGGGAATATTAAGATGGCAGGTGAATAGTTTGTCTTATTCGGGATCGTCAACAGCTATATTTTTCGAATGATACATATTTCCTAGCCTGAGTAGGAGGCCATCGAACCCAAATTTGCGGATTATGGGAAGCGGCACTGATGGGAATACAGGAGATTTAAAAACAAGCCAGTGGCAACATGCTAAGAAAAAGAAGAAGAGAAGAGCGCTGTAAGGTTCAATGGAAGAATTAAAGTAGCTCTCTGATAGGATATTGTTACCGTTCTGGCAACGGGCCTCAAATATTTTAAAGAAATGAGAACCCACTAATTTTCAAATTTATTGGTTTGCTTTCAATCATCATCTCCGGTTAAGTCGATATATGTCGACTCATTATTTTTGGCCTTTCCGGGGGTCTGTGAGTCGTGCTCTTGCTTGACCTCGCGCTTTATATCGGCGTTTTGTTCCTATAGCAAATTTTCGTGTTAACATCAGGTCCGAATTGATACGACTAGAAAAACACAAACCCTCAAACGCATGACCTCCCGCCTGAGTTCTTCCTGGGTCAAATCTGACAGATCTTCATCAATCAACTCTGGTGATGGAGTTCTTGGGATGTACCCTTGTGCCTGCAGAAGCGCTTTTGGGTCGTTAGTACTAGTTGGTATATGTTTAGTCTGCGATCGTGATCTTGCCTTTCGATGTGTATTTAAAGATGAATGTCGCGAATGGCTTATTCTTAGGGTCGATATGTGTACAGCCGCAATAAAGATGCTTCTTGGGCGGCTCCGTAGTTCTTTCGCCGAAGTTGGTACAATGAGACACGGCTTGCCCCTTGAGGAGTTTCTCCTTAATGACTTTCGCCGCTTCTAACTTGTATTCATATTCTTGAAAACCTGATTTTATGTCAGATATTGTCACTCTCCAGATTGATAACTCTAATTTTCCGATATTCCCGATGACTTCCTCTCGAGCTTCAATTTTCTTTGAATCATTTTCCTCTAAAGGCGTTTTAGTCAGTGTCTCCTAGATTCTTGGGGTCGTTTTGACTTACCAACATTCAAATTTTGGAACAACAGTGGACATGTCACGGTACTACCATCAGCGGTTCTTTCGACCTCGATAGTGCTAATCCACATGGCATCAGAACGGGTAAGATAAAGCTGGCGTAGAGATACTCCATCGGCGCGAAAATGCACCTTGTACTGAGAAGCTTTTGTACCAGATGCGTCAATCTTCAGGCGGTAGGTTTTGCCTTCTTCAGCAACTATCCAAGCCGTGCACGTGTCATTGTCAGTGGCAATATTATGTTCTGTCGCCTTTGATCCGTCGATGTACAAATCACAGGTGAAGTCTTTATTCGTCGGCATTGTGAGATTTTAGTCGTTTGAGAACTAGGTGACCGAGGGCGGGGTAGCTGAGGTAGGAGCCGGGATTCGAAAAACAAGGGGCTCAAGGAGTAGAGTGAGCGGGTCTCAGGTTGTTGTAGATGAGGTGGGTATAGTTTTGTGACAAGTAGATGGGATCTTGCAAGCTGAAGAGATTCACGTGATTTCGAGTGGCCTCTTCTTATTAGAGTCTGTATAGAGAGGGTTGTTACAGCTAGCCTTTGGCACCTATTATCTATCCCTACCAAACCGCTACACATGTTCTCCCATATATTAGGCAGACATACCGTATTCTTTGAGCTTCCAGCTAGCTTTAGGAGTTTCTGCACTACTATAAGACATTTACAGATTCTGATTCCTTAAGCATATTAATGAATTAGACCGGTGCATGATTCTCACGTCATCATGTTACCTACTGGGTCTAACTTTCACCTGGGAACGAGGCTATTAGGTACCTATCTACCCAGAGGATAGACGCGGTCCACACCTCGCCCAGAGGATACGACAACATATAACAACACTATACGACGGTACTCTAGCACGCTGGCATTTGACTCTGAGACATATATGCAACCCACATATCCTGCCTTAGGAGAATTTACGATTAACTATAAATAAACGTAGAGAAAGCATATCTACGTAGCCACCGAGGGTAGTTAGTGATGTAACAGTACATTTTATAGAGCAAACTAGCTCAAAAGTGTCAATTAGGGCTATAGCCTGGGTATGAGACTAGATATAGCTATCTAAAGTGTGGACCGCGTCTGCAATACGAGACTAGCTACCTAGTAGGTAATCAAAAAAGACATTCTACCGTTTGCCCATATTTTTAAATCTCAGCCTGAAGTTGTGTAAATTCACTGGATTTCCAAAGGGTTATGTATCACCTCGGGCCTTCCCGCGTCAGTGGGAATAATTTAGGCTTAGTAGGGTCCAAATTCGACCCTCGTTTTCTGACAATATATATATGCATATATGCACGCTCTTTTCTTTAATACATAACAAATAAAGCTTCAAGTGTCATAAAATCTACATCGGTGGCTATTGATAGCACGAAAACACCTATCTATCTTCTTCCGCGATCATTTCCTCATATTCCGGAGGTAGCTCGTACTCAGGGAGTTTTGCGTTAATCTGAGATTCAGTAGCTTGATCCGAAGGGTTTCCTGAACCTGGAGAACCCTGGCTACATGGAACCAGCCCCCTGAAAGGATTTTTTGCTTTAATAAGTTCTATTTCATAGTATATATATTAGCATTACTCTTCATAGCCTTATTCGCTAATCAAAGGAAGAGATATATAACCAAGATATCTTACCTTTCGACCCATATTTAAACTTAAAAGTAACCCAAGGACGCCTAGTATCGATAGATATCGTTTTGACACATTGAGGCAGATCAAGTAAAGTTTCTCCAAGATCATATTCTGTCTGATATGAGCCGTTGTTCTCCGTATAGTTAGGGATAAATGGACATCCGCTAAATATATGCTCGCTCGTTTCTAGCTCTACTCGTGTTAATCGGACTTCGATGGTTCCCAGCTTTTGAGGCGTAGCCTTTTGATCTGATTTCCCATCTACATTGTTTTTATCATTAGCCTTCCACATATATGAAAATTTTCTTCGATCAAAGAGATATATTACCAATCTTCCACCCCGCGGGGCCCGCAAAAATCAACTTCGCCCTCCTAACACAATCCGACTTCTTCGGGTCTTGAAAGAACACCGAGTCCACATTGTATTCATCCAATAACGACGTTTGCTTCAATACGGTTTTACCATCAACAATAATGTGGATGTGATGGCGTTCGGCACCCATCTCACGTTTGGAGATGCCGAAATCAATGGTATATGTGCTACCTTCTTCAGCAACGATGTATGTTGTTACGGTGGATGTAAAGTAATTGATACTCTTGTTGTACTCCTGGGCTTTCGCCCCGTCGATAACGAGGGAGGTGTCAACACCTTTGTAGATAGGCATGGTGTACTAGATATATAATGCGATCTGTACGTTTTAACTAAGATTAAAACATTAGCACGGAACTAATTTTGAACTCGATGATGACAATTCCAAGGTTTTGGCCGGCCGTCTTGGAAATTAAAGTAGTTGGCAGTTCAGACACGTACCAATATAATAAGTGATGTCGAAGACGTTGGTTTAGGGATTGAATTATGAAAGAAGTTCTTCTCTACGTTAGCTGCCTGGCAGCTTTCGGTACTTATATATACCTAACAATTATAATATTAATTTAATAATGTTCCTATTCCCATTGATTATCACGTGAGCGTCCTGAAAATCCATTGTTTAACATGCTCAAATATCTCATGTCGCCAAATTTAGCACTTTTTTGTATACACGTAGTGTACAATCTAATTCCGATCAATTGAATTTGAGCCAAGATCGGTATCTATCGATATCAATCGATTCTTCCATCGCCAAAGTCGTTTCTAGAACAGCCACAACATAATCTTACCACAAAGTTCCTGAATTTGAAATCACATGAAAAACATCTTATGACTAACTATCGCTTGGCCAGTGCTTTTTGATATTATATCTTGATCTTTTGTTTGCCCAGTTCTCATATTCTCGTTCCTCGTTTGAAGTGCTCTCATATTCCAATCTTCGTTTCTTCCCCGGAGGAGTTTTCGATATTTTTGTCATTGGAAGGTCAAGTTCTTTTTCCGGTTTATTTTTTGTTTTAATCTCAGGCTAGGTTACAAAATCGTTAGCTCATAACACGTGCATGGGAGTTTCAAAAATTGTTAAAGTTATAACATCCTATGGAAAAAATGTCGAACGTACCAATTCACTTTCTAACTCCACTTTCTGATGCTTTTTTGTAGAATCTTTGGGAATAATTCCAGCAGATTCGAGAAGTGCTAATAAAAAAATGGTCAGTAATGGCAAAAGCAAAAGTAGGTTGCGACTACGAACATTTAGAAGCATGTCGAAAGACAAACGTAACCCAAGGCGTTTCGTAGGGATCAATCTTTCGTGTCCAATAACCCCACCAGGATGGATTCTGAATATGTTTGGCATTCGCAAACTCCGTGCAATGTGTAATGCTCTCTCCCTTGATCGATTTCTCGTGAATAGGATTCTTTGATGGCTCTTGTTCGTACAAAAGACAGCATGTTTGTGTGGCATCTTGATGTGCACGCCAGAGCTTGATTTCGAGGGTACCCAGCTTCTGTAGGATATCCTGACGGGTTTCTTGATCGGATTTTTTCTCGTCAACTGTATAGTTTCTGCCCGTTAGCTTATTTTAAAGAAGATGGACCGCTTCGCCTGGGGTATAAGATACCTGTTTTTAGCTTCGCGAACCGAAGCTTGACAACTTTAACAGCACCAGTGCTATCCTGAACCTGTGGGTCGTCGACGAAATAGTCCGTTTCTATAAACGTGAAGGCGTCCAACTTCTGACCGTCTGCCCAGAGTTCAAGATCGAGACGACCGACACTACCTAGCGTAGCCGAGACAATATTGAGGTGGAAGCTGAAAATTTTGTCTTCTTGGGATATGATATGTGAGGTGCTTATATATCCTGCTTGTGTGACCTGATATTCAGTAGCCTTTTGACCCTCGACGTGGAGCTCGCATGAGATGCCTTTGTGTTCTGGCATCTTAGAGACTTGCGATAGGCTGTTGTAGCTTTTCGTGAGGCGGATATTCGGGAGGTTTGGCCAGCTAGCTGTCTAAGACCTCGACTTAGTCTCGAGATGTAGTTTACTAGAGTTGAAGGGTTCTTCTAGAAGAGTGGTCAAGAAGATGACTGTGCGCCCGAGTTAAACAGTACACAGTATAAATGCATTATCAATATGTAATTTCAGCCTAGAAAAAGCACTATGGACTCCTTTACTGAGGGATCTCGGGCCTGCACCTCGAACCTCGTCGCTCAAAGACTATTCTAGGAGTCTCTAGGGCTACCAAATTCAGTGGGTATCTAATCCTAAGGCGTGGGAAATGCTTTGGGGAGTGAAGCATCCGAATTCTGGATATATGTGTTATTTAGCTACCTCTGTTAACTAATACCCCTCGCTGGGTCTATCTATTATATAGCAGCCCCCATTTAGTCTATTGTGCTAATAATAAAGAAATGATAACATAATAACTACTAGCTATCAATAATATTATATAAAGTAGTGAAGGACTTTTAGAAATAAGGTTCCAACATAATTGTTTAAGTACATAGGCATATAGGTACTTAAACATTAACAGTAGTGGCCGTTCGTGAAGTTGCCTCGCTATGCAACTCCAATAAACGACTTAGAAGCAAAAAGCCTTCCTAATCTTAGAAGGTTTCTTTTCCTCTGGCAGCTCAACAAGCCTCTCGGTTGTGAAGGATGATTTTTGGTCTAAACTATCCCACTTGGTCTTTTCCGAAGCTGGAGCCTCTTCAGCCTTTGGTTGCTTGGCCTTTTTCCAGGGCCAACGCCAGCCATTCGATTTCTTCTGCTGATCGCAATTGTTCTAATTATAATTGTGTCAGCTATTTCCGACTCGGTACAGGAAGCGTTTTATTCTGTGGCTGCATTTTTTGGAGGACTTACTTTGTTCCTAAGGCTCATAACCTCTTGTTGGAGATTGTCCATGGTCATCCCCACAAGATCATCGTCGATGCACATTTGGTCCGGTGGTAGAACTCCCATTTTCCTTAGCATCGCTAATGCCATTGCAGCCACGTTAGCTGAATATTCACATATATATAATAATACTCGAAATATTTATATCTTACCTCTAGAAGCATACTCAAAAACAAAAATAACATGATTATGCTCTTCCAACTGATTTGGCACACAGATCCTCGTTGCATCATAAAAGTCTGCAACTTCTTGGCTGACCTCCGTTCCGTGGGTAATATTCCTTTTCTTTCTTTCGCTTTCCGGGATGGACTTTAATGGGACGAACATGTCAAAGTTCTCCGGACTGCCCTCTGGGTCTGCGTTAATGACTTTGAGATGTCCGTGCTGTCGTCGGATTATAATGCAGATTCTTCCGACGTTTTTGAGACGGTGGGGTCGGTCTTCTGGGTCGTTTGGGTCGCCGACTATAAATATCAAACAAGTTGAAGTTAGAATTTGGTTTTACCAAATGTAGAGCAGATAATATTTATGTAAAAATGAAAAACATACTTTCATCTAAATTCCTAAACTCCAGATGACGATACTCCCACATCTTTTTCCCATAAGACAAAGTAAGCCCATACTTCGACCCCGCCAATTCAACCTCGTCATCCCCGCACGTAAGGCCATTTATGATCTGACCATCGACTTTGATCCAAATGCAATGAGACAGACCCCCCGTATTTCCAAACTGGATGTGGAACGTATACGGTTTCCTGTCCTCTGCAACAATGAAGGATCTATAGATATGGCCTTCGACAAATGGGGAGAAGTTCTCGGCTCGCTTGCCGTCTATGTGGATGTTGCAGGTGACATTTTTTAAGGTTGGCATTTTGAAGGTCGTCTGCCGCGGACTTGACCTTGATAAGGATCTAGTGATGTTGGTTGATAGATGGTTGGGTAGTTGGTAGGGCTGATGGAAGTCTAAGAGTAGAAGGCGGGTGGTAGGAGATATGTATGTGAATAAAACCTATGCTCCAGATATAGCTCAATTGTCTTAAACTTCTTGTCTTTGTAGAATATCGGATGGATTATGAGCGACAACTTGCGCAAAATACCACAGTCGAATCTGTGTTGTAGCCGGTCTATATTTTTCTCAAGGAGATCTATTTGCGCACTCGATTGCTTGCTTGCAGTCGTTTTCCTAGCATAACCTACTATGCATATGTGCATATGTATAAATGAAGTTTACGCTTCTACATGTCAAGTTTTTTTCTAGTTCAGCTTGCAGTTCTAGCTTTGTGTGTTATAAGCTGTATAAAGGAATTCGAAGTCGATACCCTGCTTTTTGAACACCAGGTATAATTATCACGACTGTCGTAGAGAATTTATCTAAAAAAGTCAGAATTTATAAGTAAAATCTATCTTTTATTCTTCAGAGAGTAAAACGCTAGATGGACATCAAAAGTTAAACTCCAATAAAAGGCTGCATCCCGATCTACATAGCACTATCTACAGCCTCAAGAGTTAGATTCACGCTCTCCAGCTCTAAATCCATAATATAAACTAACTAGATATCGATATGTCCCATCCATGAAGGTTTAACCCTGAGCTAGTTGGAGTTATATCCCACCTCTTGCTTCTTCGTATCATAAAATTGTTTCCGTAATCAACTAAGTGAGCAAATTGAGAATAATTTCGATTGGTTACAGTGTAAATTCTAAATCTAGCCATGCGTGCGCAACCACGGACTTCGACCGTCTATCCACGCTTAGAACTCGTGATGAACCCCATATCCCACCTCACCAAATACCATCCTCATTCCAGCCATGCCCCCAAGCCCGCTTTGGCATAATCTCCTTCTCCCTCTCCTTCTCCTCACAATCTCCCCCGTCTACTCTTTCAGAATCGAATTCGGTACCGGCTCCTCCCCCTCCAAAAATTTCGAACTCCTCCAACCCCCAGCAGTTTACCCCCCAACCGACGAAACCTGTCATGAAATCACCACAACTCTATCCCCAGAATCAGGACTAGACTTAATCCGCGTCCAAAGCAACCAACCAAATGACGGAGATCCCGCAGGAATCATAGCATTCTACAACAATCTAGAAGAATGTAAAGAATCAAATCCAATGTATATATCATGGTTCAAACCCAACACACGAAGTATACAAGCTGCTTCGCCGTATTGGACTATAATCCGTTTGGGAGAGTTAAAAGGTAGTTGGACACTAGGGAGAACAGGATATCCGGAACCTAGAGCTTGGAGGAATATTCCACAACGGGGAGTTTCTCCGGAAATTGGGGTTGTTAGGAGGTTGAAGATGAAGTCTGGAGATGTGGCTATGTTGTTCGATGAAGGGTGGGGGGTTGATACTGGTGGTGTGGTTTGGGAAGCTGGGGATGAGGATGAACGATCTTTAAGGCTGTCGCAGGGGTTACAGGATGTTAATGGTGTATTACCGCAGAGGAAACCGAGTTATCAAACCCAGCAGTCTGATGGGACGGAAATATTCTTATATCCTGATGGATCTAGGAAGGCGGTTATTCCTGACGGTCCAGTTGTCGATACTAGACCCGATGGAACGGCTACAATACATCAAGATGGGCCTGATGGGTTTATTGCGGAGTACAATCCACGAACTGGTGCTTTAGTTCAAGATAATGAAGGAAGACACATTCGTCTCAACCTCGAGGAACTAGAGGAACTCGACGCTCTCGAAGCAGCCGGGTTTTTTAAATCACGAACAGCATTTAACGAAGCCATGTTGGAGTTACAATCAAGTCTGTTCAGTCCAAACTCAGGAGCCTACGATGCATTATCACGATTAAGCCCAAGCGGAAATTTCGTCGCAGAAGATATAGGAAGTCCTACAGAACAAGACGATTCACCACAACCCCGCGATTCAGTATCTTTACCAGAACCAAATAAAGGTAAAAACATCCTTCAAAAGATCGGATCAGCTTTGAAAAAAGTATATAACTGGGCTCGACAGTCATGTAAACTCCGGTCTGGGAAGTCATTACGATCTCCAGTTCTTCCAGAATGCGCCGCAGATATGGAGTTCATGCGAGAAAACGAGTTTAGTCCGTTTTCTTTAGGTTCCCCTTCAGCTTCTGCATCATACTTAGGTGATCAATCGAACGGCCAACGGTTGTCTAGATTTAACCAAGGCAAGACAATAGAAACACCCAATGGTGCCGAGCAAAGCTTCAAACACACATTCTCCCCGGTACCCGATGGAACAGACGGTGATTTTACAGAAGAAAACCTAGAATCACCCTACTTCGCACAGGTACCCGGTAACGAATTTACATTCCGTGATGAAGAGAATTCGAGAAGATCGGAGGATGTTGGTGATCAGGAACCTGACGAGGTGATACAAATTCCGAATCAAATTCAAGATTATTCGTTAGGTATTTTGAATATATTGAATCGTAAGAAGGATACCTCAGAGTTTACGTTTAAAGGGGAACAGCAGGGGACTCAAAGTGTGAATGAAATTTATACGGATGGCCCGGTAGCGAGTTATCCGGAGCTGAATGATATTGAGGAAGATGTTGTTGTACAGGATATTTCGAGGGCGTCGAGTTCATAGTAGAAACTTCTTCCATTGTGAGATTATTGATGCTACTTTAAATAGGAAGCGAATTTTTAATTTTATTATTCATTCACTCGACGGTTTTTAAATAGTGGCCGCTCATGTTTGGACTCCAATTCAATAAAGACTAGTCGACTTCTAATAGAAGGTATCTAGACGACAAGATTGGATATAAGAAGTACGCCCGGACCCGAAATATTTCATTTCTGAAAAAATTTTAATTTTATAAATATGGTATTAAAAACATGCCAATAGGAAGCTATCCCAATATGCTCATAAAAAAGAAAGAAATTATCTGCATGCTAATAGATTCAAAAGAGGGGTCATAAAAGAACTCTGCCATATGCGTAGCTTCTATCGACGAAGCACTGTCTCCAAACAAAACATTGGTCGGGAGATGCTGCGATCAACGCTCTCCCAATAACCCCTGGCACTACCTTACGCCAGTCTCCTCATACTCCTCACAGACCCAACCGGACTCCCCTTCTCCACATCCCCGGGCCTCAACCCCCCACCCAAGGTCACAGCACCCCCACCAGGACTCATCGGATAATCACCCTGCCTGACATTAATACCAACCGAAATAGTATAAGTGGTACTTCCATCATCTTCTTCCTCAGAGCTGTTGCTTAACTCCAATTGTTTAATATCTTTATCTGATGGGCGACGAACACGACGAGTAGATTGGGAGTAGACATTAAGAAGACGGGGTGCGTAGTGGATGATCAATGCCCGGATTGCAGGGGCAGAAGAACAGATGATTGCGAGGTTAAGTTCGACACTAATTAATAGGATTTTAGTTAGTAGGTTGTACTTTGTAGGAGCTAATGAAGGTTGAGAACATACACAGTAAGAATGCTGACGTTGACGCTTAGAAGCTTTCCATCTGTTACATAGCCGTACATCTGGATTGCACGCAGACGGAAGGCAGATACGACACAAGCACTATTTTCCCTGTATTAGCAAAAACTCATACATATAATATGTAAAAGGACAATACTCACATAGCAGCAATACCAAAGGTAACAACCGCCAAAACCTTTTCTCTTTTTCCCAAATCCAATTGAAAAACAACCGGTAAGGGCATCAACCACAACAAGATATCCGTTACAACACTAACGCCGCCAAGTGCAATCTGTGCCATTTTGGAATCGAGCTTGCACATGATCGTAGCTTCCGCCTCCCAGTATGCGAGCTGGTCGCATTGCAAAAGAATAACAAAAAAGTTGGTCACGCAGGTCGTCAAGATGAAGAAAAAGGTAACAAAGATGGAAGTACGGAAGACGCTGCGGATCTCCGAGGGGCAAGAAGGGCAAAGACGGAGATAGAATAACAAGAGGGATGTCTTGATGAAGAAGAGAGGGAGAGGATAGACCAAGGATAGAACAGTTTGATACTAATATTTATGATATCGTTAGAATCCATAATGCAATTCAACTTTAGGTTACTAGAATATCAGAATCATTGACTTACCATATGGACCTGTGAATATGTATTCCAGCTCATATCCCAGATAGCTACGGCGGGTTCTAAATTATTTGTTAGTTTACTTGCCGATGTTACAAGATTAAGCTTATAAGAGGAAGCACATACGTAGTAAAGAGGCATCTAAAAGGAAATTATTAGTAAATGTATTCAAACGAATAAAAAAAAATGCGGACGGTAGTCAAAAACTTACGAAGAAGACTAATAATTCCATATGTCAAGGATAGAATCTAAATCGAAAAAAAAATTGTGTTAGTATTGCAATGCAACAAGGAATAATACTGAAAACCTCTTACAAATCCAAGAACCATAAACCAATCATGCATCATCAACCTCATAACCAAAATTTCTCGACTCCAAATCCTCAAGATTAGAGTCAAAGTCGCAAAGGCAGTCATGAGCGCAAACACCGTCGTCATAGCCGAAGTCCCCTTCTGATGCTCCAACAAAGGCTGAGCATTCGCCGAGGCATATGTAACCCCTCTCGCGAATTCCTCAGGCCACCAGCCTCGAAGGATCACATCCTGAACACGACGAGGACTATCCGCCCCCATAGCTATCGCAACCTCGGGAAGGTGGTTGGATATATTTGTCGGCGTACGATCGAGGTACTCGGCAAGTGAAACTATAACTTGGGACATTGGTTGGTCATGCTTCTTGTTGGCGGTAAATGCGATGAGAACGTGAGTGAAAATGATCTCTTTCATCGTGAAGCCTCCAAAAACACCGATCCCGTTCTGGCCGAAGGCCATATCCTCATTGGTCGTAGCAAAAGTAAGAGAAGCCATTGTGAAGATTTAAATGATCCCAACAAATACACTAAGGATTAGGAATAGGATTATCGAAAGAAAAAATCGTAGGATATAAGAAAAAAGCGAATAAAGAAAAGAATATCCGCCAGGGATAGTATCCACCAGGGACACGAAAGGAAACAACTGAAGAGAAAGAGAAAGAAAAAAAAATGTGTCGCCGTCTACCAAAAAACGGTTACAAAATTCCTACCGAAGGGGAGAAAGAAAGGAAAAAGAAGGGCCTTTGATCAAGAGACTTCAAAATCCTCTCGAGACTCCTAACGGATGGCATGTTGTATATATGCATCGGCTCTAAGCCCGTGTAGCCACCTTCCTAATCCTTCCTTTAGTCGCACAACACGGAGTGGAATAATGAAGTGGGAGGCGTATCGGAACGTGTTCTGCATGATACTGCGCCATCCAGGAAACTATTTTCAGGCGATAGACATTTGAAGACTAGTAGTGGCATTTTTTCAGGCGGTGTGCCTGAAGGGGGGGTTTCTTGGTAGCAGAACTAGGTTTCGTTCGCTTATGCCACATGTGCACCCCCCCGCCCGGAACCGGAGAATTTGGGTTGGCTAAAGTCCGTTGATGGATCGAGCTACAGACAAAAGGTTGAGGAATTTTTGAAAACGATAACGATTCACTACTGTGGATACCGCTTAGGCTTCATGAGAAACAGAAAGCAATGGGTGTAATGGTGTTCATGATCGATCGTCAAGCGAATTGTCAACTTAGGGAAGTTGGTAAGGCAGCGTTCCTCGCCGTGCCCCGAAGTATGTGATAGATTGCATAGCTGCCTTGCTATACGAGGCACCATCAGGCTTCTGGAAACCTTCGAAACCACGTGGGAAAGAAGTCTTTTCTTTTGGCAGCATCGGGGCTGACAGAATTTTAAAATTCGAATTCAACTAGTAAGTTAACTAGGAGATTTAACCATACGGGCGTTAACGGACCATTTACTCAAGAAATCGTCCTACCACGGGACATCCGATAAAGAAACCCAGCTGACAGGTACCAACCAAGCCCAATCGACCATTGCTACTAACGGAAAAAAAAAATACTTCTGACCTAATTGGAAGTTCAAGCTAGTTTATCTCAATAGCTCAAGATCAAGTACCGGTCGAATGTGTTGAATTGAGGTTGCGACACCGACTTTCTCTTCTGGTTGGCCAGTTTTCTCGCCTAATCTGCAGGGGTTACCCCGAAACATCTTTCTTTCAAACCTCAGAACCACAGGTGGTTAGCCTGGGCTATGAATAGATGCAGGGGCGAGATCATGGACCTGGATTAGACTGTAAAAATGAGAAAAAATTCCGATCGCTTGGCGGGTTTAGAGCGTTCGAGGGCTGTTTGATGAGCTAATGGACGGGATAACTTATGTGCTACAAGATCGGGTGGCTATACTCCATCGAGAGGGTTGTGACAGGATATCGTCATCTGGAGCTTTTGTAAACTTAGGATCAATAGGTTTAATTTGACGAAGGACCGACGGATATCTACTTGTAGCTAGCAGTAGTTGGTATCTGAGATCCAGGTAATTGGGACTGGCTTGCATGCAGTAGTGTCTGTCTGTCTAGTGCTGTGCCGCATGCCTTTGTTGAAGCTAAACGTCAAACTTAAGATATTGAGATCTTAGGAGGCTTGGGATATACATAAGATCTAAACGTTATAAACCATTCTAACCAAGATATTGGCAATCGAGCTTATCCCCAGAATTCCAACTACGACCACGTTTTAATTTAACCAAAACCGGGCTCATCGTTTTATTTTTTGTTGGTGCGCATCGGGAATGTGCATATATTCATGCATGTCGACGTCAATGGAATGTTGCCTTATACAACGTGTGTCGCCAGATATACGGATTCGATATTTACTAAACAGCTATAGAACAATTAGACCCTTCTTCGAATGTACGATTTAGTAATTAGTGCTCAGCCAGAATCTATAAAGTCGATATCCTGATACAGACACTGTTTTCGCCCAGTTGGTTCATAGAACTTCGGCTTAGCAGGTCCTATAGATTGATCAAATGCCGATTGAAACCACAATCTGCTGCCAGGAGGCTCAGGTTCTATAAACTAAACCATAGCTATCAGCGGATCTGATACTATTCAAGATGAAGCCTCCGGCATAATATCTTTAATCGATCCTTCTTTGCCTCAATCCCGCCTCTCCTAAATTTTGCCGCTGCTGTCTGACTTCAAGATGTGGCACAAAATGCCGTTTCGGGCATGTGAAAGAACTCTGTCGGCTGCCGTCGGCACGCATTTGTTCCCCGCAAAGCCATTCCGATATGCTTTTTCGCAGTGCATGGCACATCCACGAATAGAGCTCATCTGTAAATTCTCCCCAGCCCCTCGGTTGTACCGAAAATAACTATCTTCCTGTAAATAAACCCAAATCCCTTCTTTCCTCTTCTTCCTCCCCCTCTTTTTCTCCGGTATTTCTAGTTTTTCGCATAAAGCTTCTGTCTTTTTTTGTCGTCGTTAAGGGTAAAAGTTACAGGTTCTTTTGAGGTTGCGGCTTTGAATTTTCAACACACATTATTAGCACAACATGTATCGCCAAACCGCCCGCGCTTCGGCAAATGCCCGACTTGCACTGATATCACGATCGTTCTCGACAACGTCTTCGCGATCTGTTCAAAATGCATACATTCTCGCCGCAGTAAGAACACCAACAGGAAAGGTATGACAGAAGGCAAAAAAACCCCCCGCAGCTCCAAAAAATCCTAGTCAAATCTAATGTGTTTGTCGCAAATAATAGTTCCATGGTGGCCTCAAGACAGTCCCAGCACCTCAACTCGGCGCTGCTGCCATAAAAGAAGCCATCGCCCGCTCCAAAGTCCCAGCTGCATCTTTCACACATGCATATCTTGGAAATGTCCTCCAAGGATCCCAGGGCCAGGCTCCGGCTCGTCAAGCTATTATTGCCGCCGGTCTTCCCACTACCGTTGAAGCTACTACCGTGAACAAAGTCTGCTCTTCCGGTCTTAAGAGTGTTGTGTTTGCCGCCCAGGATGTTCAACTTGGCCTTAGCGATGCTGTCATTGCTGGTGGATTCGAGAATATGAGTTTGGTGCCGAGATATATGGAGAGAACAATTGGCGGATATGGAGATGTTAAAGTCGAGGACGGTATTCTCAAGGATGGTTTGACTGATGTCTATAACAAATTCCAGTAAGTACCTACTAGTTCACTAATCTTTTTTGTCGGAAATTCTGGTATCCGAGACTAACAATTGTGTTTGCTGCAACAGCATGGGAAACTGCGCCGAAAACACCGCTAAGAACCTCTCTATCACCCGTGAAGACCAGGATAACTATGCCATCGAATCCTACCGACGCGCCAAAGCTGCTTGGGATGCAAACGCCTTCGCCGAAGAAATCGTCCCAGTCGCTGTCCCCCAGAGAAAAGGCGACCCAATCCAAATCTCCAAAGACGAGGACTACGAGGACGTTAAGCTCGACAAGATCCCAACCCTAAGAGCTGCATTCCAAAAGGACGGGACAATCACTGCTGCTAACGCTTCAACCTTGAACGACGGAGCCTCAGCTATCATCATCGGAAGCGAAAAGACACTTAAGGAATTTGGTGGTGACAGCCGAGTTCTTGCCAGGATTGTAGCTCACGCTGATGCAGCCGTTGATCCAATCGACTTCCCAATTGCCCCTGCAAAGGCTATTCCAATTGCTTTGGAGAGAGCGGGTATTACCAAAGACGACGTTTCGGTCTGGGAGCTCAATGAGGCATTTGCAGCTGTAAGCAAGGCTTTGGAGAAGAGTTTGGGATTGGATCCCGCTAAGGTTAATAAGAAGGGTGGTGCTATTGCCCTTGGTCATGCCCTTGGTAGCTCTGGAAGTAGAATTTTGACTACTCTTCTATACCAGTTGGAGAAGGGACAGTATGGTGTTGCTGGTATTTGCAATGGTGGTGGTGGTGCGACTGCCTTGGTTGTTCAGAAGTTGTAGATAGTAAGAGCTTTTTTTGTAAGATATGATATATAAGCCATGATAGGAATGATAATGAATTGGGGTATTGGTCTAGATGGAATTCAAACATGCATTCTCAAAATATAGATAAATCAAAAACTAGTTTTTCAGAATTCTCTCAAGGAACTAGTAAAGTTGAAGATCTCTAGTCAAGAAAGTACTGACATCTTTCAGAATTGAATTTTCTTGCCTTAGAAAAAGTTCAGATCTGGTTACAATCCACAAGCTATGTAGCTTGAACGTCAACATTTACAGCTCGATAGATTGTATACGTAGGGCGGACCCTAGACCGGGTAGAAGCTACTCCATGTCGTCGAATCACCCTTTACTAGACCTCTGGGAATCATTTCTCCCGACCCTCCGATCCATAGTAGCGCCTCTCCTCCACGAGCCAGGTGACCTTCCCACGTCTTCAAGCCTTTCAAATTCTGAACCCCGTTGCATTTTACTAACCAACACATTTCAGACCGCAAAATCCTCATTGACGATGAATACGTCCTCCTCAACGACGAAACCTTTCGTAAGTATTGTCACAAACGTGTAGCTCTAGTAGATATGATATCTTCATTCTCTCATTAATACAATCGTCCAGGTGAACTAAAACTATCCCATGAAATCCTCCATCCACACGCTCTAACATTCACAATAATCTTATCAACCCCACTCCGAACCCTCACCGCCACATTCCTCAAAAATACCTTAACAGCTAGTACAATCCTACTACGAGAGGCAGAACGGAATGTTAACACCCTACAGTACGCCCCCGAAGGCAAAAGATGGAGAAGTACCTATTCATATACCGCCGTACTTATCTCAATCGCCATCCTGGCTTTCCTAATCCACGACGAAACCAGTAATACACAAAACTCAGGTATTCAACAAGACGAAGATCTTGTAGAGAAGAAGAAGGTGGAAGGTTGGAATTGGCAGGATGTAATTTATCATCTTGACTTTGCGTTGATAAAAACGTCTGGGTGGCCTGTTACAAGTCATATCCATGAGTTTTTAGACTTGGTCGATACGAAACTATTACGCTTAATCGACAAGAGTCATAATCTACCCATAAACCGGGACAAAAAGGAAAACAACTGGTGTTCCTGGATCGAACCATCAGAACCCATCTTAAAATCAATAGGAAGAGAATTTGATTCTCCGACTATAGACCAATGGAGGGAACTATACACCCAACAAAAACCCATCAAATTAACCAGCATCATAGATCACTGGCCCGTCTTCGATATCCCTTCGTCCAACGGAAGATATAAAAGTAAATGGTCCTCCTTCCAATATCTTCTTTCCAAAACCATCAACGGGAGGAGAATTGTACCGGTGGAAATCGGAAGGACGTACGCAGATCCTGACTTAAAACAGCGAATCCTAACGTTTAAATACTTTTTCTCGAATTACTTTGTCAGAGGAGCTCCTGGTCGGGATGGTACTGACACGGAAAGTGGGAAAGGAGAAGAGGAGGAAGAGGGTGTATTTGGATATCTAGCACAACATAATCTACTCACCCAAATACCATCTCTCCGAGATGATATCTGTATCCCGGAATATATTAATTACACATCAGAGGACGACAATGAAGATGATGAAGAAGATGTCGCAACAACGATAAACGCATGGTTTGGCCCAGCGAATACGATTACACCATTACATACTGATAACTACCATAACATATTCTGTCAGGTAGTTGGAAGGAAATACGTTCGACTATATCCACCAGAAGCTAGAGAAGCAGTGTTTCCAATGGGGAAGGATGAAAGAGGGGTTGATATGGAGAATACGAGTTCTATACCTGTTACTTGGGTGGAAGGAGAAGAGTCTGAGCTTGTGTATGCTGGAGAAGATGGGGGTTATGAAAAGTGGGAGAAGTTTAAGAATGAAAAATATGTGGAGTTTGTGGTTGGACCGGGTGAGGCGGTGTTTTTCCCGGTAAGCACTGCCGATTTCTCTATGCTCTTTTTTTCATTCTAGTGTTTGGGGAAGTCAGCTGCTGATCTTAGTATGAGTCTTCATAGAAAGGATGGTGGCATTATGTTAGGTCGGTAGAGGCGAGCTTTTCGGTAAACTTCTGGTGGGGTGGGGGTTCATGATCTCAGACGAAGCAGGTGGTCTCTGAAGGTTAGACATTTAGGCTTTCTCTAGTCTCGTAGGACTACCTCTACGAAGCTAGTGGTTTCAGTTTTGGCAGCTTGATCATAGTGTCTTTAGTACCCAAGTGCCGATGGAGGTACTGTCACCAGCTTAAAGTGTTAGATCCCACGGCGCCAGCGAGGTCCCATTGATTACAATCAGCATCAAAGAATATCCATATTTATTCCCAGGAAACCCAATTCTCGATATTCGGAGACTAGGAGGCCATAAGACATCTATAATTGCGCCTCTTAACCCATTGGCTAAGTTAACAATGCCGAACGTCGAATACAAAACAGAAATGTCTACAGCTAACCAGTCCATCCCACACATCCGTTGCCACTCGGTGTAGACCGCTTCGAAGCTCCTTAGTATGGACCACCCAATTGGCCAGGGAGTTCCTTCGATAGCCCTAAACGCTGGTACTTACATAGCTAGCCTTCGATTCCTGTCGACACACGTAAAGAGGCAGCTTGCCGAGTCACCGATCGCCTGTACTCGACAATGGCAAAGTAACCGAATGAAAACTCGTATCAACCGCCGTATACAGATGTATGCACATGTATTCGAAATTGTGGCTAAACCTCTTTTTTTTTTTTTCATTTCGCCATCATAAGCCATTGTTAGCGGGCGCGTAATTTTATTTTATGCACGCAGATAATGACATGATTATAAGCTCGTACAGTAAGGAAATTTTATCCTGTTGCTAACGTTAAGCAACTTTTTTTTTTTGCAAGCTGAAAGCTCTAGCTCTAGGGGAAGCTACCAATACGTGAGCAGTAAAATGTCCAGGACGCGACGGAATATTATCTTGATCAAAAAAATTCTGGACGGTCGGAGGCACGAGCTCTAGTGGCCAAGAGCGAGAAATTCCCCGAAAACTCGATAGCGTTGGTATTGCTAACTGGTATCTACCTAGATACTCCAGTAGAATTTTTTTTGCCTTGACTCGAGTGGGAATAAATGAATTCGAGATAATGAACCAGCCGAGGTCGAAGGGAAGCAATTGGACTGGTCTCGCGTTGGTTTGGGCTGTGTTTGGCATCGCGTAGCCACAGATTAAACTCGAACCTAGGCCACGAATTAGGTCACCGCCAATGGTTGAGCTCCATGGAAGTATTAATTGGAGAATGCCGATGTCCGACGCTCAATTACGAAAGAGGAACTGTCAAGATTTAATTAAACGCTGGTGATCCAGACGGAAGGGTCACAAGACCAGCTCGAGTGATCATTCCTGCTGTCGTTAAATTGAACCGTGGAGAGCTAGTTAGCTAGTCCGACGTCCTGTGTGATTCAGATTGCATTGATGTTATCCAGGTTTTTTTGGCCGGCAGCAGACCCGGGATCAATTGCTATTTCAAGTCGCAAAAACATGGTTTTTTGAGATTATCGTAATGCAAAAGAACAGGCGAGCATCGTGGTGTAACAGGAGAATCTTGCTGAATGAGAGAAGCTTCCTTTGTGAACCCTGTTCCCCGCGGGTTCGACCGAGCTTGAATCTATCCGTGAATGGACGGAATACTGCAGCTGTATGCGCATAACCCGAAATTTCTCGAATTTCATTTCGAAGAACGAGCAGGCTTGCAAACCTGCAGGTCTGCTATGCTATGTGTGGTACAACTGTGGCGACATCACTATCAGCTGTTTCCACGAAAGTTCAAGCCAGGCCTTTGGCTAAATAGAACGGCGCATTATCTCGGTGTATCAGAGATCGGAAATTTTAAATTTTAATTGGTTTCACTTCGCCTAACTAAATATAGCTTGGAGAAACAAGGATATCTAGGCCGACGATATTTTGTGACGAAAAGGACTCGTTGTATTTCATCTGTGAATTGCGCGTGCTAAATTGATTCGAAAATGTATTCGTAACCTGCGTGAAGGGACCTGACAGGACAACGTACCACCTGCAGGGCATCTCGATCTTGCATTTCAGGCGAGCTTGGACCTCCCGTCAAACGTGTTCCATCGCAGATGCCGAATTCCATGGACAGGTAGACAGAAGATGTCGTCAGGCCCGGATGGATCCTGTTGCAAACCCAACCAAACTTCCGGATCTTCGACCCAAACTCGAAGGTAGAGTCGAGGGTTCTGTAACATCAACGGTTAAGACCAAACGGTCTCGCCTCATGCGCCAGCCTGCACGATCCTAATCCTGGGGCCAATCACCAGGCCGCAAACGCAACCAACGTATGCATGACGAGTTGAAGCGGTTAGCAGGCTGCATAATCCTACCGCCTAAAGATGCGATTTTGGTTAGGCCGTCCAAATTCGTCAGTGAAGGCCAAGCTCTGGTGAACAAGCTCTAGCTTTGTGTAGCTAGCTGGTCAGCCCTGTTGCAGGACTTTCGGTGACAAAAAAAGCCAGTTCTTGTCGTGAGCTCTCGGATGAGATTTAATCCATCAACCACCCCAGCAGTAGAGGCAGAAGATAACAGGAAAAGTCAGCAACGATGCTTTAATACTTGGGATCTTCCAGTGCTGAGTCCACTCGTACCTCATCGGAAGTGCGTTCGACACACGCAGTTAGGAGCTGGGAGGTCAGCTTGATTAGCTGCTTCTTTCGATAATCACATTACCAACTTAACTTAGGAGGAGGGCATAATAATAATAACCAACAGAGCTGAGCTGCGCAAACGGCGCTATTCATTCGGAGGAGGAGCTGAGGGGTTGAACTGAACTGAACCGACTCTCCAAAAAAAAACCGAACTTACCTTCTTGGAACCGATTGCATCGAAGCGAATCCATTCAAACCATCGACAGCTGACCTGACAACTGCATCGACACCAGCCAAATCAGCAGCGCTGCACTGCATCTGCACTGCGTTGCTAGCTGTTGCTGATTGGCGAGCATCGACGTAGATACTGAGTAACACACACATACACCCACCAACAACACATTAAACCTCGTCTCGTAGCAACCAAAAGATGTGCTACAAGGAAACCCGGCATTGGAGCTGTAACTGTTCGCCCGCAGTCTACTACAACACCTGCAAGGAGAACCCCTTCAAGAGCGTCGAGCTATGTTATGTCTTCCAGAAGCTCCAGAGCTCCTCGGGAGTCCCATGTAACGACTGTACCGTCTGGCCTACCCCGCCATCGTCCCCGTCTGCCCGCATCCGCCAACTCAAGGATGTCTTTGAGTCTCGTGCTGACGCTGTCAAGAACCCCGCCCCGACCCATGACTGTGCCCGAGGAGTTCGACATCGCCGGGATTCAGTTGGCAAGCTTGACGAGAAGTGTACCGAATGCAGGATCTGGGGCCTCCCTTGCGACTTGAAGGAACCTCACTGTAAGTCTTTATATTACTATTACTATATACCTACTGGACATATATATCTATATATTATATCTCTCTATATGATCATATCTTTTCCATCTTATCTTTCTCGATCATTATCATCATCATCATCGCTATATATTTATATATAATCATCGTCCTCATCGTCGTCGTCCTCGTCGTCGTCATCATCATCACCCTTCTCCCCTCCCCAGAACGAAACGGTGTAAGGAGCGAATCTTATACTGAGGGTTATCCGTTTTTTTCTCTTCTTCAGGTAGTCATTGCCTCCGGAATGGAACTGTCTGTGAAACCGCTAGGGAATGGCTAGGAAGGGTTAGTGGGAAGAGTCCGACTAAAAGCCGATCTTCGTCCATATCTGCTCCAGAACCTCCTATCGATATCCCAGCCGAAGACCCCACCATTTGTACCATCCAAACGACCAATGTTCAAAACGCCAGCACCGAACTTCAGCAACTCATCGATGGCACCGTACCGCCCCCGAATATGGAAGACTACTCTATTCACCATAAGGCAACCGACGAAAGCTTGGCAGATCTTAAGAAGAACATTCGTGGATTGAGGGCTGCTCTTACACTACTTGAAACTGAGAAGAAGGAGGCTAGCGAGGAACCGGAAGTTATCAGCAAGCCGGAACCCGTCAATGGCGTCCAGGACTTCACCAGTTTACCGGAATTTATGGACTTTTATATCGACAGACGCAAGGATAGACTCGGCTGGCAGGAACAAAACGTCGACTACGGCTACAACAATGTCGACTTCGACGTTTGTCCCCTGGATGATTCGCCTTCGCCTTTTATTAAACAGGACGAATCCTCGCCTATGCCCTTTTCTTCGGATGAAATCGTCATGGAATCGACCCCGGTAGAATCTTTCTTACCCGAGGAAGAACTATCCGTACCGCAAGTACCACTCGTTAATGATCTCAAATTCAGGAAATCCCTAAACGACCTAAACACAACAAGCCGAAAGGTTCGTACTGCAGCTCAACAGGCATACAGGAAACTGAAAGCCGTAGCTCGGAGCAGGAAGGCCTCACACGCCTTCAGACGCTTCGTTGAGTCGCTAGGAAGTTTGGATAATATCCTGAGAATTGGCTCCCAGACATTTGAGATGCTTCTTGACCAACAAACTCCACACTCTTTGATCGAAATCTACTGCTTCCTTCACTTCGCATACGCCATGTCCCAAGGTGATACGGACCTCCTGCCCAAGTCTAGCGAGAGAGAGTTCCAAAAGGGTCTCCTTGTTTTCAGGTCCTGCCTTCCATCTACCCCAGACGATGATGGAAACAGCCAAAGGGATATCTTTGATGAGATTGCTCATCATATGGCACATGAATTGGAATGCGCTTTGAGGTGGGCGAAGAAGCAAAATTTGACCCCAACAAGTTTCCAAGGATTGAGCTTGGAGGATGTCTTGAGACTTCACTCCCAGCGAGAAGATTCTTGCAAGGATGTCAATGATGCCGTAAATGCCGCCATGATGCACGGTCAAAACCTGACTAAGGCTACACTTTTTGGTTCTGCTCCTGAATACTCTTGCAACGCTATGGCTAGTTGGAAAGACGTACAATCACTGAGAGTCTTCAACGGCATCTCAGGATTTTTGACTGGTAAGAATGAAACTCTCATACAATTGACTTGAACTCCCCGACTAATGATTTAAATCAGGCTTAAACCGTTATGGGTCACCGTTTAAAGTTTTCACTGGCGACTTCTGCAAATCTATTGCTTCTGGTATCTACAAACACCCGCTTTACTCGAAGTCTTTCCGTCACTACAATCGACTGTTTGATGCCGATGAAATGCGAGATGCCATCAACAATGGAGTTATCTGCAACTTCGACCGCAAACTGATCGCCCATAGCCCCGTTGCTAAGGTTTTGGATACATCTTTGGAAATGCTCGATCTTGGATCATTGATCACTCTCGAAGACTTTGTTGAATATGCCCGCGGACTTCTCTTGGTTGCCCTTCTTCCTTTCTGCGTAGCCAAGCTCGTTGAAGAAGAACTCATTACCAGGTCCCAACAGCTTGTTCAACACCTTCCAGGAAATCTTCTTCGTAGAGTTCAATGGCCCGAGGGTATCATTGCCCCTGTCAAACCCGCTATGGAAGACAACGAATACGATGTTGTCAACATGGCACAGCCTACTCTTATGGATCCCTACTACCCAACTGTCTCTGCTCAATACTCACCATCCCACCACTCTTCTGTCGAGCCTATGGAATACGAAATGTATTCTTCGACTCCTGAGAGCACCCACAGCACTATCCACTCCCATGCTGAAACCATGTCTACTCCTCATACTTCTTCCTGCAGTGAAGAAGGTGATTCCCCCAAATGCAACGCCTCTCCTTCTACCCCATCCCTCGTTTGTCCAACTTGCCAAAAGACCTTCACAAACAAATCAAACCTCGCGCGTCATGAACGTACCAAGCATACTCCTGGTGCTGCTGGTTCTAAGAAGCAACTCAGATGCCCAATTCCAGGCTGCAAGACTATGCTCGGTTCTGCTCGTGCGAAGGAAAATATGCGAACACATTTGAAGAAGAAGCATGGCATCGAACGACCGGGGATGGAAGAAGTTAGATGGAGAGTTGACGTTATGGGGTGTGTATAATACTCCTGTTCGATTCTTAGTAAGAAGGAGAAAAGGAAGTATGAGTTTTTTTTTAACAGATATCTACTTCCTATAATCTCCTTCTTTTCGATTCTTAGTCATTATACCTCTTTTTATTCGGTATGACTTATTATTCTTTTCTCTTTTACCCCGTTTAACTATCCCAAACATCATCATTATTATTACTATCCCCCCTCCTCCCCTACTATGAAACACCCCCCTATAGACGTGTGTATCGATATTGCGAAATATCATATCTGCTACCTCTTTGTCATTTTATTTATTCTTCTTGATTTTTTGTCTTTGTTGTTTTTGTGCAGAGGGACCTCTTTGCGCCTTTGAGAGCTTGCCGTGCACGGGAAATGTTTAGTGTAAAACTAGGGCGAAAAACAAAAAGACTTTTTTTTATATATATATACTTATCTATACCTATATACCTATTCGCTTTGTGTGTGGCCTTTGGGTTGAGAGTTTTTGTTGGTGTTCATTTTTTTTTGTTGTTGTTGTTGATGATGTTTGGTTTTGAACCCTTTTTTTTTCTTAGTTAGAGGAATGACAAAAGCAGATACCTTTTTTCTTGTGGATATACTCTTCTTTTTCTACTTAAGTCGTGATGAAAATATTTTTAAGGAGGCTGCTAGCTATGGATGTAATGTGGATGTAGGGATTGACTGGGGAAATAATGGTGTTTGTTTCGAATCGGATGATTATGGTGGTATGCATATGCACGCATGTGGCACGGATCTTGCAGATTGATTGTATTGGCGAGCTTCTCGATGCGAGGACTGGTCTGTTGATGCATGATGTTAAAAGGGAAAAAATTACCAGGGAGAAGGATAAGTATTTTAGGAACTTTTGAGATATTATAAAAGGGGATAGTATCACTAGCCCTCCCCTTTCTTGTTTGTGCCGATTTTTTCTAAGATCTTTTGATAGTATTTTGGTTATATATCATCTAAATGAAAGATTTGGGCTCTATTTCACAGACGGCTGGTTTGCGTATTAGTTCATGAGCTGGTAGTTGGCAGGTTTACAGACGGGTTGATAGGCAGGTTTACAGGTTGTTCACAAGCAGATTTACAAGCTGTTCACAGGCAAATTCACAGGCTGTTTATAGGAAGGTTTATAGGCATTATAAGGCCTATGTAATAGATGGCCTACGTGCTGATTTACAAATATTAATAGAGTTTTGAGATTTTTAATAAAAATTTTCATTATTTTTTTATTTTATCTTATGTGAGATTTTTGTATTAGGAAGTTTACTACCAAAAAAACTACTAGGGATAACATAGGGAACCAGCACTAGCAAGAAGGGGGGCTGCGTTCCTCATTATAAATCCGCGGTTAGCTTACGGACTTATCCGTCGTGCGCGGGGGGGTGAAAGGGAGCTCTTGGACTTTAGATCGGATTTGTGAGATTACCAACTTGAATGTGATACGTTATCATGTTGATTGTCGGCTGTGGGGTTTGGCGGATGGCAGGTCGGGTAGTATTATACGAAAAAGCCAAGAATCATGAACAGGGGGGTATCTGCGCGGCACAGCAAGGGGAAGACGGAGAAGTTAAGTTATCGTGGCATAATTCCGACGCCGTGGGATTTCCTCGCGATCGAGAGGAACGTTAATTGACACATGTTTTAACGTTGCACCATTGAGTAAACTTAGTGCCTGCGCATATGCGCCTTTTGAGATCTGATTGGTTTGGGGTACCATGTGGTTCAGGCTGCAGGGGTTCCTTCTAAACCTTGTGGTCTAGGGTTCTCTTCTGATTCGATTTCGGGTAATTGGGGGGTGGGGAGGCATATATATAAATGTTCGATTGAGGCACAGATACGGGTTTTTTTAATAAAGAACAATGGGAATCTCAGGCTATGTTCGAATTTTTGTTATAAACAATGAAGAATTTTCCTCTTGTAATGCAGTTAACCGGTTTCAACTTCAACAAGGAGAAGGCCCTTCCTTCGGACATGAGCGATTGAAAAGCACAATTGATATGGAGCTAGCACAGTTTTTGATCCCCGTTGTTTTCAAGGAGTTCCTATTATCAATTCAAACTCACTAACTTTCTGGACTTAGGTATATGGAGTTACATCGTATATACTCAGTCGTTTGGGAGAAGTTTACTGGATCGGGTTATACGGATGAAAGTTGGAGCGAATGCCGTCGTGGCACAGAATTGATCGTCAGGCCATGCGCATGCGCCGAGCCCTGGGTATGAGACTTCGCCGAGCCCGTATGTGTAAGGGCTGAAAACCAAAATGTTGATATTGACCTTGGGTCAGGCGAATACGAGTTTGGAGGTCGGAGGCGCTAATTGATAGTACCTGGCGAGGATCTTATTATATGCACGTTAGAATCAATATCACTTGAAGCTGTTCAAAAGAGTTCATTTTTTATAGAGCAGGTAGGCTATTATCGATCAGATGGCGATTGATATAATGCTTTACATACATATTGTTTGAGTTTATTACAGAATAATGTTTCTACGGTGGAAAGTTGTCTCGTACCCAGACCTTGAAGGGTGGAAAGTTAGTGTAGTGAAAGTATATAGAGTACGGAACCCGCAGCGTACCCTTGCTGCACTGCTGGTGGATCAATTCCGCAGTTTTGGAACTGCATAACTAGTCAGTGACCCTTGAATGCCATGGTCTTGACGCATGGTCTAACCTCGTAATTATGATACCGCACTTTAGTTGACGGGCCTTGGTTGGTCTTGGGTATGATCCGGGTTCCTAGGACTCTGTAATACGAGATGAAGATCCTATCATGACGACTGGTCCAATGCTAATGGAAACCCCCGCGGGGCCAGTTAGGGGTGCGTATGGGCCGACATACCCATCTGTATCGTTGGACTGTTGCCTAGGGTCTTCGTATCCGCCAGCGCGCGTTCGAGCAAGCACAGCAAGAAACCGGGTGGTTGACCGGCGGCGGGGCGCGAACCTCTTGATCGTTCTAAGAGACTCGAGACTGGAGCTATCGATACCAAAAAGTATATAAGCAGCGCCCTTTCCCATCATTGTAGCTTCCCTTTCTCTACCATCACATCGATCCAGATCTATCTACATCCTCAGCTCAGATTTCAATATCCTTTGCTTCCTACAGATCCTCCTTCAATACATTTTTATCAATCAATCTATATATATACTTTTATATCTACTTTCCAAACAAATCAGAAAATATGAAGGTTTCTATGATCCTGATCTCTGCCTTGAGCTCAATCGCTCTCTACAACCCAGTTTCTGGTTCTCCAGCTCCAATTCCGGGTGTAGCTGATCTCGCACCTGAATCCGTTGCTGCCCCAATGTTTTGGATTGGTACTCCTACTCCAGGTGGACCAGAAGTTAGATTGAATGGAACTGCACAGGTATATCCAAAGGACTATCTGTTTACCGGTCGAATAACTATTATCCTAGAACTTCAAAGAGACTAACACTATATATAGGAAATTGTTGAGCAGATCAAAGAAATCAACCCCGATTGGGAGGAAGCTCCAGTTCCAACTGCCACTACTGGCGAGGTAGGTCCAAAACCAATGGATGACTCGATATTATAAGAAGTCGTGGATTCTAATATCTTCCTTAGAGCCCCACCAACGTAAAGCGTTACTTCCAAAATCGCCCTACATGCGGTTTGGTTGTGGGAGACTGGGCCGTAGTCCCATATCTCCGCGACCCAGTTATATCATATCTTTATGCGCTCGGAGCAACAACGTAAGTCCTCCTTCAACATCCATTTCAGCATGGAATGAACATAAGACTAATACTATACGTTTATAATTAGCTGCGGTGCCTACGCTAGGACCTGTTCTCGCGTTAGCTGCCACTGGTCCGCCGCGGTTGAGCTTTGCAATGATGTGAGTATTCGAACGGTTCCAATTTTATATGGAGTTTTTACTAGTCAGCATATTTACTAACGGCTTTTTTTCTATTTGGTAAAGCGTACTACAGAGGTGCAGATGAGATGCGACAGAATTGCCCATGCTGCCAATGAAATCACAAATGATTGTGCAAAGCCGGCTCCCGTTCATTGGGTCGCGAAGGGACAGTGGTTCGACACTACCGGTTACAATGTCGTTGTTCGCAAATCCAACTGCTAAATTATAAAGCATGGGGTGTGATCTATCATGACATAAATAGGACCTAGATCGAAAAGAGATGAGAGATAGATAGTACGTACAAGGCGGGGACGGGCCCATGAATTATGATCATGAGCCGCACAAAAATATATAGTCAAAATTAAAACAAAGGGGTTATACCATTTCGATTTGAAATATATTATGAGGCTCCAAATTCGATGTCCGATGCCCTAATATTTTTATTGCTTCTCATTTACTTGTTACGCTTGTTTTGCTGCTTTTTCCTGTCACATGTAATGTACATATACATACATGTACCGTCGAATTTATGTACAGGGTAAATGTATAAATACTACACTCTGCAGGTTAGAAAGAAGTTGATTACCATTTAAAACATATAACCTACCTTCGGAAGGACTAAAAAAAGCTTAGACCAGCATACGCCTAGCTAGCGATTGGGTATATGTCCACGTTCGGGGCTCCCTGCATATGGCCTGGCCAAGGAATTGACATTACTAATTCAGAAGTCGATTACAGATCACCAACGAGATTCACGAAAACGCCAAGAAAGCCAACGGACAAAAAGGGAAACAGCTTGTGCGACACGGGCTGCGGCATTCGGATCCTGACCACAGCCTCATTCTTACAAACAACAAACACTTTCGTTAAATCTGATTTTTATTTTTTTTTTATTCGAGGAAATTCGAGGATTTAATGATATGGTATCAAGCCTCGAATTCCGCACCAAGACGGAGATATGCTTTCAAAGCCAAGGGGGCATGTTCCAGCGGAAAACTTTCCGCTTTGAAAGACATCCGACGCAGAGCCGCACGATTTGTACCAGCAGTATCCCGTCACAGGATCCTACTTGATCAAAGCACCGTTTTCCAACGCACCCTCAAAGCTGAATAACCCAAAAATGCTAACTCTCGTCCACGTAATCCATTCTCCTAAATTAAGTTCTAGCTCCCGAATGTGAAGATATTTTCGCCCAAGTTTTGCTAGCTGAAATCGCTCTGCATCTAGCAATGCGGGCGGGAAGACTCGTCATGACACATGACATATCCCCGGAGGTATAGAGAACAAGTCTTTCACCCTAGGAGTTGTCCTGTCCTACAGCGAACGAGCCAATCACCAAAGGCAGATGACAACACCATGGTTCGAGCCAATGGGAAGGCTATGTCGAATTTAGGACACTCGATGCTCATCAGGTATAAATCAACTGGCACACAGTCATTCAGGCCTTCATTTGTTTGTCTCTGCCCTTGGATTCCCATTGACCTGAAAAAAGCGGATATCGAGATATCCTTTCTCCATCATTACCAACTTCATATTCGCTCCTTACGTTCGAGGAACGGCCTCTTTTTTTTATCTATACATAAGCATACGTTGGTAATACCCCGCTGGCGTTGAGGTTTTCCAAAGAGACGGCGTAACATACGTAGTCCCCGCATTTACGTTCTTGCTAGACCTCTCGTTTTTTTTAGAAAAAAAAAAAAAAAAAATTCCTTCACGATAGTTCTTTCCGGGGCTTTTCTATCGTTAACATTCCACAAAAACTTTATATAAATTAACGTCTTACGCTTTCAAGACTTACTCGATATCCTTACTCGATATCCTTACTCGTTTTACCTAAAAAATCTCGCTACCCCCAAGCCGATACTTCGAGAACTCGTTTACTCGAGTTCAGCCTCCCGCGATCGTTTCAACGCCGCAATTTTCGATTCTGCGCCAGCACGTTAGCAGCTACCGACGGATACCGGTATAACTACCACACACGCATACCTACAAAAAAAATATTTATTTTACTTTCACAAGGCTTTTTGAACTTGGACGAAACTAACCCGGTAAACTACCGTCACAACGTCGTCCTCTTCTTCAATTCTATCCGATCGGGTTCCTGTGCCAGACTAGGGACCCCAGCTTTTCTTTCCGACTTGGGGTACGCCCTCCAACACGAATTAACGTTTGTGTAACACGAGATTCGTTTCCCTTGGGCTTGAGTCACGATCGAGTACCATGGACGAATCATACTACGACGAAGCCGCGGACCCGACTTGGTTCGATAAAATGAACATAGCCGATAAACTAGAGCTTTACGACTTGAACAGGCAACAGCAAAGGCCGCCACGCGTACGCTCCAATGTCGGTTCAGGGCCATTTTCTCAATATCGGAACACCACCGCATCCGGGTTTTTGAGCCCGATCCAGAATACTCCAGCTGCCTCGCAATACGATATTATGCTCGATAAAATGGATGCAGCCGAAAGAGAAACATACTTCGGTGGATACAGTAGAGAGCCGAAGCCGCCATATGTACATCCCGACGCCAATTTCGTGTCGTTCTATGAATATCGCAGCAACGACATCGATGGGTTCAGTTCGGATGGCAATACCCTGGCTGCGTCTGAATACAATAACTCGTTTGGAACCATTGAGACCAGTACTACGTTTTGCTCTCCTATCGAAAATTTAAACGATAGTATGGGAACTTGGCCGAGTTTCAGTCCTAGTGCGGGTAGCGTTGATGTCAATCTTATCGACGCAATTGTTGGCGAGTTTAGGAACAGGAGTTCGATTGTATCAGCACGACCTAGTCCAAACCTAGCTCCACAGTTCGATCTCGAAGACATTGAAGGGTTGGAGGCATTAAGCGCCGGCAATTCTAGGGAGGTGGCGAAAGTAGCCGGCCTGACGGAGGGAACTTCGTCATCCTTGTACGATAACTTTGGAAGGGAAAGGTTCAAGAAATTGAAGCGGTCCGTCGACAGTAAGTTCTTGAACTCATTATGTTGTTTTATTCTTTCCTCGCAATGATTCTTTGAGTCTAACATCATTCCGCACTCCCAGAGTACAGCGAAATTTTAGATGCGTCGGGATCGGATTCGCAAGAGGATCACGCGGGAGAGCGAACTATTTCAGCAAGTCGAGGACGGGAGCGCCCTCGAATCGAAACAGCCTTCGACAATCGACAGAATCCTCAACCAACTAGAAGTCGCAGGACTACCGGTTACAATCGTGAACCTGCGCAAAGGGATCCCCGCGTGGGTGGAAATTCTATTCCACTCATCAATACCATCCCACCCTCCCAGGGAAACCATGGAGGTCAACGAACAAGCAACACCGATAAACATCCTCGAAAACGGACCCGGCATGCTCCAGCGTTCCGACAGCTTGAACCCAAGTCTGGACCTCATCACGTCTCATCCGTTCCTGATCCAGCTCACCCAACGCAGCGAGAACCTGTTCCTCGCCCCGCAAATGGCGAGTTTAAATGCACCGTAATCGGTTGCACAAGGCGGTACAACAGGAGCGAAAATCTTTGTCGTCATCTTAGGGTGGACCACCGCCATCCTAAGGTTGACTATAAACCAAGCGACGTACGTTTGATGTGCCCAGAGTGCGGGGCGATGCGTAGTGGCGGAAGGGCGCAAGAAAATATGAATACTCACATGAGGGACAAGCATGGGTTTATCTCTCATGTGTGAATGCAGCGTATAAGGATCAATTATACCTATAAGATTTAGAGGTGGACATCATTTTTATCTTTTTTTCTTCTTCCTTCCCTTTTTTCTTCTTCATTAAAATTTTTTTCTAAAAAAAATATTTCTTCTTCTTCTCACCTATCCTTTTTGATGCATTAATGGCTCCAACACTATGCATTAACGACGACTATGATCGAGATTTATGGCAATCACAGTCGAAACATGTATTTGATTTTTATTGTATCATGACTCCTGGAATACAGCACAAGCATGTACTACCCTCAAAATAATGCTAAAACATTGTTATTCGCTTCGACTAAGTCGTTACATAGATATACTTGTTACCTAAATATAATATCTGCCGATACACCCACGGCTCCAGTGCACAACTGGTCTACCCGCAAAGATCTTCGCAATCCGTAACCCAATCTTAAGCCTGCCGGGTACTAGAACAACGCCCGCATGTGCCAGCTTGCCGCTAGCTACCGTAGTACTATAAATCAGCCGCGTTCTCGGGTTACTTCTAGAATTCTATTCATCGCCTCATAACCCATAGGGCTGGCACCCCGCCACAGCCACGCATTAGCCTAAATAATCAAGTCGGGTCCAAAAGGAAAATAAGCTTTGGACTAGAAATTAAATACGAAAGGTTACACAGACAATAAACTCATGTGGACTCCAATAACCTCAGCACATACAGTCTATCTAACATTTTAAAAATGCTCTCAAATAACGTGTAGCGCTATTTTGGACCGGAAAACGTGGTTATCGAGACCCTCACACATGGTGCTGCCATGCATGCACGCATGTACAATTACCACTTACAAGGTCAGCTAACTAGTTGTTCGAGACCCTAGGATCTAAAGTTGTGGGCTTAATACATCAAGGGATATATTTTATAAGCTATAGAACCTCGCCTTAGTAGCTGAAAGGATAGCTATCCAACCTCCTTCATACTCGATCAAATCACCATGCAGTACAGCAAATCTTTGAAAATGCTGTCCCATTCCGCTCTACTCTTCCTCACCATCTTCCTATACTCCACCCCCTCAACAGCCTTAAGCTACTCCATGATCTCCACCAAAGACAAAATCGACGACCCCAAAGGCCGCACTCCAAAAACCTACGTTCAAACCCGTCCGGTAGGATGTACCTCAATGACCGAAAGTCCAATAATCCGCACAGACGCAGACGCAAACACCCGACCTGCAGACCAAGGTAGTTGGGCCGGTATATCCATCCACCAAGATCAATGGTCTCAAGAATCAAAATGGATGGGTTTCTGGGCTAGACGAGAGTGTAACCGTAACCTTCCTTCGCTAATTATTCATTGGTACCCTGACGCACCTACGGATCAGATTTTTGATATTCGTAGGCTGAAGGAGTATCTACCTAGATTGACTGAAGGGGATTATAGATACATGAGCTGGGGGGAGATGTCGGTTGTTCCGCAGGCGATACAGGATAATCTAGCCCCGGGGTCTATTGCTATACGAGAGAAGAAGCCGAGCAGAGTACTTGGTTCTGAAGATCAGGCGTGGTATGGGGTGTTTGAAGATGTGGTTATGATCACGACTAATCCGTACGATGAAATGGAGAATGACCTTTCTGGGTTCAGTGCACGTGGGGCTGGGCGAAAAGGGAAGCAATTGCACCTCACTTTTAGGAACGAGCAGTTCACGAGGGCGAAAGACGGTCCTGGGGGCGAGGATTATCCAATTCCTGAGGATCAGCTGCAGGATCAGAATGTGGAAGAAATACCACAAGAGGAACAGATTCAAAATATGGAGTTTGAACAAATACAACCGGAAGGACAAATTCAGAATGGGGGACAGATACAACAAGAAGAAGAACAGATTCCAATGTCAGAAGCACAGGTTCCGGTATCTCGCCAACAATCTGGAGGAATAATCAACTCCCCGGTGCCAATACAAAGGGGCGAAAGTTCCGCATCTTCGGAACGGCAATCTTCACTCGGAGGGTTCCCAGAAGCCACCGTCCTACTACGTCTAGGCGCAGAATCGCCACCATCTGCCAATCAAGAAGAAATCGGCGTGACTAATACGCAAATTGCTATAGAAAACATTCCGGCAAACTTCCAACAAGGGAACATGGAAGAAGAATTACCCCCCAATGCTCAAAATCCAGAGCCACAAGCGCAATTCAGCCCAGGTGTGGGCGAGATAACGTCAGCCGTGAATCAGTTACAAGTACAATTACAAAATGCGATGAGCAATCTAGGAGCACCTGATTCACTAAATGTGGATGCAGTACTTAATAACCTCGGTACAAATGCAGATAGCATCGCCCAATCGATACGTATACTGGGTCCTGAAAGTGCCTTAACTTCGGTCCTCAACAGGATCTCCGCCCAACGGTTGCATTCGGAAATGAGCTTGCTAACACCCGTTCAAACGATGGAATTAGCAGGACATCAGATGTCTAACTGGGGCCCGTTTGCTCTTGCTAATGCCTTGGGAGAGTTGAGGATCAGACGAGAAATTAGATCTGGACTACTTACCCCTGCAGAGGCGGATGAGATAAAAGCTAGAGCGGATGTTGTGAGTAATACTGAACTAGAACTTGCAGCGAAAGTTATCCGAGAGGTGGGGGGGAGAGCAAGATCTACCCAAAACCAGGCCCCAAATCAAGTGCTAAACCAAGCCCAAAATTCCGCGAGGGTCCAATTAGGGCCAGAACTGCTAACTGAGGGTACACCGAGTAACAATGATCTACTGGAGAATATACCTCCAATCAACAGTTTGAACAGTTTCGCAGAACTGTCCGGCCCCGGAAATCAGGACTTACTCCAAAATGGTCGCTTACCGGGAGGGAACATTGAGTTCGAAGAGCCAGTTGTGCCCGCTCAACTCGAACAGAGTATTCTTCCAGCAGCTCCAGTACAAGGCTCCATACAAGGGCAAGGTACTCAAGTCGAAGCACCAGCTACAAATCCACTTGTCCAATCACTTGTCCAATCACAAGCCCAAGAATTCGATGACACAGAAGACGATGAAGCATGGAAAACCATTGTAGTTCACGGACCTATCGAGGAAGAAGACGATACTATCCGAACGCTGAACCGTGGCGCAGTCATAAGCAATATGCTTAATCGTGTCGACGAACTTCAAAGAAGGCATCGGAATCCTCGAGATAGCTATAGTGCTTCGGAGTCTGAAGCAGCGCCTATTGCTAGTAGCGAATCACAAAGCGATTTAGCTTCTGAATCTTCATCATATGTACCAAAAGGCTGGGAAGTGGAATCTAGTTCGAGTGGTATTGAGGAGGGGGAATCTTCCCCGACTCAAGAGGATCTAAGTGAGGAACAGTTTATTGCAAGCGATGATGGTTTTATTGCAACCGAAGAGGATTCTAGTGAGGAGGGAGACTACACTCCATCGGCATCTTCACCAGAAGAGAGAAATGATTCTCCGGTTCGGCTTAGGCGTGGACGTAGTCGCGGCCGCCCGAGAACCTAAAAACCTGCAGATAGCAACATAGATATTAAGGTAATACAAGCTAACGAAAATAAATCTAGATTTATAGATACTGTGGCTGCTATGTAATTACCACCTGCACCCCCGCGGATAGGATAAATTAATACTCTTCCCAGATCTCCTTTCTCCAACCCTCTGTTAACCGCTCGTCGCTTCCGTATTTTTGTTGCCATTCAACGAAACCGCCCTCTAGCACATAGACCTCCTGATCCACTTTTTTGCCCACGTTCTTGTAAAGCAATTCGTCTTCCTCGCTACTCGCGATCCTTTTCCTTGCCTCTAACGCCTTCTTTTCTCTGACATACTTCAACGCCGCAGAAGGCCCCCGCTGTTGTGATAATGCGCAGTGGAAAACGACTTTATCATGATCTTTCAGTTCCTCGATCAAACTATCCAACCTGATAGAAAAAGTTGAAGAGGGACGGTGTAAACAGCCAATTAAATGACCGCCAATGTAGTCTATTTATGCATTTATGCAATTAACACTAACATTTATGCAAAAGGGAATATATACTTCGGAAGTCCAGAATCTACTAACCAGAGTCTCTAACATCAACGATAGCAATTTTCTCCTGCTTTGTTGTACCGTCTGCGCTCTCCACGGCTACAACTTTTGTCTTCAACAACTGCTCCGCCAACTCATCCCTTCCGATTCGTTTCAAATCCGCAATCGATGTGACTTCCATTTTCTTAGGCCCTTGTAGACCAAATTTTTGGGGTTTCGAATGGTGGTCCTCGGGTTGTGAAAAGTTGGTATTAAGTTGTCGGCTGTAACACCAGTGATGAGCTCGAGGCTGGAAGGAGCGGGGTGGGGGATGATTAATTGCCGCAAAGTGGGTGGGGTGGATGCGGCGGAAATCGCGTCGGGAAATGCGTCGGGAAATCAAAATGCGGCGTGGAAACATAATGCATAAGCGGGGTTGTCAGTTGAAGATATTTCGTTCCAGACCTCCCTCCCTCGCAATTAATTGATAAATTGACTGAAAACCTTTGATTTACTCTCAAAGGCCCATTCCAGTTTAATCAAATTAATCGAATTTTCGAGATAAGAATAGGAAAAATTCCTGTTAGCTCTGCCCTCTAGGCCTCTACACCAGCTAGTACCAGCGCCGTACGCGTAGTGAAAGTTTCACATAACACCTGTTTTACCAATGCAAAATAGTATTATTTTGTATTTTAGTCAAACCCTGTTACGCTGTACGCGATTTAGTAAATTTGTAAATTTATAACCTTAGAATATGCTGTTCCAAAGGGATACTACAAATGTAGTCCGCTGCGCCCCTAAGAATATATCACGAGTTTGACGATAAAATGCTGTACTGCTAGTAGAGTAAAAAAAAATATTTATATCTAGGCCAAGATATCAAAATGATTAATCTTCTGGATCGGCAGTCTCTGTATGGATCGGGGAAGGCAACAAGACACAAAATTATAGTCCAAACAATACAAATATCCATTTTTAACTAGATATATATTCTCTGTTCTAGTTACGTTTGCAATGATGCTAAATGCTAACACCTGAAGATCTTTTTTTTTTTAAGCTAAGAAGACTCATTTGTATCTGAGTCTGTAGCGTCATTGTAACCCTCCCCCTCTGAATCGTAATAATCGCTTCTTGCATCGTGGTCGTCCCCACCAGGGTCGCTACCGTCAAAGCTTTGGTCATCTTCGTATTCTTGGCTATCGCTACCCGTATAGTAGGACCCGGAATCAGGTTCACTATCAGACCGATAGTCCGACGCATATTCTTCGCTTTCTGGGCGCGGGGGATTCCAAACGTGAAGCCAGAATTCGTTCAAATACCATGCTGGATCTCCTTTAGGAGGAATCATCGTTTGAAGTTGCGGCCAGCGGTCCAGGACTCGAGGTCGGGGCCAGGCTCTGCGTTTCGTGTAGATGAAGGCTAGTTGGGGGACGACTTTGCTCTCCCATTTCTCATCTAGTATCTCCAGCTCGTACAGAAACTTCCAATCTTCGTTCCGCGGTATCTCCCCTTCACGCAATTCGGTAGTGGAAACGCCTGCAGCAGAAAAGTTGAAGAAGCTGCTCCTGGGCATCGTGACTTCGTTAAAATAAGTCGGCTCGTTGTCGGGTTCTTCTGGGCGAGTACGTTCAATGCCGTAGCTTTGAAGAATTTTCACAACCTCGCTATGGCCCTGGTATCGAGATTTGCCGATGGCCTTCGCTTTCTCATCGTTCACGTAAATGAAAGCCTCGGAAAGACGGAAGTAGGCCCAGTGTTCTGCGCTGAATTCTGAACCTTCTGTGTATATATCTGGATGAGCTTCGGGATCAACCAGCTCAATGTATTCCTGCTCGTTTGAAAAATTAGCTTCAGATGAACTGATATCGTATAAATCGCAGGGCCAGATCATTCATAGCTAACCCTACGAGTTTGCTCAGCTCCAAAAAAAGCGATATCTAAAAGAGTGCCGGAAAATATAATATCATGTCTATACTCAAATCTGACACGCTCATCCAAGCGATCGTGCATTCCATGTCCCAGAAGGAATTTGACTGTCTTCGGTCGTCCCATACACACTGCCTTTGTCAATGCAACCGTTTGTGTAATATTTATTAAGCGCCAGTGACCAAGCTCTAAGCCATCGTCGATTGACCGATCGAAATTCAGAAGAAAATCCATTAATTGTACGTCTTCCTCATCAGACCGCCATCTAGACCGATGACCACTAACTGCTGAGAGGATAGCTGTATTGCCTGACTCTGAAGTAAAATATATTTGTGCGCCACATTCAAGAAGAGCCTTTGCCGCGTTGATAGTAAATTCCAAGGCTGTTTCTGGGAAATCTTTGGACACATCATTGTCGGAACTTAAGAGAGCTAGGAGAGGGGTATCTCCTTTTTCGTTCAAGGAATCGACCCTGGCAGGTTTTGGATGGAGCTTGGACGTCAGGCACCGGAGGGCCTCTCCCGAGTGAGGGCCGGTGCCCGCTCTTATGACCCGGTGCATCAGAGGGAGATAAGTATCTGGGGGGTCGGGGTCTTCCACTCTTTGCATGAGGGATAGGAGCACGTCACGGTATGTTTCAGAGTGACAAAAATCTTCGCAGGATCTATGTACCCATACTTCCAGAAGATTATCGTAGAAGCTCTCCCTCCTGTCACCGTTTCCCAAGTCAATTTTTGTATTTGCACCGGCCTCTATCAGTGCGATCACCGCATGCCCTTCCAGCCATCCCTTCTGGGCCCCGTCAGATCTCCCAGAGTAGGGCATTAGCTGTTTTCGAAACGGGACGTAGAGCGGCGTCATGCGAGATTGATTTCGAGCCTCGATGTCCACTTTATGCTCGATCAAAATTTTCACCATCTCCTTGGTCACATTGATGGTATCAGCCCAATTGAGTCGAGCTTTGGCGGGATCCGAGACTCGTAAATCTGCCATAAGGTGCAGTAGGTTATTTCCTTCCTTGTCCTGCACACATGCGCTCTGGGGGTCCTCGCCTAAGAGCTTACGGACGCTCTCGACATCTCTCCGAGTTACTGCCTGCCCAAGTGGCAAGGTCGAAAGCGAATCGGTAGTAGGGATTCCGACCCCCCATACGTCCGCAACACTAGACGCGGGAGCATGAGAAACAGATTTTACAGACCCCGAATCAGAAAGTGACCCTGGGAATGAATCATCGCTATTGATGCTAAATGATGAGTTCCGAGACGTCGGCGCGGACGGTGTAAGAGTAATTGAATTCAAGGGTATGCTCTGGCTACCGCTATCAAGTCCCCAATCACCTAGGCTATCGTGGCCCTTTATCAAGGCTATCAGCTGGCTGTTTACAAATTCACCCCATATCCATGTGGTTCGGATTCTCGAGCACTCACGTTTACCATACCTCGTGTTTTAAATTCGACTCTGGTCTGTGGGCGCAATAAATCCTATATAAATTCCCGCTTCCGACCGTGCCGCTGCACAATTGAAGGGCAGTTCTATTCTAGAGCTACCGAGGATTTTGAGGCAATCCGGACCTGCTAAATTGAAATTTTGTAGAGCTTGTTGGAATGTAATATTAAAGCTTGACGACACGATAGCTAAGATGTTGATTAGTTTTGGAGCAGGATCCAACTTTCTGGATGCTCATAACAAGGTTACTAGCTGCTCAATTATATACTACGTCGGTCACCAAGCACTCAGTTATATAACATTGCAGAGAATTGGAGCTTTCCTTGGCCAATCATATTTTAAGACCATTTTATAAAGTGGATCTCGGAAATGGAACTAACTCACTAGAGGTTATGACATGCCTTGTTTGTCAACTTCGTCAAGGGCCCCTAGCTACATGTACATGCATGATGCTTAAGCTACTTGGAAAAATATATTCACCAGCCAACCACGTTGCTGGATAAACGAATAAAGAATGTCTTTCTCATCTTATCGTTAGATCCTGCCCGGAATGCAGATGCATAGCTCACTTAGCAATATAATATAATGTACGTATACACGTCCTTAAATCAAATTCACTTGTTTAACGGTTCTGTCAGACCAGGTCTCGTTTTGCGTCTGGCTTCTCTGATCCTTCAGCCTTAGCTTAGTCTCGGAGCCCCTCAGTCTTATAAAGCTGCAAGTCTAAAGTTGAAATATATATTTGCTCCGGGTACTTGATATAAGAAGTTTGGCCTTGTTGTTTTATAATTTACCGTCTTTCAATCAATATGGAGGTATACACAACTGCTAGCACCGCAATTCATGACATATACGCGATTACAGTTTTCATTCGTACCGTAATTCAAGACGTCAAACAGCGGCAGCAAGCCCTCGAAGATATCCAAGCTCAGCTCGAACATGAGTTTCTTTTTCTTGAGACCTTCAACATTCTCTTCTTCGGCGACGACGACCGCTCCGGTCCGTGGTTCAGAAGTCTGCCGGATTTATTCCAGCGAGATCTTAACAACATTCTCACCAGTTTGAGACGCTGCCTTGACGCTTATGACAACGTCGCTCTGAAACACGGCTTGAACCTGTCCGAAGCGAATTCAACTTTGGGCAGAGAAGACAAGCAGGACGAATCTTCTACTCCGGATACCCTACCTTCGGAATCTTCGAAAAACAAGGTCGGGCGTTACCGGTCTATTATAGAACAGATGACGAAGAAGATTGCGTGGAAAGAGAGAATGAAGAAACTGGAATGGGCTTTGTTTGATCAGGAAGAGGTCAAAAAGTTAACGGACCAGTACAGGGAATGGACCGAGCGGCTGCGCCAGGTCATGACCCTCATCCTTCTCATGAGCGGAAACCTTGGAGGCTACGCTATTAGCGACCTCGGAGTTGACGTTGGAGCGAAAATAAGTAAAGCCCTCGGCGTCACCAAAGCGGTTCGTCGTCAAATCCGTGCAAAGTCAGAAGTTCCCAAAAAGTTTCCCGCATTGGAAGGCAGCTTCGATTCAGATGGCAATGGGCGTATCACCAAAGCTTCCTCGTACACTGTTGGAGTCTTCCATGACCAGCAAAGTGGATCTTACAACGCCATCATGGAAACTCATGACTTTATCATCGTTGACGATGGCAGATCGGAACGCGAGAGGCAAGAAATGAAATTGGAGCTCGTTCGCCGCCTGGCTTGGCTTCTCCAGGGTGATATCTCCACAGCCGAATCCACTGACCCAAATAATGGCACAGCGCCGATGTATCTCCTCCAATGTCTGGGATATTATGTTTTGGGAACAAAGCTATCCCTGATTTACAAAGTCCCATCCCAAGGTGGGACACCAACTACCCTTCACGACTGGATGATTCATGACGAACGGAAAGAGTACGAGCTCGTCGAAAGAGAGAAAGCGGTCAGAGAAAAGGAAAAAAATCCCAAGCCGAGTTCGAGGGAGAAATGGGAGATTTTAAAAGAGAAAAACAAGATATTAGAAGAGAGGAAGAAACTAGAAGCCGAGCGCCAGAAACAGCAGGCCAATCTTTCCGACCGCTACTTCATCGCTTGGGCGCTTGCGTCCACTCTCTATAATATTCACGCCTCCGGTTGGGTCCACAAAGACATCTGGTCTCGAGCGATTCTAGTCTTCCGGGCCGCTAACGCCCCCTTATCTAGCCAACGAATTATTCCCTATCTTCTGGGCTGGTCTGTCTCACGCCCACAGACCGAGGAGTACCGCGATGTTTCTAAAAGACAAATTCCTAACCATAAGAACAAAGACGATCTAGAAGACAATCCTGATGCGGATGGCGAAATTGAGAATGGATCGGACTCCGACCCCGGTTCTGACGAGGAATCTGAGTCATCTAGGGCTCAGGTATTCGACCTAGAGCACGAACTCTACCGCCACCCGGAGAGGTACTACGGTAAAACGGCAACCTATGAAAACAAGCACGATATCTATTCTCTTGGAGTAGTACTATTAGAGATTGGTCTTTGGTCCACAATCTCTATCGAGATGAGTACCGCGATTGACACAGCGCGAAAAAGTTCATCAGCTCCGCCAACACACATCATGGAACGGCTACAAGAGCAAATCAGGCTGAAGAGTGAGGATCAACGGCTAGCCAACCAGATGGGTCCGGGATATGCAGAAATTGTCCGCAGATGCCTCACAGGGTCGTTTGACTGTTTGAAGGGGAACTCAAAGAGTAACGATGGGGGAGACGCTGAGCTAACAAGGGAATTCCATGAGCTGGTGGTGGAACCGCTTCGGCTTAGAGCGACGATGGGTTGAGAACAGGAAGCAATGCTAAGATACACATGCATGTAGTCAGAAACTCTGTATTGTATACCTCTGGGTCAATCGAGAACCAGAACGCCTATCCAAATATGCAACAAAACAACATACGTGCACAAAAATATACTACGGAATTCCACATGTGGATTTATTCTGCACCAAATTTTAAACCTCTCACTCTGTAATCGCCGAAAGCTGTTCTAGTAACTAAATACAAACGTCCATAACAGTATCGATTGACTGGTCTTACCCGGATAATAAAGGGAACGATTTATCACGATTCGAAATAAACGTCGACAATTTAATAGCATGTGGTATTTCGACCCCCCAACGCAATTTTTAAGTTGACCATATTAATATTCCATTCCACATGGTCGCAGACTCAGACTCAGATCTAGAACGAAGAAGATGAATTTATAAACCTAATAAATTCAACATGAGATTCCTTTAATTAGCGCTTTGTTCAGGCCATGTTGTGGCTCTGTATGACTATATATAAATATAAGATGTTAACATATAAAACCGATGCTGTTTTGTCCTCGTCTCAAGCATCGTTGGGCTGTTGGGGACTGCATGCGTAAAGTTATATTCCAATTGCTTGAAACTAATACAAACCAAAAAAAAGGAACAGTCTATGAGTATATTAGCACTTTGAAGTCAGGTTCAGCGAGTTAAAGTACGATAGGTATCGTAGGTATCGTTTTGTAAATGTTGCATATCTGCACAGTTGAGGAGTCTGGCGACGAGAAAACATATCTGTGCTCTGCCTTACAACAGACAAGCTTGTGCAACTGTATACGAACCTGTTCCATGAACATTAGCAAACTAAATCCCGCCACTCCCACATTGAGTTTCATAGCTCCGATGTCTTCCTTTTAGCTTGGGATTCATACCTATTCTAGTTTTTCGACAATTGCTCGAAAATATTTTCTCTCCTCCCCTAACATAATAATGTATCAAAAAACCATAAAGTTAGTGGAAAATTCAAACAGGTCGCCGGCAGAAATTCGAAACAGCAGAAGTTGGTCCGAATTGGCACCAAAGTTCCAAAAGTATATATAACATGGCCACCATTGCAATCGGGAAAATCAAAAGAGTCTATTTTCCTAGTAGCGTAAATAGATCGATGGCAGCGCTCATCATAATCTACGTTTTGACATCGAAATTAATTCTTGGGATTATCCTTCCTTAATATCTATAGCTATCCATACTATCACTATACATATTTTTCCCTACCCCAAAGGATATTCCCCACCTAGCTAGGCCTATCCAATAAAAATCATGAAAGTTTCCATGCTCCTCCTCGCCGCAAGCGCAATAGTCTCAAGCGCATCGGATGTCGGACTTGTACGTCCATGGGAGGATTTGGACGCCATGGAATATGCCTCCGGATCCCCAAAGTGGCACACTTACTCCATTGAAGAGATCATGAAGAAAGTGGTAGACGAAGGGTTTGGCCATCTTCCCTTGGTAGTTACTTGCACATCTTACTTCTATTGGGTATCTGGCCGTGCGCCAAGGATTACTACAGCACTCGTTTATAAATTTCCTTTTACTATAAAACATTGTCGGCTTTTTTGGTGTCACCCTGAGGGGCAGTGCGTATTTCGTCTTGATGGAGACGGAGGGACGCAAAACTGGATGCAGAGGAATTGGCGTCGTGCGGGTAGGTCAAAGGAGATTTGTAATGCGCCTGAAGGACAGGAATGGAACATTGAGATGCCGGATGGGTATGTGCCGTGTGTAACCCCGTGGAACGAGGCATAGTAAGTACGGCTCTAGTCTAGCTCTTTTCCTCCTCCTTTTGCTCATAGAATAATTTTAAACTAACATATACTTCGATAGGCGGTATTCCAAACATTTGCTTTGCCAGGGTGCTGCCGAGGCCAACAGGATTTGCAGAAATCGGAGCGTGACAAGATCTAGGACGTTTGAGCAAATGTCAGTTTTTATAAGATCTATTTATACAAATTCACAAGAGCAGATCTCGATATGATGCGTGTTTATACTCGAGGACGGGAATTAATTTAGTTTGTCAAATTTGTTACTGTTTTGTATATCACTTTATATGTACGTAGTTTTGGTGTTCGTCCTTCGTATATCTCATTCTCGTGCCTTGACCGCGAACCTCTACAGTAACAATATTCAAATCAGTTTTCAAGTTTATACCATCGATCATATCGTATTTTATATTCACCAATATCGTACAGCTATCTTACACTATGTCGAGTATTTTGCAAAAGAAGCTAGCCTAACCCCTCCTTCTCCTATCTCTATCAACCACCTTTCTCCTCTTCTCAAACCTCTCACCAATCCTAGCTTCTCCTTCAATATCAGCCCCTCTCTTCCTACTCCTAGCCAACATTCCACCTCCATCCTTCCTCTTCGTCAATCTTTCAATCCTATCCAGCCCCATACCCTTCTCCAAACTCCCCCAATCCTCACCACCCCACTCTCTACCCCTCCCGGCATCTCGTCTAGCCTTCTCCTTCTTTTCTTTCTTACTCATACCAGGTAATCTCACAAAGTTAGATTCCTCATAATCTCGTCGTTCACGTTCCTGATCTCTTTCCCGTGCGGTCTTTGTACGTCCTAACCTCCCGACGTTGGAACCAATACTTGGTTCCGCTACCGGTGCGGCACCAGGCATGGATGAGAGGTACTCATCGATAACTCTGGCCTTTTGTTTCCTTCCTTCTCCACCTCTTTGTTTAGCATCTGGATCGTTATTGAGTTCATGCGTGGATGGTGCGGATGGCATGACTACGGGGTTAAGTTTTGGTGGTCTGTATACTCCTTCTTTTGCGGAGTTATCCATGTTTTTGGAAGGTAGTGATGCAGACGCCGGTTTTGCGAGTGAAGATGGGTTTGGACGGTAGCTTAGCGCGTTTTTGAGGGTTGCTGTTGCTGGTGTGGATTTTGAATTTGAACGGGGTTTGGAAGAGAGGTCGTCGGAGTCGTAGTTTAGGGTTTTTGGAAGTTCTGAGTCTGATTCTGAAGTTATTTCTTCATCGGAATCGATTTCTTCGTCTTCACCGTCGTCGCTACCTTCACCATCCTCCTCATCATCATCATCCTCGTCTTCATCTTCTTCTAGCTCTTCTTTCTCCTTCTCCAATCGAACCTTTTCCCTTTCCCATTCACTCGCTGCTTTCAATGCCTTCTCAATTTGGTACTTGAGTTTATTCTCACAGGGTTTGATACCCTTTTCCAACCACAACCGGAGTGTCGCAAGCGTCGACAATAGGTCTTCAGCGCCAGTGGTATCAACGTCTTGTCCATTGGTGGTAGTATCACCGTCCTTCTCCGATTCCGAAGAGCCAGAAATACCTAGCGATCGGTTCCGTATCCGAAATAGTAGGAGGTACGATAAATGATGGAGATATGATAAGAATATATCATTCTTGATATCGAGAAGTGATAGTCCCGACGTCGATTGTGGAGGAGCAGAAGGGAGGGAGTTGGCAGTTGATGTAAGGGATGTAGTTAGTGTCGAAAGCAAGGTCGCCAGAGGCGGCGATGAAGCGACGGCTGCCATCGTGATTGTTGGAAAAGAGATGGTTGTGGCGATGATGCTGATGCTGGGTGGGTTTGTCTTTCTCGCAGAAATCGCTGAAGGTTTTTTCAAGGTGTCACAGGAAATAGATTTTTTTTTTTTTTTTTTTTGAAGGGGACAGCAATTAGCGTGACTCGGACATAAGCGTTATACCCGATTCATCTGTCGACCACGCGGGGTGGTGACCACGGACAATATTGATCTACAATTCCACGTTTTAAACGATTATTTCTCGAAGGTACTAAAACGATAATAGCTCGAGATATCTATAGTTACACACTATGATGATGATTGTATTGGAGATCATAATGTTAATGTCGTTGATACCATTTACCCCGTTCTGATCAAGCTATGGACGCCTGCAAACAAAAAGATATGATAGACACTATTGAGGAAAAAGACAAAAAAAGAGACAATCGCTATCGCCGTATTTCGCGCACCACTATCCGATCCGACCTACCCAAAGCCTGAAAATGGAAAATTAAAAAACGAAGCGCCTAAAAGGGAAATAAGTGCGACAAGAGAGGACCTAACTCCGTCTAAACAATGAACGGGGGAGAACACCGTACTTGAAGCGGAGGGAAGGGAGGAAATGCCACAGATAAAGCATTGCGAGGTATATGATAAAAGGATTTTCCAGCAAAGAGATCATAGCGCAGGGGAGAAGAGCTAATGAAGGAAAAACATAAGGTATCTTTAGATGGAGAGAGGCGAACAGAAAGTGTAAAGAATAACTCCGAGGCTTGATGAGGCTTGAGGGCAGGAGAGAGCCCAGAAATTGATAAAGCAATACCTAAAGCAGTGAATGTAGGAAGAGAGTATCGAAAGAGGGCCGTGCTTGCCGCAGATATAGTAGCATGTAGACCCATCCACCAGCAGCGAAATGGTATCAGGGTCTAAAGCTGGGCCTAGACCCACGGCAGGTGTGACCTATCTCAAAACGCATCCTCTAAGCTATCCCTGACACACTTTCTAACTTTCTTCTTGAATTCAGGAAGATTTTCTCGCCACATCTTTGCTGCATCAAGGTTCGCTGGTGACTCGTCGTTTGGCGAAGAAAGCATGCTAAGGACGCTGACAAGGATAGTTTCGGGAGTATGGACGGGAAGCCAACGTTCGGCAGCCGATTCATAGCCGTATCTAGAAGCCAAATTAGAGCCAGTCCCAGTAATAAAAGATGGAGAACAAAATAAATAGATTATGTATCGTACTTGTCTTCCTCCGGTGGGTGAAGGATGGAAATGCAGACTTTGCCTTCAGGATAGACTAAAAAGCTGTTAGTTAGGGACCACGCGCGAACCGTAGACGTGAAAAAGAGCCTAGATGGAGCTAAACATACTATTAGGATGCCAGATCGGACTCTCGAACTTCATCTCGGGCGGCATGAGAGGGTATTCTTTTGGAAATATGAGTCTAGCTTTGAAGAATCCACCTAATCGCGATGTAATCAGCATTTTGGATCCTTTCAGTGAACTCTCGATGCCTGATTTCCTATCAGGTCGAACAACCCAGATTGGAACGGTCGTACCTCCATAGTACTTGACATCGTCGGATACCATTAACATCACCTCCCAGTCATAGATATTATCTTTGTGTAGACCGCAGCTGATACCCGGAATGTCTTTATTGTTTTGCATCTCTTTCAGCTGACGCTTGAGAAGGTGAGCTGAGGCGGGGGCGGACGACATCGTGAGTGTTCGGGTGTCCTCGGACAGCTCGATACCGTTTACGAAGATCTAGGATTCGGTGAAGTTTGAAAAGATAAAAGTGATACTAATCTCCAGCGAATGTGGGTTGAAGAATCGATGCTTAGGGTTCTTGTGGGAGGATGAAGGAAGATGGGGGGTGAAAGGATGAGCCGACCAGTCTGGACTAAGTTCGTAATTGAATCAGGTTGTACTAATCGACTTGGACCAGGAAAGAAAGAAAGAATTAAGCACCATGTGTTGCCTCGCGTGTTGAGGGATCCGAACCTCGAGCTGCGCCCTAATTGCCCCTCTGGGACCCCCTGGCCTCCCTTGAATTCCCTACTTTGGGGGCCGTGAAGGTGATCCCGGAATCTTGAGTTACAAAAGGTATAGACGTATCTTCTGAATTAAAATCTTTTGGATTTCAATCCGAAACTATTTTGCGATGTAACCACGCGAGCTCTAAATCTGTATCCTTAGGGTTCATCGGCGTATCCCATCCGCTATTTAATTGACAATCGCCCAGCAATTTTATATATTTATACAGACGATGCAAGGTTACCACGCTTTCTTTTAGTGACTGCTCCGGCGCTCCTGCTAGGACTATGATAATAGAAGTCGATCTGTCCTGCCAGCTAACTATATAACTATACCGATCACGAAGTCTATATAAGGAACGACACAAACTTAAACGACTGCGAGTTACTTAATAAGTAACCAACTAGTACTACCACTACCTATCAGTATCGTGGCAACTAAACTTCAGATGACCGGGGAAAAAACAAGCCCAAGCTAAGGCGAGATCTCGAGCTAGTGAAGCCGGCCGTGGGTCATATCTGGCGCTCTTAAGCCTGTCATTACTTGAGTAGTTACCTGCTAGATCCCAGCCTCCTGCATGAGCCATTACTTTGAATTGCTCCACGGTTGCATGCTTTTAAATTTGCGACTCGGCCAACCAGTAGTGCAGTGACATATCAATTGCAATGCTCTTGTCATACATACTAGGTACTTACATACTTAACCGACACCCACATCTCGGCCAGAGTCCATTTTTCTCACGGGATTGAAGCCGCTTAGAAGTACCTAGGTACCTCTTACATACTCACACATCTATATCGCTGGTCCCGAGGGCGGCGGGAACTATCAATTCTGCAGCCCCTCTGCCCTTTTACCTTTTGTTCAGCTGTCTATTTCGAGCCTCAAAGTGCCAAGGCCGCCGCTGAAAGTCCAACGTGCCCAACACATTTTCAGACCTTCTAACAGCCACCTCCACCCCTATTCCTGCACCAACACCCTCCTCGGCCTCCCCAGCTAACTTGCATACATCGACAATTGATTCTACACAACTGCTTATTCACTTCAGCTTATATTAACACTACTCGGTATCCTCTTTATTCTATCCTTTTCTTCTTATCCTTCCCTTCTTATCCTTTTCTTCTTATCTTGTTCTCATCCTTCCCTTCTTATCCTTTCTTCTCATATATCATTCCTGAGAGCCTTCATCAACAATTACAATCACCTACTGTAGCAACACAGCTGTAGGCATACATATAAGTATATAACCCGTGAACTAATAAAGCAGACAAGTACACTGAATTGAAAAGATGGTGAACCTCATCGATCTCCCTCCGGAGATCCAATTTAACATATACCGGGAGGTAAGGAACATAAACTACATCGACTTGTCAATAGCAAGAACACAATACTGATAATAAAGAACAGCTTTTCCACAGTCAAGACTTTGTCAATGTCTGCATCACCTGTAGGCTAATGAACAAGATTGCGACTCCGCTGCTCTACGAGATGGTCAATATCAGCGCAGATAACGACTACCGCTGGGAAGACCGTCAAGTTAGATGTCTTACGGAGATGGACAATCGAAACATGCCTCTCATCAAACAACTCTTGGTTCGTATACAGTTCGTCATCAATGGATTTGAGTTGAGAACAAATTATGGACTAACTGTTCGATAGAACTTTTGTGTCCGAAAGGAGAATACAAAAGAATGTATGAAACTCATCGAACGTCTCGAGGAGGATCAGTTGCACTGCATTGAGTAAGTTTATATCACCGAAAGCTTACTGATCTCATCATCCTGATAAGCTGGTACCTAGGCTGTTCCACAAACATGAAACTTCAAATCCAGATGTCACATTCGAAATCGACGAGTCCTGCACTGAAGTCGTCAAAGCTATGTTCCTTAAGAACAAAAAACTCCGTGCTCTTTACGTCGACATGGGCGAGAAAAATCTCTATGAAATCTTCTTTCCCCTCATTTCTGCCAGTGCCAACTGGCTCTCCACTCTCATCCTCGTTATCGAGAAAACAGATTCTTTCCTTTATGATGTTGATACCCTGATTTCCTTCCTCGGTTCCCTGAAATTCCTGCGATCATTTGAGCTTGACATGGTTGAATATTTCGAAGATTCACCTTGGCAGCATGACAATGGCGTTCGCCTCATCGATTCCATCTTTGAAATCCCGACCATCGAACAGGTTGTCTTTGGTGGCTCTGATTTCCCCTATGAACGATATAATCAAACTCATAAAACCAAACGGATTGGCTCCAATCTCACTCAATTTGGGTTCTTCTCCGGAGTCGGTTGCGACCGCTTTCTCCGTGACAACTTCGACCCTCAACGCCTCAAAGCTCTCCGAATCCTCTGGCCCGTTGATACGGATTTTGATATCCTCTCCGAATTCTTGATGTCCTTCAAGGGTCTTCGCTCCCTCCATCTTACCCTACGCAACCCAGATCGCTTTGATACTCTGCATTGCATTGCACATCATGGTGGCAGTTTGGAACGTCTCTCGTTACGTGTCTTCACGCCTGATTTTAAACCATTTGGCCGGTTTGCCCACATCGATGAGTTTGAGTACTTGTTGAAACACTGCACCGCCTTGAGAGAACTTGCTGTCCCTGTCACATATATCCACCAGCATTGGTATCGTGGTCCAGGGGAAACAGAAGCTAAAGACGTTTTATACGAAGATCTGAACTGGAGCTTTGTATGTCCTTTCTTCCCTCATATACCTCCTCCAAGAGTTTTTTCTTGCTAACGAGAAGCCTTCAACTTAACAACAATAGCACTGGCCAAATGTGGTCTGTCCGATTGAGTCCCTCCACGTCCTCAATGAACCAGTCCCCGCAAACAAAGACCTCCGCCAATCCTATAGTAAAGACCGAAGAATGGAAGTAATCACCCGTTTCGCAATGGACCTTCATAACCAAGTTAACATCCTCGGCGCCTCCAACCACGTCGATCCATACCAAGTCGACGAAACTCTCCTGCCAGCCGCCGCCACCGCCACCACCACCCTCGAAAACGGAGAATCGGACCCAGAACCCATTTTGACGGATGAAGATTCTGCTCCTGCAAGTTTACCGGATAATAATATGCCTTTTTATACCTGGCAGGAACCTACGTGCTATACATCCAAATCTGGGTTTCAACGTCGATTGAAGCAGATCGGACCGGAGTTGTTGCCGAATCTTAGGTCTATTTTATTTGGCGATAATACTAAATGTGGGAGGGATAGTTGTTTGTATCTTCACGATTGGGAGTTTGAGGAGATGGATTTGGTGCCTGTTGTTATCGATAAAGTCGACTATGAAACCGGGTACCCGGATATCAAAATGGAAGATGATGACGATATTACCACCAAGAAGACTCAGGAGAAGGAAAAGACTGATGAGAAAGCTGGAGAGGAAACTAAACCACAAGAGGATGGAACAGAGAAGGAAAAGGAGGGCGAATGTCCAGGTGGGAATACCTGCCCTACTAGAAGGGAAGGGAAAGAGGCGACAACTTGGGTTGAGAGTCCTTCTGCTATTAATGGAAACGGCGAGAATGTCGGTGGAGGAACACTCTGGAAGTTCAAGGAAGTCGATTGGGCGGAGTTTGTTGGGCGGTTTCCATGGTTGCATGACTTTGAAATTGACGCTCGAGGGTGGATGGATGAGTAAGTTTTTCTTCGTTGTATTTCCCCTCTTTATACGACACGTTCGGTGCTAACAATACATTTGACAAATAGGCGTACTAGAATCGAGAATCGTGATAAGTTCAGGTTCTGGGAGTGACAAATTTCTAAGTTATTAGTGAATATGGATTTCCGAAGCGTGGGAAGATTGGCCTCTCACCAAAGGAGGCTGATAGATTTTTTTCTTTTATTATGGCACTCGAGGGAACCCACATGAAGAAGCTTGTTTCTTACCCAGAGAAGCTTCTACAGAGCGGTATTTCTATTATTACTACTGAACAGCTGTTTCTTATTATGGTCCAGCAGAAGGGGGGGGATAATTACACTTTTCCCTAAAGCACTCTACTAATAGCGAGCGCATTTTGCCACGTTGTAATCTAATTGTAGCCTAGAGAGGTGATCGTGACGCGGAGGATTACAATTTTTGTTGAAAATTATAGAAGGAAACGGACGATAACAGACCTTAAGGGGAGGGGAAATTACCTATACATAATGAATTTTCAAAGCATCCTTATATAACCTAACGGCTGTTAAGTTTAATCCTTAGCCAAAATAACAAAATCACTTAAAAGATGTAAGTATAAAAGAATATTGAAGTTTGGACTCGATTAATCTAAATGCATTAATACAGGCATAGCGCTCACTACAAGAACTAGGATATGAAATTTCCAGATCAAATTTATATACATAAAAAGGGGGAAAGCATCGACACCATAATGTCGAATATTAAGAAGGTGAAGTCAAGCATACATTTTCACCCTGTATCGCGTCCATTCCCGTATCCTGACATTTATAAGTATTATAATCAGGCTTCGACGGAAAATCCGCCGGACCATAATAAAGATCCCAAAACCCTAGAGCTGCATACGCATCTCCAGTGTCGCAGATATAGAACTTTCCTCCCGTCACAACAGCCGCATCCGGGGTTGCAACGTAGGACGTAGAATTATAATCGACAAGAAACGGGGCCAAACCCGCCGCTTGATAAATAAATTGGTTTTCTAGTCGATAATTTAAAACGGTATCACTTGTAGGCGCTGCGTTGCCCGTTCCTCCTATTGCCGCATAAAATACCCAGGATCTGAATAGATCAGGTTTAAGCCATGTTACAACGGGCTTATTATAAGCGTCATAGAAGATCTGAGTAACACCTTCCTTGTTATCCGCGGCAGCTGCGTTGACTTTAACGGGTATAGCCTGTGAAATGTAGTTGATGAACCAGCCGTAGTATGTACCACTCTTGTCTGTTAGATCGGAATGTACAAGCTTGAAATTTCCGATAGCGGGTACGGTTGTCGTAGACACGGGTCCCGTTGTAGTGGTTAGAATATCACTCTTTGTATTTGTCTGCGTGGTGTCGAAAGTTGTGGTGAATTGTAATAGGGTCGAAAGTGTGGTATAGTCGTAAATATATGCTGTTGGTGAAGTGACGGCTTCGACACAAGCCGCGCTGACAGAATCGGGTGGGTAACCTGATAACTGCGCCGGTGTATCGGGTACGGTTCGGCGTCCTCGGAATTTACCCTTGATGGTTTTATAAACTCTTTTACGATTACCTCTTGAGCTTCTGCGTTTGATAGCGGGATCTGTAGTTATAGATCCGTAAGCTGTTGAGGTCCTGCTGGCGTACTCTTCGGTTTTGGTATAAGTGGTTTCTGTTGAAGTGAACTCTGGGATGAAGGATGTGGATGTTGAGTACGCGGAGTATGTTGTTAGCGTCGTAGGCCATGTAGGGGAGAAGTATGAAAGGAGTTCGGTGCAGTATTGTTGGAGGTTGTTTGATGTGATGATATTGTAGATTTGGGCTGTTCTGTCGGTGGCGCCACCAGTGCCAGTGCCCGTACCAGTGCCTGTGCCTGTTCCCGTGCCTGTACCGGTCCCTCCACTTGTACCCGTACCCGTACCGGTTCCTCCACTTGTGCCTGTCCCGGTCCCCCCTGTTCCAGTAGCCGTTCCCGTTCCCGTTCCCGTCCCTGTACCTGTACCTGTTCCCGTCTCAGTACCTGTCCCACCTGTAGCGGTACCTGTACCTGTAGCGGTCCCGGTTCTAGTTCCGGTTCCGGTTCTAGTAGCAGTCCCAGTGTTTGTAGAGCCGTTACTCCCTGTAGTGGTCCGTGAGTCTATATTAGAGCGAGCGATGGGGTCAGTCCGAATACCACTTCCATCATGAGCGAATACCGGTAAAATACCGGTAGGAAACCGAGACCAGGTAGGAATGGAATTTTTAACTAACCATTAGTAATAGTTCCTGTTCTTGATCGTCCACTCGTCCCACTCCCAGATGCGGTGTCTGTGCCCCTCGTACCAGTACCAGTACCAGTGCCAGTACCAGTGCCAGTTCGGCTTCCAGACCCATTAGTGCCCGTACCACCTGTATTGTCACCTGTGGTCTGCGAGGATCCAGTGGCAGTTGAATCGGTGAACGTAGTAGTTGGCGATTGCGTAAAAATACTGCTCGGGAAATCAGAAGCGATGCCAGCACCCAAAGATAATCTTTTAAAATCACTATCAGATGGAACTGAAATATTCTCTGGTAGTGCGAATACATCATAAGAATCCCTGTCCGCCGGTATTTGCCTTACTCGAAGTTGCGATCCGATACCGACGTAAAACACCCAACGGTCACCGTCTCTGTCCAACCCCAGTTGGTTATCAGTAGTATTCCACACCCATGTCCCCATAAAATCCGATGCTAAAAGCTCATTTTCATCGGCATGTCGCACCTCCTGAACAATACCCAAAATATCAGCGTTCTCTGTCGGATAAATATCTTTAACAGATTCATTATATCTCAAAAAAACTAGTTCCCTAAGATCCAACCCATTTTGTAAAAGTCCGCTACCGCCATCGTTGACCTCTAATTGAACGAAGCGATATGCTCCGGTTAGAGCAAACTCCATTCTACCATCCGTATCATCGAATTGCATATAATGGTCTCTAAGATTACCGTCGCCATATAAAACAAAACCCACATCGGGTTGACCGGTGTATGTGGCAATGGCGGTCGTAGAAGCCGTGTTAGTACCACCCGTGGTTGCCCGGGACGGAAATATGGCAGATCCGTTGATGATAAGGCATGTGGGTAATATCAAGCAACCGCCTTCTTGTGTGAGGTATGATGTGATAGTAAGAGGGTTTGGTACTATCTCAAATACTGTTTCCGTGATGATTTCATACTGAGCGACGCTAAAGTCGAATAATAAAAAGAATATGAGAAAAGGCGTGGATAACAGGGAATAGAAGAGTAGTTTAGTGATAGAAGTAAACTTGAGACCGCGCATTTTGGACTAGCGGCGGAGCTTTAACGCATCGACCGCGATATAAGGCTGACATCAAAATGATATGAAAGGTTATTTGTGGGTTTGGATTAATTCGAATGATCCTTTAGATGTTCTAGCTACCGGGGCTTATATCTTTCAGAGCCTACGGGATGATCCGGACATTTTACGACTGTGAAAGTCCCTCATTAGGATACATATGAGGTCAGACATAGCTTAGGAAATATATTGATCCTTAGTCCTTTAAAAAATTGTCGTCTGGATGATCCTGATTTAACTTCTCTATTTTTGGGCGCTCGTGGGCCATCAGTCTGATCCATCCGATTCGTAATTTAGCGAAAGCATGCGTTGCGGTTAAAATGCAACACGTGGAACACTTATTTCGGTTAGTTTACTATTGCTCTTACCGCATGTGGTGTATAAACTTCCTTATACGGTACTATTTTAAAATACAACGCTCATATTTCTGGGTTATTCAAGCTCGATCGATCATCTTGTGGCTGCGGTAATTTTAGCTAATGCTAACTGCTATTTTCGATTCAACACTGCGGCGGCACTTAAACCCGACAGCCCTACCTCCAAATGGTAGTTCCAAGTCAGAGTGTTACTATTATGGTTACTCATATTGTTATAATGCATGCCAGTGTGATATCATGATTCGAATCTATTGCGGGTATTGCCCAAGTTATTCTACTATGAACGCAAAGGAAAAAGCAGACTCATGCAAGTTTGAAACACTATTTCACATCAAGCTTGTAATTATGCTACTGCAGCTACAGACGGCATACATCTACAGTAGAGCTGTGCACGAAAGTGCAGCCAATTACTGCGAACGAGAAGAACCCTGTCCATTCGACCTCAATCATGTCTTTGCAAAATCTAATTCACCCAACTACGTAGACACTATTTTCGGACTCGTGGACAGTCACGCATTAGTAGTCTTTATATAAGTATTTCCTCGGAAATATATCTATAGAAGATTCGGATACTATAAACTTTTGAAGACCTAGCCTTATTTTAATTCTAAACTCATATTTTATTTCTTATTGGGTTTTGGTATTTTTTAGATTCTTGGTATTCTTTAAATTCAACATTCGAATATTCATATTTGACTTTATCGTTTAGATTTTTATTTGAATTTTGATAAACTAACATCGGAATTTTGAAAATAGTAATTTCAAGTTAGTTGTTCGAACTGTCAAACATTTCACCGGTTGTTACTGAATACTATGGGTGCTAATTAGAACGCCACTTTGCAAGCGTCGACAAATATTAATCGCAATGATATTTTTCCGGTTTTATGTGTTCTGCCTTCAGTATTAAATTTCCTTAAGTCTAGGTACGGTACATGTACAAGACAAATTAACTCACTACAAGATTTGGGCAAAATATTCAGGGGCCCGGGGAAATCTTTTATCATTAACTGATATACAGATATACTTGAGACATTTCAGAGTAGACACATGGGCCAAACGTAGATGATAGCTAAGTAGAGATAGAGAAGTTAAGGACGAGGGTTTGTGCAAGTCAGGGTGTATGTAGTGGATGAAAGTGGTAGAGTTGAAGTTGTGACCGAAGTAATGACAGTTTCGGGATATTGCTATAAGACAAATAATTAGTTTTTAATGAATATTACTGAAAATTGAGGGTTACATACCGTGGTAGTGTAGAGAGATGTGGTGCTTGTATCATAGACAATCTAAATTGGAGCATCTATATTAGTTCCGAATAACATAGAATAACCATAAAGTTTAAATAATGACATACCGTGGTAGAGGTAGTATAAGTAGATGTAGTACTGGTAGTATATGTAATCTAGGAAATATCATATTAGTTGTAGTCATGACCGGTGTGCTTCAAGTTTAAGGGCTCAGGGTATACAGTAGTAGACGTCGGATATTCAGACGTTGTACTAGTTGTGTAGGTGACCTGTCGTAGTATTTTATTTGTAAGCTAATAAACTGTAAAAGGACTAGTAAATATCCTCGGGTTTTCATGGCATACCGTGGTAGAGGTTAAAAACGCCGTAGTAGAAGTTGATGTGAAGATAGAGGTTGACTAAGACATAGTTAGAGATATCAGCCTTCCCCCGAGAACGTAGCGGGCGATAGACATACGGTTTGATATTGCTGTGGAAAGACAGATACTGAAGGGCAGTAACAATGGGTCGTGAACATCCAATATTTAGCACAATTGCCGTTCGATCCACCAAAACATGTTCCCATTCCCCAACCAGTCTGCCCACCACCAGGACTGCAATTCACAGAACCATGAGTCGCGATATAGAGGGTTTGCTCACAAGCCCTCCATGAGTTCTGGACAGGGATCGGGCACGATGCAGTAGTCCTATCAGCAGACAAAGTACAAATGCCACCAGGATCGCTAGAGTATGGAAATCCGCCGGGGTTGCGGTCCGTGGGTGGTACAGTGCCGACGTAGACGTGGACACTGCTGTAAGTACAGCTGTTTAGTTTTCCGTAGGCGACATTGAGAATGCCACCTGAAATTCCGACACAAACTTGACCAACTTTGGTATTGGTCGCCCCAATGACAAAGTCATCACATGTGGAAGGGTCGACGAATAGATCCCGAGCTTGGAGTTTGGAATATCCGACGTTGATACCATAGTATGGGGAGGCATTGGCTGAAGTGAGCAAAAGCTCAAACGCAACAAGGCCATAGTGAATGGCTGCGAAGTACATGATGCCTAGGTTTATACTTATATATAGTATAAAGAAAAAATTTTGAACGCGAATATGATATGGTAGAAATGAAGAGTATGTGGGGTCTTATTGAAAGGGTAGTGCTTGGCTGTGCACAGTGAGCGCTGCTCTAGCTAATAGATGGTAGAATGCAAAGGGAAGTGATTAGCCTTTTTATATTCGAAGACCTATACATCGGATATATGGTATGAGGCGGCGCTGATGCTAACTCCAATTCGAATCCATTTGCCTTGTTTTGGGCCCCATGGCCCAGTCGACCACTGGACATCCAGCTCAACAAAACTTGCGATATTCATTGACCTTGCGGGAATACTTACTGATACTTTTGAATTGATCAGCCGCAACAAAACCAAATAAACGTCCTAGCAAATGCAGTTTGTGACGAGGATTCGTCGGCAGTTGTCTCACTTATTCCCGGGCTAAGACATGGCAGAGGAGGGGGAAACAAGTCTTTTGTGATATTCTGGGCTTGAAAGAGCACCGTCAAGTCAGCACTTGCCACGACTTTTTTACCCGGTGTCTGGAGAAGTTTTTGAATCTAGTTCATTGTAACGCTTTGTATTTGCACACCACATTTATGCGACCTATCCCTCATGATTAAGGAATCACAATATGTATTGAAAATTCTTTTGCCCAGTGTATAACTTCGTAGACAAAGCATTTCGCTTATGAAGGGAACGGCCCATCATCTACCTACTGAATTATGAGTACCTTCGGGATGAAAACATATATATCGTGTCATCAATTTGCTGTAAGTCCTATAATGCCAGCTTTTTAAATTTTCTAGATGCTTATCAAATTGCGGGGCAAATATGAGAATTCAAAAATCCTTAGCACCCTAAGTTCTACAGGGATAAAACTATTCACGGATTCATATTAATATTGGAAATGTATTCTCCGACACTAGGGTATGGCAGCAAAAGACCGTTGAACCCTGTCACATCCCGCATTGTGACCTAAATGTGAAGTCCGCCCAACCAAACTTGTGCGGTGACATTTCCGAGTTTTCCAACTTAACGCTAGTGCGTATGTTTTCGCAGCACAGAATTCAAGCCACAAAGTATCTTCCGAACAGTGCTCAGACCTTCCAAAAAACGTAACGCATATGCATATTCTTCAGCTGTATTATATACCCTGCGTATTTAAACCATAAACCGGGGAGTTCTCCCGATCTTTTGGAGTTTTCAGCGAATCCACGTGTTCTCCAAGTTTTTTAGGTTTAATCGATCGGCAAGTTCCGCCGATAATACTTTCTCACTTTTCGTTGGAGTAAAATAGTTAAATAGCCTGCGATAGAAAAAGTATGGTGGTACATAAAATTCATTTAGCTTCGAACAGGGATCTTGAGTAGGTAATTTATTTTCCCTGGGCTTTCTAGTCTAAAACTGAAGGTAATTGGCGTCGGGGTCTGCCCTGGACATATATTACGAATGAGAGTCGGACTTCATCGAAGACTGGATCATTATTGTTCAAGTTTAGATCTCAACAAAAGCATATCTCGGCCAGCCCTATAGACTATCGATAAGCTATAAGTTTCACTACTACAATAGATTATTTAGGTTAGTGCCGAAGTGGCCGGTGGAGTCTTGACCAGAGGCGGCTCGAGTTACCTTGAAATTTTCAAAATCCTTACTACTCCAATAAATATAATCATTTATTTGTAGGACCAAGCTCAATACGCTAAAGTATCATTACTCTAGAAAACAAACCTAATACAGAAGATCCCGAACCCAATGTGGGACCTAGTTGGGCAGGGGCCGTCCTCGAGTCAGCTAGAATTGCCTAGAACAAGCCTCAAAACAAATATTTGCAACAACACCTTCTTATGCTTCCGCGTTGAAAATGTTGCATTCTGGATACAGAATTTCCCTATTTGGGTGAGAATCAACGCGAGGTGACCACGCGGCGTGATTGCCTTGCTTGATCGTGGAGCTTAATGTTCATTCCCAGCCTTGTGAACCGAGCTCAATCTTAATTGGAACCTGAAGCTAACCTTGGAGCTTCTCCTGAATTACTTCATCATTCTCACCAGCTCACAGAAACACCAAAAAACAGTACCCAATAAGATCATGACCATCCATCTGCTAAATCTTTTGTCACCTTCCCAGCCGATTCTTTACACGTCAATCTTTAGCTTCCTTGACCCTCCAGATATTGTCAGACTGTTGGCGACATGCAAATCCCTTCAGCTATTCAAGTACGAGTTATGGAATATAAACCGAAGCCTTCGACGATTTGTAGACGACCCCTTAGCATTTCGAACCTTAATGGCTCGCCACAATGCTCTTGTTTCGGGAAGCCATGCCTTACAGTTCTTGGCGAGGGTCAAGTGGCCGGATAGCGACCTCGATGTCTACATCACCGGCGAAGAGGGTTTGTTGGAATTCGCCAATCACCTCGTACAAAAGGAAGGATACTCGTATTCCCCTTATTCTTGGCAGTCTAAAGAGACAAAGACAGCGATTCTGTGCAGGAATTCAGAGAGGGAGAATTTTGTTAAAGAAATATTTGAGACCGAGGGTTCAGACTGGGACCCAACTGATGATGCGAGCTCTGAAGCAGCTTTGTATACTACAACTGAAATCGATGGGGTACGTATTTACTCTCAAGCTTCTCGAGTGAAACTATAAAGTTACTTACTGCGTATGACTATCTTATGGCTCTAGGTTTTCAACTTCGTAAACGATACCTATCCAAACCGCAAGATCCAGTTGATATCCGCAAAAGGAATCCCGCTGAATTCTATCCTCGCAGACTACTACGCTACTCATATATTCAACATTTTTACTTGGAATCGAGCATATAGCTTTTTCCCCTACCATACGTTCGGCGAGAAACATTCCTTCTACACGCAAGCGCTCAAAGGAAGCTCCGATAATGGCGTTCAAAAGTATAAGGGACGCGGTTTTGAGTTCAAACCTTATGGAAACTTCCATAAATGCGTGAAGAATTGTCCCTTCCGACCTCATAGACGAGTTGGAGATAAGTATTGCTGGGTATTGGATCTCGATACCTATGGTGTCGACCAATCTGAAATCTCTGTTCCACAGGATGTTCTAGAGACCAGCACTTGGGGAATGAAAATGCATTATTCATGGTGGTCCAAAGACGAAAACAAACGACTATTTAGGGCTGTCCCGCATATAGACATTCAATACTCACTCTGGTACAGTGAGTGTGATCCGACACACAAGTTCAGGAACCCCTCGACATTTAAGCATGCAAGAATAATGGACAACCACAGCGGGTCATGGATGAAATTCATTGAAACTATGCAGAATACGACTGGGGGGTTAAGCCAGTACTTAATCAAGTTCTCCGAATCAAAACCTAAGGACTGGAAGGAACCTGGAGAATTCTGGATGGATGGCGAATTTGCGAGCTGGTATCGGTTCTGGGAGGCTTCGCTTATGCCTTATGACAATATATGGAAGTGGCAGTACCCAATGCTGGACGGGCATTCAGAAATAGTTGTGGGCGGTATTCTCCAGGAGGAACAGATGGACCTCGAATGGTCGGGATACTAGGATGCCAACAGTATTAAATGGTCGTCTACAGGATTCGCGACTAAAAATATCTTCAACGTTGCCCCCGTCTGTCCGCAGTGGGATTCTCTTAATACCTAAAGCAGCGTCTATCATATAAAGTTGTAGTATAATTGTCTCTATAAAATAGGCTCAGACTTGTTGAACAATACATTCTAATATCATTCTTTATTGCCCGTGAAATGATAAGTTGCAGTTCAACGAGTATCCTTTGCTGGAGGCAGAGTTTCTAGTGTTAGGCTACTAAATTGTGTAGATGAAATGTAGGTCATCTCTCACGGACGTTATTACGTCTCCAACCTTCCACCTCAACATCACTCATTATCATCGTCATCATCGTCATCATCAATCAAACATCAACATCACCATCATTTCCAGAGTCACTACTAACCCATTGAACTTATTAGCACCGAACTGATAGAGTACGTTTCGTACCGTCCCCACTTCCCCCTATACGGTGCTCTCTTGACTCTAAGCTTCGCAATAGATAGCGCTAACGTATCTACCTCCAGACACCCCATCATAGAGCTACGTTCAGTTAGATGGAAATGGCGCCCCCAGCCTATCCTCCCCTACCACCCGACTATGAGCTCTTTGGCTTCCTGTCAGAAGAGGAGGCCCTAGTAGACGAAGATATTCTATTTGAAGCCCCGCTGAGCGACTACGATTTAGAAGAGGGCTTTGGCCCTGTCGCTCTCCCATACCTCCCAGGAAACTTGCACGAAGTTCCGGGCCTCACAACATCCCCAGGGTCATCTGCTGAAGTTGATCTGGGGCCTGCTTATTATGGTCCTCGGTGAGAATCTTTTCCTATTCACCCACACCATCCTTCTACATCAATCTCGACAGATACCCCATCTATCTTTTGCATAGCAACCTAGCGTCTAGCCCCGAGACTGCTCATCTAATATCTTTAACCATGGCTAAACCCGGTCTAATTCTTGAGATTGATACCCATCTTAGAGTTCTTTATTCATGTGCTGCCTTCCAGTATTCCTATTCTGGTAAGCTCGATATAGAATACTTTGACGCGGTCATTGACAATACCGAAAACAGCTTGGTTTTAATGCGAAACCTCGCTGTCATCCCAAGGTGCGACCTAGAGAAGGAAAAGTTTATCTCTAAAATTGAAGCCACTCCCGCTTCCTGGGACCAACTTTCGAAAACTATGCGTAGTAGTATGTTCTACCTCCTAGCAAAGTTATTGTCTCGCGTGTCAGCCAACCAGTTAGAATCGTTCCAGTAAGTTATCTCTCTTGGTCTTTTCAAGGTTATCAGAGCCTGGTACATTAATCCTTCAACCTTGTAGAATGGATGAGCCAAACACTGGTGGGGACATCTTCCCAACTCTCCAAAGGCAACTCAGCAGCCTTAGACACCTTAGCCTCCACGAAACTTCACTTGTCTCTCATTTTGCTGACGAGAAGGTCCCACGCATCCTGCAATCACTCGTCATTCACGGGATCAACATCAACGTTGGGGGGCAGTTCTTAACCTTCCTTCTTCACCTTGGTAGATATCACAACTCTCTCAGTTACTTGTCTCTAGATTTCGAGAAGTTGTCCTTTGAAGAAAATGTCGATTGGATTGGCCTCGAGAGACACTTCAGCTCTATTCGCGTTCTCACCAAATTAAAAAGTCTCGTTATCAGCAACTGCCGAGACATGATGGCTTTGCAATTTTCGACTTTGGTCTTGATTCCCTGGGCCAAACTTAAGAGGCTCAAGATTATCAACTGCCCAAGCACTGAAGCTGGGGGATGTCCAGGCCTCACGCGTCGACTCCAAGTTGACAATCTAACCCACTTATCTTTGATCAGAACATGTTCCCCGGAGGACGCTGCTGCGCTCATTCGTGGTCTTGGTGTTGGTTTACAGAGACTTCACCTTGAATTCAGTTATGAGCAGGGACAGATGTCCACCGACTGTCTAATGAAATGCCACAGCCACACCCTTCGATATCTCTGGATGGAATCAAGCACTGGGAAGCGTTTTCGATTGGTTGAGTCCACTACCGGTAATGAACCACTCATGAGCGAGTTCGCCCGATTTAAACGTCTTCGCGAGCTTGCAATCGCCGTTCGCTACGCTGCGATCGAGAAATATGATATCGTAAGTAACTAACCTCGTGGGCAAAAAATATATATATTTTTCGATCAAATGAAGCAGGCTAAAAACCACAAAAAATTTAGGAGTGGGAAAACCCTCCCAATCTTCGTATCTTCCGTATTCTCAACCTTGTCGAGAGATACGTCCATCAGACGAAAGAAAAGGAAAGATGCATCTGCAAAATAGCAGAAAACTTCGCTAGAATTCATGATGACGAGCTTGCAGAGTTCCACTCCCACGACCTCCAGATCATTATCGTCGGCCGACACATCAATACTGCCCCAGACGTTGAGCCAATCTATTACTGGGCCAATGTTGTTTTGTCAGACTCAGATTCAGATTCCTCTTCAACAAACTCCAACCCACTCGAGGGAATGCGCTTTGGTGGAAGCGCTGTTCATGACCATTTTGTTTCTCCCCGAAGACGCCAAAGACACAGTACCAGGTCTCACGAACCTAGTGCCATCCAACAACAGTCTGTCGAATACGATGCAGGTGACGAGGCCGAAAAGGGCGAAGAGCCCCCATCGCCATCCCTCCCAGGCCTTTCTGAACCATTCGCCAGCTTGAATCTTAGTGGACAAGATGACGATGATGAGGAAAACCCAGCACTCGGAATTCCAGACCTCCCAGAACGTGATGAGAAATGTTGTGTTATCACAAGTATCGATGAACTCAAGACCCAGATTCGAGAGACTACCATCATTGACGTCGATCTCGAAGGGGCACCATTTTGGGAGCAGTAAGCCCTAAACTTCGCTCTGCTTGAAATCGTACACCCTCGCTAACATTCCTCGTAGGGACGAGATGATTGTTGAAGCGTACTATCCAAATGCAGCATACAACCCAATTTAAAACTACAGAGACGATACTTCCATTGATTAGATCATAAAAAAGAGTTACGAAAGCTGTGATAGCCCGTATCTAAATTATTCATCAATCATTCACAATCCTGGTCCGTTACAATGTAATCGAAATCCATTTTTTCTCCTGTGCGGAAATCTCCGTAGTCGCCATAATGAAAATAACTAGCCACAGACTTTTAACTACGGAAGAAGGATATTTTCCTAGTAAAGGAGGATAAAAATGGCCTGTTCAGGAGCGTCGACTAAAAAACAAAACTTTTTACATGTTCCTTCGCGAACTCGTGTCTTATCGGTTTTCTGTCGAATGCTCTTCTTGTCGAGAACCTCCTGTACTGACGCTCATAACTAACTTCTGTCAATGAGATCTACGGCCGGAGGATGCTCAAAGACTATCCTAGAAGTTTCTCCATAGACACAGCGGGGGATTCTAACACTAACAGCATGCATGTATAGTTTTGAAATTAACAACTATCGCGGATGTTAAAGATAAGTGGGCATCGGTTAGGATATTTGATTAAACACATATTGATATCCATGCGCATGTTGCAGAACACATGCGCTACCTACCTATGGAATAAGGCCTCGGCTATACCCGACCACAATGCTGCCACTCCAAAGACCAATTTCCCATCAGCTCTTTATCCTAGAATGATAAGGTTTACCCGGCATTACATCATCGGAAATTATTTTAGATTTGGGCAAATTCATAACCCAAAGACGAAGTATAATATATCGAATGGAATCAAATTGCAACATCAGAATATCGCCTCTCTAGCGTTAGCCAGGCTGACAGACTATGTACCTATGTAAATAAATTTAAAGAGTACAAAGAAATGAATGATAGTATCGTATGCGTACAAGTACAACCGTGTGTATCAAGGAGTAAGGAATTGAAAACGCCGTCGCTATGCCGTATGAATATATAAAAGAGCGGTGGTTCAAAATAAAGAGTAACGATCAATCACCAACCAAAAGTTTGCAAACGCCTCCACATGTCTACCCCTGACCCCTAATGATGCGTTCGTAGAAGATAAACAAAGGTATCTTGAAAACTGAAAAGCGAGGGAAAAAAACAAAGAAGCAAGTTGTGATATGAACGGCCGTTATCGTGTACTGTGGCCAAGTTATGCGGTGTACCCCAAAAAAATGCAGAATAGTAAAGCAAAGGTAAGCTAAGTGGAATATTTGGGGGTACGCTCAGCGCCACCCTTCTCTCGATGTCTTTCTTGGTTGCGTGTGGGTATGGTGATTATGGTTATAGGATTGTTCATCGTATGCGAAGCTTATACTTCGGAGGATATCATCCCGAAGTGCATTTACGCTCTCTTGAACATTTCCATTGTTTTGTCGCAAGCTTTCTTCGACCTTGAACTCAGAAGGCGGGTACATTGCTCCGTCTCTAGAAGGCTTTCGACGGTCTGGTGGTGTACTGCCTAATGATGGAGTACCGGGCATATAAGCAGCCTCTGGTTCTCGAACCGAGCCCTCCCGGAACTGTGAGATGCGAGAGAGAAGACGCTGTTGAGAGGACCTCCCACTTCTCCGTTGGTTCGAGCTCGAGTTTTGTGTTTGAATGGTCTGGGATTCCATTTCCAAGTCTGAGGTGTCAACGGAGCCACGGTACCATGTACTCATGCCTTCACTTGTCTTCGAAATTGTTCTTGTTCGAACACTAAGCCAGGATTTGACGGTTTCTCCGTCTTTCCCATCGGTGCTCTCATCGATGCCAGACTGTAATTGAATGGTGCCCGGCTTTCTCCACTTCGCTGGGAAGAGAATCTTGAGAGCCGGACAACAAACAACTATCAGACCTATCGCCATTTCCATAGCTGTCCAGACAGCTATTGTTGGGATGTTGGCTTCGTCTCCGTTAGCAATGAATCTGCCGATGGTAATGCCGATGCAGGCAGCCCCGAGACCAAACAATGCCAGTATCCCGTTGAACTGTGGGCCTGGAAGATGTACCCGTAAGGAGTTAAGGAGAACGAAAGGGAATAGGTAAAGCGCAAAACTAGAGGAAATATGGAAAACCACAGGGACGAGGTCTGGAACGAGACCGGCAAAGCAAGTGGTACGGGCAGTCGAATCAAGATCCCAGTTTCTAGATATTGGTGTGCACCAAGCAAGATTTAAAACGATAGATATGATAAGTGTAATGATGGTATAACCGGTGATGAAATGGAGGACAAGTCGGAGTTTAGGGAGTCGAGAGCTGACGAGACTATAATAGAGAGCCAGAAAAGAGAATTTGACACCCCAGAGTTGAAGGATGTATGGGAAATAAGAAGCATAGCTGATCTACAATCGGAGACGATCTGTTAGCATTCTACCTAGTCGTACCTATCATCTGGTGGATAGATCTGAAATTAAATCTTACCTTCATCAGCGTCATCCGAGTATCGGGATCTGGTATCACATTTGACCAGTCATCCTTCCAAGAAAGATCATCCCGATACAACCCCCTCCTCCAAAGCTCATTGTCGCAAGTATTGGTTATCAGAAACATCAGCCATGTAAGGCCGATCAAGATGTCGCTAAAGCCGAGTCGACCAGCCCGATGCCGTGCAAATATTTTCAGCCCGACAAAGAGGAATGTGATGCCGAACACACCCCATTCGACTGCTATAGCGGCATCCCCTGACATTCCCATTTTTACTTGTTGGAAAGGAAGGAAATAAATCGATCTTCGCTGCTACCCGACTATAAGTTCGAAGTTGGTTTGTGCATCGCTTCTTTGTCGAAAAGATATCGAAGCGTTTACTTGTTAAACTGACGAAGGTGGCTGCGACCCACGATCTGGGGAAATGTCGAAGACTTGACGAATTGAAAGGAATTAAACTTTTTCTCCAGTTAGAGACGAGCCTGGGTGGTTTGGGGTATATATTCTTCGCCCAGTTCCAGAACTTTGCGAATACGAAGAGATTATACTATATAATCGTTCCTGGCCTAGGAAGTCGATCAGGTACAAGAAATGTGATATATGCGGCCTCGCGCTCGTGAAAACCGGTTTTCAATGACATTAAAAGGTTACAGGCGAGGCCGAGTTCCTGCAAGAAAAAGTCTTGGGAGTGAACGTGCACTGGTGGGCGAGAAGATGAACCAGGGTTGAACATTCACCGCACAGACAGACAAAACCCATGGTGCGGTAGGTCCCCACTCTTGGACCCACCATCAAACACTTTATCACTCGGTATTGACATGATATTTCACCGAGCGAGGGGCTGCTTGCTTCTGTTGTATAAGATTTTGACTCGCGCACTCCTCCAGAAGCACATAATCCTGCCAGAAAGGAGACTTCTGAAAGCCGTCGCAACCCTCATCTGCAGACCTCAAGGATGAAGCTGGAATCTGGAACAACGATTGAGAAGTGATCAGCAAAGACATGGGATTCGGCCGACATCGAGGCCAACTAATTATTCACACACCTATGTCTAGCGGACTTTATTAAGTTCAAGACGAAAGAAACACTAGGGTCAGGCACTGCAAATCCCACAGAAATTAGAACCTCGATTCATATTATTAATGAGAGGTTCTAGCAGTGCTACAGCGACAACTTGGCGGTTTATTCTTCGACTTGGAATGATTCCCACTTAAAATTAGGTAATGAAAATTGTCAAAAGGAAAACCAAGAAGAAAGAAAAAAAACTTCCGATCCCCAAAGTTTCCAGATGCAGTAGATCCAGATGCCGACGGGCATCCCGTTTACTTCATCAGGAAATTCGGCTGAGACAACCGGCAACCATTTTCAGGTTCCTGACTCTCTCCACGTTTTCGTCCGACGAAACATGCCCTCAGAATTCCGACTGCTAATTTATCGAACACACAAAAACATGCTAGTCCAGTTAGCGGGAAACGAACATCTGCTATTCGCTATCATATGGGACGCCCACTATCACTCAGGCGACGGGATGAAAGTGGGTCCGGAGCTTACTAGATCGAGACATTTGTCCGACCTTTTTCGCTGAATGCATAAAACGTGGAATTATCTCAGACGATTTCAGTCGGAATCACACGTTTGCGGACATGGAATTGATGATAATTTCAAAATTCCAAGAAAACGTTTTGGATGGTATTAATGATGGTGGGCAACCAAATCTTGGGTTGACGAGGTTCAAAAATATATGAACCCGCAGCAGAAGGTTTATCCGGTCCCAGTTTAATTTCAACCAGAAACTCGTGACTTCGAGGTGTGGCACATCAAGTTTGCCATCTTTGTTCGTGTTACGTGTCGACAATTGATTTCAAACCATCGATAAGATTGCCATTATTTTTTCAAAGTCGTAATAATAATTTCCAGCTGATGGCGGAGAACGCGGGTATCCTTGCAGCCGTTGGTATCGATATGCAAGCTGCGAGGATCGATGGTCTTGGGCGCATCGAGGCCGCGGGGCGAAAACTCCACCCGAGCTTCGCGAAATTAAAGATTCAGTTTCTACTGAAACAATCCCGTTCAACAAAAGCTAGCAGATATGCAGCTAGATATTGATGGCGGTGATGTCAGATGCCCACACACAATGGCAATTGTAAAGGATTTCCTCCGCGAGGAAATGGTGGTCAGAATTGTGGGATATCTCCCAGCAATCATTGTTAGACGGGCCCATGATCCGTAACGGTGGGATGAAAGATCAAATCATGAGATGGTGAGCTCCTACAGAGGTGGAACCGTTCAGCCAATGTCGAGTCGATGGGTGTCCAACTGTGCCGTTTGGCGGCGACCTGTGACCTTCGTTTGTGGTGAGGTTGTTACCCCTGAAATTCGATTCAAAACGCCATATACCACACTCTCAACACAGTGTGGTGGGCGGAATTTCCCATCCAGAAGCTGACATTAGGCAGACACTCACATCTGTTAGCGAAGCAGCCGAAGCACTCCGCTAGTCAATGTTCCAGGTCTTATGAGGCTGTATCGTTCTCGCCGATGACATCTTATATCGATCTAAGCTACAGCAACTCAAAAATTGAGATGTCGACAATCGGAGCTAATATCCCTCCGAATAATTACGAGTTCACTAACTCCGTCTTCACTTTCAAAAGATTATTTTGTGAACTAGAAACATTGAATTTCTATAGTTATTATTCTCCTATCAATAATGAATTCTACTCAGTTTTCAATATCTACAACGTACTGTGTATATTGTTGCTGATTCTAGTTTGCCACTATCCAATCAAATGTCATTATCCAAGGGGCTCTAGACCCAACTTGGCAACAACCATATTGCCTGTATTGATTGAGGCAAAAAGGGCTGAGTTTCACAAACTAGAACGATTGACATCTGTATGTATGTATCCATCAATGTCTCTGTCGACCTACCCGCCTCAAGCCACCAAAGTACTGCGCCTTCGCTAATGTGATTAGGCTTTTGTTGCTATAAATTACGTATGCCAAGTGATTCCTACTCTAGTTTTTGAATCACCTATTGAATGTAATATTTTCATTACTGCGCTGAATTAGATGGAGCTTTATACATCTGTAGGGTGCATGCAAGCTCGTGGTTGCTCTCAATAGTGTGATCGAAGGGAAGAACGTTGAGCCCGACATTCTACACAAAGCATATACACCGTAGATACATCTAGCTCGCTAGTCGCTTCTATCAATTGCAGGTTTACTCTGCGCGTAAGTCCACGCAAACCCATTTTAGAGAAAACCTGGGCTGGGATTTATTGGCGTGTATAAATTTACGTGGAAAGCGATAGTATTGAATTATATCAGAAGGTACACGAATTTATAGTTCATTCATGCAAACTAATCCACCCAGCCTGGCTTCAACGTTCTCTCTTGAGATCTTCGATTCAATCCTAGTATATTGAATACAATCATAATGTCCCAGCTATAGTAACCAAATTAAAGGTTTGCGGGCTTTAGGGTATCACTCCTACTATAGTACTAATTCAAGCCCGATAAAGGATGAAAGAAAGGTACTCAATATAGTCAATCGCATAAAAACTATAGGAACGTATATTAATAGTAATATATCCAACCGAGATGCCAGCATTGCGGGGTCTAGACCTACAAAGTCAGTATATCGGCTTTTCTTTCGAAGGTAATAAATGGTAGGAAGAAGATATTGGGTCGATTTCCTCATAGGTATTAATAAAATTGGTAAAATTTCGAGCTTAATGTTACAGCAGTCAAGTCCAATATTGTTGCATTTGTTGCTAAAGACCTTCAGGTCTGATTTCATCGAATCGGTCTATTCGGACGAGATACAATCTAAGCAGTATATCAATGAAGCTAGCAGACTATAGACTGGCCGGCTACATATAATACACTTAAACTCTAGTTCATTCATGCAACAATTAATGTTCGTAACCTCTTGCGCCATGAAAAGGCACTAATCTGTTGATAAGGGGGCTACCGATATCAAAGATTTCAACAATCAGGGACGCCATCAAAGTAGAAAACGATTAAGAAGTATACAAACTTAGATAATCCAGACGACAATGGTATCAATCGCTTCGACACCGACTCCATAGTGAAATTAATACCAAGGTTTTTCGGAGATAAGGTTTTAATAATTTTTTGATCTGGGCCTTGGCAACGGGAAGAACAGCGGCTGGTGTGGTATTTTGTGAAGCACTTAAGACGTTTATCACGATTTGCACTCTTTCGGACCTCGGATATTGTGACTGTATTGTCCCCCTTTCTTGCATTAATTAGTTCCGTCCGGTTTGGGTATCAGCATCACATATTCATGCTCGTATGATTCTCCACCACTTAGAGTGTCAGATCTGGAGGAGATATAACGACTTATGGCGTGAGCAGAGTTTGCGATAGAACTGGAAATCGACTAAGAATGTCGAAGTTTAGACACAAGCCTCTGAAAACAAGCGCTCCCCGAACCGCCTTGATTTTCACGATAGCAAGCAAATGAGCCCCACTTCAAGTACTAGAATCTTAAGTCCGCTTGATGCCGTTCCGTTCGAAGGAATCAAGTGGGGGGCACATCGATCGTCATTTGCCTTATCTACATATAATCCTTTGAAACGAGCGCTTGGACTTAGGCTCTGTGGTTTTCCCATCTCGTGGCTTTGGCGAAGGCCTAGAGCAATATTTTGTTCAAAATTGAATATTGATAAGTCCTGTAGGCGAAGTCCGCGGGTCCTATTATTTGTCGATTCACGGGCAGAGCCCGAACATACAGCGATTCGAGAGCCTTCTCTTAAAATACAGCCTCAATGAAGTTCAGAGGGCTATTCCGTTTCAATATTAACAAAGAAAAGAACTATATGATAATAAATCTTGATAACAAGGTTCATACGCCAAATTTGCAAAGGAGAGCTGGGCAGCCAGGTAGTTTGGAACTTTTGTGAATGTCGAGTACATCAAGATCGTACACCCTATGACACCGGATAGAACTAATTGGTGGTTATTTTAACCTAGTAGTCATAGTGTATAGTATTGAGATCCATTATCGCAGCTTTCTTGAGTACATTTTGAGCTTCCTAGGCCTGCTCGAGCGCTCATCTTGGTTCTGGACTATATGCCGTTCAGACCTAGCTGAACATGTTAACACTTTTGCTCATTCATATTATAGATAATAATATAATAACTTTTCTAGAGCCGACGCGACCATTGAATTTCTGTTAAAACTATCTTTATGAATTAATCCACTAAAGAAAGCCGGTATTATGAAGGCTATATGACTAACTACTCAACATCTATTTATCGTACATTCCACCCAAATCCGGTATTAAAACTCCAACATACAATAGATCTACAAGAGCCCAATAGAACGATGCATCCTAAGGATGTTGCGATGATGAGCCATCGAGTCCCAAGCTTCTCGCTTTTCACGGGAAGTCTTTGGGATATATTGGAAAGGAATTTCGCTTCGAGGGCAGCGGTTATCATGACCAGGTAAGGTGAGATTTTGGAAGTAAGCCCTGACTTTATCGAACACACACCAGTTTCGCTGACCAAGGATTCCGTGCTATAGAGCCAAAAAGTTAGTACTGTTTCATATCATTCCTTATATAGAAGTACCGGTGGGTATTAAACTTACACCAACAGCGTCAACATATATCATTTTGGCACCCTTGTGTAGCGTCCTAGCCTTCTCTGCGTTTTCAAAGGGAGTGACAGGGTCCTTTGAAAGTCCAACGAACAAAACCGGAGTTTTAGTAGCACCACCAATCTTGCCGCTGAATCTCCACTTTGGTCTGAGCTTGAGGCGACTGCAGATTCCGTAGACTTGAATGAAACGTTCACCGGATGAAACACTGTAGTTGTGAACGGTGTTGATAAATTCTTGAGGAACGGGCAAGTCACTTCCTACCATACGAGGATCATTTGAGTCTGAACACCAAGCCTCTAATGCGTTTTCTCCTCGAACTGGGTCGCTAGGGTCTGGTGGTCCTGTCCATTGAACACTGATCTCCTCCATATTCGCAGCGGTGGCATTCTTCGCTTTAACCAATGCTTCGACGGTCGCCAAAGTCTTGGCGTAGGCTGGGAAAGTGACGATAGCGTTATATGGAACTTGAATGAGAATGTTCTTCATAACTTCTTGTCCGACGGAGACATCAGTAACATTCGCCCAGTTTTCTTGAATACCTCTGGCGGTGTCGAAGTTTGCCCATAGATTGTTAAATCGGTCGCGGATAGCACCTGATGTGTGCCCAGTGAAGAAAGCGCATTTCTCCGGACCGGCATCGAAGCAAGTTGTGAAGAAAGTGGAAACGCCCTCGTCTGTATGTTGCAGAGTCGACCTGATATCGGCATTGTACCAATCTTCAAGGTCTACGACACTGTCAATAACAAACCGACCCACGTGCTGTGGGTACAAAGATGTAAACGTTTGGCCGACGACTGAACCATAGCTGAGACCGTAGTAATTGACAAGGACATTATCTTCAGGTTTTCCCTTAAGACGGGCGTCCGCCTTAGCTATCTGTAACATATCGAAAGCAACATTTGGGGTCGTCATGTAAGGAACAGCTTGATTATCAGCGTTTGCCTTGGCTTGGAGGAGTTCGTTAAACTCAACTCCCGACTCAATCACTGTATCGATCCATGCAGCCGGACGAGGTGCAATCTTGAGGCCATAGTGGTCTGGCCTGATAGCTCGCTTCCCTAGTTGTTCTTGGGTAAGATAGGTAGCGTTCTGTAGGTTTGGTGCTACAAGTGGAACACCGTTCCACCCGATAGCACCGTTGGGCTTGCTATATCCCATACCACGGGGGTCAAACCCAATGATATCCCAGCCAGGTCCAGTGAAGTTTGCGATTGTCTCGCCGTATGTGAAGATAAACTCAATACCCAAACCACCTGGGCCACCTGGATTGGTCAGGATTATGCCTTTGTACTCGCCCGAGCCACATTTTGCAGGACGTTTTATGATCGGAATTTCACTTCTCAATCCATTCTTGGGTTCAAGAGGGTTCAATGGTACAGAGAGGCGTGCGCACTCGTAAGTCTGGTTGCACGGATACCATTTTAAATCGACGGAAGCTGGGATCTAGCGGCGGAGGTTAGTCTCAAGCTTTTCAACGGCTGAAAAAGTCGTACTTACTGTGTCGAAGAAGTATTGTTTCTCGCCTGTGCAGGTGGGCACGGCAAATGCAAGATTTGGGACTATAGCAGCTACAGCTGCGAATAGATAGCTCTTCATATCAAAGCAATTCAAGGCGAAAAAATGAACTGACTAAATTTATTAAATGAATAAGTTATCAAGAGAGAAGAAAGGAAATTTTGAAAACGAAAATTCTTTGGAACTACCAAAGACGCTATGAGAACTACTGAGATGCAATGATATCGAGTAAAAAATATGTTTATTGACCTGCGAGGACTCTCCATCTTTTATATTTCGATGGTTCAATTATATCCACCTTGCAGTCAAAATTCGATCATCCCCCCACCCCCACAGCTGGGATTGAATCTAGGCTATCCGAGAGCATAGTATTTTTGGGGTAATATGAGAGGCTAAGGAGCCGCAGTGGTCGATCGTAAGTCGTGACGTCTGCAAACCCATCATGGTAGGCCGGTACTAATCAATCATTTCCCATGATGATATTACTAGTACTAGTGCAATATGCGCAATGCCTGTGTTTGTCATCAATGCGAGATTCCGGCCAAGAAACCCTGTATCGTATAAATTATCGATGTTTTAGTAGTAAGGCGAATTGAGACATCGTGCTCCTCGAATATTAAGTTTTTTTGATAACACTATGGGTCGAGTGTTTTAAAACTATAGCACCGGGGTTTATACAATGTGCGTCGTCGATGTCATGGCGGTGCAAAACTTACCTCATTGAGCCTCGTATCCTGTGTAAACAAGGTACACTACCGGCGCCGGTCCTAGCGCTGGCCAGCCTACCACAGGCGACGATCTGCCGGAAAAGCATACCCAGACCCACCCCGGAAAGGCAAAACTTTCTACAAGCCGAGATAGACGACTAGATCTGCTCATAAAATCTAGATTTGGAGATTCATCATCAATTAGAATGTGCTGTGCAGAATCGAAGTCGCGAAATCTGCCTACCGATTCAAATTTTGCCCGACGGGGAACTTTCTCCATCCGGCTTTGATTTGCTTCTAGAACCAAAACTCCGGTCGATAACTGGACTTCGTTCCATGTTTCCCGTCATCAGCACTCGCTACACTGAACTGCCGAATTTGAAGACTGACACGCGGTGCCAGGCATCTTTTTAATACGTTGATTAGATTGGGTTTAAATAGAGGATGTGGTATTATTAGCGTCAGCCAAGCTGACAAGCCCAACCTTGTCAGGATTCGGGCCCAACGCAAGGAAGTCGTCTAACGACTCCGTTCAGTTCTGTAACAACATTGTATCAAGCCCTCCATGCCCGCAGAAGGGCTTACGAATAGGTCTGTGGTTAATTTGGGCTCATCTTAACCTTTAAATATCAGATACTATTAATTGGTACTTTAATTACTGCGGCAAAATGTGTGTACGTATGCATCTCGTAAATTAGAGGATACACGACCTTCTTAATATATTGTGACTGACGAAGCGCTGCAGATTTCCTATACTTACAAACCATTGTATTATCAACAAAAATTAATACATCAAAAGTCTAAACATCTGCACCTGCCATTAAGTCCTTTCATTGTCAGGCTGATAAATATTGTCGGCAGTTCGAATTTGAGGGAAACGAGACATATATTCATTACCGAACTAAGAGGTATGTTTAACCGGTTCTGGCAGTACTAAGCGGGTTCGGATCGTGCTGAGTTTCTGATAGTATGCTGACGTCACGAAGTTCCCCGGCAAGTTCGAGGTTAGTTGAAGCGGAGTCGAACCAATTTTAAATTTTCTATACAAATTTATGTTAGCTCTTTAACTCTAGTCGGATTTTCTACATAAATAAAACTATTTGCCTTATGATTGATCTTGTTACTTAGCGAGCTCTAGGTATATATATAGGCTTAGTGCCCGCTTGTGCCGACAGCTTGATATGATCATCTCGAATACGACCTTTCGTCCTTTTGAACCTGAATCTAGAAATTCGATAAACTTACCAATCACCTTGCCAAGCTCCGAAGCTCCGGATTCTCGGATAACCGTAATAAGAAAATCGCCCGATTGATAAGCCGTCACAGGCGCATATGCGTGTGGTTGAGGAGTACTCGAGTGCAACTGCCGTTCAGTCGTTCTAGCGCATATAACAGTCGAATTCAAATGAAAAAAAGAGTACAAACCTTAGATTGCCGCATATTCATTGTATAGAATGATGTCAAGAAGCTCCTAATCAACGGGGGAATAATTTATCAAGACAAATCATGACTTTCCCAACATTTCCTGTCGTTTACGATTATCTTATGATATTTTTAACAGTCGGAGCCGGTGCGCCGGTGTTGTAGTATAAACGAAAGCGGCTCGCGGGGCCGCGGGGTAGACGGTCGCGGTCAATTGATTTCAGAACTACCTAATGTACCTACTAAGAAAGTACTTAGGTATGCGTATAAAGAAATTATGTCATGCATATGGTCTGGATCATGCATACATATTGAAATGGAAAGAATGTAGCTCCGTAGCTTAGCAATCAATTAATTGTTTATATACCTCACTCGTACTTATGAATCAAAACCAATTCTCAAGACCTTAACAAATTATATCCACCTAGACGCAATTCACAGCGTTTGATTACGAGACTGAATAAAATCGGTGTCGCTTCAAAGCCAAAAAGCTAAGCTAATCGATATTATTTCGATAATTTAACATCTGTGTAACAGTACACGCAACGCAAAAAAAACCACAAGCTCACCTCCAAGATGCCAAATTCAATGCTCCTCAGAGGGGGTATCGCCTTAATTCATGGAGAAAACGATGTAGTTACCGCGCAAAGGACAGACATTTTGGTTTCTGGGGGGAAGATCAAAAAAATTGGAGAATCCATTGAAGCTGGAGGCGCTGAAGTCATCGATTGTACTGGAAAACTTATCTCACCTGGCTTCGTTGATACGCACCATCATTGTTGGTACGTAAGGGAATAGCACTTCTCATTGAAGTGAACTTAAATTTATTAGTATGATTGTGGTTTGATGGGAATTCTAATGGAGGTCTTGGAGAAACAGGCAAACCCAGTTGAAGGGCAGGCATGCGAACCATATGCTTCTTGAATACATTCCAACAGGTTAGCTAAATCTATAGAAAGAAAATTGATGATACATATGAAGAAAGTACTAATATCGGAATATAGGGAACCTTACTGCATTCCTCTTCGGACCTGACGACGTTTACCTTGGAGAGTTGGGTGGTCTTATGGAGCTCATTGATGCCGGTGTCACCACGGTAGTTGATCATTGTCATGCTATTTACTCTCCAGAACATGGTATGTGACATATCTCCCGACTAGAATTAAGTAGTTTAAAGCTGTTAACAAACATATAAATAGCCAACGCTGCTTTGAAAGCTACTGTCGAATCCGGTATCCGCTCAGTCTTCTGCTACTCCTCCGCATTCCTTATCTCCGAATGGGACCAAAACTCAACATCGATAGATCAAACCCCACTCCCTGACTGGTTTCTTGCACATCTTGTCAAACTTGCCTCTCAGAAACATGCTGAAGGGCGAGTCGAGATTGGTTTTGGCTGGGACCACTTTTTCCTTGGTGAAGAAACCAATAAGATGGTATTTAAGACTGTCCGTGACGCTGGAGTTAAATTAATCACGACGCATTGGGTGAATGAATCGCCAATCTTTGGACCCCGGTCTAGTATCACCACAATGGACCAGCAGAGCTTAGTGGGGCCAGATATTTTGGTGTCACACGGTAACCAGATGAACGACGAAGATGCCACTATCTTTAAAAAACACGGGATGTCAGTTTCATCAACACCAATGACCGAGCTTCAGATGGGACATGGGCTTCCTATTTGTTACGACCCACGATTCGAAGATTGTGCTAGTCTCGGAGTCGACTGCCATTCTTCGGGCGCTGGGGACATGATCACACAAATGAGAGTCGGGTTACAAGCTGAACGTGGGGTCTTCAATCAAAAATACGTTGAGCAGGGGAAGAATCCTTCTACATGCAAGCAGACCGTCGAGAATACTTTTAACCTAGCTACAATCAAAGGGGCGAGAGCTTGTAAGTTAGGAGACAAGGTCGGATCGATTGCAGTTGGGAAGTCAGCGGACTTTGTCATCTTCGATACAGAGACCCCAGCGATGATATGTGCTGCTAAAAGGGACCCTATCGCAGCGATTGTTCTGCATTCGAGCATCAGGGATATTGACGCGGTCATCGTTGATGGGGTTGTTAGGAAAGCCAACGGGAAGCTGCTACCCGTTGAAACAAAGGAGAAGGAACTATTGAATTGGAAGGATATTGTCGCTCAATTAGAAGAAAGCTATGAACTTATCGAGGGGAAAGCGAAAAAGCTTAACTATGAAGAGGCGACGAAGACAGTTGGTAATGCTTTTCAATTAAACTGGAATAGATTCCCGACAATCTAATGGAGGATATGGTACTTGCCGGGCCGATATTTAGTTTGCGTGTATGAATAATCGGATAAATATGCACGCAGACAAAGACCCGAGGGCTAGCCTCGAATATAGGCGGCGTTCTTGAGGCAGAGTCAAGAGGCACTGTGTCATATGGAAAGTAATGAAAATGTACCTGTTCATTAACTCAAAAACCTCGGCGGCTTTTTGTGGTTATACGAGATCATTTGTGATAGGATGTTCCAGACCCTTACTTGAAATGAATGCACCAATATGTGCTACTAGCTAGCCTATCGGTAGAGCATCAACATGATCAACTTCCTGGTACAAATTCGAACATGGGAGTCTCCCTGCAGCCATGGTTGACTATGCGGCAAATAATGGTGATGTATAATATTTGATCCGTATCAATGTACACGTAGCTATCTGCTGGGATATATCTATCTATATCTCAAGATCTTAAGATATTATGGCTAGTTCATATATAGATATTTTCAAACAACTGTTGCATAATCTGGTCGGTTTGAATTGTTTAGAAATAATTTTTAGCCATAGGAATTCCGAATACTCATCCAGACTTACGGCGAGACTTGTAGTCGATCTCTGTAAAAAATTAAAAAAATAAATAGAGAAAAAGAAAAAGAAATACTAGCGCCTTGATAACGGAATAACAACATTGAATTCGTGTCTAGACGAAGAAATTAAAGACTAGAACATAAATGATGTGTGCATTGCTTCTACAACCCCGCCTTGATTCGATGCTACCATGCAGCACCCTGCATTTATGTATACATACAAATATTTTCATGCAATTGTGGAATATTGAATTTATAGCCCAATTGGCCTATCAAAGAAAGTATTTGCATCCAGCCCTGGTTTGATTTTCGTTTTTACGTATTAATCGTGCGACGTAGGCAGATGTACTTACTGACCCAAGCTACTATGGTACTAACATCCCCGATAAAGATATGATGAGCGAATACCTGATATGATTGTTGTAGTATCAATGAGTCAAATTTAGCTAGAAGCCAAAACCTTTGTGCCCTTGAAGATAATTAAATCCGAATTGGCCTTCAGGCAGTGCAGTGGGTTTTGTCTATAAAAGGACACTATTTCCTTCCTATCCATGATCCAACAATAAAATATCCTGTCATTCATATTGAGAAACACAGCTCGCCATAGAAGGACTTACGATTTTACATATATTCATAAATACCTTTTATCTCTTCATCGATATATATACGCGAATAAAGCGCTGTAACGTCTTCCCTACATCCCAACAGGCCCTATAAGATCGTCTTCAACGAATCGGAGGAACATAAGTTAGTCCTGGGAGCTAGTGAGGATAGTAATGGACCCGACAAAGAAATTGTTGGTTACCCAGCGGATACCCAGGGAGATCATGTAGTAAGTCTCGTCCTAGAATAATATGTCGGTCGAGTTAGCTATCATTTTAGCTAGCTTCGGTTCTAGACACACGAAGCAATAGTTTTACCAGGTTAGACTTAAGCTAAGAACACTTTCATTGCTAGATTTGGATTCTTAAACCCCGACCGGGATTTGATTCGAGCTTCAAATTAGAGTGTGGGGGATATCAAATTTTCGATGAAGATGGAAAAATATGGGGAACTAAGGAGGAGGAATACCGACCTGAGTTGAAACACGCTTTCTGGGGTATCGTGGCCGACCAAGGTACCCAGAGTCAAGATGAACCAGGTTACTTGTAAGTTACTATGCAATCCAGGAAGGAGGATACTCGAAGAAGATTAGAGCGCTGACATCTCGATAAATCCAGAATTAAGGATCCTATTGGGTCTTCTGCCTGGAGCTTCGCTGGTATTAAGGGATCCCAGGTGGGTACACCGTTGTTTCTAGAATTAAATTCCGCCAAATCACTAAATCGGATTCGTGCACCGCTAATGGTTGATGTGTCGTAGATAATCCTCCGTCCAGCACCCCCTAATAATCAGAAGACCCATCCTTCACAGCTTTTCACCTTCATTCCAGTGCTTTGATTCTAGATTTGGAACGCTAAATCAGGAGATTCCTAGTAATGGGTCAATGGGGCATACATATTTTTCTATACAAACAGGATAAAAACATTGTACACGACTAGACTTTTCAAGATACCTCATACATGTATGTGTGATATGTTGTCAGTAATAGTTGCATATGAATAAACCTGTTATATCTTCAGTGCATGAGACTATAATACACGAGCCGAAAGTATAGCGTGGATTTCGAAATTTGAGGTGAGTAATTCAAAGAGAATTAGGTCATTACATCACGATCCGATATCCTGATTCCTGTCAGTTCGTTAAAGTGATGTATGAATGGCATCCATTATTAGACTATATGTGATTTTAACCTCATGGGCCCGAGGCTGAAGTGGTTCAAGCCTTCCTTTAAATCCCTATCTGAAATATAATAGACACAAAAAGAGTTTTCTTAAAGAGAATCTAAAATGAATTCGAACTAACATGCCAGCATTTTAATGTTAACAGCTTTATAGCCTAGTTGTCCGAAGCTGCACACTAGAGGAACTAGTTACAGATGAAATGAAGTTGTACATACTATGGAAGAGCTCGAGAGTTGGGATGGAATCCCCTTCGATCCTGCCGTACCAGTTCGCGACTGCCGTCCCGAAATTTCTGGGACAGACCGCGGCCTAGACCAGTAACCCGAAGAGCTGCGGACCCGCAATTGAGGGATTATCCGACCAATGAATTCTGGTACCTGCACGTTATTGGCAACGCGTCATGGGGAACGTTAGGAATCCTTCTGTGCAGCTGTGCCCATTGCGTCGCAGTAAATTTTATGCAGGATTCAATTCGGGTTCCACCATGTTGGTTTTGCTCGATCGGATCGGATCGATCGACGCTAACAAGCGAGCCCGCAATCTAGATCAGTCAATTTTGGAAATGATTCGCTAATTTAGGACCCTTCTGTATATCCCTTGCATGAACTGGTATGTATTAATGCATTGATTTCATGCATGCCGTCGACCCGGGTGGGGTAATTGGATAGGTAGTAGGCATATGTACATGTACATGTACCTGTACAACTGTTTCGTATAGATGTGTGCGTAGCATATGTATAGATGTTAAAATGTTAACATGTTCACAGTCGACTTGAGACCCGTGGGTGCATTAATGTCGAACCACCATTGCGATACCGGTTAAATTTAATTCACTCATATGGCCATATGTGGTAGGCTCTGGGCTTGTAAAGCTGTAAAGGTCGGGTCCTTTCCGGCTAGAATAAAGCGTCGAAAGGCTCAACATATTTTAGCAATTAGAGGTACGTAGCTATACATCTAATCACAAAATTTCAAATGGAGTTAAATTTAAAACGGTACAATACTTTAATTTTTGTGTTAGGATCTGTGAGCCGACAGAAAAGTTAGAAACGGTATAGATTCGGACTTTTGTAATTCTTAAAATAAAGAAGAAGAAATTATATCATGGTAGGTGGGACTGCATACAGTTCCAATGTTACTATGATCACAGCCATTGAGGAGTTCCAAGCGTAAATTCTCCCATTTCATGCAAAAGGTTCAAAAATCATGATATCTGGATATTGCCTCTCAAACTCATGAATTTTAGCATAATGCACCCTAGAAGAGACATCACCTTCTTCATCGGTGTGATCCCGTAGTATATAATATTCATTTTCCGGTTCCGTATCCAGGGCATCTTCATACGCTTTGAGGAAACCAGTATGATTGAATGCCTTCAGATTTAATGGTTCCTTAATCGGTTCAGGCATAATAGCATGAGTATCGCTACTATCTTCATGTTGACAAATAGTGGCAAGATATCTGTCATAATCGGGAGATTGGAGTAGCCGGTCCACAGAGTTCGCCCAAGATTGTAACAAAATCCATAAATTGCCAATAACACTTGTAGTGCAGTCTAGGCTACCGTATGGGAGTGGGACGTAGTGGGTTGTGATTGATATGGCTCGTAGTTTTGGTAGCTATATATAATCCCTTTTGTTAGCACTCCAAGTCGGAACGCGAATTGGATGCTTAATCCATAGGTATATATACCTGAGTTAACATCATAACATCTCGATGACAGATCGGCAATGAAATCTCTTCGAGGCTTGAAAAGGTGATTAGATCAATAACCGAGAAGCCGTCATCATGTTCGGCGGAGGAGGAGGAGGAGGTATTAGCTGAATCGCTGGGAATATTGCCCGAAGGGAGCTCAGCTGGACAGTCAGTGTCTCGTGTTTGACGCTGGGAAATATATATCGATAGTCTGCGTAAAGTTTTACCGTGCTTTATGATCGCATTTCTTTGAATTCGGGTTTCCCTATCAATCTTGAGGCGAAGATTCTCATACACGAGCATCTGTAATGTTCTAGGGAGGGAGTATAAGACTTGGTTAAACAATTCAATCGAACATGACTCCGAAATCATTAACGATCTCAAATTAGTCAGATTTGGCGCAGCAGCGTGGAGAACTTTGCCTGCATCAAAGCAATTCCTTATAGAAAGAGATCGGAGAAAATTGACTTCTGTAAACTGATCAAGGCCGTATGGAAATCCAATGCTCCAATAGGTCTCTGTACGACTTTGCATATCAAGATATTCCAACTGGAGTAGTCCTCCGGGCTCCTTTGATGCAGGTAGAGGGGCTAAATCAACAGCGTTATATCTCCCAGGTGTGTTTAACCTCAAAGAGATAGATTTGAGCTTCTTAGTGGCTCGAACAAGTTTCCACCAAGCGTGATCAACTTCACGCCGAATCTTTAGATGTTCGAGTAGATTTAGTTGACCAAAGGATAATGTATTGAGGGTAGGAGAAGAATTAGTCTCCATTCGTCCCCGTCGTCGTGAAACGCTTCTGGTTTTGGTGCGTCTGTGTGTATGCTCAAGGCTTCTGAGGCCATTAAACTTTAGACATCCTGGTAGAACTCCGCTATATCCCATTCTGTTTGAATCATGCGTATTAGTCTAAATCCTCTAGCATCGAGTTGTATAATCAGGGCGCTTCGTCACAATTCAGCCCTCCGGTGGATACCCTTGATAATTCAGCTCACGTACTCTATCGAAAAAAGTTGATTTTTATCAAGTAACCACAGAAAAAACACCAGAAGAGCCCTCGATTTAACGTTTAAGTAGTTTACGCTTGGTAACCATCCTATATCAACTGGCGCTGCCCGGATACTGAGATGTCGGATATACGCCCTGGCTGAGTGGTTTGGCATCATCAGGGGTGTAAGAGCGTGAGCATTGATTGTCGAGTGGAATATATGAGGAGTCGCGTAGCGGAGATCAAATCCTGTGATAATTACATGGTTGTAAAGAACAGGAGTGGCAATACTTCTAAATCGTTGGTTGACAAGACAAGCGCCCAACAGTCCGCTGTCTGGCGTATAACGTGGCTGTATTAGTATCGCAAATATTTGTTAGTTGAATAGAGGCCGAGATAAGCAGCGTATGTAATATATATAATACTGAATTTACGTGAATTCACGAAGGGGTGCATGAATGTATGTGTCTTACAAGATCTATCCAGGGCTCGTCGTCTCTCCTCGTCAGCGGGGTTACTCTGGGAGACGGTAGACATGTAGATAGGTTCCTAAAGATCGTAAACAAGATCTCATTCGGTAAGTCACATATCGAAACCATCTTCTTACGGTTTTCGATATATTTCTGGGCTGAATATTTTCTGAAACGTTGAAGGGCGGTTGCCGTTTTACAGGACTTAGCTGTTCGGACTTACGCGATTCTCGTCATGAACCTGTAAACAAAAGCGCAGGATCCCACAAGTATGTTGTATTTTTGTGACCAACACACCGATTAGCCTCGTCAGCTAGTCCTCACGGACCCGGGCTTTCCATGGCACTTCGACGTAACATAGGTCCTGGTTGCCAATCTCGTGGGAATCAATTGGATTATAATAAATATTGGTTTCTGACCCAGGCCTGTAAGGGTAGATATTTATAATCTAGAACTCCACATAAAAAACATTTAAATTTTTTTTTTGGTTATATGCTGGGTGGGAGTAATTGTAGAAGATGGCCATATGGAAGAACTAGGATGAACGGCTGCCTGGAAATAGCTAGCCCGGATCTGCGGAAACGTAAAAATTTAAAAAGAAATCATGGCTTAAGTTTGATTTGTAGATCTATGACCTGTGTCACCTACTGGAGGCTGTAGAGCCCCTACGGCTTGATGTCGAAATATCAACGTATAACAATTTCATTGTCTTATACTAGAATTTAGTGTGTAGTGAAGAGCCTGAGTATCGCCGTTAAAGTTGAAGAAATAGAGGGGACAAAACAACTCCACCGCTCATATATATCTCGAGTTCAAGTTTATTAAGCCTAGTGATCCGCGGTATCGTTTCTACGAAATAATCTTTTACTTCTAGGAACTACATTCATATTAGCACTACTGGTGACAAGAAGCTCACCCGCTTTCAGCAATAAGGGCTGTAATGTTAAGTTCGGTATAGGATCTAAATGCGACTCGATGTGTACCGTATTTATCGAATAGGTTTATAATGCTAGCGTCTGGAGGATCAAAGCGACATCACAAAAATTGATCCGACGAATGGATAACTGTCCGATCTGCCAGGAGAAATTTGAAGACCACAGTTTATCAAACCCTAATTCTCAATCATCCAAGTCCTTTTCACTTAGCTTCGGCAGGTATGGATCCTAAATGTGAATAGATCCGAGTGTTACAAGCGCCTGGAACCGAGACGAAGGAAAAACAAGGATCTTCAAAGCCTGAGTACAAATTAAATTTGCAAGATAACCCAAAAAAAAGAGAACAAATATTGGATTGGTCTCATAGATTGGATCAAAAAATGAAAACGAGGATCCGGAAAGAGAATATCGCGAAAGAATGCAATAGGACCTGCCGACTTATGTTGCATTTGAACTAAGAAAAGTGTTGCGAGTGAGTCTATTGCACGTGATCTGGTTTTGGGTGGCCTCGACCGAGTCTGGGCGTTCTGGACGGAGCCAGGCCTGAGAGCGCGGCTGCAACACAGACCTCTTGTTTCAGGCCATAAAAATTTATTGGCTAATACAACGTTTCCAAAGCTTCTACCGTCAACCACATCTTACCAGCATCGGTACATCCACAATGTCACGAACGAAGAAAGGAAAACGCGCAGGGGACAAGGTATAACATCATCTTAGACCCGGGGCACAATCTTACACCTACTCATCATTTATTTGTATTATAGAAGCAACGTGGTCGCGGAGGCGGCAACAACGGCAACAACGATCGCACGGATTATTCAGCCATCGCGAAAGAGAACAAAAAATTCGAGAACTACTACATTAACCAGGGCATTGTTCCTGATGAAGAAGAGTTCAAAAAATTCTGGCAGAGTTTGAAGGATACTCTGCCAACAACTTGGAGGTTTACGGGAAGCAAAGGGTATCTATTCATTCGTGCTATGTGTAGCCTAGGTTACACGATACCAATTTATCATAAGATTGAAACTGTGGTAACTACAGGTGGCGATGCTGATTCTCTTTTGATAACGTAGTCATGCTGTCTCCGTACGAAACACCCTTCAAACGCACCATATCCCTGCTCTGACAAATACCACATTTGAAGGGGCATTGATTCCCGCGCCGACACCACTATCATGGTACCCGGACGAACTCGCCTGGCAGCTCACGGTGGGGAAGCAGGTCATTCGCCGCTCTCCACCGTTCAAGCAGTTACAAGCTTTCCTTGTCTCCGAAACATCGTCAGGGAACATCTCCCGCCAGGAGGCAGTTAGCATGATCCCGCCATTGTTGATGGATGTAGAACCCCATCACATGGTCCTGGACATGTGTGCTGCCCCGGGGAGCAAAACGTCACAGTTGATCGAGGCAATTCATGCCGGGGAAGAAGAAAGGGTTGCTGAAGCTGCAAAGAGGTTGTCCGGAGGCGAAGGGATAGATACTAGCGTTGACGGGGAACCTCCTGAGAAGATTATGGGAAAGACTACTGGGGTTGTCATCGCCAATGACGCCGATTACAAGCGATCCCATCTCCTGATCCACCAAACCAAACGTCTTAATTCGCCCAATCTCATCGTTACAAATTACGACGCGACATTATATCCTTCGCTACGGTTGCCGACGAAGCGGGATCCTAATGGAGGGAAGACAATGCAGGAATACTTGAAGTTTGATAGGATATTATGTGATGTTCCGTGCAGTGGTGACGGAACAGTTAGGAAGAACCCTTTGATTTGGAGGGATTGGAACGCTGCAAATGGGAATGGCTTGTGGAGCACGCAAGCTAGGATCCTGGTTCGTGGCCTACAGCTCTTGAAGGTTGGTGGTAGACTTGTGTACTCAACCTGTTCGTTGAACCCTATCGAAAACGAATCAGTAGTCCATGTGGCAATTGAAAGATGCGGTGGTCCTAGTGTGGTGGAGATTGTGGATGTTAGTGATAGACTGCCAGGATTGATCAGAAGAGAAGGCATGAAGAACTGGAAGGTTATGGACAAGGATGGAACTTGGTTCGAGAACTGGGAGGAAGTCCTCGAGAAGGGCGTGCCTTACACAGATCGGTTGACGAGAGGAATGTTTCCGCCCACTGATCAAGACAGCGACATCGCCAACATGCTGAATAGATCGGTCAGGGTATACCCACATCTCCAAGATACCGGTGGTTTCTTCATAACCGTCCTCCAAAAGAAAGGAGCCGTTAAGGCCGCTCCAGAGGGGGAGAAAATACAAACCGGTGGCCAAAAAATGAAAGGTGTTAACGTTCGCGCTGGGGACGAAGCCAAAAAAGCCGCCGAGACAGCCAGCGACGTTGATGTTAAACTGGTCGAAGAGACAGATTTAACTTCCGCATCGCTCGCCACTGGTGCCAAACGCGCCTTGTCTGCCGAGGATGAAGAACAGGCGGACCCAGGCTCTCCAATTAAAAGACAGAGACTGGATGATACCGCAGATACCCCAGCTTCGGCTGGCAAAGACGAAGATGAGGAGCTTAAGCTACTGGATATCCCGTCAACTGAACAAAATCATCGAACACAGGAGTTCGACGAAGACCCCAAGACCGATGTTATCGCCAAGAAGCCTCGGGGCAACTTCAACGAGGAGCCATTCAAGTTCCTTCCTCCTTCCCACGATGTCCTAGCCCTAATCAAGAAGTTCTACGGCTTATCGTCGTATTTCCCCCTTGATAACTTTTTGGTCAGAAATCAAGAAGGAATACCGGTTCGCACTATTTATTTCACATCTACAATGACGAGACAGATCTTATCAGAAAACGAAGGAAGAGGCATAAGATTCGTCCATTGCGGTGTCAAGATGTTCAACCGTCAAGAGGTTCAAGATCCTGAAGCTTGCCAGTGGCGTATTCAGAATGAAGGATTAGGACTAGTTGAAGCTTGGGTTGGAGACAAGAGAGTTGTTCATCTGAAACAGAAGGAAACCCTCAGATACCTTATGAAGGAGCTGTTCCCTAGAGTTGAAGATGTCGCGGAGATCAGAGAGAGGGTGGAAGGTATTGGTGGTGGGTGTTGCGTGCTACGAGTTAATATCGAAGAGGATAAGGACGAGCTTGGGGCGTTGGTCTTGCCTTTGTGGAAGAGCAAGTTTACGTTGAATCTGATGTTGCCGAAGGAGGAGAGAAAGTAAGATACCATAGAATCTTTCAGTGCTTGACACAGAATACTAATCTATTTCTAGGGCGTTGTTGCTTCGACTGTTCAATGACACCGAAGGACCCAAGGATTCCACCAGAGAGCAAAGAGAATCGGATGCCAAGGCTAGACGGGAGGCGAAGGAGAAGGGAGAAGATGAGGATCAAGATGAAGAGATGAAGGACGAAGAGGATGATGGGGGCATTAAAATCGATGGCGAGGATGATTAAATTAATACCCTGTTCGTGAGTGGAATACAACGGGTATCTGAATATGTATTTCTATTAGACTGTCACCCGTCGAGTGACTTTCTTTATTATCTTGGTCACGAAGCTAGGGTCGACCTGTGTACCAGTCGTTTTGTATGTATAGTAGCCAAAAGTTCAATCCAAGAACTTGATTGTTCCGTTTTGATACTAGTTGACGTGCACACACAGATAGAGTCTGCCTGAGGTGGGATTGGTAAATAATTATAGCGATAAAGAAATATTTTAGTAGGACAGGTACACTGAGATCGTATTATGGGTAAAATAGTGAGCTTAAATATGATCCTACGAACTCAGGTTAGTAGTACTTACTAGGACGGTTTAGGGTTGGTATCTGACTATTTTGACTGACCCTTTGGGGGGGTGATAGTTTTGAAGTTTTGGATTGACCGTATCGAGATGGATAGGCTGCCTTATAAAGCGTGGGATTTGGGTGCTATTTTGAGAAGTTGATCTGATATCATTCTCAGATATCGACAGGAAGACAGGTTGATCGTGTTTTATTCTGTCAGTATCAACTGCACAGACCAATTTTTTGCGATTTGCCTTCATATGCATATCGGAATATTAATAACTACTTATTTAATAGATGTGTGGCTTCGGTAGTCTTAAACGATAGAAGCTATGATATATGGCTTTTATCATCCCGAGACCCAGTTTGAGTCTATTCATGATTATGATCATGGTTCTTGAACGCAATGGTATCTAATTAACAAACACGAAGAATTAATGAATAAATGAACTAAAAGCTCTCCATAATATTATAACAGTTTTGTATCCTCTTAGTCTTGAAGATATTAAAATGGTGGATTGTGTCCGTCTACGGGAGGGATTCTACCAGCCTCGAGATTATATCATAGACAGACCAGCCACCCAGGAGATAATTGAGTTGTGTGGTATTTCAGCCACAATCGCCACATTCCAACCGACGCCACATCTGTTACATATACCTAGTTCGAAACACCCAAGAATTCGAAATATGGTCCTAGAGTAGTCCTGTGATAGCTCCAGCTGGATAATTGACAGTGCCTGCATGGAGTTTCCTTTGATATCACCCCGGTCAAAAGCTTCGCCGGGAATGTAAAGTCTGCGTTCGTATGCAGGTGCCTGGTTGTTGATGCGCTGTACAGCTGTGACTATGTCGACAACCTCTCGTTGATTGGCTGCCAGTCTACTTCGATCTATTTCCCATCAACCTCTCCCTCAGCTACAACCTGTTGATAGAACTCCCTTTCGCCGAAGCTCATGATCTACTAGCTTCTCTCCAGAATAATCACCCAAACCTCGTCATTGGTACTTTCTTCAGAGCTGAAAGCTGCTAGCACGGTACTCGGAAAGCTGGAAATAGGAGCTGTCGCTTGCTACTCACTCTGAATCAACCCGACAAACATCTGCCCTCCGGCCAAAGAAAGCTTTCACCCCCGCTTACCTTCCTTGATACGCAAACCACCTCCCACTTTCCGACTTCTCCAAACTGACGCACGAGCCACAAAGCCGGTGAACGAGTATACGACCACTTTCGACATTACTACCCTTCGATACTCTTCTGATACCGAGCTTCAATACGACCGGCTTGTTGCAGCAAAGCTACCCGTATCTCCGGCTCAGCCGGACAGTGACGACATCAGGACAACTTCCTACCGATATATTTTGGATTTAATAGGGTTCGGAGAAGCTCAGAAAAACCGCAAACATGGCGTACGTAGCTTGCTTCTCCGTTATACCCCTTCCTTTGTGCGAGCTTTGGCGGCTGGGCTATAGAAGAGATTTGAGACATCGGGAGCTTCGTAAGCATGTGATGATGTGGGGTGTAGATGGATGCTAATGAAAGTTCGCGATCATTAGGTCGGGGGGAGCGCGAGATAGCTCGATTAAGGGTATGTCATCGATAATGATGCCCTGATATACCTATTTTTCCGTATTTTGGATCGTTGGAATACCTTGTTAACAATATCTCTTCTAGTCATTTGTCGATTCCGACCTCAAAACAAGATCGAAATCAGAGAACAGGCGAAAGAGATTGTCTCTTTCCATTCACCGGACACATGCGAGATCAACGTCTGTAATCCATTGACATCTATCTCTTTTTAACACGTACTGATGTTGGTCTTTTGTAGTCCGGTGATATCCAAGGTACATTCACATTCGATCGCGTGTTTGACATGGCATGCAAGCAAAACGACATCTTCGACTTCTCCATCCGTCCTACCGTCGATGATATCTTAAATGGTTACAACGGCACCGTCTTCGCCTACGGCCAGACTGGTGCCGGTAAATCCTTCACTATGATGGGAGCTGATATCGACTCTGACGTCACGAAGGGTATCATCCCTCGTATCGTCGAACAAATCTTCGCTTCTATCCTCGCCAGCCCCGGAAACATTGAATACACCGTTAGAGTCAGTTACATGGAAATCTACATGGAGAAGATTCGCGATCTGCTTGCTCCTCAGAACGACAATTTGCCCATCCATGAAGAGAAGAACCGTGGTATCTACGTCAAAGGTTTACTTGAAATTTATGTCAGCAGTGTTCAAGAAGTCTACGAGGTCATGAGGCGTGGTGGTAACGCCCGTGCTGTCAGTGCCACAAACATGAACCAGGAATCCTCCCGATCTCACTCCATCTTCGTCATCACCGTCACTCAAAAGAACGTCGAAACAGGTAGTGCCAAATCCGGCCAGCTCTTCTTGGTCGATTTGGCTGGTTCAGAAAAGGTCGGCAAGACAGGTGCCTCCGGTCAAACCCTCGAAGAAGCCAAAAAGATCAACAAATCGCTATCCGCCCTCGGTAATGTCATCAACTCGTTAACAGATGGCAAATCTCAACATATTCCCTACAGAGATTCCAAACTTACCCGTATCCTCCAGGAATCTCTTGGTGGTAACTCTCGAACTACACTCATCATTTGTGCCTCTCCTAGTAGCTATAACGACGCAGAGACGGTGTCAACGTTGAGATTCGGTGTTCGAGCTAAAGCTATCAAGAACAAAGCTAAGATCAATGCTGAGTTGAGTCCTGCGGAGTTGAAGGCGTTGTTGAGAAAAGCCCAACAGCAGATGTATACATTCCAAGAGTATGTATCGACACTTGAAGGCGAAGTCAGCGTCTGGAGAAGTGGTGAGACAGTACCGAAAGATAAGTGGGTGGCACCCACACCTGCCGTTGAAGCGGTTATTCGACAAGCTGCTCAACCGGCATCAGCAACACAGCAGACTAGAGCGGAGAGAGGAAGCATCGGAAGCACATTGGCGAAAGACCTGGCGAGGCCGAGCACGCCTGCGCGGTTTTCGGCTGATGTCACACCCGTGAGCCCCGGGAGACCGGATAGCAGAGCGGATTTGATGCGAAGTGCGACTCCGACCGTAATGCTGGATAAAGATGAGAAGGAAGAGTTCTTGAAGAGGGAGAACGAACTGCAAGATCAGATTGCGGAGAAGGAGAGCCAAGCTGCCGCTGCCGAGAAGCTGCTAGCTGCTCTTAAGGAAGAACTATCGATCTATAAAGAGAAGGATAAAGTACAGGGCAAGGATAACGAGAAACTAACGGTGGAGGTTAGCGACCTCAAGATGAATTTGGAGAAAGTGTCTTTTGAGAGCAAGGAGGCACTTATTACTATGGACGGTCTGAAGGAGGCGAACTTGGAATTGACAGCAGAGCTTGATGAAGTCAAGCAGCATCTCTTGGATGTCAAGGTTTCAGCCAAGGAAGCCACCGCGGCAGCAGAAGAGAAGGAAAGGAGAAAAGCGGAGAAGATGGCGAAGATGATGGCTGGGTTTGATCTCGGAGATGAAGTCTTCAGTGAAAACGAAAGGCTACTACGAAGTGTTATTGAGAATATCAACGGGCTCGTAGATATTGCGGCAGGCGGTGATTCGATACCAGAGCATGATTTGAGGGAAATCAAAACAAAGCTGCAGGAGGCGCAAGGTCTAATAAGGCAGACCGAGTTGAACCTCAGCGAAAAGGTTGAAGAGAGTGATGCCGCATTGAAGAAGAGAGAAGAATTGGAGAAGAAGTTTGTTGAATTAGAGAAACAGTACAGAAATGTTCTAGAGAACGGTCTAGAAGGCGCAGATGTGGAGGATATCCGACAGAAGCTGGAAGAGACATACACATCGAAGAGAGAAGTCGAAACCCAGATGCTTGAAGACCTTAAAGTCGAGGTTAAGAAGAAGGCAGAGGAGAATGAGAAGCTGAAGAAGGATGTTGAAGAGGCGGAGAGGAAGTTGAAGGCTGGAGCACAGCAGGCCAATGGAGCACCAGCACTGCCGAACGGCAAGACTGTTGCGCAGCAGATTGCCGAGTTTGACCAAATGAAGAAGAGCTTGATGCGCGATTTGCAGAATCGTTGCGAGAGGGTAGGTCCCCCTTCCATACTTTTTCCTGGAGTTGAGTTACTAATTTCTACAGGTCGTCGAACTTGAAATTTCCCTGGACGAGACACGCGAGCAATATAACAACGTCCTCCGCAGCTCGAATAATCGCGCCCAACAGAAGAAGATGGCCTTCCTCGAGCGAAACCTTGAGCAACTTACCCACGTTCAGCGACAACTTGTCGAGCAGAATAGCAGCTTGAAGAAGGAAGTTGCTATCGCGGAGAGGAAGTTGGTTGCCAGAAACGAGCGTATTCAGAGTTTGGAGCAGGGCTTGAGGGAGAGCCAGGACAAGCTTACGGACCAGAGCGATCGGTATGTTTTGCCTTATTTAACTTTCTTGGCTATTGAATTGATACTTACATACCATAATATAGGTTCGAGGCGCAACTCACCGCGGTTAAGGATCGTCTACAAGCCGCCAAGATTGGAAGCAGGGACATGGGTTCCCCAACTTCGGGGGCAGGATTCAGCTTTTCTGGTAGCAGGATTGCGAAGCCACTAAGAGGTGGCGGTGGTGGGGCCGACAACGGCATCCCCATTATTGGGGGATTTATAGGAGGTGGAAGCAATGCTAGCGAGGCCGGTGGCAAGAGGAGCACCTGGAGTAGCATCATTGGGAGGTAGAAGATCCCAAGCACTGCTTCCTCCTCCGACGGAGATGGGGTGGATAAAGGCATAGGGTGGAGGTTGAGGGGTGGTTCGAGGAGGAGGGTTGGAGCAACCTTTCATATGGTTGGCTCCGCGGCTACATAGAGAGTCTGGAATTTTTTTGTAGGGAGGTATTCTTTCGACATGCGTATAATGCCTCTAACTTTTTTTTGCTTCTCTTTCACTTCATGCTCTTCTTCTTCTTTTTCTTCTTCTTCTACTTTACCTCCTCCTCCTCATGATAGGTTTCTCTTTCACGATTAAAGATTGTCATGCCCGGTCATGTCTGTGTTAACATATTTTTTTTCACTTCTTCTTCTTCTTCCCCGCATGACAAAAATACCAGGTTGATAGAAAACTTCCCACTTCAAGCCCCTCTTGCCGCTCATACCACTGTTTTCTCCATTCTCCATTCTCTATCTCTATTTAAAAATTAATCAAGATCACGGAATTTTTGCATGAAATGGACTATTTTTGTCCCTATTCGTTTAGGGCTTTTCCTTTTAGCTGGTTCTTCTACTTCTGGTTCTTCTTTTTTTTCGGCCCTTTTGCTTTGGCATATACATTTTTGTCATTTACGCAGTACGGTTGTTTACTATTTATACTTTTTTTTTTCGTCTCGGAGCTAGCTATTAAAATGAGCAAAAAATGGTTATTGTTTATTATGGGTAACATGGTTTTCCTCTTCTCGAGCTTCAAACCTTTTTTTTTTTTTTTTTTTTTTGTTTTTGCTACATGAGCCTTATCGATCTTAGAATGGGAACGGAGGAGGAGGGGGGGAGGTTTAAGATATTTGATGTAGGAGTGTGTATATGGATCGTTTTTCTTTTTCTTTTTCTTGTGAGATTTAATTTTTGTATTATTTTGCATATGTTATATAGATACTTGCTAGATGTGGATTTTTATTTTTATTTTTTTATTTATAGTTATATAGGTTCGAGAGGAATCTTTTGGAATTTAATTTATAGTATTGGGAAGGAGTTGATAATAAGAAATTAAAGGTTTGTGATTTATTTACATGATGATGTTTGTAGGATTGAGTAGAAGGAGAGAGGGGGGCAGGGCCATGTTTGTGGCCGCAGCAGCTTGGTGATGTATATATAGTATATATCATCCATTTTTAATTGAGTGAGGGATACAGGTACTTGGAAGTTATAAAGTCTATTGTAGTACCATACGGTTAGCTTTCATTGATTCTCCTTAAAAGATTTTTAGGGGGGGTGGTATTTACTATTTTTAGGGAAAAGGAAGTAATCCCTTTATACCGTCGTAAAGGCTGCTGTTGAACCCAGAGGTCCAATTTAAGGTCCAAATCTTCCCGCAAATGGAAGAATGCCTGCCTGCCCTTTGATGTATCTCCACAGATATCTGTGGTGTAGGGATGATCGTTCCCCACCCCCACCGACCCACAATGCATCAACTTGCTTCAGAACACCCGGGACCATCAGCCACGGAGGCCGAGGTCTCCCCCCTCCACACACACACAGGCATTAACTTGCCTCAGAACGCCGAGGTTCCAAATTGGCCACGGAGGCCACGGAGGCCAGGGCGGGGGAAGGCATCAACTTGCCCCAGGACACTAGGGGTCCTTGGGGTATAAACCCTCAGCCAGGCACGACAACTTAGCTTGGAACTGTTGGGTCCCCAAATGGCCACGGAGGCCCGGTTTTTTTTCTCGACATCAAATTGGCTCGAAGACTGGGGGCCTTTCGAAACGAATTTGGGAGAGGAGTCCTTTGGGGGTTAACTTATTAGTATAGATTTATATTTTTTGAGGTTTCGTTTTGGTTATTTAGGTAAGGGAGTTACCTTGAGCTCATCGTTATAGAATATCGTACGTATGTAACTGTAACACCTCAAGTACTTATCGGTCAAACCACCACCTGGTTTTATCAGGTATGCCATTTTTGGCCAACGCATCAAAAGATCCCTAGCGTGCGGATATTTTTCCTCCTCGGTTAGCCATGGGAATGGGATTTCTCATACTGCCCATGTACCTCTGCTTGAGGCTCATGGGAGGAGAAACCCCATTCCCAGGCCTTTCGAAGCTTTCTTAGTGTGTTCATCATCTCTTTTTGATTGAACCACCCCGTAGGTAGCTACTAAGATAGCGGATTTAGGTATATAAAATTCATTTTAGATAGGTAGGTAGGTAGGTGGCACGAGAGTTAGACTTGATGTCGTGCTCGAGGTATATGTTTGGTGATGAGACGCGTAAAGTTGAGGATGAGCGTGAAGTGGATGGGAGATGGAGATGGAGTTTGCGTGCAGAGAGACAGGGCTTTGTGGAAAAGAGTTGGGTTTGTGGTATTATGTCGACAACACTTCTAGAACTCTTTATGAACAAACATTCCTAAAAGGGAATATAAAGACCCAAACTGGAAAAAAAAGCAAACGAACAACACAACACAAATACAAACGTGTACCAAATTTGAATACAACTGCGTTGACTATTAAGAGCTACTATAGATCCAAAGATTCATTAAGAGGCTTAGAAAATAACAACTGTTCCAATCGAATTCAGTCCATTGCGAGATGACAAGTTCTTCTTTTTTTTTTTTTAGTGAAAAGTTGGTTTCGTGGAACGTTTCGGTTTTCGCCCTGTTGTCTTGATCCCCGACAGTGTGTCCTCACCATGCGGCACGACCTTATGAATCTTGAAACATGAAACAACCGGGGCAGGGCAGCTGCAAGGCAGGGCAGGGCAGAGCAGAAACGGGGGTATCTTGAGACTAGTACAGTTGACGGGTATGCCGCATGCTTTGATATTGCTGATTCTTTTTAGAATTCCCCATTACATGTCTGCTAATTGACTTCCTCGGAATTGTGGTCATACAGACTTAATCAATCGCACGTGTATGCGGAGAAATACTCTCTAATAGGATGTTTCGTCGGTAGGTTACACCTTCGACCGCTGGGTTTTTATTGAAACATCCTTTGCATTGCAGATTAATCCAAACACCAAAACACCAAAAACACCAAAAATTATCCTATGCGTATCTATAGAAAAATACGCGATTTGGGGGTTTTTTTTTTCCAAGGATCTTCCAAGATCGAAACTTTGCCCAGAGTTCTCCCTCCGTCTTGTGTGTGTGTTCCAAAATGGGAAATCTTAGGCTTCCTGAACATCATATTGCGATTCGATAGCGGGTTATGGATCCTATATGCTTTGTTCTGAGTTCGAACTCAATATATTCAGCTTGATTGAGTGGAAGTATCAAAAAGAATATAAATTATTCGATGTTTCCCTCCTCAATCTATCTTTTCCTCATCATCCTCATCCTCATCAAGCAATCTACATCCATCAATATCACAATTCGCCAGTCGAATAATAAAATATCACAAGAAACCTCTCATATCCATATCAAAACCAGTTATCCTCTATTTTTTTAATAAACAAAAAATGAAGCCATCAACCTTCATCTCCACCTTCTTCCTCTTCGCCTCCATCCTCGCAGCTCCAGTAGCTCAAGCCCCAACCCCCACAGGAACCACCACCACCACCGCAGCAGCAGCAGCATCTCCAACCGGCGACTCTGCTATAAGCGACTACCTCATCGTCATGGACGACAATGAAAAACGTCCATGGAGCGAAATCTTCGCCGAGATGGGGGCTAAATGGCCCACAATCACGGCCTTCGAAGGGAATCAAACTCATCCGTTCGGTGATAGCTTGAGAGCTTTTACTGTGGAGGTTACTCAGGCGCAGGCGGATAATATTGCTACTATGCCGAATGTTGTTAGTGTTGAGAAGAATAGTGCTGTTAGGATGATTGGGCCTTTGTAGGGACTCTTCTCCTTTGGCTATTCTAGGACTCTATACTTGAGGGTTTTTAGAATGGATGGGAATGATATGATGGATGCTTGGATAGCGGATTTACACAGTTTAATATTATGACATCTGGTTTTTTGGTTTTGCAGATTTTATTCATATTCTGGAAATATGGGATTGTTATGGCGTTTTGTTTTCTTTCGAAGGGTTTATATTAGTTACTTAGTATCTAGCATATATTTTGTATACATATACGTATACGTACTAGGGTTATCTTTCGAGAATAATAATACCAACTGGTCTTGGTTTCTTACATTTCTGTTCCTTCCACTATGAACTTTGTGATTTTATAATGACTATCTTTCACAGTTCTGAGTTCTAGATATTCCCATTGAGGTAACGTGATTAATTTGAAAGATATTATCTATTTACGTAAGACTTCATTCTATATGTTATTCTCTAGAATCCAAAACTCAAGATTTCATAGAACACACCCTTTTCGAATTCATGGCAATGTTAAATACGTAGTCTAATATTAATATCGATCGATCCTGTTTTCAACTTCAACTCTACTCAGTCGTCTATTCACACCACCAGAGTATACATATCACAAACTAACCAAGAACTCACAATCTTCTACCCGAGGTCGCTAACAATACATTATATCGCTAATCACAAATCTAAACTAAACTAACCTAATCCTCACATCCTCGCCTCGAATTTGAACTAAAAATCAAAATTCAACCGTCAACAAAAACATATGCACATGTACATGCACATGCATTAATACCCGACCGCAAAGCTCGCCAAGTTAAAACCCCTACCCCCTTCAGCCATGTTTCAAGCCACAAACGTCACCATCATATGCGGCAGGTCACTAACCCCCTGAAAACCGTCATATGCGGCAGATTTTGTGTCGAAGCGAGACTTCTATACTGTGTTCGGACTAGTGTATATGCGCTGATGTGCGGCTTTTTTCCAAAATGGACGGTTTTCCCTTTTATGCGAGCGAGCGCACTTTTCGAATTCAATAATATGCTTTCGATTTCTATACAGCTTTGTGATTTAAGAACGAGGCTAATATAATTCCAAGGGGGTCTATTCACTTATTTTTCTTTAACAGACAGTCGGCCAAGATGGTGGCTTTTTATATCGGCATTCAAAAAAGGCGCTGACCTAGTAGTTTTTGATAGCTAGCGGGCGTACCTGCAGCCACACTTCACCATGAAGCCGCCAATATCAATATGCATATGCATCAAAAAGAAAATCCGAGTTTCGCATGGAACGAAACAATCCACCAAAAAAAAGTTTCAATAGTTAGTATAGTATCTTAAATGTGAGTAGTGTGTATATATATATATATATATATAGATAATTATAAACAAGAGACCTAAGCCCCGGGGTGTATTCCTATAGTCTAAGTAATTGGACTCAGCTTTCCTTACGTAGTACTTTGTGCTTACCTTGTCAATCTATAGTACATACCTACCTTCCTTTCCTTTCTTTCTTTTACTTCTTTCTGTTTCTTTCTGTTCTTTCTTTTCATACTGGTCATTCACCGTTTGAATATAATTATTTATTTACCGTCACTCTTTTGTTTTACCAGATCGCTGTGCGATCGATCTATCTTTTATCGTCTCGGGCCGGTTCCCTCGTAGCATCTTCACGATCCAATATAACCCACCAACCACCGACTAAAAGAAAACAATGAAAACCATCCTCCTCCCACTCCTCCTCACCCTCCTCCCACAATCCCTCTCCCTCCCCCTCACAAACCTCCACAACCGCGGCATCTCAACCCCTCTCTCCTGCTCCAAAGTCAACATAATAGAACAAGGCACAGCTCCCTGGTCATTACAAAGAATCTCCGGCACAGCACCCGTAACCCAAAACGGTCGTCCAACAACAGAATTATCCTACAAATACCGTTTCACAGAATTAGAAGATGGCGAAGGGGTAGAAGTTTACATCGTGGATACGGGAATCGACGTTGATCATCCGGAGTTTGGGAAAAGAGCGAGGAATGCTATAAGTACTTTTGATGATGATTTGGAGGAGAATAGTGGGCATGGGTTAGTTATAATATCTCCCCTCTTTATCTTTATTAATGTGAAGAAGATATTAATTGTTATTATTATTTGTAGAACACAAATAGCAGGCGCAATAGGTTCCCTATCCTACGGCGTAGCCAAAAACGTCTCCTTAGTCGGCATAAAAGTCTTCTCCCCCCTCTTCGACACCAAAAACCCCACAGCCCTAATCTCAAACATAACCTCCGGCATCGAATCCGCAATCCTCCTGCACAACGCCCGTCGTGCCGCCAAAAACTTCAAGGGATCAATAATGAACCTTGGCTTCGGTTTCCCCAAAGAAATCTTCGACGCAGCTGGTAAAAAAGTATCTGATGAATTTAAAAAAATGTTACAAAAAGCTATAGACGATGGTATGCACGTTACCATCGCTGCCGGTGATAGAGGCAGAGACGCGTGTACCGACTTCCCAGCCGGATTTGTAAAAGACATTCCAGCGTTGATAGTAGTCGGTGCAACAGACGTATTCGATAAAAGACTACAAACCGCGGATTTTGGTCCCTGTATTGATATCCACGCTCCGGGGGTTGATATAGTCAGTACCACGCTTCGTGGGGTAAACGGTGGGGTTAAAGTTGACAGTGGGACTTTTTTGTCGGCGGGGATTGTGACGGGGGTTATTGCGGGGGAAATGGGGAAGAATAGGAATTTGAGGACGGATCCGGTGGGGATGAAGAGGTTGGTTAAGGATAAGGCTTTGAAGGGGATATTGAGGGGGGTTGAGGGTGGGGGGGATTTGTTGGTTTATTCGGGGATGCCGGGGAATCCTATTGAGGAGTTTGTGTGAATACTTTTATTATATTTTTATATTATTTTCGGTAGTAATTGATGGGATATTTGTATTGGCGTTTTATCTTCTGTATTATATTAGCGATTGTTAGTATTATTATTATTATACCCCGATGGCAATGGATAGCTCTGTTTGAATGAATGAATGAAAGAATATAAATTAGGCGGGAAGGAAAACGGCTAAAATATATGTCCAAAAAAATATCCATCTATGCGCATATAATACCCAGATCTATGTACAATAATCCTTCTAAATACGCCTCTTCTTCTTCTTCTTTCATACCTCGAAGTCTATATATTTCCTTTATAGAGTTTCTTCTCCATCGAATACCCTCCTCATCGCCTTATGAGCCCATTCGACACCCTATAATCACCATTAGCATCCCATATAAATCTAATCAACGAAATATATGAAAACTTACCACAAAAGTCGCCGCATTCGCAGGCACAGCTCTAAGTAACGCCGGCGTAAGCCCCGGAAAGAAAGCCTTAACCCCTCCCTTCCCATAAATCTCCCTAACAACCCCTCCAACCGTAACCTTCCCCTCCGCACTCTGCAATCTACTCTTAACCGTATCAACGGGGAAAATAGAAATCCACATCGCAATCCCAGCTGCACCACCAGCCGCAATAATAGCCGGTAGACTTAAATCCTTAGAGTCGGGTGGTGTCAATGCCCTCTTTGTGTACTCGTACGCGGCGAAGTATGCGGCAGAACCGGGACCGTCGCGGGCGAGGGTGGCGAAGGAACCGCGGAATACGGAGCGGATACCGCCTTCGGTGTAGAGTTGGCGGACGACGTCAAGGCCGTTTGCGTATTTTTTGGGACCGGAGGATTGGCCTTGGATTTGGAGGAGGACTTTTACTCGTTCACTATAATAAAAGATTGTAAATATTTGAGATTTTTGAGAAGTAGGGGGGGGGGGTGATATTGATTGACGTACAAGGGAGCTGTGATCAATGTCATTGGAATGGCGGAGAAGAAACCGGCGGCAGAGATCTGAGCGATTGATAGTTGACCATCTTTGACGTCTGATGTCGACTGCACGATCTTCTTTCCCAAATCGTAACCCCAGAAGCTGACGGCGACTGTATTTTTACTCTAATTAGCTATAGCTTGATGGAGTAGAAGTAGTAATTGAAGACGTACACATGGGTGTGACACCAACCAGCGGTGCGGATACACCTGCATAAAGACCCTATTCACAACCATATCATATTAATATAATCCACCATATCTTGATTTAGAATGAGGTACCAACCTTCCTCAACCCCTCCTTCGCCAAAGTCTTCTTCACAACATCCAAAGTACCGCTGTAAACACCCTGTTCGGCCGTCTGCAGTCGCACCTTGACCAAATCGAACGGGTGACCTAATTATTAATAAATAAAAATTTAGTCCATCTGTATCTTCGCCATCACCTCGATTGTATGGGGTACATACCGACGACAACGGCGCAAACACCACCGACACCACCGGCTATGAAGGATCTTATGCCTGAGACCTGACCTGCGGCCTTTGCGACATCTTTTGCTTCTTCTTTGATTTCGGCGGGCATGGCGATTTGGGGGGTATTTTCTGCTGTCTTTGTAGACATTATTTTGAGTCTTTTAACAAAAGAAGAAGAGTAAACAGCTTTAATAGGTCGTCGGCTTAAAAACCTGTATGTTGCGCGTGCAGAGGAATGTGTTGGAAAAGCAATGACGTTTGGCGGGGTTCTGCGGGTATCAAATCACGAGGAGAAGAAGGAGAAGAAAAAGAAGAAGAAGAAGTCCGGGGTATCGATTATGTTATATCAAGAAGAAGAGGATAAAAGAAATCTGGAGAAGAAGAATGGGGTATCCGGGGATATTAAAGAGAAAATTTTCAAGAAAGAAGAAGAAGAAGAAGAAGAAATCCCGCCGGGTAGTTTCTTAAACAGTATTAGTCTCTTTCGTCCGATCTCGATTCACTACACATCGACGGCCCTTTTGTAATATGGAATATCGAACTGGATCTTCCTGAAATCCGAGGTTCCGACATGGACCTTCTCTTTAGTTAGCGCTGTACCCAAATTCTCGGTTTTGTGCGTCGTGCGCCGAAAGTTGAGCTATCGGCTCTTTATTTCATGTGGTTGTACCTCGGTCGGAAGGAACATTAACATTAACAGTTTGGGGGAACCAAACAGCGGAGGCTGCCGAACCGGGAAGCTGGCCGGTTTCTTTCTTTCTTTAAACTGCGCGTGGGGATATAACATAATTATAATAAAATAAAATATGATTCCTATTAGTATCAATCAGGGTCAGCTGGATAAATTATGAATCTGACTGACTGACATACATGATAAAAAGCTTAAAAAGAGTGTGTGGTCCGTGATGATATCGGCTGTTCTGGTATGTTGTCGTGCATCGGGTGGCCGGAGCTGGGACGCGGGGTGAGGGAGCATAATATTATTATCAACTGCATGCAGATATTAATATTATTAAATATCGATATCCAATGATAGAATCTCTTGGATTAATTGATATTGATCCGGATAAGGAATTAAATATTTGGGGGGTTCTTATCAGTTTATCCTTTCGATTCTCATGCTTGAAGTTTGTGATATAATATAATATACATCGTCTAAAATATGAAGTCTAAAACCAAAACTATGTCAAATCGCTAAAAGATACGTCTACAATCATATAAAATATACTCCAAAACTCCATCTTAAAGTCAAATCAAAATCACTTCATCCCCTCCACAAACCCCTCCACCATCCCCCCAACTCCACTCCTAATAACCCCTCCCGCATACTTCCCAACATCTCTCACCACCCCTCCACCATACCTCAACTTCCTCCCATTATTAACCATCACCATCCCTTCATTCTCTCTTATAGAACGATCATCCTCCGCATCAAACATAACCCACTCCGCCACCGCCTTCCAAAATGCAAATCCACCATCCACCGTCTTTCTAACTCTATCGTACCCTCGTTCCGCAACTCTATATCTGAGGTTATACTCCCACGTCGACTGTGCCAGTGATTTTAAATGCGGTGTTAGGTTTCTAATCGATGAAACCGTTGTAGCCGTGAGTACCAGGAGAAAATAATGTATCGTCGGATGTTCATAAACCCTCTTTTGCGGTATCCCTCCTTCTGTAGTAACTGGTTCCAAAGACTCTACCACCGCCGGTGGCAACGAAGAAATCAATTGTGTAGTTTCCGAAGGTGATAGATCAGACGGGAGGGCTCGGAGGAGGTAGGTTAACGAATCGAGGTATAAATGTCTTCGAAAACTTGAATTTGCGGGTTCGGCGAGGGAGAGGGAGAGGAGGTTATGACCCTGCATTGCGAATTTGGCAGAAACTAACGATGGGTCTTCGGGTTTTTGGGTGGTAGTAATGATGTTTTGTAAAGAAATTGCTGTTGATGATGAAGAAGAAGAAGGAGAAGGGGACTGGGTTGTAAGTGCTAATGATTCTTCTTCATAATCCGGAGGAGGGGTTATTGCACCCGAATTTGATGACGAGGAGATAACTACGTCCTCGACGTCGGATCTGGATCTTCGGAATAGATCTGATGAGGATAATCGTTTTGTAGGGTATGTGTATAACTTTCTGGCAGTGGTTGTTATACCCTCTGTTGTGGTTAAGGTGGTTAGGAGGGATGTGAGAGACAATGCCGTCACTTGAACCTGTCTGATATTAGAACTGGATTGTTCCATTAAGCTGGGTTCTTGTGGATGTTTGTGATTGTGATTGTGATTTTGATGATTATGGGATATTGAAGGTTGGTTTGGTTCCGAGGAGGTCTTTCGGTGTCGGAGGGTTGAGGACATGATGCAGAAGAGAAGATATAAAGATATTTAGATTTCTTATTAGAATTTATATTAAATTAATCCTCCCCTTCGGAAATTTCGCTTTGTTGAGGATAAAACTGGAGCTCTCCGTCTCCCGATCCAGGGCGGTTGTGTCAGATATGCATCTGTTGGGTAAAAAGAGTCGGGTTGGACGCTAGTTGATGCCCAATTCGGAGGCCGTTGTGATAGTTTATCTATGTATCCTGAAGTTTAAGGGTCTTAATGGTAAAACCACAAAATATAGAAAGAAAGAAAGTATTTTAGATTTTGAAGATTTCGAATATGAAGATGAAGATTTTGAGTAAAGAAATAGATAAGATCGGAAATTAAAAATTAAAAAGTGGATATTCAACTTCCCACTTTTTTTTATCAATGGCGAATATGCGAAGGTATTCGGGAAAAACCGCGGCTGGGATTTCGCTTTAAATTTATGCATATGATAACTAAACTATACCAAAGCACAAGCTTAAAATCCTTTTAGTCAGTCAGTCAGCTCCAGCTTGGACCTCGCATTGGCCCCCCCCCCCCCCCACATGTACATGTACTTACATGTATATTTACACCAAGATCTCACATTTGAAGCTTATTCAACAATACAAAACGTGTAAGTATACGTATGTAGAAACAATAAAAGAAAAGTATGTCATAGACACACATCACCTGTCTCACATTCCAATCGTCAACCCAGGTATTTAGGTAACTATAAACCGCTCTCTCCAAAGTCGTCTTCATTCTTCTCTCTTTTAAACCCCGGGCCCCTGTTGTAGATACCTGCATCAGTCACCCCAAAAAAAAACGGCGGTCTAACTGACTAGTTAGCTTGCATACACGAGGGGAGGACAAAAAGCATGTGGTAACAGAATAACTATTATTGGCGTGCTTTTTGGGCTGGGGGGGAGTTTTTTGACATGTGAAAGTTACTGGGGTTGGTTTATCGAAAAAAAAAAAAAACATGGCTTGAAAAGGGCGTGTTGGAAAATGGGGTGGCAACACGGTTTTGTACTCTTGTTGAGGTGAGGAGAGGGAATGGGATTATATTTTATTGTGAGGGATGATTGGTGTATTTTACTGCGGTGATTGGGGTTATAATGAAAGAGAAGATGGGGAGGATATTATTATATTATATGTTAATTGGAAATATCAATCTTTTTTGGGATAACGAGCGACTTTTTTGGATTTAAGGTTGCCATAAGAAAATTTATTTTATTGAAGGTTTCTTCGATACTCTTTACAGCATTTTGTTTCTTAAAGCAATGTTTTTCTCATGAGAAATCTCTACGGTGCGACGAGGAATATATTAACCTGAGAGACTCTGGCTTCTAAATTCACGTCACAATTATGAATATTTAGTTAACCTGCAAGATATATTGTACTGGTAGTCTAGATCCCGTGCCCAGCATTGGCGAATCTTAAAGCTCTAAATCCATGTTGGAAATATATGTTTCTGCATTGCATATTGCATCTACTCTTGACATTTTACTTAAAGATATCTAGATCCAGCTGTGAAGCGCATGAGTTCGATTATCGTACATACATCCAAACAATACTATCCAATACTTAATATTCCGGTACTTCCCATTCGCTTCAGATTCGAATTGAGTTAATTAACTGTCGGGGTTTTAGAAATCCAACGACACCGGCGGAGCAACCAAAAAAAAAAAAAAGAAAAGAAAATTTATATGTGCATGCATTTCTGTTATCCAGGCACAGCCAGTTTCAAAAGATATCGGAGGGGCTAAATATTCTAACAAAACACCAACATGAATTCGTTTATGCCGGTATATATTCTATACAAAAATGTGTACGTGCATCCAACTAACATGTATACCTTGCGTTTCAGGTCGATGTTGTACAACAGACTTTTTTTTGGTCTCCTGTTTTTTGTGTAGGCTTGTTAGGAATTAAGACAACATGTATGTAACATATTTTGTTGATTGGTACTTTGAAGTGTTAATGGTAGTTAAAAATATTGTTATTATGGTTAATATGCTATGAGATGGGTGATACGTTTTAAGTCAAGTCTTTGGGGTTTTGTTCGCTTGGTAGATGGTATTATAAACTATGCATTTCAAAATTTTAGTTTTTGTCTTTCTATCGTTTTTATATTGAATTCTGTGCATGTAGATTTGGTGATATCACGATGAATAAGTTTGTGTAGTACTACTAGCTTCTATAGCTTCATAGCGGCGAAGGACTTGAAACCGACACCTTTTCCTTAAACTCTTCTATTATCCCGTCTACATCACCAGCAAACTTAGTTATAAAGTCTAGATTTACATGGAAGGCATCATGTTTGAGATCCCCAACTCTCCCCCTTACCCAACCCATTTCCCCTCCAGTTCCGACTAAGTAGTACTACTCGACTTCAAAGACTTTTTATCTTTTTGAGAATATTCTGGCCCTGTAGTACTCCAATACCCCGATGCTGTGCAAATCTGAGGAATTTAAACACTGGTATACATGGTAGGGTACTGCGCCGTTCAAACGAAAGGTTTCAATGAAGGAATAGAGGCTTGGAGGAGTCGAAGTTCAGCCCCTGAAGGCACAGTTCGGAGTATACGTATTTCAACAACCAGATATTGAAAGTCTGAGGTTTTCTAGAAGTATTTTTCTGAGTCGGATTTAGAGGTATCTGGTCCTAACTTATGGCACCGTGACATGGTAGCCCTACAGCCTACCAGAGCTCTGTACGGTTATTTCTGTCACAAAACAAACAACGCATAAAATACAACACCAACTTTTTTTTAGTTGCCACAAACTTGACAAAGTTGATGGTGCTACTGCGGCGGCGGTTGCATGAGGCGATGCTAAGATTGGCCCCGTATCATCTTAAGAACAAACCCTTCTCAAGGAGTATACTTCTAGTATAGTACACAACTTCCTTTTGAAAAACTTGTGCCGCTTTTTTTATATGTGTGTATGTATTTGCATGTTCAGAAAGTATGCCTAACATCATGTTTCGCTATAAGTTTTGTAAGTAACTAGACTACCCGTTGGTTGAAAAAATAATACTACGGTCTGTTTCCAAACAGGATTACAATTTTTCTTGTAGCACAACGGGGTCGAGTTTAAGTTATTAAGAAAGTATAGAAGCTGTTCCTAAAAAGTTATGATTTTTTTTGTTATTTGATACCGCATGATTTTGTGTACATAAGGAACCCATAGTCCCAGCTGTGACTTGGCCATATATTGACCACCGTCCAAACTCGTCCCTGATGCGAAGACGCTCTTCAAGTAGATAATATATATTCCACAGCTCCCTCACTTTTTATATTAATACACATAAGCTCTGGAAGCATATGTAACTTAATTTCTCTAATCTTCACACCTATACTCTAAACCCCCCTTAGTCCCCTTCTAAACGGGCAGAAGCCCATAACCCGGTCGAACAACGACCCACATAAAAAAAAAAAAAGATGCGCAGCAAAACCCTCTTCCTCGGAGTCCTAGGACTCCTCCTATCCACCCCCTCCCTAGCCACCGACGTCAAAGACTGCCCCGCCAACAAAAAAACAGACCTCATGAAAGCCGCCTGCGTAAAACAACTCCAAACCGAAATCGAAGGCTTCACAGCCTGCACAGCAATATGTTCCCGTTTGGATCCAACGAAACCATACACCCCAGGAAGTCCGGATAACTCCTACGTTCCGTCGAATAATATGACCGCCGCGGTGTTCACTTTAGAAGATTATAAAGTTGCGGAAGAGGAGTGTGGATCTCATGAGGCGATTGTTAAGGCGTTTGAGGATACTTGTGGGTGTTATGCTGAGGGGTATTGGAAGACTGCTGGGTGTAAGGTTAAACTTGGGAAACCGGCTGTTGGTGGGACTGGGTCTGTTACTAGTACTGCGTTTCCGGCTGATACTACTACTACTAAGGAGGAGGAACCGGCTTCGACGAGTAGTGCTGCTGTTGAGGAAGATGATGAAGCGGAGGGGACTAGTACGACTGTTGAGGAAGTCATGAGTTCTACTAGCGCTGTTTATGGCCGGATTTCGACTTCTTCTTCTATGGTAGAAGATGAAATGGAGATTACAGAAACAACGACTCATGCTATGACTACTACTCACAAAACATATATGACAACCACAGCACATACGGAGGAGGACGAGGATAAATCTATCCCCACCGAAGCCCCAGAACCTACTGGTAGAAAATACGGTGACGAAGAGACTTCTTCTTCCGATGGTACTCCTATGCCATCTACTAGGGGTTATCAAGATGATGCCTCGACCAGCACTACGTCTACTATGGAAGAAACTCATAAGGCTATGACGACCACAAAGCCTATGACTACTACTTCCATGATGGATGACAAGCCTAAGTACGTAGACGAGGAGACTACAACCGACATGGAGGAATCAAGTATGATGCATGCTACTACTCATGTTAAACCCATGACTACTACTTCCTCCATGGTAGACGAGAAACCCAAGTACATAGACGAAGAAACCACAAGCGACACGATGGAAGAAACAAGCATGATGCACACCACCACCACTCACGTAAAACCCACAACCACCATGATGGCAGCAACTTCGAAGCATACCACTACATCCCACACTGAAATGGAAGAATCTTCATCTCGACCAGTTTATGGAGAAGTTGAAGAAACATCAACCGAAGTACACGAATATACTACCCCTTCTCATACTAAAGTTGCGTATATTGTGACTTCTAGTTCTAGTGATGAAACTATGATGATGGAAACTAGTACTATGATGAAACCGGTTACTACGCATCGTGGGTATTATAATGAGGAAACTTCTTCGGAGGGAATGGAGCATACGTCGTCGTCGCATTCTATGAGTTATTCTATGGAGGCTGATACTACTACTAGTATCAAGCCTACGAAGGCTTATTATCAAGAGAGTTCGGTTGAGGAAACTACTACTGAGGCTCCACGGGGGTATACTACTCCACCAGCTAAATATGATGACCAGGAGACTTCTACTAGTTCAATGGCTATGGAGACTGAGTCTGAACATCATTATAATAATCATACAACGCATGCGGCTACGAGGGCTCCTGTGGGTTATAGCACTATGGAAGAGTCTACTATGGAGGAGTCGACTAAGATGCCCATGAAGTATACTACTATGGAGGAGTCGACTAAGACTCCCATGAAGTATACTACTATGGAGGAGTCGACTAAGACACCTATGAAGTATACCACCATGGAGGAATCTTCAGAGCCAGCGACAAGTTCTACAGCCATGGAAGAATCTACTAAGCCGCCTATGGCTTACACCAGCGCAGCTGAAACCAAAACCGCCATGCCCTACCAAACTACGTCTTGGGCCATGACATCCAAAGAACTTCCTACGACTACTACAAAACCCAGTGCAACAATGTTGACTATGGACCTATGCGCACATCCCACAGATCCCTCGGACAGTGGAGACGAGCCAAAGGGCTATGAACCCCCCACCAGTCTTGACTTTGGATGTCTTTCCCCCTTGAGCGGTGCTTCCAGAGATATACTTTGCCAGGAAGCATCGATGACTTCGTCGAATAATGGCAAATGGGGTCAACTCAATGCAAAACCTCTCAAGGCATACCAGGAAGGATATAGTGCCTGCGGTGAACAATTACCCCATATGCTCAAGAAAATTTGTAACTGTATCGATCCGGAATATACTGGTCTTGTTCCAACAGACAAGCCGACAAATCTGGTACCAGAAACCCTGCCACCGGTATGTGCTGTCAAACCATGTCCTAACAAGGATAAAGTACTGCCAAAGAATTGTTTGAAGCATATCGAGGAATACTCGATGGATCACAAACAATCGCTATGCGGTATGCTATGTAATAAGAAAGAAGGTGGGGTTGATTTGGATCCTAAGGATCTGAAGTATTACTGGACTTTCCATGATAGATGCGGAACACACGAGTCTTTCGTGACTGCCTTGACACAATCTTGTGGTTGTATTATCGAGAACTTTGGCAATGGTACGACTTGTGTCTATCCACGCACCGGTCCGAAGGAAGATACCAGGTCTCTTACGTCCGAGGCTACGACATACATGAAGTCTACCACTTCAATGGTCTACACATCAATGCCGGTTTCTTACACTGCTGCTCCAGTCTATGGTACTCAGGAACCTGACATGACCACCAGCACTGCCCAACCATCCACCACCGTCCAGCCTCCCAAGACTTCTATCCCCGCTCAACCTCCCAAGAAAGCTCACGCTGTGGAAGAGTGTCCCAAAGACTATGAGGGTAAAGGCGAATGGCCATCCGGCAACTGTCTTGACGAGGTATTCGGTACCAAAGAAGGTCTGGCTATCGCCGATATGATCTGTAACAACCAATGTGCCGATTTCCAACAAACGGAATGGCCGGCTACACAAATGGAAAGCTACAAAAAAGCTCTTATAAAATGCAAGACCCCCATGGCGATTACAGAAGCACTTGCAAAGGGTTGTGGTTGCTTGAATGACGGTTGGGTCGATAGATGTCGACCTCAGTGTCATCCACCACCTGGGTTTACCACCACTACTATGATCATGATGCCTCAGACTTCAGCTCAACCTATGATGACTACAACTAGCATGGCTCCTCCTCCTCCCATGCAAGATACAACTATGACGGCTTCATGGACAACTACAACATACGTCACCAAACCATGTAATGAATGCCAGCCAACCACCATCGTAACCATGGTACCTTGTTCCGAGACAAAACCCTCTACCACAAGTATGATGGCCATTCCCCCCACAGAGACAACTATCCCAATAGTCTACTCAGCGGCAGAAACCCCCACAATCTCCATCTGGACACCAGAACCATCCGCCGTCCCCGCTCCAATAACCTCCCCAACCTCATGGTCAACAATAACCTACACCACCACCAAATGCGGCGGTTGTCCGGAAACCACAGTAACAACCACAGTACCATGTCCCCAAACCCTAAGCAAAGTCAAAACCGACGCCGCCAACGCCGACCTCTGCACCACCCACAACGAAATCCCACATTGTACCGTCCCCCCCGGAAAACTCGAGGGTAAAGCTTACAACTCCAACTGCAACCAATGGTATCTTATCAAAGAAGGCGATACCTGTCTAGCAGTTGCGGATAAGATTCCGGTAGATATGGAGCTTCTTAAAGCGTGGAATGGGATGCAACCTACGGATAATTGTACTTGTACCACTGGACGGTGGCTTTGTGTTTCTTTACTTAAAGGGGAGGAGAGGAATGAATCTGTGAGGTATGCGAAGGGAAGACCGACTTATTCTGATTATGGACCGGAGGCTACGAATTATGATAATCTTCCGAAACCATCGCCACGGCCGTATTTGACGGAGCCGATTCCGACGGCTGAGGTTACGCCGGTTGCGTATTCGTAGATGATTTTTTTATTTCTTTCAATATTTTTTTTGGAAGAAAATTAAAAGGGGGATTGCAATTGAGAGTCGTAATGTGTAGGGAGTGTTTGAGTTGGAAAGTTATTGTTATATTCTTTTTATATTCTTTCTATGTTAATTTTATTGTGTAGATTAATGTTAACATGTTGCTATTGATAAGTCCTGTAATTCTTTTACTGTTCGTTTTGGATATATAGAAATGTTTGAAATTGGTATTATGCTCCACAAAAACTTGCACCATTTTCGACAATTAATAGTATATCGGTGAAAATAAAAACAGCAACCAGCTAATGAATAGTCGGCGCATCTGGCGTCGAGACCAAAACCTCCTGTGCTTCAATTAACTTGCACTTGCATGATGTTGGATTTTAGATTATTCAACGCAACTGGCTAACTATGACAGATCTCATATATCTCGATATTGCAATTGGCTTTTAGATTGATCTTGATCTGTTAAGCGCCGGTTGGGTAATACGAAATATTTTCTTTCTGAGTTTTGTAAAACATATTTCCTTAAAATCTGGGAATTCCAGACCCCTCAAGGAAAAGGTTAATTAATTCCTGTGGTGACCATTTTCAAACCTTCTCATCCTTCTCAAACCTTCCCAATCAAGCCAACCAGACTAGTTCGAAGCCTCGGCAATTACCAAATCCGTCCGGGCACACGATGAAAAAGTTTGCAGCAGCTTTATGGAAGACTTCTCGAGGTCGTCTTTCATCAAATTGGGGATATAGCTCAGTTGGTAGAGCGCTTCCTTAGCGTGAATCTTACAATATGGATGAGGTCCCGGGTTCAATTCCCTGTGTCTCCAGAACTTCAAGAAGTTTCTTTTTGATCTTTTTGCTGCTTTATTTTTTTTTTGCTTCTCATCTGTGATGGGGATGGATTTTTTTGATCCTAGAAGGGGAGGAAGCCGGGGTTGGGTTGGGTGCGGATTAGCCACCCCCGCTAGGTTTTTTTTTTTTTTTTTTTTACTTCGAGGCTTTTTAGTGGGGTACATTGGTCACGAGGGCTCCAATGTTCTAATGAACCCCTTTTGCTTTCGAGATGTGGGGATCTGTGGGAAATGTGAGTAGTAGCTTATGGCCTAATATAATATTTATCCGATATATTCATTAGCTAGAATAATTAATGCTAGTGTCGAAGCATCATATCAATTGGTAGAAGAAATATCACGGTACTGTATCTGCTACTTCAGGTTTGTAGTGTATTGAGCAAGTTATATAGTCCTTCCTGGCCCTCAAAAATGGGTATTACACTGTGCGAATGAAGGCCATATCCGTTAGTACGTCGCCGGGATGCATGGAGGGCATTGGGTTATAGATTCATTATCTGTGTTGAAGTGTTGCCGACGAAAGTTCTGAGAAAGGTTGATATACCACAATACCAACCTCAAAGCTCCGATCAGGCATCTTGTCCGAGTGGTTATGGAGTTGGTTTTAAGTTATGTTTGTCTAGCAAACTTAAATCACACCAATGCTCGAAAGAGCGCGCGCGTTCGAACCGCGCAGATGTCAATATCATTTTTTTGCAATTTTTTTGTTCTGGTATTCTATACATAGCTTAACAACTTCGATCTAAAGCAAGGCTTATAACAAGTTATATGTCTCTTGTCTTTCTTTTATCTGCCTTTGTGTTCCGCTCCAGAAAGTCTCGTATAAAGTCTTCCTCGCTTTGGGGTCTTCTTGGCTTCGGGATTCGCGGTAACTCCTCTTTCTCTTCTTCTTCTTCTCCTTCTTCTTCTCTTTTCTCTTGCACTTGCGCCCATGTTGGTTGTTGAGGGCTTTGATTTGGAACAAATCCTTTTCGCAACTGTTCGCCTTCAATGCTTTTTAATGTATCCTCGGCGGATGGTAAAACCCTCTTCGCATTGATATTTTGCACGTTTACTCCTTGATTTGCAACAAGTCGAGGGATGGGGGTAATAAATCTATGCAGTTGGGGTATAACCTTGACGGATGGATCCATGCCGAGCGGACGAGGTTTGATTGGCAAAAACCCGGTCCCTGATATAGTCCGTTCGAGGGCCTTTTGTTCACGTTGATACTCGTTATGAAGTAAGCTCTGTTGGTGCATTAGTATCATTTCCTCGATCGAAGGAGCCCATGGTTGGGTCGTATATGTAATCGGGTCTGGTATGCGGCCGTTGGCGTAGGGATTGTAGTTTTGTATTAAAGATTCTGGAAAGTTTGCCTGCTGGGGTGTGGGGAAGGTATTCATGTATGTCTGCATGGCGAGGTTTAGATCTCGGTAACCTGGGTTGTTGGGGTTTGTAGATATTTGCTGATTTCTAGGGGTTTTGCTGAGGGCGGGAATTGGAGGTATAAGACCTGGATTTATCAGTTCGGGATTTGTCTGGTCTTCTTCTTTCTTTACTTCCTCTCTCTTGACTTCAGCTTCTTCCTTCACCTCGATGGGGGCTTCTGTGGTTCCGCCTTCTATCTGCATTTGCTGTTCGACCTGGCCTTGCTGCCCTATTTGCTCTAGATCTTGCTGTCTTGCTAAACCTTGATACCCGATCAGGAAGGGATTCAAAACAATCGGAGTATCTGTTTTTATCATCTTCATAAATTGGCTATCAACATTCTTTTCCTCCGGAAGACCCTGAACATCTCTGTCAATTCTGTTCAACCGCCATTTCCCGCATTGCTCTGCCAAAGCCTGCTTCATGATAGTAAGCCCCACAGCTAACTCCAAAGCCTTTTTGTCACTTAAGGGATAAGCTATCTCCTGCACAAGTAAGGTCGTAAGCTCCGTTTTGAAGCGTGACTCAAATCCCGACTTTGAAGCATCTCTTTGTAGAAGAGCGGGTCTCTTATCGATTATCCAAGAGTCCTCCGGTACTTGTGTATTCCAAACGGTGCTTGCTCCCTCTGCGAAATTATGATCATCTTCCTTTCTTTTTATCTTCTTAACAAACCCACTACCAGGCCTTTCCTTCCCCGTTGTAAGCTCCGGCGCAATAAATGAATTCCAATATTGATCTCCCGGTACAATCTGCTTCCAATTCGAATAAACCCACTCCCCACCAAACGGCCGTAAATCAATAATCTGAGTCTCCTGACCAGGTTGAAAATATATAACCAATCGCGGTAAGAAAGGTCCGCAGTTAAAATCTTTTTCTTCCCATAATCCCATAGCTTGGATTGGATTGGCGAGATCCGGGTGGTTCATTATTCCAACGACTCGGATGACGCCTAGAGGGGTATCGCTCGGGTCTGGGAATGAATGACATAGTGGCTTTTGGTTTTGTTTACTGCCTCTTGTGAGAAGAGAGGATTGGGCTTTGAAGAGGCGGGTGTTTTCGAGGTTTCTGCGGAGGTCGCTGTAGCCCCATAGACGGTAGAAGGCGTGGCATGGTATTGTTAGCGTTAGTAGCCATGTGGTTATGAGGCATGGTGTTTGGAAGATACGTGGTTTTCGCATTTTTCTTCGATTAATTGCTCGATGGGTTTATTCTAGAAAGAAATGGTAATGTTATGTGGGTCAGATATTCTGTACGATCATAGTTAAGGCTTGGAGTTATCAATTTACGGGTTTATGCATGGTTGAGCATGTTTCACGATATTTGAGTCTTATAAGCTTATCTCAGCTTACCCCGGAACTCGGGAGCTTCCTAGGTATCTAAAGGGTTGGGATATTCAAGATAGAATTAAATAGAACACCAGAATACCTAAAATGTGTTTTCAGTTGTATACCGGCAGCCTCGAGGTCTTACGCAGTTGAGACATATACAACACTGTAGCTTTACAATGTACGCAGTATGTATAATAATTAATTGAGTAAAATTGTTGATGCATTTTGACTTTTAACCCACATGCCAAATTGATCTTGAAATTTCTATCCGGGATTTCGACGGAGAGTAGAGTCCGATCGATCTTGTGGCTTCGACACTTGTTGATTATTACTCGGCCCGTACTGCCGACTCGAAGGGTTATAGTTGACATTTTGCGGCGGCGCAGACGGGTTGTAGTTGTAATTATTATATTGCGGTTGTTGAAATTGAGGAATAGTGTTCCCCGAATACTGCCTCTGAGGAATTCCGGATGGGTTGAAGATCTGATACCGTGGATTTACACCTACTTGCGGCGATATACGATCAACTGGATAATTCCGCCCCCCTCGGTTTTCTTCCTGTTGAGGCGCTATAGAGCTACTGCGTAGCTGATATTGGCTGTCTGGTCGCTGTCTGCCGACATCGATGGGAATATTTGCTAGCGTATCACTACCCGCTCCATCTTCCTCTATTACGACAGGCCGATTATTTGAATTCGACGTAGTTTGTAAATCAGGTTGTCGAGGAATACCTCTATTGAGCCCGTCGTCCGGTTGGGTTTTGATACGTGGCACCGGTAGCCCCAGTCTTTCATATTCTTCTTGTACCATATACGCGGCAACCCTCTGCGCGCTCAAAGTAAAGCGGTTCATTGGCACGAAATTGAAGCCTTCGGATCCAAAATCTATATCCAATTCATCTTGTTCCTTTTGGTACTTCTCTTCGCTCTGCAGCCAAGTTCCAAGTGCCTGAATTAAACGATAGCCTAATAAGGTCTCTATCTGTTTGTCATCTCTCAGTAAAGTGCTAGGTAGCACTTTTTCGTCATTGATGATATGTCTCCATCGTAGATTGCTCCCCATGTCCCGTTCAGCTAAATTGATGTAAGCCCTACTTGGAGGTGTTCGGTCTGTTCGCCCCGGGCGACTCCATGCTTCGATTATCTTCCGGTCGATAGGGTCGTCGTCGTCTGCTTGTTTCCAGCTCTTAAAGACCGGTACTGCATCATTTAGTAAATTTATAGAATAGTAATTACCAGTAGTTCCTTTATTATCTTTCGATGGTTCCAATCTGAGAAACATCGAGGGAGTCATCCCGCAGACCTCGTCCTCGAAGAAAAATAAATACTTCACTTGCAATCCGGATCGAGGAGAATCAAAAATCCCAATAATCCCCGGTACTGGATCCTGAGGGCCGTGTTCATGCGGAGCCAGTTCTTGCATTAATTGGCATTGCATGGCACCTTGTGGGAACTTGAGGGTGTCGGATAAAAACTGCGGTTGCTCTCCGGTTTGTGTGTATTGAGCGATACTAGAAGTAGCATCGGCGATGCCGTCTGGATCGGTTAAGCCATTTTTCCATATGAATCTCATCCAGAAGGCGCTACAGGCGCTTGGGAGGGCTATTATTGCGAGGTACGCTATCAAGGCGACATGTTTGTGGTGTCCTTGCAGCATCATCGTGTGCTGCTAGCTATTATAAATCGATCGATTCAAGCCACACGTGCCCTTAGAAAACTCATGTGGTAGAGATATTAAAATTTTCTCAAGCATCCCCATTGAAAAAGCCTTGAAAAAGCCTTGAAAAAGAAACAATATAGTGTTTGAGTTTATATGCTAATATTCGAGGGGATATAGATAATTGCATTGCATTGTCCAGTTACAGTTATGGTAGCTTAACATTATTACAAAATCCAACAAGGAATATTTAGATTGTGTTGCATCTAGAAATACCACCCCTTCAATCTCGGTCTCACATAGATTGCCGGAGTGCCTTCCGAGGTGGGGGGGTCCGGTTTTACAGGCTAATCCCAATAATCCGAGAGCTTGAACTCGACTTTCGCATATCGCCGTTCAAAATTGGCATTGTTCGGTTAGTTTTGCTCGTTGTCAATTGTTTCGTTTGTTAGTTAATCTAAACTTTCATGAGAAACAATTGCTTGATACATTCGAAAAGTCGCGGAGGGGGGGGTTTGAGACAACCTTAAGTCAAAGCAATTGCAATTTTATTTCTAAAGGCCTAAAAAACACCAGACTTCAGGAAGACACCAAGATTTCAGCCCCACCCATACATGTATACGTAGGGCGCTGATCTGATGACTGTAAAGCTGCGAGCTCTAGAGCTTCCCCTGTCGAACTCTGCACGTAGTATTCAGCTCAGCTGCAGCTTACGAGGTAAGGATGTTGATATTAAAGAAAATCTTACTTAGGCTAGAAGACATGGTAGACACTGGTCACCAGCCACCATTGATAGGATAAAGTAATTCTAGGTGGTGAAATCCGGTCTGAAAAAGAGGTGTCCCCAGTTAATTACTGAGGTATTTCTTCATACTGTCAATCCGCCCGCCCTCCACCGCATTTCGGCTTATGCAGTGGTCCTGGTGAAACTGTTTGCACGAGGCAATCTCGACGCCAAGGCATCCCACATGGTGCCCACCCTCCTTCAACCTGGTCTTGTGCATGGCCATGACCTGAGGTGGCCCGTCTCCTCAATTGGATCGACATCTACAGGGCATGTTAAATTGGCAGGAGAGCATTTATTTGTAAACTTCAACCGGGTCACCGGAAAACTATTCGAACGATTTATTCTGTATCCTACGTGTATGGACCGGCGAAACTTCACTTTTTTTTAAAGAGGGAAATATTTGCCGACAGTTTTTCGCACGTTTGCTTGGTCCTCACTTGCGAGGTTCTGGCGTCATCGCGTTCGCTTGCCCTTGGACGCCCGTTTCAGGAGAATTCCTGATCTGGTGTTCTACTGCAGGAACGCATTCGAGAAACATTACACTAACTTTCGACACGGGAAAAATCGAGCGCTAGCGTGACCGATCCCCGCTTCTTTGACCGGTACAGGTAGGCAAAAGGAGTAGCTGCCAGCACAGAAAAAACGTCAATCCTGTATCGCAAAGCGAAAACCTTCTCTTTAAATTTCTTTGAACCCTTGAAAGTTAGCATTGGAGTCTTAAACCTGCCTTGTTCTTTTCCCCCCTGCAGGTCCAGGTGTACACCTTTGTTCTGGGATAGAACCTCCTAGGGTTCAATAAAACTGTCATCCTGCCCTTTTTCTTGCTGTCACAAACGGTCCTTTGTCTTTTTATCTTACATACGTTCATTTACCTTGGCTTTCAAGTTGATATTCCAATTGACCGTTCTTTTCCCCGACTTCAAAAAAAAACCTTCCTTTTGATTTTTTCGTCATTTTGGCTCTGGCTCTGGATCTGGATCTACTGTCATTTTGCCTGATAAGGATTTTTGGCTTTGACAGTTCAAACGTTTGCCCCGTTCCTGAATCAGTTGGCTGGTTCCTGCTGAAGTTTACCCGAAACGAAAAACTCTTATGACCGACTTTTGCTCGACGTCCACGTTATTCTGATGCCACTTGAAGGTTAAACCGGTGCACTGGGACAAAGTCAATAACAAAAAACCAAAAAAAAAGTTAATACCAAAGGATTACGAGTGAGTTCTAAGACCGGTCTAGTCTTCATCAACCTTTTGGTACAAAACTCGACGGTCGTCCTGGAAGGATATCAATATCAATTAGCACGCAACCTCTCGGCAAAAAGTTCACGATAGTTACTCGATATTTTGTGTTGCTGCATTGGAATTTCGCATTACCTATAACATACATATATTTGATTCGAGAGGGAGAACTCGACATATCGACACTATACACAATATCAGAAGGGAATATCTTAAGAAAGTTAAACCGAATACGACTTCCGGGTATAAACACGACTTGGGCGATAAACGCTGAGAAGATGCGCTCAATATCGAACTAATATAACCTCGAATTTCACGATATGGAGCTGAGGGTGCTCATCCCCACAGCATGCGTCCTCGGGCTTCTGCTTATAGTAACACTAGCACTGGTTATAGCGTTAGTAGTTAGAACGCATAAGCGGAAAAGGAAAGTAAGAGACTGGCAACAGCACGGTATCGTGGAGGATAATGTCTCGTTTTCATGGTCAGAACATGGTCCCTCCAGAGGGGTCTCGGTCCGAGAAGGGAAACTAGTTCGAAATCATAGTCGCAAGAAGACGAAGGAAGGGACGCGAACGACGGTGGAACAGGTTCGAGACGATAATGACAACTACCCGGTGAAGCAAGGCATGGGGACCTTGGATTTCATGAACTCGATATCCAATATCACTGGTCGCATAAGCCCCGGGATAGGAAGAGCTTTATCCATAGGGTCGCATAAGGCCTCGACTATGAGCTCCGAGAAGAGCAGACAGCTGTCGCCTTTACCTGCCACAGATGAAGAAAGCCAGATAAGTAACTCGCATATTGCCGACATGCAGAAGAGGCCGTCGAGTTCAAGCAGGAAGAAGAGCTCCCACTCGCGCTCCTCTAGTAGGAGCAACCTCCGTGAGTCCCCAATACCAGAGGATATGACTATGAATTGTCGAGAGAGTATCTTACTTCCATCACCTCCTTCGTCAGTACACATCCTTACACCAACATATTCTCGACACTCTCGACAGTCTCAATCAAACTCGAGTTTCACATTCACCCCTGTGACGCCACGTGCGTCTATAAGTTTATTTCCTTTGTCTGCTCCTCCGGGTCAACATCGACGCCCTTCTATAGCTGCACAGCCAGCTACTACAACATTGCCAGGCCATAATTTTTCTAATCATATGCATTCGGCAAGGCGGCCTTCGTTCTTGCAAAACTCATATACTTTTGATCATTTACCAACATCTCCTTCGACCTCAGCTTTTGATACTAATCAGCCTGCCTTGGCAGAGTATTCCGACGGGCTAGAACATCGTCCTGGTAGCCGACCTAAAATAGCACAGATTCGGATACCTGACTGTAAATCTGCCTCACCGCGCGCTCCTCTCTCTGCCGCGCATTCTTCCGATCCAGAGTCTCCACAGCACATACCGGACCACCATGACCAGGTTAACAACTTTGAGAACTGGACTTTTGGTGGCGGAGGTTTCCAGGGGAATTCTCAGAATAACCATATTGAGGACGGCAATTTCCCAACACCTTACAACGACGTTCCGCGCCCCCAATACACAAGGGCGCCGTCATCAGCTGTTGGGAATCCAGGTATTCCGCAGCCTAGGAAAGAATCAATTACATCATATGCCCAGATGAGAAGAGAATCCATTAGAAGAGATTCATTCGGTGGAGCCCTCCCCTTCCGTCGTGAATCCCACGGACCATCAATGCTTCGGAGAGACTCGACAGCAAGTTTCCTCGGAAGCCCTCCAAAATTTGCAACCGGACCTCGTGTGTACCATCAGCATCTTTCACCAAATATACAACCACAGCATCGCGATAGCATATACCGTACTTACAGCGACCGTTCCTTGCTTAGTCATGAGGCACAATCATCCAACGAACACCAGACATATCATATGAACCTCTATCCTTCCATTAATGAGTCAAAAACATCGATCGTTAGCATTTCGAGCACAGGCAGTGCCGCATCCGATAGTTTCACTGGCAATGGAGGTCTTAGTCCGCCGCCGTTGCAAAAGAACTCTTTTGAAGGCACGCGGTCCGAAGGAGAAGGAGCATACATATTGACGGCAGCAAGCACGAAGCTACAACAGATCCGACCGCCTGTTACTCCTCCGCGCCATGCGCATGGGACACCTTTTGGTGGAACAGATAATCAAACTTACTACGAGTCCAGCCCGCCTTCTAGACGTCTAGTAAAGGATTTTGTACCTGAAACGGTCGCCGAGATCAATGAGAATCTTGCTACCAGCCCAACATCGACGATCACAACTGCGACTCTAAATGAGGATAGCATTGAGGGGATGAGCCCCGATCGAATAATCAATGGTGGAACTAGTTTGCAGCGCCAGTAGAGATGGTAGGAAATTGCTGTGCTTAAAGCTTTGACAGTTTGCATTATGTTGCATCCAGCATCGATGCATCTTGAAACATACATTTTTATACAAAAACCCTCATCTACACTAGCTTTTTTACCTGTTGTTTGTGGCGCAGAGTGGGTTATCGTTATACCTTCGATTGATTCCAATTGTTGCATTTTTTCTTCTTCCTTTGGTTACCTTCGCAATGCAATGACCGCTGACGAACGGAGTTTACTCACTTTTCAATTCTTGTAACTATATACCCATTTTCATTCATTTCTTCTACCGGCTTATTTTTTCTTTACTTATAAGCACTATAATTTAAGCATTGGTATAATGCCCGCCTGTATGCTAGATGCATTTCTATAGCTTAGATCTGGAAAGCTTAACCACCCAGCCAGCTAGCTAAGGAGAATACGAGAATATAGCCAGCTGCATGCAGCGCCATAACATTAGAATTCCGAAATTATAAACTAAACCAAAGGCTGTGTCCGGGACCCAGATGACAGCTGTGCGCATTAACATACGTATCACTACCACAATATATTAATATTTGAGGTTGTTACTAATAATGAAGGTTGGTTTGCTGAAACGCACAGTGTGGACAAGCATCCTCAGGCTGCAGGAATGGCCTCGAATTCCAACATGTCCTCGCCGTTACAACACAACCAAAGGTAAAACCAATGCTGTTGGCTCGTCGATGATGCATGGTGATGCCAGTGTATCCGATTCTCGAGACCGGTAGGATGTATTAGGAGTGGTTTCCTCTTTAAAGGTGTTTTTCTAGCCTGAGAGCTTATATGAGTAGACAGAATCCCCGGCTGGCATCAGCCTCTCTATTATTTACAAGGACTGTTTCCCAAATTTCATAGCTATAGCGTGTCCTTGAGAAGCGGCGGCAACTTCAAAGGCTAAATTACTACTCGATAATCGAGGTACTGGTTACCATCTATATACTATCATCTCTATTCGTTTCCCTTTGTCCCTCGATCAGCTCAAGACCTTGATTTTTTTGCTCTTACTCTTGTTTCGAAGACGAGAGATAAAGGCTGATAGGTAAAGCTGCCATTCAGCTAGTGCAAAATGCGAATCCAGAGCAAGCCTCTATTGTGGCAGGCAGGAGTCCTGACCGCCCTGCTCTTCTTCAAGGGAATAGAGGCCGGTGTCGCTGTAAGTACTGTCCTAGAGTCACTCACCTTACGACCCTATCCCAGCCTCAAGGATGTCTAGGCTCGACCCTATAGCCCGTGTAATCATGCACGAGACCTATTGGTATATCTTTGAAGGCACTAACTATTGTCTGCACTTAAATTTAGGCTGTTACTGAACACGACCTTGGGGGCTATGTGAAGCTTATTAAAAGAGTAAATGATGACGGGGTTCCGGAGATACACATGGACCTTCACGAGAGGTGGCACAATGATGTAAGTTCGACCTTAGAACCTTTGTACGGGTGTATATTCTCGCATACCCCAATCCACAGAATTTTAACAGTCATGCCTCCCGTTCTGGTATGCTAGGAAATCGGCCAAGCTCTCAGAAAACGGCAAGAGTCAGGCATCGAGAAAAATGAGAACGCATATGCTTTTCTTCCCGTCCCTTCCACCGAGGAAAGAGACATGTTCAAGGACAGCTTTAAGTGGGTTTGTGGATCGGCAAATAATAAGATTTCCTCCGTCCAAGAGCTCACTGGTGCTGCAATGACTATTATGTCCAAGAGTGGTCACTATGAGATCGAGGGTTGGTCTACACCCGGCACGATTTCTCTCGGGAACCAAGCAACCGATCCCAAAAAGTACCAGGATGAGGTTCCAGTCCACTGCCTTGGGGAGGCTGGCAAAACGTCCATCGTGATGTCCCCCGTAAAGAGCGGCGTGGAATTCAAATACGGGATTTCGCTCTCTCGAGCTCTCATCGGAAGATGCATAAACACTATGATTTATATTTGTCAATATGACCTTTCGGAGTCTGTGGGCAATTTCCAATTCAATCCGAAGCAGAACCATCTCGATTTCGTTCAGATTCAGACTGTGGCAAAACCTTGCGAACGTTGGGTGGACCCGCTTTGCAAGTCTGGGGACGATGAAAGCAAGGCCGAGTGCCTTGCGACGAAACTTCTTCTAGGCATTCCATGGTCAAAGACGCTCCCAACGCCCACCAAACCATCAAAGAAGAAGAAATAAATTTTCTCTTTTTTATTTTAAGATTGGTATTAGGAAGTAGATAGCTAGATATTTGCGGTCAGAAGTCATTTTCTTAGGACACTCGAGCTCGCTATAGCCGAGCCGTTTGCGCTAGGGTATGACTTAATTCTTGTTAGATCTATCACCATGTTCTTTCTCGTTCTAAGTTTTCGAGATTCTAATTCGGCGGCTATTTTTGTTGAATTCTTTCTTGTGTTCGAGTCCCTTTGTATCAGAATTCTTAACCCTTCCGACCTGTAATAAAACTTTTTTTTTTTAATTGTGGATCCGCATGTATGTATGTATGTATGTATTTAAACTGTCTCGAGTCATTCATTTTGCCTTGTGAGATCTCTTCTTCTTCGTTCGAATAGATTTTCTCATTTGCATTTGAAGATGCACGTTCATTCCCATGGTTGTGCAATTAAGTGTGGCCCGATAGAAGCTCTTCTTGACCCTGGCAAAGCTCGGTCGCCAAAGCCGTCGTGCAGTTTTTCCCAGGCGCAGGCAAAAATATCCTAATGATAGGCTGAAAGTCTAGTCATGCTCGCGGGAAATTAATTTATCCCGCCCGGACCATGTGAATTATGCATGAACTATCGAGTCAGTAAAAATATCGGATAGGCTTCCATCGAACTCCGGTCAGTCAGCTATAATTGCCGGCACTATACAGCCCATAGGCTTCCAAAATACATTGTAATGCATACAATTCCCTCGAATCATGTGATTTATCAAGTCAGGATCTCCATGGCCCCACAGCTTTTTTTTTTGATTCGAGTTTCGAACTTGGGTTTCAAAAGTGTTCTGGGGGTGCGCCCGCAATCATTTTCCGGCTTGTTCCATTATTATTACCTCTTGTAACTCAACAGCAGCCGTTAGCGTGATTCGCTTGATCTTTGGATGATTTGCGGGGGGGAAACACTGACATCTGTTACCAAACTCTGGGTTTTAAAGAGCCTCCGCCCGCGGTGCCCGAAGGGGGCCCCCTTTCGATACCCTCTCTCTCAACCAGGCATCTCACGAGATCTCGCTAGATTATTAAAAGTTGACGACGACATATTCGGCAGGAGCTCCGATATCTCCCAGACCAAAGCTATCTACTTTTTTTGTTTGTTTGTTTGGTAAACTGTGGTTTGGTTCGACCTTCCGTACAGTATGGACAAGGTATCCGAAAGTCCGTTTATCAGCCTTCAGCCTTCACAGTTCACTCCGCATACAACGGTCATCCACTTCCGCTCGGAGAAACCCGTGGAGTCTAGCAGCTCCGGTTCCGGATCGCGGATTCGCAGATTTCATCATAAGACGCGGACGGGATGTCGAGAATGCAAACAGAAAAGGAGGAAGGTATGAAGAGAATTAAACCTCGCGCGCCCAAATGCATAAAAGATTATGGATGCTTTTTCTTTTTCAGCTGGATGGATGAGTGTTGATGAGTCGATGTTTTCGATTTCTTCCTCTGGAAATTTTATAGTGCAACGAAGGAAAGCCTAGCTGTCAGGGCTGTTTAAAGTCAAAGATTGAATGTCATTACGAAGACGTCATCCCGCCACGAGTTCAACCAAAAAATCGAAAGAGGCCTCAAAGAAAACCAGCTGCGAATCGCTTCGTCTTCATCGAATTTGGGGAAACAGGGGCGACAACAAGTTCCCAGCACCCGCCGAACGTTAACGTTAACGTTCCTAGCCATGGGGACAGCGACTCCGGCTCAGCATCCGATGCGCAAATTTCGAGATGGCAGAGTGCGCCTTCAACATGTTTGCTACAGGGAGGCCGTTCCCGCAGCGAAACTGGAGGGTCGATAACCAAGGAGGTTGAGTTTATATATCTATTCCGGAACTTTACTTTCCGGACGTTGCCGTTGCAAGCTTACGACACGAAGCGGTGGTCGAGAATCACATTCGAATCGTCATACTCGGTAAGGGAACTTCCACTCAAGTTATCATATCATCGTAGCTCGGGCTAACGAAATTATCAACAATCTAATAGGAAAGCTACCTTTACGATATTATGATCGCGCTGGCCGCATCTCATCAGCGATTCTTACAAGGTCTGCAAGCACGGTCCGCCAAGGAAATTTCCCACTACGTCAAAGCGTTGGCGGGTTTTCGAGCCGTGGTGTCAAACCCTGGCAATTTTGCTAAGATGGATCTTAACGCTTGGATCTCGATATTAACTACTGCTGCTTTACTTTCCATGTACATCATGTCATGTCCTTCCGATAACTACGAAACAAGTTGCGATACTTATTTCTCATTAACGAGAGGAACAATGAACATGCTTGGTGAAAGCATAAAGAGAGGTATGGATGTGGGGTTTAGAGCTTCAGAATTTACACCCCAAGAAACGACAGTAACATTAGAAGTCGAGCGGGCCCGAGGAACAGCGGTGTTTCCCGGATTGGAATATGCCGCCTCAGGGGACGATAGAGCAACCAGTCCAAAAGCGGCACAACGATTATCAGATATCCTAACCATCGTCTCGGTTCAAGACAGGGACTCGATGGATGCAGTAGCCGCAACAAATTTACAAAAGATTGCATTAGAGTGGGCTGCAATGCCGGATGCGCTACTATTAAATACATTTAGGGCGAAGAACAGAAAGGCTTATTTAGTGACAGCGCATTATCACGCGGGGTTGTGGAAGGTTAAAGAGATAATACGTAGTTTATGTATGAGAGGACTTTGGGGAGAAGCGAATGGCGCGGTTGATAGCTATTGGTGGATGATTTCTCCGCAGGGGATATGTAAGAGGTCGCTGGAGGTGCTGGTTGATGAGCCGAAGGAACGAATATCTTGGGTGGAGCGGGTGGTACGGGAGCTAGAGTCAATTCAATGACGAAGATTTACGGTTATTAATATGAATGATTTATTTTTAAAAATATATATCGCTAATGATGACAAAAACTCGTCTCTTCGTGTCTAATCTATCGTGTAGTCTATCGCACATGATTCATTAAAACTATGTTTACGTACTTAGAGTGCTATAACTCGCAGACCTAAACCGGCGAGTATCCCCAAATAATGTATTATCCTTGAATTGGCGGTCATAATATGGGTATTCCACACACTAAATCATCGGGACTAAATTAGTTTCTATAGACTTCTTTATGGTGTACTTAAAATAGAGGGATTAGTAGCTTACCTTGCCGCCACCAGTTGGACCAACATGTTCGCAATGGTCATCTGGATCGACCTCTGCCAACATCAAATGCACAATTCTACAAGTAACAGTATCCGCCCATAACTTGTCGAAAGTTCCAAAACTCTTTGCTGAGAGTTTAGCAAAGCAAGTCAGTTCCCCCAAGTTTAGACTGCCAAGTCCCAGTTGGTTGATGAGAGGAAGATCCAACAAAGGACTTAGCCCCAGAGCGTTCAACACGCCGCCTATGTTCAATCCTATTTGTGGATGGTATTGTGTATTTTTCCCTTTGCATAACTTTTGAGCGCCCTGACAGATCTGCTTTGTTGCGAGAAGTTGGACAAGTTTTGAGTTGAAATCTGCACCGTTAAGGATAGTTGCAAACTCGTTGAGCGCGGGGATATAGAGGTCATAATAGTCGACTCTTCCTTGTTCATCGAAATGCCAGAACCCGGTCTGTTTGAGATATGTATAAGTGCGAGTACCTGGTGCGCCAAATCCTGGTTTTGAAGGATTATCAAGGGCGACTTTGAAGTTGACGGTGCTAGCGGCTATTGAGGGATGGTCTGAAGAGAACTGTGTAAGTTCCGCTTCGACTATTGCACTGTACATTGAACCCTGTGGTCTTGGTGCTAGACCGAAGAAGTATTCGATGCTATGGCGAAAGTTGGTGAAGTTTCCAATTTCTTGGATTCGACCGGAGACTGTTGGACTGAACAGAGGTTCAAGCTCGGGAATCGAGTCACTCGTCACCTGTGCAATGATTGCCTCTTGACGTGGGTATACTGTGAATTGGTATATCTTATTGATGGTCTGGAAATTCCGTATTTGGTAGTCAGCGAGAGGTGGAAGGGTGGGGAGAGCAGAAGAAAGAGGAAGCCAGGTGGAAAGTAGGACCACAAGATCCAAAGTAGCAAATGAGAACCGCATTTTTGGATTTTGAATTAGGTATTAAAAGTTAGATAGATATGTACGATATAGTAGGATAGATAGTAGGATAGATAGTAGGTTTTTATCCCAAGGTACTGGTCCGGACTTCGACTTCAGGGAGTCTGGATGCAATGGATGATCATTGAAAAATTTGGCGGGAGGAAGGGTCCCTTTTATGGACAAGATGTACCCTTATACCATTGATACATTTACGTACGTACTGTACATACATGTATAATCAGATCTACAAAGTATATTTATCGTACACACTGCATGCAGGAGAGAAAAAAAAGCAGTATAGCAAGCAAGTACAATATGCAAATACGGCTGAAGAAGCAAGGGCCCAATATTGGTTGAGACAAAGAAACCATTAGTGCCCCAGACGTCCTCGACCCTTAGAGCCACACCATTAGAAATTGTTGCGTTGGGTTTTCGCAAAGCTCCACAAGAAGTGGCGTCTAGACTGGCCGAAGAAGGATATGATGTGCAGGTACCGTTGTACGATGGCGAGACCAGATGGAGACTTGGCATCGATTTGCAGATTTCATACATGGTCTCAAGCTCGAGGATCCTAGGACCGGGCTTAGAGCTTCGGCTCTATCCGCTTACCAGCTGCACAGTCGTATATTCGGATCTAGCTTGTTCAATGCAATGTGAGACTGACGTGGCCTGAGCTAAATTGAATGATTTCCGTATTCTGTAATATTGTAATTTGAAGGGCAAGAAGCGGAGTGAGCCGGTGGAGAAGAACGATATGATTTACGATATTACAGTTTCACATCCTATATAAATTGAAATGAAATTAATTGGATCGATACAATGGACGAGCTTGAGAAAAAACTTAACCAGGTTATTGCAGAGTATATATGATAAAAGTGGATACATAGTGGACCTTATCGCTCCCTTCAATTACGTTGTTTTCTGTACTAGTACACTGTGTGATAAAGCAAAGGCTTAGAAAACCGTTATCCAAACAAGGGGGGCAGTTTTACTATAGCTCCGAAAACAGACAAGTGGTTTCTATCTTGAAGATCATTTACGATTTTGACACTTAGACTCAAGTTTAACAAAAGACATTAAACGGCAAGCCGTCGTAGGATTCGAAAACCTCAGCGGAATCTCGGACACTATTATATTGAGTTCGGCTACACTTGAAGCAAAGTTATAATTATGGTGGTATCCGGATTTTGGCAAGTACGTTATAGCACCAAGTCTTGCAAGATCCTTGGCACTCGTATGAATTGGAAGCTCGATAAATCCGAATTAATCGCGAGAGCTCACGGCGGACCGCAGACATTGCATTGCTTCGGTTCGTGCAGCAACCAGCAACTAGCTGTGCAGGGCCACTAGGGTTACTTAAATCTCGCACATCTTATCGGAAGACGGCTACACACAGGAATTCGAACCCCCACTAGTATTATTCAGGAAACATGTTTTAGATCCGTTACACACACTTGATCAATTGATCGAAATCAAGGATAAGAGGCAATTGATCAACGGGATATCAGTTCGGTTCTTACGTCGAGATGGTATGTGCATAAGCACTTACATTCCTTCAAATATTATCCATCAGATGACAAAAAACGTCATGTATAGGTGTATCGGACATAGATCTACTTCAAAGGCGGTCGCACAAAATCTAGGCGGGGTTTTTGAGGGAGTTGTAGCTAGTTCACGTTCGGGTTTGGGTGCTGCTTGCCTGGTGGCGCAAAGCTTCGTAGCTTGCTCCTCCAGACCATAGCTTGCTGTACCAATCGAACCAATTGAACAGATGTGTGTAAAGACACAGATATAGCTTCCCCGGATAGAGAATCGACTCCATGACGAGATTAACATAATACTGGATTTTCCATCATCAATTTATCTTTAGTTTTTTGTGTAAAAAGACCAGCTTGACCAGCCCACCATTCCACGAAAAAGCGGGGTTGGTAACCTGCTTGTGCAAGATGCGGCACAACCTTCCCAGCCTTTGAGGTTCTAGAGCTTGACAAGCTCTGCAATTTCAAGGATTCCAATCTTGAACCAACAAGAAAAACCCGATTTCATACATATTATTCCCTCCGACCTATGCAGATGATCCTATGCGAGCGAATCAAGTTTTCGCCAACTGCATAGATTTTTTTTTTCCCTCTTCCTGCAAGGTTTTAACCCGCCCGATATCGAGGTGGAGGAATCCTTACCCTACAGGTTGCCAAATCGAGGCGGCCAAGACCAAGCTCCAAGATCCGTTGCGCGTGCTAAGACTCCTTACCTAATCAAGAAAACTTGCGATTGCGATCCATGCACCTTCAGCTTCTTTTTCAGCTCGAAGGTTAATAGATGAATCAACGGGAAGCGGGACAAGCCTTTCAAAGAAATGCGTGAGATTTTAGGAATACGAGAGTATAGGGCTGACTCTCGACGGCTGGTATTGGCAGGGGTAGATATCGCCACTCGTGACATATCATACTTATAAGCACTATAATATATGTTAAACCATTTCATTCGAAAGAGAAATAATTGATTATGATATCGGTCTGCCCTATAGGTTCCCCCCAAGACGGCTGAAATCCCGACCTCTTTCGAACAGGGCGTCCAATGACATTCTGTCGATTTTCAGCTGTTGCATGTTGGAGGGGGGCTGCATAAGTCTGACAGACTTCGGGCTGGACAAGGCAATGACAAGACCGAACGCCATCAATTGAAGTATAGTAATGAGGCAGCTGCATGTCGAGCTGAAGTTAGTATATATTCTTCGACCTCGGACGCTTTTGACTTAGATCCTTCCCGTGTTTTTACCCCTCTCTCCCCTTCCCCCTTCAAAATTGCGCTGTACTTATATTACATACCAAAAACTTTGTATCCTTTTTTTCCTATCGATATCCTTTTCCTTCCCGTGTTTAAGTGGGAAATTCCGCTAAGAAAAATACCACGGAGTCAACGCGTCAAGCCAGTGCGGTGCGGTGTTGACGAAAGAACAGCCACTACAGAAATTAAACGTGAAAATAAATCCGAGGATATTAAGCCGTTTCCTGACGTCGGAATACTCCATCACAAACCTTTTGAGCCAGAAGAAACGCCACCTTTTCGGCTTTCAAGGCATCGGATCATATCACACACGGTCGTTTGTCAGAAACTTAGCTGATATTAATCAATTAATCAAAGTCACAATATGTCGACAATATCATCCGCTCCCGGAGCCCGAGCGGCATCCACCCGTATCCAACTCGAAGACGGCTCATATGCAGTCCAGGGCTCTACGTACAAGCGGGTTATCATCTGCTGTGATGGTACCTGGCAGGGATCTGATAAAGGTGTTGAGACAGTTCCATCTAATATCGCCCGTTTGGTCAAAGCCATCGCTCCTAAGAAACTGGACGGCGATGGCCGTGAAACACAGCAGGTAGTCTTCTACCAGTCCGGTATTGGAAGTACTAGTTGGGGGACGGTTGGAAACATGGCTGCTGGTAAATCATACTTCTTATCTTGAACCTGATGGGAAGAGCTAACATTTGGCCAAAGGTGCAACCGGTGCCGGACTCGATGACAACGTCCTTGAAGCCTACTACTTCCTATGTAACAATGTCGAGCCCGATGATGAAATCTTCCTTTTCGGATTCTCCCGCGGCGCATACACAGCCCGAACCCTCGGCGGCCTGATCGATGAATTTGACATCATCGATCGTTACAGTTTGCACCAGTTCCCAGAAGTTTATAGCGCTTACAAGGCTAGAAACGAAAAGAATTCCGATGAATTCAAGCGGATGTATGATGGAATCAGCACAGTTCTTCTTGACAATGATGTTGAGACATTGTCGCAAGTCTTGAAGACTGGAAAGATTGTCAGATACCCTGCTAAAATCAAGGTAATCGGTGTGTTCGACACTGTGGGTGCCATGGGAATTCCGGAAAGTAGGGTGGTGAGAGCTTTGAATATGAATGCGGATCAGAAATTCAGAGATCCTAGACTATCGACCAGTAAGTACTCATTCGGAATCGCATTAGTGGATAGTATCTTACCCTATTTGTAGAGGTTGAAAATGCATTCCATGCTTTGGCTCTTGATGATCACCGAATAGCATTTACGCCAACGATGTGGCATCAACCCTTCGAAGGGCGAGACATCAATGACCCACTGATGTACAAAGGCCCTAATCTCATTCAAGTTTGGTTCCCAGGGTAAGAATCAGAACCTATCATTCCCTAGCCTATCGCCTTCTAACCAGTAGTTTGCTGTACATAGGATGCACGTAAATGTTGGTGGTGGTAATTCCGATAACAAACCCGTTGTCATTCCGCGTGATAACCCTAACGATGGGATTTTGACACCACACGAGTTTGTCAAAAAGAATGAAAGCTGGACCAGCTGGATGGGTTCAAAGATCTCTTCGGGCCTTTCGGCCTTAAACCCATTCGCCATAGCACCTGAAAAGGGATCCGATGGGAACACTGTTTATGCCAACGGCGACGATGAAGAACTTGCAGACATCACATTGATGTGGATGATTGATCGGTGTCGTCCATTCCTTACCTTTAACGAGAAGTATCTCGATTACTTGGTTGAAATGCACGATAAGAAACTTGCCGTCATCCGAAAGGAGGCATTGGCTCGTCTTTCCGTCTCACGTGTTTGGCCAGGCCAAAAGGATCTCAAATTCGGATGGGCATGCGGTCCTATCGTTGACTCCTTCCAAGGAGCTACAGCAATGGCCGGAAGTCAGAACAGAGCTCCTGGACAATACACTAGTGACTTTACCGTCGGCAACATTATTGATGAGACTCGTGATCATCACCACACAAGAGAATACATGCACCCTTCCGTTCGATGGAGATACTTTGAGAACGGCGACGAGTACAAGCGATGCAGGGGCCTAGACGGCTTCAAGCTAGCTGATTATACCAAGCCAGAGAGCCGCGATTCTAACCCTGCTAAAAAAGATATACTTTCATCAGGAATAATTTGGGAGAAAAAGGTTCCAAAGCCTGCACCTACTTCTGGACCTACTCTTCGCGTTAGCGAAATTAGAGTTGAGAAAGATATCGTTTGGCAGGAAGTTGTTGGCGGGAAGAAGGTTGATGTCAGGGCTGATAGCTTGGAGTATAGACTGATGGGGGATAAGATTTTCCAGGCTCTCCAGAAAGGACAAAGCTTTGATACACCGATCAAAGCAAAGGGGCTTCTATTCTAATTGTGTTTTCGGATTTCTTTTAAGTTTGTTTTAGCGATCGACAATTAAGACGGCCGAGGATAGTTATAGTTGGGGTACTAGTATGGCTCCGTACACAAGCTGATGTTCTTAATGCTCTAATGTTTCCTTTTGTGTATCATGCACCTCTGTGAATTATAACAAAGTTAATGACTCCCTAGTTCCATTTAATTAAGCTACTTACCTAGGTCTAATGGTACCTTCTTTATGCTGGGTCCGTGGCCCATAATTTGAATAATTTGAATACATAGGCTACAACAATATTATCAGATCTTCCACTAGCTGCGAAGATATAGATGAAATAGACATGTCAACCCATGCATACCAATAGGTATTGCACCATGATTGGATAGTTCGGGGCCTAGCCAGTTTTATTTTAGTCTTATCCGTCATGGGTACATTCTCAAAGAATATAGCTAGCAAGTAGCCTCAGTCTCAGGAGGATATCTGCGTTGCAAGGATGTCAAAGGTTACACAGACTCGAACCCAGCAGATGAGACGACAGTTTCAATTCCAATTCATCTTACCTAATGAATCCAATTACAAGCCGAACGAGTCGAGTAGATGCATAAAGGATAGCCTAGAGGTCTGTCTCGGGGCTCTATAAATATAAATAAGTAAGCCCATCCCCACAATCTCACCTCCTTGAATGCAGTCTCGAGATCTCTGGCACTTACTCGGACACGAAAAGTGTATTCAAAGCTCATTAATCTGACAGCTGACCCTTCGGCGGAGATATCGGTAATTAACTACACATGTGCATCTTGCAATCAGTGAGCAAGATTCATCGGCATGCCGGTTAGTCTAGGCTCCGGGCCGACCAATCAGTTCCAATAGCTACCCGGTCGGCAGAATTTTTTTAAAAAAAACTTTTTTTCGGTTGGCCCGACCTCTGCCTTTCTTCGCGCTCAAGCCGGACGGCGATGAGACGATGCCACCCATACCTGGAAGCAGTCCCGGCAAGACATTCAAAATGGCACAGACAGAACTTCATCAGATTATTCACACTTGACTACTTCCCATTTACTTCTTTTAACTGTTCCTCATAGTATTTTTTACCAGCATCTATAAGGTACTTAGAGTCTCTCAAAGTTAAGTTGAGAGATATCACACATCAACCGGATTTACGCAGCAAAGAGTCAGCGCGACGGCCACTCTAATTTATCAATCTCACAAAATTTCTCGGCGTTCTTAATTTCAGCATATAACCAAAGGCTTATATCCATCTACTCCTATTTACTGTGTGAGTATTTAATCTTCACGTCGTCCCTGTCTATCCAGCTTCTGACATCTTCCATCAAATCAGTATTCACCCCCATTATTAATTCTTTGCCAGCAACCAAATTCTGCACGAGCAGGGTCTTACAAACCTGCAAGGTCTGGACCTTTGCATGAAATAGCGGGGTCTGAACCGTTGGCTTGCTTGACTCGAACCAAACCGAACACAGCTCTCTGGAAAAGGAGACCAGGGTAGAGCTCTCTGTCCTGCCAGGCACCCCGCTAGTTAATTGACAAAGTTCAGGATCAGAAACCTCAATAACTTTTTTTTGTCGAACTCCGGATCACCTCAAAGCTTTTTTTCCCTACTGCCATTTTTCTAGTTATTATAGGCATTCCCTGATTTTTATTCTTTTCGACATCGTTTTCCTCTTGAAAGACTTTTTTCGCGGTTCAACTGAAAAGGGAGCCAAAAAGATCGTTTGCATAGAAGCTTAAACGCCGCATCTAATCTCCGATATCCCTGACCAAAAGTCCGGTAATAGCGCCGACATACATACCCTTTTTCACAAGGGAAGAAAGAGAGAAAAATGAGCCTACCGGCTCAACCCCAGTCGTTAGCACCTGCTCAAGTCTTCATCTGCCGTCACGGAGCCCGTTTAGACGCTTCGGATCCAGTATGGCATCTAACTTCTCCAACCCCGTACGATCCTCCCCTCACTTATGGCGGATGGACTCAAGCTCGAACGTTGGGTAACCGAATCGCCACCCACATTCTCTCCCAAATATCGTCTGAGTACCCTGTATCTGGTTCTCCAGCGCCAAAACCAGCCGAGAAAGGGAGTACATGGAGTGCTGGGCCCAAGGAAACAAAGAAAGAAGCTCCTCCACCGACGATACCGTTGATTTCGCCGGCTGCTGCTTCGAAATTAGGGAATACGAAGGTTATAATACATACTTCGCCGTTCTTGAGATGTGTACAAACGTCGATAGCCGTTACGGCGGGGATGTCGCAGTATTTTTCAGATATAAACATTAAAACCGTTACTCCGGATGGCAGTGGTAGCAGTACTGGTGCTAGTACAGGTGTTACATCGAAACTAGTCGTTCACCCGAGACCTATGCTTAGGGTTGACGGGTTCCTCAGCGAATGGCTTTGCGAGGACTATTTCACCGATATTACGCCGCCGCCAGCTACCGATTTAATGGTCGGAACCGCTAAAATCGATCTGATGAGGCCGTCTAGTGCCACTGGACTTCGTAAAGACAAACCTATCATCAGCCAACCGTCTCAAACCCACATCAGTCCTCCTCCTCACCATTCTCACCACCGTGCCCACTCCGTCGGTTTCGTCCCGCCCGTCGCAACTTCGGCAATTGGGAAGAATGAACCCATCCCACGAGGTCATGTCTCGCATGCTAAAGAATTCATTGATATCGACTACGCATATGATAGTTTACGGTACGGCGATGGCGGCGAATATGGCGAAGAATGGGGTAGAATGCATAAACGTGTTAAAATTGGGTTCGAGAAGATAATTAAGGACTATGCGGACGGCGAGGTCAAGCCATGCCTTAAAAGCAGTTCGACTACAAGTTTTGAACAGCTAGCTGCTGCTCAGAACGCGGACGCGAAGAGTGGAAATGCTGGTAGTAAGTCAACAGAATCGACTGAAGCAGCAGCAGCAGCAGCAGCAGCAGCGAAAGATATTCCGGGCTCTACGATCATGATATTCATTTCCCATGGCGCAATTTGTAACGCTTTAATCGGTGCTATGACGCACAAACCCGTTTTGATGGATATGGGAATCGCTAGTATGAGTATGGGTGTCTTGATCCCGTCTTCAACGACCGCGACTACTGCTACTACTACTACATCCTCCGGATCGCAAGTGACAGATGCAGTACCCGTATTCCAACTTCCAGGGTTCGGTGGTATCTCCGCCGAAGAACCAAATGACTCTGAAGACCCCCTCTCATTTTCAACCTCAAGTTCATTTACTCCATACACCGCGCCACCACCCCAGGATACCTCTTCCGCCTCAGGAATCCCACAATACGACGTCAAAATCACCGCTTCAACAGACCATCTCCGTACCCAAGCAGGTTCACAAGTAAAATCCCCACCACAGGGACCAAAACCCGGTCCATCATCATCATCAACTCCGCCACTACGACCTCGAAAACCTAGTATCGGTGGCTCCAGCTTTAGTATGTATAACACGGCAGGGAGGTTGCCGGCACCACTAATTGGTCCCGCTGGGTCAAGTGCTGTAGATTCTAGCGCTTCAGGGGGCGGCGTAGCAGCGGGGGGCAGTGCAACGGGACTTTTTACGGGAGGAAGAGCAATGGGTATGGTGTTTGGTGCGGGGAACGCGTCTGGAAGTGGTGGCGGCGGCCATGCGATCGGTGTTAGGAGAACGGCCAGCGCCGCTGCTGCCACGAGAGGATTGTGGAGTTTACCACCCGCGGCGGAGATGGAAAGGGGAAGTAGCGATGAAGGGGCTGTGTTGACAGATGAAGAAAGTGGGGAAGAGAAGAAAGCGGATGAAGAGATGGGAAAGAAGGAACCAAAAGGTGCTGATGGAGCTGCTGGTGCTAGTGGAAGTGCTAGTGCTAGTGGGAGTGGCACTGGTCCAAAAGTGGAACGGAAGGGAAGTACGGCTAGTACATCTAGTGGCGGGATGAGGGTCGGCGGGATGGGAGGAGGAGGATCATCAAAACCTGGAGGGGGGAAACCAGGGCTATGGAGCTCTGGTGCAAATGCAGATAGAAGAAGACGGTGGACTCTCACCAATCAAAATGATGAGGCGGGAGCATAGTAAAATGCTCATGTATTCCTCACTTCAACATGGGAAGGAAATAAAGAAATAAAGAAAGGAGCAAAAAAAAAAAAAAAAAAGAAAGAAAGTCTGGGTTTATGAAGTTAGTTTTTTCCCTTTTATTGCCTTATCCCTTCTTCTATATATATCGGGGTCGGAGTTTTTCTTTGTTAGCGGTGCATCGACGGCGAAGCGCTTCCTTTTTCCTTTGCTTTGCTACATTCATACGGAAGGGGGTAGCAGGGACGGTGGGACCGTATATAATGCTCGACAACGGTGAGAATGGGTGGGTTTTGCATGGTGTATATACTTAGCCACAGCGATAGCTATATTACATCGGATGCATTGAACAGGCACGCGGTTGTCGAGACTAATTATTATTTCTATCTGTGGCACGCATGTGGCATGGCAATGAAGGTCGAATATATCTAAATAACTATTGGCTACTCAGTGGATAAGTAATTTATGCAAAAAAAAGCTAGGTTTTCGAATTGTTTTAATTTAGCTACTTCTTCCTTTCACGGCTCTGTAAGAAACTAGTCAGGGCCAGGCGGTATAACATGCAAATGTAAAATTGTCGATGATCAAAATCCATATATCTGGCTATTAAACTGGAAGTTCGGAATATTCGGAATTTTTTTGAGTGATGAGATTCGGCGAGCGGTCTTGAGCCTCCTCATACCTACCTAATATATCGAACCTATTAAAAGTAAAGCGAGCATTGCAATCACGCAGGCGAAGTTCCTTTCTTATTGAAAACGTGCTCTCCCTATAGATACATAGCCGACCTGTTTCAAAGCGAAGTACGGGGCCTTGAAGACTTTCGAATGGAAGTGACTCTAAACCGCCAAGAACGTGTTTGAGTATTCGGTTGAAACGGCACAGCATCATAAAGCGCTAACCAGCGTTCATTTGGCACCCGGAATGGGATGAACATTGAATCGAATTCAAACATCACAACGGTTCGCCTGCAGTTTGTCCCATATGTCTTTTAAATCTCCCCCTCAAGAAAATTACCCGAAATCTATAGATTTCCCGATGATAATCAAAAAAAAACATGGTATACCAACTAACCGATTGGGTCGATGTCGAGTTTATATTAACAAGGAGGCCGGTGATTCGCATTTCTCAGACCGAACGGTACGGCCGGGCTGAGTTCAAAAAAAACACCGCCCACTAAATTTCCCGACGTAGCACTCTGCTACTTGGCTCTCGCCTCCTTCCTGCATTGGGACATAGCGAACGTACTACAACCCATTTCTGACAGGTCAGAATACGGGGCCTTGCGTTACATCGTTGTTCAACCCCCCTCCCCCTTCCCTTCCCTTACCCCCATGGAGCCTTGTTTTTATGGGGTCAATTGGTAGGTGAGGGAGAATGGGGTGAGCGAGGAGGGTTTAAAATAGATACGTATTTTTATAGGTGTGAATTGCATTGTAGGTGTATATAGGTTGTAGTGGTTACGTATACTTTGGTCTTGGTATTTCTTATGTTTCGATCGATCTGCTTGGGCTCCCTTTTTTTTTATTTATTTCCTTTGAAGATCTATTTGACGTCGAAAAAAAACTTGGTTTTTTCTTTAGATTTGGTATTTTGGTATTATTATTGGTTTTTATATAGCTAGGACTAGGCGCTTTTTTTCATTCTTATTCGTTCGATTGCATCTTTTCGATTCGAGTCTCTCGTTTTTTTTTAAGATATTGAACTTCGAAGTTTCTTGAAGGATCCATTTTTGTCGATTTTATACAATATCGTTCGTTACTATACTCTCGATACCTGGACCGGTACTATTCTATACATCCGAAGTTTATAACACTACAAATCCGAACAAATATCTACTACATACATTCACTATTATAAGCCTCAAAGTTTAAAAAATGAGGTTCACAACCTCCATCCTACCTACACTATCACTACTACTACTACAAACCACCAAAGCAATCGATCTAGACATCGACTCCTTCCGTATGTCTCCAATACCTCCCTACCCCTCTCGGACTCAAACTCCGAAAATTGAAGGCGTTAAATCACAATTTCATAATATTATAATATTAACACCATATTTTTTTTGCAGCCTCGATAAAAGAAGCAGCAGCACAGGTAGCTAAAGACCTCGCAAGCGAATTTTGGGATCCTACATCGTATTCTGGGGTCCCCAATGGGTTGGGACAATATGTACGTTCATATCAACTATTCCCAGTCTTAGTTTATATATAGCATTGAGGGTGGTGTCGAATGGCTTGCTAATATGTTGATTATTGGTTTAAAGGCTTGGTGGCAGCATGGTGCGATTTTGGGGGCTTATGGTATGTTCCATTTATTAGTAACTGTGTCTGTAAAGAAGTTTCGTGAAAGTATAGTAGAGCTAATGATTTTTTCTTTCTTTTTTTATAGTCGATTATTGGCACTTGACTGGGGATGATACGTATAACAGCAATGTTACTGTCGGTATGTATTATTCTAAAATTCTAAAGCCAGCGTTTGGAATAGACGAATGCTAATGGTAGATTTACACAGGCTGGTTGAAAGGAGTATCACCGAGTTTGGATCTATTACCTAAAGAGCATGCCTTTGATATAGGTAATACATACAATCTTGTAAAAAATAATTGTTCGTGGAGAACTACTTCTAACAAAGATTTAACACAAAATAGGAAACGACGATCAGGGGTTTTGGTCAATAATGAGTATGGATGCTGTCGAGAGGGTGTTTCCCGAAACAGATGAGCAGAAGAAGATGGGAGCTGGGTTTTTGGAGATTACACAGTAAGTTTCTCTTTCAATTAGTACTGATATATATTCCGGGTGGATATGTGATTAACAGTGTATGGGTTAGAACGGTCCATAATACACAAGACGCGAGATGGGATAATACAACCTGCGGCGGAGGTCTACGCTGGCAGATCGTTACTATCAAAGGTGGATATTTTTACAAAAACACCATTTCGAACGGTTTATACTTCCAACAAAGTAAACCCCAACCCCCCTGTAAACCTCGATTAAATATAATATAATATCTTACTTACACTTTTCATATATAGGCGCCCGACTGGCCAAATACACCGGAAACACCAGCTATGCAGACGCAGCCGAAATGTCATACAAATGGATGCGAGAATCAAATCTTATCCAAGATGACTATTGGATCAATGACGGACTCGATGTAAACGAATGTACCAAACTTACGACGAAAAGGTGGACGTATAATTATGGAACCATCATGGCTGGGTGTGCTGCGATGTATAATTTTACAACGGGGAGTAAGAGGGCTTATTGGAAACAAGAACTTGGTAAATATTCATTTCATATTTATTTTTATATCGACGGTGATGATTTTTTTTGGAGAGTTGGGCTTCTAACGGAGTGGGTTTGATATTTAGATAACGTCTTAAACTCAACATACGCAACTTTCATCGACGCCGAAACAGGAGCACTCAAGGAGATTCAATGTCAAGAAAGTAAGACTTGTGATATGGATCAACGTAGTTTTAAAGCTTATCTCGTCAGGTACATACCCCACCCCCACTTATACCCCCCGCAAGCATCCAAATACAATCAACTAACCCAAGAACCACTTCCAGATGGATGGGATACACCGCCCAAGTAGCCCCATACACCTACGACACCATCATGATGCACCTCCGCAAAAACGCCGCACTAGCAGCCGCAACCTGCATCGGCGAACCCCGCGGGACAGCCTGCGGTCAAAAATGGAACGTCGGCGCACAATGGGACGGCTATCACGGTCTAGGCGAACAAATCAACGCCATGGAAGTAATCCAAAACATCATCCCCTACGTCCGACCGAACATCGGTCTTATATTTAACAGTAACAACGGAGGGACATCGAGATCAAACCCTGGCGGGAAAGGAAATACGAAAACGATGAGGAATTGGAGGTTGATTTTGGCGGCGGAGTATGCGAAGCATGCGTTGAGGAACTATGAGATTAAGGCGGCGGATAGGTTTGGAGGTGCGATACTTACGTTGTTGACTTTGGGGCTTTTGGCGGGGATGGTGGTGTTTGTTGTTACTGAGCCTGAGGTGGAGGAGAAGAGTGAGGAGAAGAAGAGTGAGGAGAGGCCTCAGCCTAGGTCTGTCGTGGAGTGATTTTGCCTTTTTGGGGTTTTCCTCCACGGCTGGACCTGGGGATTTATATTATATTATATTATATAACTAGCTGGAATTTGGGAGATCTAGTTTTTTTGAGGTAACGGAAGGAAGGGAAGTTTTTGGATATTTAGATTTATACCCTGTATATAATTTCCTGCATTGTTTAGCGGCTAGTTTTTACTTAACTTGACTATATATAGTTATAGATCAGATCTATAGAATCAACGAACTTTTCTTGATTTATTTTAATATTTTTATGCCCGATCGCTTCGTTCATTTGCAATCGACGCTTCAAGTTCAATAGACTATCCTAGTGCGAGGTTTTACAGATTAATAGAATGAATCATCACCGTCTATTGAGTTAACTACTTACTTGAATAAGTTTGCAGGTGTTTTCAAGCCTGTAGCATCTAGGCCGACTAGCTGGTTGTAATCTCCTTAACTTGTCTCTGTAATTTGTAATTATAACTATTATATACGTAACTCGACTAAGCGGCTCAGCCGAACCGACATCGAGTCGTAAATCTATGGCTACCTAGATCTTTTAACTGACCTGAGTGCTTGTTAAAATCTATATTATTTAATTAGTGGGACTTCCTGTTTGTGTAAGATGCTGTTAACCCTCCGGTCTTATGGTGGGGACCTATGGGGTGTGTCTTATCATTAATTATAAGGCTTTTGTGTTGTAGCTGTTGGAATCTGAAGCGCCCAAAGTTGGCTGACTGCAGCGTCTGGCTTCGACTTTCAGCGAATGACCAATCTCAGTAGGTGGCAGAACCAGACTTTAATATTATCGATTGATAGCGAAATACCTGATCATAAGGATCGAACTTCAAGCTCGGAAACCCGGAAGTAAAAATATGAAATCCAAGAGCCGAAGTACGTTACGAAGTACGAAGATCAAGTTTAAAAAACTGTCAACCCAAACCCGCGCGCGGCAGGGCCATGACAGTTCAGTATACAGGGATACGAGGTTTATAGTGCTTACGTTACAAGCATGAAACCTTTCAAGCTTCCAACATGGTAAAAGTGAGTAAGGAAGTACAACCCGTGTATGACAGACACAAGTCCGTCCGATATGCCGAACCATCTGCAGCCTAGTTGGTTGGCTTATGCTGTGTATCTTCGGAGCTCAGGGCTCAAAGGAAAGTATTAATATTTTGTTCATTTTTTTTATTGAAAAGGTAGGCTATTCTTTCCTTAGGAGATAAAGCGTTCGTACGGGAGGAAAATGGTATGATCTTTCTCCGGGTTGGAATATATATATTGTACATAGAGTGTGAAGTAAGCATGCGGTCTGGTATGCAATGCACGTCGGACGGCGGGAGTAAGCAAACGATTGTTTTGGAATTGGAATTGGAACTGGAAAAGAGACAGAACTGATAGGAATTGTACGGGTAATCTTTCTGCACAGGTAATTCTTGCCATTTTTATTCAATTAATTCTGATATGTAAGTATCTAAGTATTTAGGTATGTAGATAAAATCCTCACAAGGTTCCGACAATTAATAGGTATTGATCCAGAATACCAGAAGCCATGGCGCCAGTTACCAAGAATCAAAAATTGGAATTCCACGAGGGCTAAGGTACGAGGCTTACAAAAAAAGTTCCCGAGCTTTTGTTTCTCGGAAATGCAAGAATACGCGAATTTGATTTTAAATCTGACCAATTCCTTCGGCTCCACTTTATCGTAGCCTGTTTCTTCTCCTCCAATCCATGCGCATGGCTACGGTTTTACATTCACTACAAGTATTTTGTCACAATCGATAGGCCAAAAAAAAAAAAAAGCTATGGTTAAAGCTTCGGATTTCTGCGAGCTTATTCGCAGGTTTTCTCTTTCAAAGATATGGAATAACTACAAAAGAAAGAAAACTCAGCCCCATTGATCCCCCAGGATCGTGTGAGAGTGTGTGCCCCACTTCTGCCGAGAGTAAATTTGGAATAAAAGTCCAAGTTGCCCTCAGCCGCAGGTAATGTATTTGACATCGTTAAACCCTGACCTTTCCGTTTTCTGGCAAGTATTTTTGGCAAACGGGTTTTTTTGCTGGCTGGCAGGGGTAGCTACCTACCCGGACCAAGCTTGCTTTACATAGCTTTCTTAGCTGCTACGCCCGCCTTTTTTTCTCTTTTCTGACGACAAATAATTGAAGCTTCAGAGATAAAATAAGTAAGAGGAATGCAAAAAGATGAGAAGGGATCTGAATGGGTTTATGAGCTCTCTTACAGGACATGCCGGATCGTCGGCATTTATCGTCTTGTACTCGATAATTCTTGCCTGTCTGAGGGGCTTTGAACCCTTTGATATCTAAGCCAAAAGGGCTGTATACATGTGCGACCCTTCTAGACCACGTCCTTCACTCTATGTACGATTGATTAATTGTAATAATATAATTGACAGGAGAAGAGGAAGCAATTGGCGATGATTAATGTGAATTCTTTCGCATTTGATATTGTATTTGCGATTTGACAAAGTATTACACACATGAGAACCCCTGGTTCTTACTATCAATAATACGGGTTCCCGAAGGCTTGGTCTGTGTGTGATGGGAACAAAACTATGTAAAGGCGTTTTGAATTCGAGATTGCATAGATCGAGTGGTCTGATTTGCCCACCATTTTTTCAATATTCCTTTCATGCTCTTTCCTAACTTCCCCTTCAGATCTTACAATTCTTTTTTTTTTCTATTTTATTTTATTTTATTTTATTTTCTTCTTGTGGGGTGCTGAAGATTTACCAGGATTTCAAGTAAGTTTTGGGGAAATACTTCTTAGTTTAGTTTTTACAGGGATGCGAGCTTAGCTGCGACCATTCGCCCTCAGCCCTCTTTTTCCCTCCCCTCCACCACCACCACCCTCGTCGAGTCGACCCTCGCGCGGGAGCATAGTCAGTGAGCGAGCGAGTGAGTGAGGCTAGACATGCATACAAGTGTAGAGTAGATATACCTCCAACTTTATCCTCATCTCTTCAGCTTCTTCCTTTTTCGTTTTCTCTTCTTTTTCCCCTTCATTCTTCAACAAAGCAGATATTCCTTATAAAGGTCAAGGCTTGGCCCCCCTCTCGGCGTCCTGGTTTTTTTCTTTCCTTTCCTTTCCTTCAAATATCCTTATTTTATTTTAATTCGGTGTTCCATTTTCACGAGTTTCCTTTTTTTTACTATATATACCATAGCAGCTGTAGGTTTTTTTCTTCTTCTTTGGTGGTCGGAAGCTACTAGCTTGGTTCGTTGTGCTGACGGATTATATATTTCAGCCGCATTCGCATATACGAAAAAGGACCACCACCGCCCACCACAAAAGCATATGAGGATCACAGATTCGAATAATTTTATAAATTTACAATAGAGAATTAAAAGAATATCTTGAAAAGTAAAGAAGATAAAGAGAAGAGAAGAGAACAAGAAGAGAGAGTTAAACAGCCCTCCCAGCTGTCCTTGGGACCCACACAACCAAAATGTCTGCCAACGACACAAACATCTACTACGGCATCCGCCTCGGAGGCCTCTTCGACATCGTATACTACGATTTCCGTGACGACAACCAAACCATCGAATCCGTCTTCGAAACCCTGAACAATGCACACACAGGTTTCTTCTACGCCTACTTCTGCATCGTCTTAATAGTCGCCGCGGCAATCCATTTCTTTCGGAAAAGATACGTAAAATCGCGACCATTACGTTTAAAACTACAAAACTTCTCGAACCGGGGTCGGGCTGTTAGAAGTTTCTTTTTGAAGCAAGGATGGTTCGGATTACCCACGAGAGCGCATACGGTTATTGTTATCTGTTATGTGATTTTGAACATTTGGGTTTGTTTGTTCAGTTCCAAGCCGACTTTGCAGTTGATTCAACTTGCTAGAAAGGCTGGGTGGTTTAGTGTCGTTAATGGTACTCTATTGGTGTTTTTGGCGATGAAGAATACGCCGTTGAGTTATTTGACCGGGATGAGTTATGAGAAATTGAATGTTTTCCATAGATGGTATGTACTATTCTCCTGCTCCTTCTCTCCTCCTCGTACCCCCCCTTTGATAATATAAAGTATTCTAATGGAGATGTATATAAAACAGGGTCGCAATCACTGCTCTAATCCAAGGCGGTGTCCACACCATCGCAGTAGCAGTCGGTCTCTCCCGCTTGATCCCCTCTCAAGTCGGCTTTTTGCTCGTCCCCGCAAACGTCTGGGGTATCATCACACTAGCCCTCTGGATGATCATCCTCGCCTCCTTCTATCTCCTAAAAGTCATCCGCTACGAAGTCTTCTACGTTCTCCATCTCGTCCTCTTCCCTCTCACATTCATAGCCTGCATCCTTCACAACCGTCATTCGTACGGTCCCATCGGTGCAGCGTTCATCCTCTATTTCATCGATAGAGCAATCCGTTATAACCGTGTATTCTGGCATAACAGGTATTCGGATAAACTTAAGGCCAAGGTACAACTTACCCAAGACGGGATGACGATTGTTAAAGTTCCCCGAGGAAATTTGATGTGGAGACCGGGTACACATGCTTTCTTATGTATGCCCGGTATTAGATACTTCGAATCTCACCCGTTTACCATTGCTAGTGTGGGTGATGATATCGATACCGAAGGTGGCAAGAAAACCGTGGATTTCATTATCAAGCCGGAAGATGGATTTACAAAGGCTATGAACTGGGAAGCTAGGAAACTAGCAGAGAATAAAACCACCGAAACTCGTGAACTAAGGGCCATCCTTGACGGTCCATACGGTGCTCTTCCAAACTTCAACGTTTACGATAACCTCCTCCTCTACGCTTCCGGATCAGGTATAACATTCATCCTCCCCATCGCCCTATCAGCCGTTCGAAAAGCAAGAGTCCGCCATCTAGAATTCATCTGGTCTACTAAAAAATCAATGTCCTACGAAAACATCCGTCCCCAACTCGAAGAACTAGCAAGAGGCGGTCACGGTCCAAACGGTCAATCAACATACGTAGTCATCCGACTCCACGAAACCGACCCGGACAAGAAACGCGCCGGAAGGTTCACCATGTCTCGAATGCGAACAATGATGGTTGCAGGTCCCACCGCTCGTTTCCGTCGTGGTCGTTCCACAGACCGTGGCGCCGCAGGAGCAGCAGGAGGCGAAGATGAATCATCAACCCTCATCTCTGGCCGAGAATCATCCGATACCCCTCCCGTCCCCGCTATTCCACAAGCACTACAATCCCGTACCGGTCACGCAAGATCCTATTCAGGTGATATCATGCCCTCATCAAGTTACGGCGCAACTTCTGAATCCGACCCCTCTGGTCCTCCATCACAACCCCGAGGAGGCGTATCAATGGCAAAACGTCAATCCGGATATTTCAAAGCACCTACATCAGACGACCACACCATCCTCGAAGAAGAAGACTATGCAGCCCATCCACGTCGTTCATCTGATATCTTCGCTGGAATGTCCGACGATGATCCGGATCCGGATGATAGCGCCGATGAACGTACTTTGTCCGGTCGTAGGGGTATTGATGATTACTCTGACGACGACAGCGATCCGGATAATGAGAAGTCCAGAGCGTTGACCGGTGGTGCTCATCAGGATGTTAGAGATGCTCTTGATAAGTTTATTTACGAAGGAAGACCGGATATGAAGGAAATCATTGCAAACTTTGTGGGTAGTTGTGGTCCGGATGAGACTTGTGCTGTTGCCGCTTGTGGACCTGGAAGTGATAAGGTTAGGTTGCAGGCTTCTAAGGCTATTAAGAAGGGAGGTCCTAGTGTTAGCTTGTTCGTGGAGGAGTTTGGATGGTAGTTTTTTATCATTCGTGTTTTTTTTCATCTCACCCTTCCTCTCTTTCTTTCGTTTTATAGCTTGTATGGCATATACAGTATGGAGTTTATATGTTCTCCCTTTTTTTTGTTTTTCTGTTTTTTTTTTTTCATGAAGTGATGGCTTCTCTTCTTTTTATAGGGATTATATTATACCTCTTTCGTTTTCATTTTTTTGTCTTGCTGGTATATACAAATGGAATTCAAAATTTACCATCATCATCATCATCATCATCACCATCTTTTATTCACTTCGTTAGATATAATTTAAAACGATGAAGAACTTCGATGAATGAATCTCAAATCCACCCATCTGTTAATATAAATCATCAAGTGCAGTGACCCATCTATCGCTCATATACTACATAAAAAATCCATAACTTAAAAACAAAAAAGTAAAATCCAAAAACTCCACCTAAATGTATCCCCCCATCCCTAAAAGCCAAAAAAAGGAGACCGACTACTCATCCTTCCTCTCCCCACCACCTCCACTTCCAACGCTACCCCCACCACTACCACCACCACCACCAAGTAAATACCCCCCATTAACACTAAAACTTCCATGCCTAGGTGTCGCAAGTCCCATATTATTACTCTGACTGATCCCACACCAACATCCACTAATCCCTCCCTCGATAACCTTCTCAACTTGCACCAATACCTTCCCCATTCTTTTCCCCAAATGTTGTTTTACTTTTTCTCGAATAGTATTTTCATCGGTTCCTTTATCAACGGCGATGTGGATTACTCCTAGGATATTACTCGAGTCGCAACCATGGCCGTGATCGTGTCCGTGAGAATGATCGTGGCTATGAGAATGGTCATGATCGTGTCCATGTCCATGTCCGTGGTGATCATGGTCGTGATCGTGTTCATGGTGGTGGTCGTGATCATGTTTCCCCTTCTCCTCTTCAGCTGGTGAATCTCCTAACCAAAACTTCCCTTTATACCCAACCACCCCTCCGAACCCACTTAATCCACTCAACTTATCCCTCAACTCAAACTCCACATCTTCAGGTACCGCGAGTAATAACCTCTGCGCACTACTAAACACCAAGGGGAAAGCAGTTGCACCAATCAACACTGCGATCAATACTGATGCGATGGGGTCAAAGAATGTATATCCCGTGTATTTGACTAATAACGTCGAGACAGTAACAGACAGAGACCCCAAAGCGTCGGCAAGAATATGAAGGAAGATGCCTTGAAGGTTTTCGTTCTAATATTTCATCAACAATTAGTTTCCTCCATTGTTCTTAATCTAATCACCCAAAGGACGGCAAAAAAACTTACGTGATGATCATGCGAATGTCCGTGAGAATGTCCATGATGCGCATGTCCGTGATCGAATGCCATGATACCCACAAGATTGACGACCAATCCCGCAGCACTAACAACCAACAACTCATCCAATCTTTCAAGTTCTCCATCACTACCCCAAAGTCGCTGGAAAGCTTCGAATATGATTTCAAGACTGATCAAAAATAACAATATACCGTTCGCAAACCCTGCCAATGTCTCAATCTTCCCGAGGCCATAAGGAAACGTAGTTGATGGTGGCCATTTAGACATCACAGCAGCTGCGAGACCGACGGCTAACGCTAAACAATCGAGAAGCATGTGAATACTATCCGATAGAAGACCGAGAGAACCAGTAAGAAAGCCGTAAAGTGTTTGCACAAGCATGAAGCAGAAGTTTAGCCTAGAATATTCAGATTAGTCCATAATCAATAATTTTTGTGTATAGGAAAAGGGTAACATACAGCATAAAGTAAAAGATCTTCCTAGAGTCCGGATCCGATAATATGGCATTGACAATAGGCCAGTTCCTACTCGCGGACAAGAGCCGTTCGGTAATCCTCCCGGGTTTTTTCCCTTTATGCGAATGCGAATGTTTTTGGGAGTTTACGTAGAGTACCCCGGCAATTGAAGCTACGATAGCAGCTTCGAGAAAGCCCCGACGAATCAACCATTCTTCTTCGATCCAACCACCGAGGAAGGCTGCTACAATCCCATAGATCGCTGCTGTAGGTTGGATACCCATATCGCTTCCAAGACCCGTATAGGCGACACCGGCGGCGATAATTGCAATAAGATACCATCCTGGGCTGGTGAAACCTAGTGTATAGGTACTGAACAGGAACGGAAGGGCGAGAACGGGGACGCATAGCATGATCGCAGCGATTACGGTAGTCGACAATTCAGATCGTTTGGTGATTGAGGCGGTGTTCTTGGATGGGATAGGTGGTGGGAAGGCGAATAAACTGAAAGAAAGGGCGACGTATCCAATAAACGTGGACTTCATATCCGCTACATCGCCAATTGCGAAAAGGTCGAGGAAGGCGATAGAAGTGAAAGTGGTGAGGAAGACCCATTTTTTTGTCAACAAATCCTTAATTTCGTCAAAAGTGAAGGAAGGTAGCTTTGCTCCAAATCCACTGGATAAACCTGATGCGCAAGCGGCAAGCAGTAGAGCGGCGGCGCGCGAACCGCCAAGTTCAAAGGCAGCTAGGAAGGGGAGCATGACACCAAGGGCCCGTCGGAGAGCAAGATTCTGCGATTGTCGACTGAAGAAAGGTGGTGCTATCTCGGCCTTGCCTTTGCTGAGACTATTCTTAGTATCCTCAGCGGGCTTCTTGTCCCCACCGCCTGTGACGATTCCGATGAGTATGGATACGAGAAGGGAACCGGAAGATAGGGCGCATGCTGCAAGGAAACGGGAGGTCGTCTCTGGGTGGTCGATGATCAGAGCATCCTTTTTCAACGAATGCGTCTCGGCCTCTAAGGGCTCGGGTTCAGATAAAGCATGTTGGTGTGGATGCGACAGAAAGGTGGAAGCCGAAGAGAATGCCAATGAAGCGGATAGAAGGGTGAGTGTGACGAGGAAGGGGGGTAGGAGGAGTTTTTGCAGAGGTGCACTATAAAAGATTAGCTTGATTCAATCTAGCGAAGTATATGGTGTATACATACTGCGTATGTTCGTGGCTGTGGTCGTGATCGTGATCATGGTCGTGTAGATGAGAATGAGAGTGGGAATGTCCTGACGGCGAGTGCGTATGGTTAATCGATGGGGAGTGGTCATGTCCATGCCCATGCCCATGTCCACCGCCACACGACGGCGAATGCGAGTGTCCGACAGAAGGCGAGTGAGCGTGGCCTCCGCAAGACGGTGAAGGAGAGTGTGAGTGTGAATGCGAATGCGAGTGGGAATGTGAGTGACTATGTCCGTGACTATGAGTATGGCTATGCCCATGACTATGGCTATGGCTGTGACTGTGACTATGCCCATAAACCAGCGATATCAACCCCTGACTACCTCTAGAATCCGGCCTCGGTGCATCACCAGTTCCATTGACCGTCGTAGTACTAGCAGCAGCAGAAGCCGAAACGCCGCCCGGCGAGTAAACAAAACTCCTACTCAACGAATTATTACTAAATCTTCGAGAATGCCTGCGTAGCGACGCCGGATGTTCATGGACGTGGTCTTCATCGGTATGATCGTGAGCGACACCTTCAGAGACGGCAGGAAACCGGAAGTTCGTGATAATTGGGGCGAGACTTTCGGTAGAATTAGTCTGTCGGTGGGTATGGGACTGAGAGTGGGATTCATTGGAGCCAATTGAAGATTGGCTGTCTCGTCGCGGAACGCCATTTGTGGCTGATGTGGTGGGGAGGGCGTATGAGGACATGACGTCGGATGGTTAAAAAGGGGATGATACCAAACTCGACTCAGGTGAGGAAGTGAGAGTCGAAAGATAGATCAGTCAGAAGAAGAGAAGCAGGCGATTCCGATGGAAGATATCAGAAGGCTTCTAGACGATGTGGTTGAGGGTTATATAGATTTGAAGTTGTCGAGGCCGTGGTCGACAAGACACGCTGCGGGAGGCGTGTGCGTGGGAGCCGGAAGGAGGTTTGAGGTTCAAACCACTTGAGCCAGATTGTTTGCTATAAGTATATTGAATACAGCATGGCCTCTACTGACTAATCCCCAATCCAGTCAGTATGCAGCCAAGATAGTGAATGTGGGAATAAGAAGTGGGAATCCAGAAAGTGGTGAAGTCTCGGATGTTGCATATGCTATAGATGGAGATACCTAATATCAGGGGCAAGACGGCGACGCATGCACGTCGAGTCGCAGGTTCTCCACTTGCCGCTTTCGACCAGATCCAACCTGTGTTCGACCTGTTTGCCTGCTGCTTTGGGTATAGTGGGCATGGCATATTGGATATGTTCCAACGTTCCGTTCCGAGTTCCATTCCAGAACATTTCCTTCCCATTATAATCCATAGAAGAAATATTTGAGGCTGTAAATTAGCAATTATAGCTGTTAACAAGTAGTTTAATTGAGGTTTTCAAGATGATAATTTGAATGTTGAATCGATACGTTACAAGACTCTTCGTGACTTGTGTCGACAACGCAGAAAATACCACGCAACACATAATATCTACCAACTGACGTTCGTCTGCCAATTAACAAGCTCATTTGCTACCCTTCGAGTTTATGCTGATTCTTATTGGTTAGGAGACTCTATTCCCCCAATTGATTTGTTTATACTTCCTTTATCGATTATGGATGATACAATTTCAATATACCTAGCTAGCCGGTCAGCCAATTCAGTTACCAGTTCACATGACAAACGATAAATAACTACAATTTACAAATAAGATATCGTAAAGCGTATACGCGTATAACGAAACGAACATATCATCTAAACCATTCTGATATATCTTATTATCTGTTCGTATTTCTAAGCCGAATCCGCAACCGGCGTTTGTGGCTTGTACTTGTAATACACAGTATTCAATTCATCTTCAACCCCGCCTAGACCTCCTCAGTATCTATTACCTAATACCCTTGGCGTTGGAAAATCTTTCACAGGCCAATTCGTACAATCTTCGTACAATCCATAACCTTCTCGTCGATTGAATACGAAGTTTCCATATTTCTCCGAATCTCCGCTGCTTCTCACGAATTTGGCTTGAAGTTGTATCGTTATGACTAATATTAGACGTGGAGGATAATAACCGGTAAAGGCCCGACTACGGTGGTGGGTTAAGCGAAGACCCACTTTTAGGTTTACTCGGAGAGGGTGCGAACCTATGGCAGCGAGGGAGTTTTAACCTGTAGGGGTACTAGCGGGTGGATTCCATGAAAAATATACATCTGACTGAGGAGCTCGCGATCGAGCTGGAGGAATATGTTCTAGTATGTTGTAACTTGGGATGGAAATTTCTTATGTCGCTGTGATCGATGTTGACAATGACCTTAATCTCGAATCACTACGAGGCTTCTTATCTCTATTTTCTTTATCAAGGTCTATCGGAATATTCATGTAGTTATTTCATCTATTGGTAGTATGAGAATTAAGTAGCCAGGTAGCTGATTATGATGGATCAGGCTAATATCATCATGAGTGAAATTTATGTATTGATTTCCAAAACTATCTAAATCAAAATTCCAAGATATTACAATTTACGAGCTCTCCTTCGCCTTCCTCTTCGCCTCGTCACAAATCTCCCCCCTCTCCCTCACACACTGCGAAATCGCAACTCCAATCTCCGTCCCAAGATTCTTAAACCCCTCCGCAACACCATTTCTATCCCCTACGCTCATTTCCTGACTCATCTTCCATTTGCCTCCAATCCTTTCAATCTCAATTTCAACCCCAATAACTCCCTTCTTCATGATCTCCAAATACCTCTCCGGCGCATCTTCAATTTCCCATGGTCCGTTAGTCGTGCCCTTTTCACCTGTATACCCCATTATTTCCGTTTCACAAAGGGTAGAAAGATCTTTCATCTGTTGACCCAGGTATTCTGAAGTTGCCGCCGAGCCGGAAGAATGGTAGATGCGTGCTTTTCCATAGGCTTGAACAGCGGAGTAATTCCACGTTGGGACTACCTTCGCCGTTGCTGGTTTCGTCTCAACATAGAACTTTGGAGTAACGTAGTGATGATGCGGTCCATTGAATAGAACCAGAACTTCTTGCTCTAATAAACCATCGCCTCCACCGGTAACTTCGTCCCCGGTGTTTGTAGAAGACGAAGAAGATTGTAAAGCTTCGATTATGGCTTTCGCCTGAGGATTCTGACGGGCCATGTGTCCTCGTAGACGGCCTTTAACTGGTGCGTCTGGATCATCGGAGATGATGTCTAAGACCCAGGGGACATGACTGGACTGTAGAAGTGGGTGAGAAGCTGAAGGGATTGCGGTTGTGAAGATACCAAGCGGGTTCTGGTGGATAAAGTTCAACAGAGGTTTTATCTGTTCTTCGGCGTGGACTCCGCGAATATACATTTTTTCTTTTTTTCTGTAAGTATAGTTAACCCGAAAATTGGGTTTATAGTAAAAAAATATGTAGAGTAGTATAGAGTAGAATTTGATGCTGTCAATTGAAAGAATTGATATTGAACTGATGGTGTTTTCTCGAATGGAGTTGAGATGTTGTATTTTTTTGTACCGACGACTCGGAACCTTAAATACCTTTTTCTAAAGACACAAGACTAGCCAGTCTAATCGCACCGTTTTGTAAGCGACAATCCTTCACCGGATGACAACCGAAACGTCCAAACAAAAAACTAAAAAAAAAACTACCCGGCTCGAGTCTCAAAGCGTCGGTAATACTAGCTAGCCACAAAATAACTCTAGTACAACCTTGAACGGTGCTTTTCATTACTAATGATAGTGGGTATTTGAGTTTGAGTCATGCCCTTGTTCCGCAGAAAAAGGTACTCCCGCCGTCATAATATACAACGGGGATAGGGATAAAATAATAATCCCTGGCCTGGAAGTCTAGTTGGAAGCTAGTAGTGCTACAGAATCCAAAACCGGCTCGTCGTTATTTCGGACGAATTCGAGTAGACGCTAGGAACGTTATAGGTCTAAACTAAAATTTGGAAATACGACACGATATTCCTTTCGAAAGCGTAATCTTACGTAAAAACGAAGCGTCAAAACCCGAGTAAGCACCAAAGTCCAAAAAAATACAGGCGACAAAAAGTTGAATGGCTTGAAACATGGGATCATGGTAAGCTGCATTGCATCGCTTGACCTGGAACCCTAACCCGAAATCAAATATGCTGACGAAGTGAATTCTTGAGTAACAGATATATCCGGCCAACACAAAAAAAAAAAGAAAGAAAAAAGCGGTCCTGCCGTCAATCGAGGAGGAGACTACAGTTTCAAGGCTTGGTACAATATATTTCATAGTGGTGTTTCGGGTGGGCCGAGCTTCGTTCTTTTTCATGGCGGCGCTATTGCTAACGATTTATTAACTCATGAATCTATTATATAAAGGCCCTCTTCTTTATATCACAAAATCGTTTCCTCCTCACCTAGGTTAGCTACGTTAGACAACGTATATATATATTATATTCTGATACCTGTATGCCAATGATGATAAATAGCAAGAATTTTCTGAAAACCCCGAGAAACTGCAACCTATGAGCTCTCCGTGATGGTGGTATTCTCAGATATACTACCAGGAATCCTAAATCTTGATTTTAGAGAGAGGTCGATATGATAAGTTTGAAAAATCACTTTGATATTATACTATTGACTGATGTAAAAGAACGAAAGCTTCAGTAGTGAACGAGAGATATAACTAAACTAATGACACAGTGAAGGAAACTAGGAAATATGATAAGCAGAGCTAAAGAATGACTTGGCTGGAGGGTTTTGCACGAGCACCCGAACATGATATTAGGGCGTCATATCTCCCCTCTAGCTCTGCTTAATAGCGTGAACATCAGAACATAAGTTAAAAATTATGATCATAAAGAGAAATAATAGCAGCCTTCATCAGCTAAGTGACCAACGTGTCGGAAGAAATGTTGTTCCAAATTTTCCAATCTTGACGCAGAGTTACCAACCCAATGTGGGTTATACAGCATTTTCCAATGGCTGTGACTATCTCTCGAACCCTTCCCTCTGTTAGATAAATTTTCTTGTTTTCTCCGCCTGGAATTCCGTCTGGATCCTTGATTGCGTCTTCGAAGGTTTAGAGTCAACTATCGTTCATTTTTTCACGACCTTCTTTTTTCGAGGCCGGGGGGTTTTCGGCTTCCGCGGCTTGATCAACCTGCTCCCTCGGGTATCACCGAATATATCTATAATGTCTTCTTTCCGTAGGTAGTATGTAATCTGACCCGCATTGAGCGGGGGAGTATCGACGATATCGCGGGTCTCTTTCGCTCTCTGGAAATAGTTTAATCTGAGATGATGATGTATTTCGTCCATCACCGTTTTCATATCCATTTTGGTAGATTTATTTAAAACCTCCCGTAAGTCTTTCTCCCACAATGATTTTTTGTTTGCGTAGTTAAGAACCAGTTTGTCGCCGGTGTGTTTTGACACCAAATCGTTCACAACATCCTCTGTGTAATCATAAACTATTTTAAAAAGCTTATATTCTTTTGAGTCAGGTATATCGACGTCAGCTAACGCCGGTAGAATTTGGCTTTTCTTTATTCGGCTTTTAACCCCACCCTTTCGTTGCTTATTGTTCCCAGGGGCTACGTCGTCATCCTCATCTTCGCTGTCCGATTCTGAGTAAGAAGACGGTTCTTGGGATGCAATTTCTTCAGTCGGCATTATATTGCCTGTTTCATCCATAATATCGATTTCGGCTTCGACACTGTTGTTAAATGTAAATCTGACTAGGTAGTAAGGCAGTTCGTGAAGTCCGACCTTCTGCCCGGAAAGAGTACCCCAGGTTGTCGTTGATGTATCTTGTATCTGCTCACGATATTCTTGGATGATATCACGAAAATCTAAAATGCTGGACCAACTGGGTTCTTCTCCCGTGTAATTCTTTTGGTTATAGAACTTATTTAGTTGTTTCATCTATGTTCAGAGGGTTAGTAGAAGCTTTTGACGTATTGTTGCGTTACGACAAATACTTACGACGTCATTTTGTTGCCGTTCAACCTCAGCGATAGCTTCTAACCAGGTCGGTGGATCTTTGGCACCACAGAACTAAAATACCCAGGCTTCGGTTAGTTGCTAACTACATAGCATTCTGTAGATCTGGTTATTTCTTCGATCTCAAATGAAGACCATACCTTCTGGTAATGACTCTTGAATTCATCATATGCTTGGGCGTACTGTTCATTTGACCCTAACACCTCATCGTGTAGTTCTGCCTGTGCACCTAATAATGTAACAAGAGCTTTCTTCTCAAACATCATGTTGCGTGCTCGAAGGTGAATGGTCTCCAAAGCCTCGAAATGGCCTAAATTGACATCCTTCCCGCTAGGTGGTTTCAACATCCAATACGGTGACCGTGTTGTGTGTAGAACCGGGCGAATCCCTGTCTCAAATCTGCAACAGGACAATAGCGTGATGACATCATACGCTTTGGAATTGGAATTAGCACAATTGCATTTAAAGATCAGAAACTGTGGCTTGTTTTCGTATGGGGATCGATTGAGGGTCTGGATCTGGAACTTACTTGGGTGCCCATATTGGTTCCCTGGAGTTACCAAGATATTTCGAGGTTGGAGCTGACGGACGACTTCAAGGCCCTGTTCATCTTTCTTTTTAAGGTTAGAATTCAGGGCATCTTGATTTTTAGGCCAGACGTCGCGAAGGGAGGCATCTTTGGGGAGGCCCTGTGTATTGGTTTTTTGGATATTCTCCTTGCTAGAACCATGATGGTCTAACTTAAAGGTGTTCACAGGAAGCTTTTCGTACGCGCCGAGCAAAGGAATTATTGCCTCTAATTCGGCTTTAGGATTCCCGTCACCCCCCGTAAAGTATGCTCCTGCCTTGTGTTGCGGCCAGTGTAAGAGACTTAAAATCGAAGTCTCATTTTTTGATATCGTAGAGTCCTCCATGAAGGTAAGTTCGTTGACCGTGACCTTTGCCTTTATGTTAGGTCGAATCAGTGTATAGCCTCCGGCACCAAGCACCGTAAAATGAGGTGCATTATTGAAATAAGCGTCATCAGCTGCTTTATGTACATGTATAGTTTTGTTAGTTCCCGCCAGAAGCTTCACGCCAGGTGAGCAGTCTTCGTCTGGGGGCCAGAATCTTCCTGTGAACAAGTCTCGGCGCAATAAGCTACTTCCAGGTATTACATCCCGGAATTGGCAGAGATTGACCACGTTGCAGATTTTTTCAACTACCTTTTCACTGTTCAAATGATCGTATTTCGCGCCACAATATAAATCTGGCTCTTTACAAAAGTACGCATTTCGGAACGTTGTATAGTCTTGTGGCTTTGGTTGGGCCCCCTTTTCAATTTTCTTTCTGCAAATACCTTTCGTATTAGACTCTAGGAGAGTAAGGACACCTTCATAGTGGTCTTCATCCCAATGGGTTACTACCCATTTGTTGAAAGTCCAATCGGTACCATATTCCTTATCAATTATACTGAGTGTATTTAAGATGGGGACCATAGGGTCAATGCCATCGGCCTTCTTGCCTCCATCCATGATGAAAGCTCGTCTAATCGTTTTGCCCTCGACAAGAAGGTGGATAGAGCAGTCCCCCAGGGGAACTGGGATTTGCCAATTGTCCACTTTCCAAATTTTCTAATATAAGTTTAAACCACGGTTATTTTTCCCTTTTCTATTCTTCCTTTTGGGGCTGGCAATAACACGAGAACTTACTTCGGACTCCATGTTTCCGTCCATCGCTTATTCAACTACGAAAGCTTCGATTTATAATATATAGGTCAGAGTTTTGATTTCTTGGGATATCCGGCTTTGGTCTTAGTGATAATGAACAAGAAGGCCCCTAAGTAGTGGCCCTGTCCCCTTTTATATTCGGGTCAAGAGGTTCTTCCCCATATTATTTCAATATCGTCGGGAAGACTCCGTCCGGTTATCCCGCGAATTCTCAAAAGCAACTTGGTATTGCATAAGACATGAAGCCTAAAGCTCATGGTACAGGAAGTACCGGTACTTTGATTTAAAGGGTGTCATAGCGGTATCTCATAAAGAACAATATGGATTCCAAGCTAGCTTTCATCATGGTATATCATGGTATACGTATATCTACATATACAACCTATCTATCGATATTTGCATACCGCCACCTAAGTTTCAAATTATGCATCGCAATCGCAATCACACGGGCCGGGCGGCTGCAATGTATTCTAATCAGAAGAAAATGGGGAAATCTATTCCGTTTTGCAGTTTTACGTATTTCATGAATTTAGCGCTACGGCTGTGCATGTGTAACCATCTCGGGGCAGCTCTAGCTCCAAGACTATAAGCCATCTAGAGGAGCTAAGTGCGCATGCCGATATATCACGACCGGAAAAAAAAGAGCGCATTTGTAAGGACTCGGCGTAATCTGATTCGCTGTTTATTGTCCTGAAGCCGCTATCCGTTCTTATCGCGACGTTCAGCCGTGCTAAGTGGCGCCATGGCGTTATTCCTGAGTGCGAAATTACGCCAAAATGCCACCATCTTCAGCTCCGTATGTATGTATATTGAAGGAGTATGTGTTGAGTGGAATACCCTGGACCGGATGTGATGGAGTACCAGTTAACGTTAGTGCAAAATTGTTTATCATTGAGGAGGAAAAGATGACGAATGACGATATACCCCCTTCCACGAGCAGTGAGGTAATTATTCATCCCTCCTCTAATTGACTTGTCAACTCGAGTTATAAAAGAAGATATAAGTAGAAGGATGCATATGCATGGTCGTCAAAAGGGCCAGATCAGGACGCTAGTGATGTGATATAATGTGTTGATGTGTTGGTCATGTGATGTAGATCACATGACATTTGTGTTATTATTCAATCAACACATGAGAGACCAGGAAAGGAAGAGTTTCTTCCTTCTCCATCGGCCATCTCATCATCGATATCATCATCCCATCTTAATCTTTCTTTTAGCATGTAGTTACTCTCTTACAACACCATAAACCCATCAACGGCACCATTGTAACCTCCCTGATCGAAAAATTCTAATATTCTAGTTCGAATTCCCTCCCTCATCTCATCGCCGTAAATCAATGCGAGTTCGTCAGTCCCTCTACAATATATCTGCGTGCGGCTAATTATAACCAAGCCTCAAAATTTGAGTTGTAAATCACTGGTAATACGCAAAGACCCACAAAGCGGGACCACAAAGTACCTGCTTTTTAGAACATCATCGCCGCGCTTATGTCTCAAATAGAAATTCTCAATCAAGAAGTCGACGTCGGCAATGAGCAATCTAGCTATTACAGGATGCTTGATGGAAGAAAATACTTCAGATACATCACTATTGACCCAGGTACTCTCGATGAGGAGGATTTAGCCTTTCCTCCAGCGCTTCTCCAAAAACTTCCGGCATTCCCGACAGGTGACTGGAATTGCGGCCGTATCGCTCGGGCAGAGAATGGCGTTCCGTACTTTGTTGAAACTAATAAGCAAAAGCTGCCCTCAATTAATTATATCTGGCATGAGAAGTCTTTTGACTATCTCTCGCTGCAGATCAAACAGAGGTTTAGTGCAAACGTCCATCTTGCTACCACCCCACACCCCGAAAATCGGGACGTTGTTGCCAAATTCGCCAGGTTCCCCTGGGAGGTCGAATACTACGCTCTTGAGACTAGGTGGTACGAACGGATCAAAGGGCACGGTATCGGACCTGAGTCCTCGGGTATTTGACGGAGGACGGCCGTGTGATAGGGTTCTTGATGGAGAAACTTGACGGTCGACACGCAACTATCGAAGATCTATCTGCCTGCGAGGAAGTTGTTCGGAGATTACACGCGCTCGGGATTGTGCATGGCGATTTGAATAAATATAACTTTCTCGTAACTGGAAGAAGTGCACGGATTATCGATTTTGAGACTGCAGAACTATCGAGCGATCGGCACGGGGTGGATAAAGAGGTTCAGACTCTTGAAGAAGGGTTGTTAGATGGGTCTGGCAGGGGAGGAACGTCTATAATTTAACAAGGGACGCCTTTTTCTTTCCCAACAGGCTTGTTCTAGCCCACAAGTTAGTTCATAGGTTAGTTAGTAGGCTAGCAGGCGCTTTAATTGCTCTAGGGCCCACGAGATAACCTTATATCCACGAGACCCACCAAGCCCGTCCAACAATACACCAAAAACGTTAATTTCGCAAAGCGTCTATAGATAAAAGCCGTAGGGAATTGGGTTTTTAATATTATAATTGCTATAGCTATTTTTCATGTTAAAAACATTATTGCTTGGACACTATATATATGCGTTAGTGATCACTAATAATTGTGGTTTAAGGCTTTAAGTTTTGGTCTGTTTGTTTTCTATCTTTGCTCAAACCGCTCCCTATATTGCAATATTGCTAGAACCGAGTCTAGGAACTGCGCCGAGAGACACAGGCGGCTTGAGGCTGTATACCTAGGAATATTGCACCCACTTGGATTGCATTTGCATGACCTTTTTGGTGAAAGGGCGGGTGAACTGTGGTCTGGTAACACGTCGTCATACATTCAATCCCAAGATTCTTCAATTGAGCTTGGCTAATCGAAGGGTAGATTCTCGCTCGCGCATTAGAGGGGGGCCCTGCTTCTTTGAAGCCATACAGCGTCGTCGGCTATCGTGTCATTATTTTAAGCTCTCAGATTTTAGAGGAACGGCTTGTGCATAAGAGGAGGCCAGAGGAGCATGTCTGAAATGTTATATTCCTCAATCACTATAGTCTTCATGATAATTCATCTCACACTAGGTTAACAATTGCGAACTCAATAGAATACTTCGGCAAACAGCTACATAACTCAGATCGTTTTCTTTTATATATACACCGGTTGCGTAAAATGTGTGATCAAATAAAAGATATAGAATCAAGGTAGTGACGAAGTACTGGTACGCTTTTAGACAGAAGAGAAAAGAATTCATCCAATCCGAGACCATCCAAATCACCGATTCATCGTTAAAATAATAAGTAAGCTTATAGCTCAATGGTTAAATAGGCACCGGGATTGTCCATATACTGACACTATTTGCAGGGTTTCATCATCTGTACCCAGTACTATATCACATACACATTGCTGCTGCACAAGGAATAGCGAATTAGTGCAACGTTCAGCCCGAACTGGTCTCGTAAACCAGACACAAACGTTAAATGCCAAGTATAGTAGTCACTCGACTAGAAGAAAGGAAATCATGATCAACTCACATGTGCGCTTCACACACGGCCAGACCTGGTCAGGATGAAATGCGTCGTTGAATTATAGCCTCGAGGTTAGCTCCTAGTCTGTCTTTCCGTTTTTAAGACCCCCTATGATAGGGGATAGATAGTACACATTGGAAAGCGGCTACCATGGTAGTAAAAGTATATCTAACCCGTGGGGCAAGTATTACTTGCGAGTAGGAATTTGGCGATATTCTCTTTATGGTTTAGCAACTTCAGAATAAATTTCAAGATTGGTGTTTCAATATTAATATTAAGCCACAGAGTTTTAACGAAGAGGTACCATGTATACTGCGACAGACAGGTGGCAATAGACACTCCCTCCAATGTTCCTCCCGTAGTAGATCCAAGATAAACAATCCATCCATCTACATTATTCCTACCATACCCATGACTTCTCTGAAGATAAATCTTGTATTCGTACCAACATGATAGTATTCACGAATTATCAACATGGGGTATAACGTCGCCGGGTACCTTAACACTAAATTCAAAATGATTGACTGAACAGTACTTTAAATCTATAATCACTGATGAATCCTTGAAACTGGTACTTAGCGCTCCGGCTAATTTCCTCCGAGGGTTTGATATATTGTGGCAGGGCCGCTCTGGCTATTTGTGCCATCTTGCACACCTTGAAATGTTCCAAATACCCAGACCTTGAATAGGAAGTATTCCAATCTTGATACCCTTCTATTTCTTCCCGGGGGCCGAGATGGCAGGCTTGACAACATCTCCCTCGCTCAATTTCTCCGCCGCTAATCATTCCCAGCACAGGCACCCGCATCATAGGCATATAACGATATTGGTCCTTGGCAAAGCCATCATGCGGGTCTCCTTGCAGTTCTTCAATCATGGATTGCGAGAGACGTACCAACCGATATCGCTGCTTATACCTCCTGCCTATTTGGGCATACTCTCCCGGGACAGTTAGGAGAGTTTCCGATGGGATTCGACGACCAAGTCGTTTTTCCAATGTCGATTTTGGGAGGGCGCGTAAATTAGGGGACTTGAGGATACAAGGGAAGCAATTCCTACAACCCGTGAATAGGTCCAAAAACGGGGCAAATTGTCCGCATTCAGAACAGGCTTGCGAACACAATGTTTCGTAAATTTGTCTGATCGTGAAATTGGATGCCGATTTTGTTGATAATAATGCCCTTAAAACCTCCGGGCAATCTTTAAAGATTGATTTATACGGCAAGAGCTCGTCCACGAGAGATCTGAAATACCAATTGATAGCCCTGCATGCCGTTAAACTTTGAATGTCAAGTATTTCTAATATTGAATAAGAAATTTCGACGGGTATTGAACTGAAAGCTCCTAGTTGGTTCGAAGAGGTCCCGCAACTCGAAAAGGTACACCGCTTGAGCCTGCCGTTATCAAGTGGGCAGTACCGCTCAAGTGTTACCGGGTTTATAAATATCCCAGAGGATGGGTGGTGCCAGGTCAAAAACGATAGTTCGGTCTCTGTCGGTTCCGGAATCATTGCGCGCGCAGCAATTTAATAAATTTATCACTATTCCAAACCGGGCCTCGTGCTCCTCTAAGCTTATAAGTTCATGCGAAATATACTTTTTCACTCAGTTTGAGTTACCTCACTTGCCTTCTTTCGATTGTGACTCAAGACCTCTATTTGCGTTGATAAAAGCCAAGCTAGATCTAGAATGCTCTACAAGCAGGAACATTAAGTTCTACCGTCAGAATTATATGATGCAAGATTAAAGGTCTAGTTTTCCGTGCTAACCGCTTTATAAACAGGCCGTAGTCTCAGTCAAAGACTGCTCTCGCGTCATTTGATGGCTCGGAGACTCAACTTTCGGGTCAAGCTGAGCCCAGACCTAGTCGACCTTACTTTTTAAATTCGGTTGTTGATGTTTTTGCGGTGTTCGGAAGTGGTGACGAGGCAGCATTGAAGCTTTGATTACCACAAAGTCAGTAATTTTCGAACTTCACTGTGCAAACCTCTTGCAAAGGCATGGGCGAGCGACCCCCCAGACTAACGTTGCTGTATTCCCAGGCTTAGAGTCGAACCTAGTTTTCTTAAACCCACGCGCCCGTTTTAGTGTACCAGACCAAGCTATATCTGGTTTATAAGACCAATAGTTAGGAAGCCTGTAGGGTCACGTGACATATGTGTTGTCCCCATTCATGCTATTAACTAAGCCTGAGAGGCTCTGTTCATTATGTAACTAACAAAAGCAATCAACATCATCATCACCATCCGTATTCCTAAAGTTTATGAGCCTGCAGCACAACCACTGATTGTCAGTTAGGCGTAGTTCATCTCTGCCTCGTTTTTTACCTTACAGACTACAAGGTTATGTAAAAATCTCGCCAGACCAGACCAGCCGAGTACCGAGCTACACATTGCAATCGAAAGGGAACGCAAGCTCGAGTCAACACATATTCTAAACCCAAAAAGCAACATCCGAGCCTTGTATTTCCCTCCAATGACACAAAGAGTGTCTTGTGGATACAAACGTAATAGGATATTCTATACTATGTTCACTATCCGCGATTTTGCATGGAAGGGTCTTCTCGCTGAGGAAGACTTTGGAGGTCGGCTAGGCTATCGACAAAGCCAACGCTGTGCGTTCGCTGACACCACTTTGTAGCCCTTGTGGCTAGCATGATGGCAAAGAGGGGCACGTCAATTGAAGTCTTGGAAGATTGCTACCTTTTGCTGGCGGCGGCAGCGCCGTTACTAAAGCCATCGATACTAGAGATTCATAATTGAGGCTTACAAAGTATATATCCCATATTAACATCCAATTATTGTCGAGACCGGACATCATAATGGGCGCACGACTACAAGGCTGAAACTTTTCCGCTGAGAAAAAGCGGGGAAGGTTGCCGCAAGAGTCCCTCTATGACACATCATACTTGCATGGATTGCATTTCATACGCAGTATTAACTCAACGGAAGGTAGATCCTTCCTGACTGAAGTTTTTCCAGCGGAGTGTTAGTGTATTTTTCTATTGCGATCCTCATACTACTCGGGGTCCGAAAATTCGACTAGTGGACTCTGTATAGTCTTCGCAATTCTTTCGACTATGTCTACCCTTGACTACACGGTTGGGTGGGTTTGCGCTCTATCCATTGAGCGCGTTGCCGCGCAAGCACTTCTCGATGAAGTCCACGAGTCTCCAGACGACTTCTCTCCAAACGATAATAATATCTACGTTCGGGGAATTATGGAGAAACACAAAGTGGTGATTGCCGTATTACCTAAGGGGGAATACGGTATAGCCGCAGCATCGGCTGTCGCTAGGGATATGTTACGTACATTCTCTAACATCAGAATTGGTCTACTTGTCGGAATTGGCGGCGGCGCTCCAAGCGAAAAAAATGATATTCGCCTCGGAGATATCGTGGTCGGTGCACCCAGCAACGGAGAGAGCGGACTTTTCCAATATGACTTTGGTAAAACAATACAAAACCAGGAATTTGAGACTACTGGGCACTTAGATAAAGCGCCAACCATCCTTCGAGTAGCATTAAGCGACATTGAAGTTGAATACGAAATGAAAGGTCATCAATTAAAGGAAATTATCTCAGCAACCTTCGATAGATGGCCCAGATTGCGAAAAAAGTATCAGCAACCGGATCCAAGCAGTGATAGATTATATCAATCGCATATTTGTCACCCTCCAAAGGATGAAAGGAGCTGTATGGGAGTCTGTGACCCATCGAAACTGATTGTGCGGCCCGACCGAGACAATGACGATAATCCAACTATACATTACGGCTTGATTGCTTCGGCCAATCAACTAATGAAAAATGCTTTGATTCGAGATAGACTTGCTGCTGAAAAAAATGTTTTGTGCTTTGAGATGGAGGCGGCCGGACTAATAAACCATTTTCCGTGTCTGGTTATTCGCGGGATTTGCGACTACTCTGATACTCACAAGAATAAAGAGTGGCAAGGATACGCAGCAATGGCGGCAGCGGCATATGCGAAAGATCTTCTCCGCCGAATTCCTTCTAAAAAGATCGAGGCTGAAGAGAAGATTGCGGTGCTTATTTCTAGTGGTTAGTCGTTCTAGAATTTGTAATATAGGAGGAGTTGACGTCTTCTAACAATGGGTTAGTGCTCGGTACTCTATCTAAAACTGAAGCCGATGTAAAAGTCATAAAATCTAGTCTACAGGGGAAGGAAGACCTTGAGATCCTTAATTGGCTCACAGACATCGACTATGGTCCTCAACAAAGTGACTATAGAAGTCGAAGACAAGCGGGAACAGGCCAGTGGTTGCTTAACTCGCCAGAGTTCCAAGAGTGGGTGGTCGGTGATAAGCAAAGTTTATTCTGTCCCGGCATTCCCGGGGCTGGGAAAACTATCATCGCATCGATTGTGGTGGACTACTTGGTCTCGAAAGTTGGTAATACGAAGGTTGGCCTTGCGTATATATACTACGATATGCGTCAAACAAAACTACAAAACGCCAATCACATACTGGCGAGCCTCCTAAAACAGTTAGCTGAGACCCAGTCATCTCTATTTCCCGGTATTAAAGATCTCTACACCCACCACCACCCTAGGCACACACGGCCATCATTTGATGAACTCTCGAAAGTTCTCCGGTCTATAATGAACACGTACTCAAAGGTTTTCCTTGTGATTGACGCTCTCGATGAATCGCGAACGTCCGATGGTTTCCAGAGGCTAATCCTCACTGAGATATTCTATCTCCGGAACCAACATAATGCGAATATATTTATAACATCGAGGAATATCCCTGAGATCACTGAAATGTTCAAAGAGGGCAAATCACTGGAGATCCGTGCTCGGGATGTGGACATCGAGAAATATATAAAAGGTCGTATATCAGATGAGGGAAAGGAGCCACTGGAAGAACTACGTGATAGAATCGTAAGCGATATAATCAAAGTGGTCGATGGAATGCAAGTATCACCTCTATAGTTGTAACCCTAGACATGGATTTCTTGAGTGGCTGACAGCTATCTAGGTTTCTGCTTGCAAAGCTTCACTTCGACAATCTTAAAACTAAGTTGACACGTAAGCAGATAACGCAAACTTTGGGAAACCTTCCTAAAGGCTTAGATGCATATATCACCGCCTACGACGAAGCTATGGATAGGATTATTCACGGGTCTAAGAATTTGGCGCAATTGGCGATATCCGTCCTTTCATGGATTACCTGCGCAAAGCGGCCGCTAGTCACATCGGAGCTTCAACACGCCCTCGCTATACAGATAGAAGACCATGACCTAGATGTCGACGACCTCATACCTATTAAGGACATAATTTCAGTGTGCGCCGGGCTAGTTGTGGTTGATAAAGAGAGCGATACTATTCGGTTGGTTCATACCACAACGCAGGAGTACTTTGAGCGTACACGACAACGCTGGTTTCCAGAAGCAGAAACTAATATCGCGAAAGCTTGCATCGCATATCTACTATTTTCCGAGTTTGAGAGTGGCATGTGTTCGTCAGACAAAGTGTTCGAAGCGCGGTTGATGAAATACCGATTTTACGACTATGCGGCGCGAAATTGGGGCCACCACACTACAACCACCTCAGCTGAAGAGGTTGAGCGATTAGCATCAAAATTTATTCGTAACGCACAGAAAGTCTCTGCGGCTAGCCAGGCGGCTACGGCTTCCAGAGGCTCCCATAACTTTAGTCAGAACGTGCCCCGGCAAGTCACTGGCTTGCACTTGGCCTCATACTTTGGACTATGGAAGATTGTTCGAACTCTTCTTTTAGAAGGATCTGAGCCGGATGTGAAAGACACACACGGACGAACTCCACTCGGGTTGGCTGCGGCGAACGGACATGATGCGGTCATATCACTCCTGTGCGCGAGTCACGCCGTGGATTTAAATAGCGCGGACAAATACGATAACACACCACTTTCGCTAGCTGCAGCACGTGGCCACCCTGCGGCTGTGGAGGTGCTCCTTCGGGACGACCGAATTGACCGGGGACGCAAAGATATATACGGCAATACGGCTTTGGCTTGGGCAGAGGCGAATAGACACGATACTGTAGCCGAGCTTTTATCGGGCCCTAGCAATAACCCAACTGCAATCGACACACCGAAAGACCCATCCTTATTGTTTCGAGCGGCTAAGGATGGGAATGGAGCGGCGATTCGAATGATCGAAGTCATCCTGCTGATCCAAAGGATGCGACTGGGCGGACGCCGCTTTCGTGGGCCGCTATGGAAGGGCAAACCGATGTGGTCAAAATCCTACTAGAGTCGGAAAATATTGATGTTAATTCAAAGGATGCAACTGGGCGGACGCCGCTTTCGTGGGCCGCTATGAAAGGGCAAACCGATGCGGCCAAGGTCTTGTTAGAGTCGGGAAGCGTTGATGTTAACTCAAAGGATGCAATTGGGCGGACGCCGCTCTCGTGGGCCGCGATAAATAGGAAAGCCGGCATCGTTAGGCTGTTACTAGGGTCGGGGAACGTCAATGTTAACTCAAGGGATGACCTTGGTCGGACCCCACTTCTATGGGCTGTCATTAATAAAGACATAGAGGTTGCTAGGTCGTTATTGGAGTCAGGGAACACCGATGTTAACCCAAGGGATGACCTTGGTCGGACCCCACTTCTATGGGCTGTCATTAGTAAAGACATAGAGGTGGCTAGGTCGTTATTGGAGTCAGGGAACACCGATGTTAACTCAGGGGATGACCTTGGCCAGACCCCGCTTTGGTGGGCAGCTGAGGAAGGGTGCGAAGTCATGCTGGTTCTACTTCTCAAACACGGTGCTAAACGTGAGTTGAGGGATTGTTGCAGGCACACGCCACTTTGGCGCGCTATCTCTGGGGGCCATCATGTAATAATTGGGCTTCTGATTGAGGAGAGCGTCACCGAGCTTAGCCAACAGGATGCCAGTGAAATCACCCTCATTCTATCTGCAGCGGAGCAAGGCGATGCGGATTTAGTGAAGCGGCTTTAGTGAAGCGGCTTCTAGAGAGGGGTATACCGGGGGGGCTGAATGATCCTGCGCGCCGGAAGCGGACGTGGTACGCCATGCTTACAGTTGATCTCACGCGCAATCACTTTCGAGAGTGGAGTTGGTATGCCATGCGTATCATTGATCTTGCGTGCGATAGCCACCCAACCGATTTTACTCTAGACGTCTATGATGGGAATTTACGGGCGACTCGTGTCAAGGAAGAAGATTCTGATAACGAGGCCGATAACCCTGATGGATTTGATTATGAGGCTAATAGCTTTGATGATGAGAGCTCTGGCGGGATTGTGAACCTCTTGCTGGACTGTCGAGATCGAAGGTTACTGAGCACTGCCGCTGAGAAGGGACATGAGGCTATTATTCGACTATTGTTTGAGGAGGTTGGCCCTACGGTTCCACAACTTCTCCTAAAGAAAGCAGCCTTTATTGAGTCGAATGGCGACCGTGATAGTCGCATGCTGCTAAAGGCAGCTAAGGATGGACACGATGGCATTGTCCGGCTATTAGTTAAGAGCAAGTATGGCCGAAAGTTGCTATTAAGCGCATGTAAAAACGGGCACGAAGGCGTACTCCGACTGCTACTTGACAGAGGGGCTAATGTAAACACACGGGAGTTCCTGGGTCGGAGGGAATCGTTACTCCAACATGCTGCTGAGAAAGGATGCGAGGCTGTAGTTCGACTATTGCTCGAGAAAGGAGCCAATATCGAGCCAGACTGTCCTAGTAATAGGAAACCGGTCTGGTTGGCCGTGGCAGGTGGACACGAGGCTGTAGCCCGGTTACTGATTGAAAAGGGAGCTGATACCAGGCTACAGCGAGGATGCACGCTACTCGCAGAAGCTATCAAAAATGAGCTCTGGCATATTCTTCCGCTATTGCTTGAGAGCAATACTTCCGCCGAGCAGAAGGGCCTCAAGACAGCCGTGGTCGAAAGCACTAGTGAGGGTGAAGGCCTTGTTAAGCTGCTGCTCGAAAAACTTGGCATCAAAAAACAGGAGATTGTTTGGAGGTCACTACTCGAGCTCGCTGCAAACGGTGGGCACGAGGCCAAGGCTATAACCCATTTGGTTCTCGAAAAAGACGCGGATGACACGACGTGGTACAAAGCAGAGGACGAAGCTACTACCCAATTGCTATTTGAGACCATCATCTATACGCTTGTGCAAACTGTTAGATCTAATGGTTACGGCCGTTTCAAGTTCGATGTTGATTTTTTATTGAAGGCCGTCAAAGATGGGCACGAAACACTACTTGAGGGTGAGCCTGGTGGGAAGCTATTATTTAATGCATCGAACGATGGGTGCGAGGCTCTGGTCCAGCTGTTATTAGAAAAGGGTGCCCATATCAGTGAGGCATCACTCAAAATGGCCGCATGGAGAGGGCATGAAAATGTGGTCCGGTTGTTATTGGAAAATGGTGCCGGTGTCAATGATGGGGATGTATTAGAATGGGCTGTAAGGGG